CAGATTGAGTTCAACGTCCTTCTTCATCTCCGGGCGGAGCTGAAGCTTGGTAGAAAGCTCCATGAGATCAACCTTCCTACTCATCTCGCCCACCTTATGATCACATTCAAGTGCCACCATTTTAATCTCATCAATCGCTTGTGCCAAATTTGCTTTCTCCTCGGAATCTTTGACCATGTTCTTGTGCACCGTCGAGAGCAGCAGGGTGTACCGCTGGATACGAGTGATGGGAGCCTTGAGGTACGTGTCCCAGCTGAGACGATTCGAAAGCTTGTGGTCACGGACTTGGTTAAGGAACTGCCGGAAATGAACGTTCCTCTCTGCTTCCTTGCGCACCACGTAATTGGCATTCGGGAACGTCGCCGCGTAGTCGATATAGGCCATCTTTGCCTTTCGAATCCATTCCCGGAAAATATCACTAAAACCAGCGATGAATGGACCCTGCTCTTTCTGACGATACTTGAGTTGAGCCAAGAGATGGTCTTCGTTGACTTTCTTGACGGCATCTACCTTCCCAAACACATCGTTCAAGAACCGGTTTAGGCGCTTCGGTGCAATCACCGACGGTTGCATATTTGCCAGCTGATCCCGGTAGAGCTCGCGCAGAACGTCCAGCTGGGATATGTAGGAATCTTCGGTTGTCACAATCTCGTGCAAATTGTTCTGTCGATCAATCTCTTTCTTTGAGTGCGTCTCCCAAACTTCCTTGGGGACCTTGTAAAAAGTCACCCAGTCTTCTGCTTTCTTCTCTGGCTCCATCATCTGAGCTTTGAGATTGACCTTTTTCAGCGTTCGCATGCAGTGGTGCGAATAGCAACGTCCGAACACTTCCGCTTCCTGTTCATGAAGGCGGGAGGAGTAGCATCCTGTGCCCGTTATCTGGAATAGGACGCCTGACAAAGTTCCAGTGCCGAATTTGACCCATTCCTCATCCTTCACCAAGGCTCCCTCCGCCAGCATGTTCTTGACTACCCGTGCGGCTAGAGTTTCCGCATCAGCCATGTTCATCGTCGGGACTTTGTGGGTGAACAAAGCAACAATTGCCTCAACGATCGCATGTTCCTTTAAATCCGTCTCATCTTCGCTAAGCTCTCGGATCCAAGCTAGAATGGAGCTCAACGCCCATGGCTCCGTACAGCGTCGGAATTGTTCTGAAGACAATTTTGTTGGGTTGAACTTCTTACGGCGTCCCGCAGGGATGGTGGGCAGATCAAGCGTCATGGCAGCTGCAGCATCCGGGGAAACATCAAGCTTGAGCGCGCCATACTGTTGCTGCCGTAATAGCTCCTGTTGCTGTTTATACTTCGCCCGGTCTGCATCGGTTTTCGATCTGATAGGGGGGTCAGTACGAGGCCCAATTGGATGACTCGACAGAGAAGTCGACCGTGGAACTTGGGTAGGGCTGGACACGGTCGAAGAAGCGTACGAGTCTGGAGCAACAGGGAAATGGGAAGGTGTATACTGGGTAGAGCCCCGCCCGTCACCCTGCTCGTGGTGCCGGTACGTCCCTGCCGGCATCAAATGCGACATTAAGCTCGGGTTACTCGCCGGCTCGACGGGAGCCGGTGGAAGTGGCCGCATGCCAGGGTGGAAGAAGAGGTCCCCAGGCTCCTCTCCCCTGCCTGAGCTCTCACTTCCCGAGTGTTGCAGACCATTATGTTCGGACAAGGGCCCGTCGGTCTCATCGCCGTAATCGAAACTCATCCGGCGTCCATACGCTCCAGGCTCTGACAAACCCCCGGTACCACCAGCGTCCACTCGTGCATGATGTTGCATGTCAGTGTACGGATACCCAGAAGCATCGAGCGCTGTAGGTGGGTAGTCATAATCATCCGAATACTCCTCATGGCCATCTGCAAAGGGGTTAGAGCCTCTCATGGAGCCGGAAGAGGGCGCAAGCCTAGGATGACCAGCGTCATCATTATGGCCATTTGCGTAGTGATCCGTCTCGTCATATTGTGAGGCACGACGGTAGCTTTCGCTATAGGACCCAAGCTCATCCTGCTGCCAGTCTTGCTGAGGAGACGGTACGCGATTCTCGGATCGCGCTCCATATGCACTTATGATGGAAGCAGTGGTCTCCCGCCGCGCACGGTCTTGCAGGCGTTCGGCTTGTGCTTTGTCTTCCTCATCTGCCATTTGCAGCATAGCTAGACCTGCAGCAGCCTCTGCATCACTATCATCGCTATACGCATCGTAATTCACATATTGGCCTGTGCCAGTGGCGATACTGCCATTGGTGTGAGTATGTCTCTCGTCAGGGGACAGCCGCGGACCTGGTGAAACGCAATTTGACGGTTCCAGGACCAACGCACTGTTAGGATTCCCATGTGATGGATCCAAGCTATAGCCAGGCTCCCCAGTTGTCCGTCGATCCGCAACTGCAGCCTCGACCTCTTCCATCAGCTCATCATAGCCCGGCCTGGTATTGGGTCGACTATCCCGGCTTCCATGTCCGTTGGCAGCCATATAGGGGTCTGCATCTGCATCCGCATCAACGGGAGGGCCAGGCAGCGGGCGCGACTGCGGGTGTCGAGTCAAAGTGTCTGTCCTACGCGGTGACATTTGCGTTTGAGTGGGATAGATCGGCGGTGTTGGAAGGGATCGTCCTGAACCGGGGCGTGTCAAAGTAGACCGCTTGCCGAAGGCTTCTTCGGTGGGTGTCGAGTGGACTGGGGGGGCAGGAGGTTGTTCATCGAACGAAGTAATCACATCTCCAGGGTGAGGCAGCGACTGCGGCATGTGGGTTGGAACTTGTGCACTTCCAGCGTAGGGATGGCTTGCAACGTTCGCAGAAACAGCAGTAGAAGAGCTGTTGGCAGATATATAGGTAGCATTAGTTGTAGAAGGTGATGCTGTGCCGTAGGATAAAGAGCCAGATGAGAGTGTGGTTGAGGATGATGCCTGCTGAGTTGTGAACCCGTACTGCATACCTGGCGAAGCATTTCCATACTGCGGAGACGGACGGCTTCCATAGGGATGGTCCGGTCCCCGAGGCGGTGGAGGCGGCGGCAACTGCGGGTGTGGAGGACCCCAAGTTTGGGGTGTAGGGGGGGCATTTGCAAAGGCGCTTGTTGGCTGTCTCTGCACCGGGGATGCGACGAAGCTAGCAGGCTGGTAGGCGGCTGGATTATAGGGCTGGTGGCCGGAGGCTGTCGTGCTGCTATACGAGGTGCTAGGCCCACTATATGCCAGCGGACTGAAGCCTACCTGCTGCTGCGATGGTGTAGGGGGCAAGGCATATTGTTGGGGGTTGTATGCAACCTGGGTAGGTGATGTGGCGGCCGGGACCGACGAGGTATACTGGTATTGGTAACTTGATTGTGAGGAAGCCCGGGTGCGCGACAACTGAGGCGAAGTGGGAGCAGGGACGTGCGCATATCGAGGGTCTGCGTAATCATCTCGTCCAGTATTAAGGACATTGTAGCTCGATTGGCCCTCGGCCGGTGCATTCCAGCCCGGATAACGAGCATTCACCTCGGTGGACCTGGCGTTCTGGGAATTAGGGGAGCCCAAGAGACCCGCGTCATCCCCCACATTATAACTGGGCATCCTTCGCAATTGTGGGCTCGTCGGCTGGGTGGGATACAGGTCATAACGGTTGTGCTGAGTGGGATTCGGCGGGGAACCGGGCGGCTGATTGTAGGCTGGATAACCATTTTGGTAGTGCGCCATGGTTGTTCAAGGAGGCCCAGCGGAAAATGAACGGCAGGTTGGACAAAACTGACTGCACGCGACAGTGAGAGTTAGGAAGACGAGGCTCCGGAACGGCCTGGGAAGGATTCTCCCGGGTTGAGTGAAGCTAGATCGGCTCACTTCAGACACTGACAGAAACCACCGGAAGCCCCGATCACGCTCAGGGCCAGCCTTACCACCGCGAGATAAGATGTAGGAACTAGTCGTAGCACCAGTTACCACCAACAGTGGATTGTTGGTAACGATGGGAGGTCGAGCCTCATCCGGACGTCGGCCGACCACAATTAAGAAGGAGGTCCGGGGAAAAGAGATCCACCTCTAGGCATACCCCAGCAGACAAGGGGGAGGGGGATGTCCCACGGTCGGAAAGAATATCGTTCGTGGTGAAATGAAACAATAGACCAGAGGGCAGGAGGAGGGGAGGATTAGGTGGAGGGGATAGGGGGTGGGGAAGGGCGTGAAAGATTGAACGGAGGGAAAAAGAGAGAGGGATTGATGATCTGGTCTTGGAGTAACAGTCCGTCAGTCCGATGGTGGTTGTTTTTGTGCCGGTGGGCACTCCTCCTCTCCTAACTCTTACTACTAGTAGTTAATCGCTGTGCCGGTTGGGTAGGCGGTCAGTTTGTCATCTTCTGTGCCTGATGCTGGGTGTCTGCCATGCCTGTATGCCTGATTGTCGGCGAGAATGCGAGTGGTCAAGTCAGTCTACATGAAGGAGATCTATCTCCTACTCAGCAATCCGATTGGAAAATCTGGAAAAATTTGGTGGGACGAGACTCAGTGATTTCCACACAATCTTGATTGATCCGGACATCAAATCCGCAGCGTTTGTTTACTTATTGTCAGTCTTTACAAAGTCGGCAAGCCATGGCTATAAGAATTAAAATAAAAATAAAAAAAAAAAGAAAAGGAAAAAGAGATAGATAATAATGCAAGCTGCTGCAATTGTAGTTTATTTCAACTTAGTGTATATTATCATTACTGATACTGCAGTGGCTAACTATGGCGGAGGCTCAGTCTTACCCGAACCGAGCACGAGACTCATCCTGCTTCATAAAGGGCCTTGAAGTCAAGAATCGAAATACCCTGATCAACTGAATGTTTTTGTTTCACCTCGTAGTCCACTCAAGATAAATCTGGTGTATGGCATTGAAGCATATTGTAAATCTTGCCATAACCTACGGTTTTCCTGTGACACAAAGTTTAAGCACATATAAATATAGAAAGTGTCATATGTCATATATAGGGGCCTAAGGGAGAGCGTGATGAGGCCAACACAAACATAGAAATAATCAATACTAGTTCAGAGTTATAACTAGAGTTATATACATTTTTGGTGGTTTTTGTTAGTTCTTTGTATCTACAGTATAATCATATGAAAAGTAGGAGTAGTACTACGAACACAATCATCTTTTCAATGCCAATAACTGAAACCTCAACCGGAAACCTACTCTATCTAGCCATGATCGCTTCTACAACAGTACCACCTACACTTTGTTATATATATTTAGCCTGTGTGACTTCCGGGATACTATGGTCAGGGACAGCTGAAAATTGCGTGAGGGTATACCCATGCTGTACGACTAGTATTATTGTGACCTGTAGCTAATATCAAAGCAGCATGACTTTCCTTAATCTTTTTCCAAGGCACTATAGAAGAGAAACTTCATCGGGCTGCGATGTTATCCCTACGAGCCCCCTCCTCCTCTAAGAGTAACAGCGGTGGAAATTGCCTTGTGTGTTAAAGAACGTGTGGCTTGATATTTGTTTGTCAGTAATGGCATCGGAAGACCATGCTTCCGAATGCTATTCTGATGTGTCATTTGACTTGGAGATCGGTACTGGTTACAAATACCTGCAAAGGCAAATCTCCAGCTCAAATAATAGGAGGGGTGGTATTTATTACAGACACAAGATTGATCGATAAGCACGCACTGCTTGGAATGGAATTGCAACCGTACAGAGCAAGTTCTGACATCCCAAAGCGATCCATAATCCATTGTCCGTTTACAGGGGAATGGTAATATGGTATATGGTATAGTGGTAGTGGCTCACTATCTTCCATGGTAACTATCTGACAGCTCGGAAGGGTTTAGATCCGGGGTAACGGTGGGGTTTTGCGGATGCAGAGCTAAAAAGCCCCCGAGATACGCATTCAATACGCACCCAATCAGGGCCTGCGTTGAGAACCTTCCGCGGAAGTGACGCTGAGATAATGAGCGATGACCGAATTGGGCCTATGATGAATACGACTTGGTGATGGAACCTGAAAAATACCTTCGCCGTTATATTTCACCTTCGACGAGTCATTCACAAGCTACCTCATATATGATCTTGTTTCTGGTCATGAGCTCATCATAGGATAGGAGATGATAGAACAGTTAAACAGCATAGAGTTGATCTTGTTTCCGGGAAGGAACTGAGAGGTCGTGTGTACCTGATTGCTCAACATACTTAACTTTCCGCAGATACGGGCCTGGATCACCAGACAAGGATCAGGTAGCTCTTTGAGCCTGATGCCCATGTGAAGTCGGATGCTGGCTTTCCGTCTTCCGGGTTTCGAGACCATCGACAATGTACCAGGTAACGAACCTTATTGAATCACTGAAACTTTAGGACCCCTTTCATCTGTTCTCTGACCACCTTAACATGCCCTCTTAGTCCTTCCTTCCTTGCTTTCTTCCCTTTTCTCCTGTTGTAGTTTGTGTCTCCTGCATCTCTGTGTTTTGTCTGACAGTGGACTTGCCGTTGCTTGTTTACAATTCTAGTGACCTACTATGCATTGCGTAACCTCAGATTGGTGACAATTGTTATGGCCAGTCAGCCAGCCCCTCCTGCGCCCTTTGGGACCCGGGCTATCACCGCTGCGCTGGGCTCGGAGCTGGAAAGTTCAATGCGCGCGGCCATCACCTCTGGGGGAAAGACGGAGAGCTCAGATTCCGCTTGCATAGAATCGGAAGACAGTATCAGACGGGAAGATCAGGAGGCAATAACCACCCTGGCGCGCAGCCTTTCACAGTTATCCAGTAAAAGCAGCACCGGCGAGGGGACGAATACCTTCCTTGATCCTACTAGCGACCCGGAGCTGGACCCCAATTCGGATCAGTTCAACTCGCGGAAATGGACGAAGAACTTACTCAGAATCACCTCGCGTGATCCAGATCGCTATCCTCGCCGCACGGCCGGCGTCTCCTTTCGCAACTTGAACGTCTTCGGCTACGGAACTGCAGCTGATTACCAGACAAATGTCGCAAACATGTGGCTGAAAGGATTCGGTTGGCTTCGAGAAAAGCTCGGTTGTGGGAAGAAAGTCAGAATTGATATTCTTCGCAACTTCGAGGGATTCGTTCACAGCGGCGAGCTGCTGGTAGTACTTGGCCGCCCTGGAAGGTAAATTCATGCAGTGCTGCTTTCCAGCCTCTCAATTACGTGGTGTGGAAACACATGTTCATATTGCTAACGGGTAATATTTATAGTGGTTGCTCGACCTTTCTCAAGACCATTGCAGGCGAGACTCACGGCTTATGGCTCGACCATGGAACAGATATTCAATATCAGGGTATATCTTGGGATGAGATGCATAGCCGTTTCCGAGGTGAAGTCATATACCAAGCGGAAACCGAAATTCACTTCCCTCAACTCTCAGTAGGCGATACGTTGCACTTTGCAGCACATGCTCGTACACCATCCAACAGATTTCCGGGTGTGACTAGAGAGCAGTACGCAACCCATATGCGCGATGTTGTCATGGCAATGTTGGGTCTGAGCCATACCATAAACACGCGTGTGGGTAATGAATATATCCGAGGTGTGTCCGGAGGGGAAAGGAAGCGTGTCAGTATAGCTGAGACCATATTGTGCGGGTGTCCTTTGCAATGTTGGGACAACAGTACGCGCGGCCTGGATAGCTCAACGGCTTTGGAGTTCGTCCGTAAGTTACGGCTTTCCACGGACTATACAGGGTCTACCGCAATTGTGGCAATCTACCAAGCTAGTCAAGCTATCTATGATATATTTGACAAGGTCATTATTCTCTACGAAGGCCGGCAAATATACTTCGGGCGCTCCGGGGATGCCAGACAGTTCTTCATCGAAATGGGATTTGATTGCCCAGACCGACAAACCACTGCCGATTTCTTAACTTCCTTGACCAGTCCAACGGAAAGAAAGGTTCGTGGAGGTTATGAGCGCTTGGTGCCTCGTACCCCTGATGAGTTTGCTGCTCGATGGAGAGACAGCGCTGAGAGAAAGCAGCTGCTCGCTGACATTGAGGCTTTTCAGCACGAGTTCCCGTTAGGAGGAGAAAAATTGACAGAATTCAACCGCTCTCGTGCGGCCGAAAAGGCTAAAAGGACACGGGCAAGATCACCCTACACGCTATCGTACCCTATGCAAGTTCGACTGTGCCTTCGCAGAGGGTTTCAGCGTCTCAAGGGTGATATGAGTATGACCTTGGCTGGTGTTATCGGCAATAGTGTCATGGCCTTGGTTATCTCTAGCGTGTTCTACAACCTTGGGCCTACGACAGATAGTTTCTTCCAACGAGGAGCCCTGATTTTCTTTGGAATATTGTTGAACGGATTCGCAAGTGCGCTCGAGATCCTTACTCTATGGCAGCAACGACCGATAGTAGAGAAGCATGATAAGTACGCTCTCTATCATCCATCGGCAGAGGCAATCAGTTCCATGATTGTTGATCTTCCTTCGAAAGCAATCGTCTCAGTGGTATTCAATCTATTCCTTTATTTCATGTCCAATTTACGCCGTACCCCTGGACACTTCTTTGTGTTCTACTTATTCTCCGTGACAACTACTTTGACCATGTCCAACATCTTCCGTTGGACAGGAGCGATTTCGCGATCTATGGCCCAGGCGATGGTACCTTCTTCGATCTTCATGCTGATTCTCGTGATATACACGGGTTTTACGATCCCGGTCCGCAATATGCATCCCTGGTTCCGATGGTTGAACTACTTGGACCCAATAGCTGTAAGTGTGCCTGCATAACCAGTCAACAATACCACACCCACACCTTGCTTGCAATTCAACACCAACTCTGCTCAAGGCCCATGACCATTGCTAACATTTGGGTAGTATGCTTTCGAGTCTCTCATGATCAACGAATTTAGTGAGCGTCGTTTCCCGTGTGCAGTTTATGTACCTTCGGGGCCAGGCTACGAAGATGCTCCTATTAGCTCCAAGATCTGCAGCCAGAATGGTGCAGTGGCCGGTCAAGACTACATTGATGGCGACAGATACCTGAATGTTTCTTTTCAATACTACCGATCTCACCTTTGGCGCAACTATGGCATTCTATTGGGTTTTATGTTCTTCTCCCTCGCACTTTACATCATCAGCAGTGAACTGGTCCGCGCGAAGCCTTCGAAAGGCGAAATTCTGGTCTTTCCTCGCGGGAAGATTCCTGCATTTGCAAGACGGATCCCTGGTGACGGGGATGTGGAAAGCTGTCCAGCCTCGGAGAAGTACGCCGTCGATGGTGAAGAGCCTGACCATACAGCCGCCATTGTCAAACAAACATCCATCTTTCACTGGCAAGATGTCTGCTACGATATCAAGGTCAAGGGGCAGCCACGCAGGATCCTTGATCATGTGGATGGATGGGTTAAACCAGGCACCTTGACTGCCTTGATGGGTGTAACTGGAGCCGGGAAGACATCTCTCCTCGATGTATTAGCCAACCGGGTGACCATGGGCGTGGTTACTGGCGATATGTTAATTGACGGGAGGATGCGGGATGATTCCTTTCAGAGGAAAACTGGTTATGTCCAACAGCAAGATTTGCACTTGGAAACAACCACGGTGCGGGAAGCCCTCATATTCAGCGCACTTCTTCGTCAGCCAGCTACTACACCGCGAAAGGAAAAGCTCGCGTACGTGGAAGAGGTGATCAAAATGCTGAACATGGAAGCTTACGCAGAAGCCATTGTCGGCGTTTTGGGTGAGGGCTTGAACGTTGAGCAGAGGAAAAGATTGACCATCGGAGTAGAAATCGCAGCCAAGCCCGACCTACTTCTATTTTTCGACGAGCCCACTTCAGGACTCGACAGTCAAACTGCATGGTCTATCTGCTCCCTTATGCGAAAGCTAGCAGATCATGGACAAGCAATCCTATGTACCATTCATCAACCATCAGCAATCCTAATGCAGCAGTTCGATCGGCTGCTATTCCTAGCAAAGGGCGGCAAGACGGTGTACTTTGGAGAGCTTGGACCGAACATGGAGACCTTAATAAAATACTTCGAGGGGAAAGGCTCTTCAAAATGTCCCCCGAACGCTAACCCTGCCGAGTGGATGTTGGAAGTAATTGAAGCTGCCCCAGGATCCCATGCTGACCGAGATTGGACAGAGATGTGGAATCAAAGTCCTGAGCGCACTCAGGTACGTCTAGACCTTGCCGAGATGAAGCAAGAACTACTGCAGCGGCCACCACCTCCTCGGATGGTGGGATATGGAGCGTTTGCCATGCCTCTTTGGGCGCAATTTGCCCTTTGTCTGCAGCGGATGTTCCAACAATATTGGCGTAGTCCTTCATACATCTACTCAAAGGCTGTCATGTGTGTTATACCAGTAAGTATCTCGTGGTCCTCTCGGTATGCAGAGCTAACCGGCCACCATAGCCGATATTTATTGGCTTCACGTTTTGGCGAGAGCCGAACAGTCTTCAAGGGTTACAGAACCAGATGTTCGCCATTTTCATGCTGTTGATCATCTTTCCCAACTTGGTGCAACAGATGATGCCATACTTCGCAAGACAGCGAGCTCTGTATGAAGTTCGAGAAAGGCCCTCCAAAACGTATTCTTGGGTAGCTTTCATATTAGCCAGCGTTCTGGTCGAGTTGCCCTGGAACATACTCATGGCTGTTCCGGCGTACTTCTGCTGGTACTATCCAATCGGCCTCTATCGCAACGCCATTCCAACGCATACGGTCACCGAAAGAGGTGGCACCATGTTTCTTCTCGTTCTAATCTTTATGGTGTTTACCTCAACATTCAGTTCTATGGTCATCGCAGGCATTGAACAGCCAGATACAGGTAGCAACATCGCCCAACTTCTGTTCTCGTTCTCGTTCTGCCTGATCTTTAATGGGTAAGTCATACTGCATCGCTTGTCTGTCAGGAAGGCTTATCGTTGTAAATCTAGCGTCCTGGCCACCCCGTCTGCCCTTCCTCGCTTTTGGATTTTCATGTACCGGGTTTCACCCTTCACCTATCTGGTATCCTCCGTCTTAAGTGTGGGCATCGCAGGAAATGACGTTGAGTGCTCCGATATTGAGCTGCTGCATATCCCACCTCCAACGGGACAAAACTGCTCCGGTTACCTAGACGAATATGTTCGCAACTACCAAGCAACCCTACTCAATCCCGAAGATACCACCGAACGCCTTGTGTGCTCGATCTCGAAGACCGATCAGTATCTGAGCGCACTGAGCATGAGCTACTCGGACCGGTGGCGTAATGTGGGTATTCTCTTCGCGTTCATTGTGTTCAACGCTATCGCAGCCGTTTTCTTGTACTGGCTGGTGCGAGTGCCGAAGAAGAAATCGGTCAAGGAGAAGGAAGAGTAGGCTGGAAGGACAGGAAAGATAGATGGAGAAGCCTAGATTGGCATGGCAGAGGCTAGATCATCTTCTTACAAAGTAGAGTAGATATGGGGGTATTTGGCTTGCATAGTTACTAGTCTTAGCTCCTTCGTATGTCGGATAGTCATCGCTAGTCTACAGGCCATGGTCTTTACATCTAATATGAATGCCACACTATGTTCTTTCAATCTCCCCGATTCAGATAACCTAGGGTAACATTTCACCAGAGTCTAGATGCAGCCGGCATAATACCCCAACAAGGCGCATTGTCACCATTGCACAAAACGCTACGTTGTGGCTTTGCCTTGCCCATGATGTCATTTAATCGTACAGAATAGAGTACAATGATTTCATCGAAGCTAGACATAGATATTCCCGCATAATACATACATACATGTGAGGGCACCCAGGCGTCACTGGGGCTGTGGTGCAACACGCATGCGGTGTGCCGCGCCTGCAGCGCAGAGCGCAGCCCGGGCGGGCGTGAGATCCAGACCCAGACCATGCCAGACCAAATCAATAGATGGAAAGGATGTGTCCGCCCGGGCGCTGAATGAAATGAAATGATGGATCGATGGAGGGATATTCCCGGTTGGGGAAGAGGGGAAAGAAAAAGCCTCCTCGGGGAATGTTGAATGCACAACATTACCGTCGCACCAGGCAAAGATTCTGGGCGATAAATTACCATACGTGATTGTTACCGATTGGGCTTCCAGGAGCAGGGATGTTCATCCGCGTCGCTCGGAGTCGGACTCAGAGGTAACTAACTAGTAACTAGTTATGGTGGTTAGTTAGCTAGTTAGTTGGCCAACCCAATTGAGTAAGAGTCACAGTCAGAGTAACTACTCTGTACTCCATAGCTAGACTGGAGTTAACCGCGCGATCATGTGGCTTTCTGAATTAATTTCCCGGAAGCTTCCGACCACGCTTGCTAGCTGCGAGGGAGCTGCAGTCATGGTGGATTCGCACTAATTTTTCCTTCCGTGCTGGTAGTCATCGAAAGATTCAATGTTATCATTGTTGCCGTCCATTAGCGGGGGGGGTAGGGATGTCCTGATCACTTGGCAATGCTGTCGGAGACAAGGGTTCGAAGGAAAGAAGCCTCGCAAGACTTCGTGGCAGATGAGACGACGGCGAATCATTTTACGAAGTAGTAAGGCAGATTCGAGGGCACAGCCAACGCCTCAGCCACACGAGGATGCCGCTCGGGGGTTTGTGTGTCTCCGATGTTGGTTGTCCAGCATGCCAGTGTAGCGCGACTTTGACCAGGCCTGATACGCTGGCCTGAGAGTTTTGGACGGGGATGACAGCAAACGACCTTCGAACTAATCGCCGGGATCAAGTCCGATGCGACATGGCCTTGTTAACTTGTTTAGTCAACTGTGCCTTGGCCAGCAATTGGTGCTCATCACAAGATCGGCCTATGACTCGATCAACGCTACCCCGTAGTACCAAAGTAGTGTATCCATAATCATCAATGTTTAATTTCGTCCTTAACGAAGTGCCCTATGAGAGGTTAAGTACTCCCATGATCTTCGAGCGGTGACACAGTGGATTTTTTTCGGCCCCCAAAAATAGGCACTAAGTGGACTCAAGCAGCTGCGTCCACAAGATGCACATTGCTTCGTGAACTTTCATATTAACGACCCGAGTCCAGCAGATGATGGACAGGAAAGGGGTAGATAGTAGGAAGTGGGTCAATGCTCTTCCAGTAATACGTTACCCCATCCAAGCGACGATAACGAATCCCAGCTCGGAGGATGACCAAGGTGCTAACGAGAGACACCACCAGACGATACTAACGGTATGAGCTGTCAGACCCTAAGCGGATATCCTGGGCGGGTGGCACCCCAGGGGCTATCCGCAGGTGTCTCCTCCGATCAAGAGTTAGTGACTTCTTGTCATTCTTCCTGTGTTCTCTGTGCACCATTCCAGAAGCGTGTCGGGGAACAGCGTGGCGCGGGCTTAGTGCCGTGCGTGCATGGGCAACAGGGCCAAACCGCACCCTGGAAAAGGTCAACAACTGGGCAAGAGGCAACCAACTATGGACAGATCAGGATTCCGCTAATCGTCGACCATTACCCGTTTGAGAGTTCCCGCAGCATAATACCGAATGGGAGCGAGGGTTGATGCAGCGAATGACTCGAAATGTTGGTTCACAATCAGACGAGCTCGACGATAACGCTCGCTAAATTGACCCGCGGCAGCCCCGTATAGTTTGGCCCCCGAAACCCTGTGGTGCTTAGTGGTTCCTCCGTTGCCCGACTAATGCAGCATTAGCTCAACACTGCCTATCATTGAGGCTGAACTGCCTTCTCTGGGTGTGTTGGGCAAAGAGACGAGAGGCCAGCAAGGCCAATCACACGTTGGAATGTGGATGCGCGAAATTTGGGCTGTAAGCTACGAGGGTGTGGAAATAGTCTGACGCCAGAGACTGGCAAAGACACACTTCCAAGCGCGAATGGATTGTTGTCGCTCACCGTCTTTGCGGCTCTCTCGGGGGAGGCGGACGGTCGGAGACGCCTGGAGACAGGCCCAACCTTTTGCCCAGATCGATCATTTCCTCTGGTGGATGCCGCCGTTCTGTCAATCCCCAAACACGAGGGCCACCATCCTTGCAGCCCACAGGCGCCGTCTTACGACGATGCCAGCCAAACCTTCCACGGCGGAATCGATACCCACCTAGAAGTAAGGAAAATTAAATTGCATTAACGATCGTAAAATAAAATTGGGAGAAAATGGAAAGAAAGAAAAAAGAAAATAAAAAAAAAGGGGGACTTCTCCCGAAATCGCAGATTATGACTGGCTGATTCGAGTAGGTTGACATCCAGACGCCCGGCCTAGAAGATTATCGGCCGACGCTGCAGGGGCGCACTACTCCGGCTTCCCAAGGTGCACTCCAACCTGATGCTCTCGACAAATAATGGCTCAGTCTGTTCAGTCGATGCGGCTCAACAATGGCCTTGACTCCACGCTCCTCTCGGTTCGCAGTGACCCATCGTGTGTACCGCCCTCGTAGGCCAGTACATAACCATGGCACCCCCAGCTGAAGAGGTACTGCCTCTGGTTTCCGTTGCTATAAAGCAGCGACCTTTCAGCTGGCATAGCTTTGGATCCCTGGAAAGCAAGCACAACGTCGCAGCTTATACATGATGGCCCACTTTCAACCCTTCCCAGACCTCCCGCATACATCCTCCGAGGACAATCTGCCCCAGGATTATGAACTATTTCCCTGTCAGTACGAGCCTTATGCGGACCCCACGGCTATTCAACGCCCTTCAAGCTTCCAACTTCATCTCTCTCCTCCTATCGACCTACCTATGAAGAACCCTTACATCGCCCCGTCCATGTCGTGGTCAAACGAGCCAGTCTTACCTCAAAACACCGACGCATTGACTGCTACTTCTTCTGAGTTCGGCTCACCTTGGAGCAATGAACTCGTCTCCAGTCCAGAAGCGAAAGACAGTCTCGCCACCGGTAGCTCGAGTTGGTTCAGCATGGGATGCTATATGTCTCCTCCATACACCTGCGACGAAGTCGCACTTCCGCCATTGGGATTCGGGACTTGTTCTTCCCCATCTGCTCTAACAGACGTTGACAGTCTGGTGGCGCCTTCCCAAGTATATCCCGACCCCGACCCTATTGTGAAACTTGAGTCAGATTCGGAGCATGTTATGGGCGGAACGTTTTGCTACAACAGCCCTCCCCAGCACGATGAATTCGATACCGGCTGTGACATTCAAAGTTGCCAATACGCAGAGACAGCAGGTCAGCAAGAAGCCTGTAGCTCTTCCAGTGATCAGCTCAAGACACCGAGGCTGTCTAGCACGAACACAGGCCGCATCAGCAAGAAGCGGCCTCGCAAAACATCCACCAAAGCAAAATCTACCTCTGCAGCTCGGGCCCTTACCAAGACCGGCAGTAAGAAGGAAAGTGCGAAGTGCAGCCGGGTATTCATTTGCAGCTTTTCCCACTATGGATGCCAGAGTACCTTCGTTTCGAAGAACGAGTGGAAGCGCCATGTGACCTCGCAGCACATCCAACCTGGGTTCTACCGTTGTGACGTCGGACGCTGCAGTCTGGATAATCTCAAAGGCAAGGATCAGGACACGAACAACAGTTGTGCCTCATTCAACGAGACACATCTTGTAAATGACTTCAACCGAAAGGATCTCTTCACCCAACACCAGCGTCGCATGCATGCTCCTTGGGTCGGACGCAACAGCAAGAAGCCCGAAACTGAGAAAGAGCGCGATGATTTCGAGCAGAGCCTTGAAGCGGTTCGGGCTCGTTGCTGGCATGAACAGCGCAAGCCACCTACCCAGAGCGCCTGTGGTTTCTGTGGACAGCGGTTCATTGGAGTCCGGAGTTGGAACGATCGAATGGAGCATGTTGGTCGTCACTACGAGAAAGGTGACGCGAACCATGAAGCCGAGGATACTTTCTTGCGCCAATGGGCAGTGGAAGAAGACATCATCCGGCAGGTGGAAGGGGAGTGGAAGTTGGTCGGTCTTTGCGAGAAGTGAAGTGAAGGCTACAATTCCTTCCCAAACGATCCAACTACTGCCCCTCCCCGCCTTCCTTTTCCTCTTCTCTAACCTTTCATTTTTCTGGGTTTGACCTGCTTCTTTATTTTCTCTTTATTTCCTATGTTGATTCATCTACTTCCTTTTAATATTCCCGGTCTGGCTATGGATTCTGCACGTCTACGTGTGCGGGGCTGACTGAGATGATGATTAATGACTGATATCCTGTATTCACTATGTTTTATGTCATGTTTATTGGACCCCTTTGAGGTTTCCCTGGTTTTGCACAATACCCCATACACAGTGAGAGAAAGGAGCAAGGGATTGCTGAGCTACATGGTTTTGGTTTTCGGCATTATTCGAGCACGTGGAGTTCATGACGAATAGAGAATGCGATGATACCTCATTCTTACCACTATACTGCATATTCTACCATTCCGTAAGATAATACCCGATAGATACTACTCCTAAGATAGACAGGTAAGTAAGTATGAATTCATCCTCAGCCGCAGCGACTGTGAGATCGACCAACCAGTTCAGCTCGCCTCACATTTCCAGAGACCCCCTCACCAATCATTCCCAGACACTAAAGTAGCATCGTCCGGTGCATGTCAGCATAGCCCCCCATTCCAGATACTGCAAATCCACCAGAATATGGAGCCCGAAACGAAGTGAAACGTTCCACGTGGCACGGGTACCCCCGGCGCTCCAAAACGAAAGTTTCCCATCCGATCAGTAGTATACTGGGACTGACCTACGTAGCTGGCCCCTTTCTTCCTTCCTCCTTCCTTCGTTTCCTCCTTCTAGTCCAGTCCAATTCTCTCCACTACCAGATCGTCGGGTACACAAAATCATGCCACGGGCCTACTACCTGAAACGATAGTTCGTCTTACATGCTGACACCCCCGTAGGCTTTGGTCGTTGATCGGGGAGGACCATGGTGCATTCCTAATATGCTCGGTAGGCATGTATACCGGTTCTAGATATGCGCCCGATAGGGTAATGCAACGCGTTAGTTCTGGAGGTACTCGGACACATTAAGAAAATCACCGAGATTGATCGGCAGACACATGTCCAGTTACGAACACATACGTATCTGAGTGTACCTCCCTCTGTGCGTCTATGTAATCGGCCGCCCAGAACCTACCCGCCTGCCGGCCGAGCTAGACTAGTGTATCAGAATTCAGCTGGGACTGGCTGGGGTGGGTGAGATTTTAGTTCGCATACAGATCGGCGGGTCAGCTGCATGCACCTTCATCTGGACTGGATGGGAGCATCCATTGACTGTGTTCAGTTGTAATATGTAGGTTGGAATTAACGGGGACCATTCTAGCGTTAGACTAGTGTATGTAATCAGGTTGTACTGCATCTTGAGTCGCGCGTGGGTTTTGCTTGCTTTCCTTTCGTTTTTCTTGTTTTGATGACAGCTGAACAGGGTTCTGGAATTCGGGTGCCATGTGGTTGGATTGTATCCGGGTTGGCTCGCAGTACGTAAACAGTTGTCCAGACTGACGCGCGCGCTTCATCCTTCTTCTGTAAGGGGTACCCTCTTCTTTCTTTGTTCGGTTTCTATTTCTGGTCCTCGCTGGGTGTATACTCCGTGGTCTTAATCTGCTTAGACGCCTGGGAGTTCTCTGGACCGGGTATCGAGTAGTGCAATGATAGTCGCTGGCCATCAACGGGGATCCTTGGCCTTGTCATGTCACAGATTAATAGGCTCGTGTCGACAACAGCGCTGATCTTTCTGATTGCTATTCTGGGGCGCAGCAGTGGCCAATATTTTTCTGACGGCCACCGAATATGCAGTTGGAACCAACAGGGCTTAGAAATCTTCTTCCAGGGTAGCAGATAGTTGTACCGAAAAGAGATAGGATCGAATTGTTGCCTAGACACCAGTAGTTACAGAAGCTTCATTGTTGCGGTATTGTAGTTAGCACATCGATGCCGGTCAGACCCTGGTTATTCTGCTTTTCGACAATAGGCTGAGACAAGAGTGTCACTAGTAAACTGCAAGAGCGTATTCGTGCCACGTAGAACAATACTTCCACGGAGATTTCATCTGTGACAGTCCAAATCCGTGCCGTTGCTGCTATATGCATGAGGTGAATAGAAAGGTACTATTTCCCTTGTGTTCGTTGGCTGTTGTCAAGAACCAGCCATCAATTGCTCCGGCGGTAGGCTATGACGCGTGCGGGGATTTCAAGGTCAACGCGGGGTTCCAGTTTCGCAGGACTTCCCGACTATCTAATTGCGCATTACTACTCGAGCACCACTTGGCCAACATTCTGCAGTAATGCATATCATACTGTCCGTGAAGATTATCTCTTCCGACACTAAATATATCCTGAAGACCTTCCAATCTGCCTAATTCGATTTCTACTCTAACATGGCTTCGCAAAACCCCACTCCATACCCATTCCAATTCGACACCTTTAACCACATTGAAACGCACAATGATACCACCACATTGACACTCAAGAATGTCCGCGGTAGTATCCCGTCTACACAGGCCTCTCGTCTACGTACAATGTGGCTAGAAGCTCACCGAGACCCTGCCAAGATAATAGCCCACCCATGCGGCTACGACGGCCTTTCTGCGCGACTGATAGAGGAAGCTGGCTTCCCTATGATTTTCATTTCCGGATTCGCGGTGGCAGCCTCTCATGGTCTTCCGGATACCGGGTATATTGCCATGGGAGAAATGTCCGCCCGCATCCAGGAAATTGTTCGTGTGACGAGTATTCCTATCATGGTGGATGGAGATACCGGGTACGGGAGTCCTATGAACGTGCGACGCACCGTGGAGTGTTTTGCTGCGGCGGGTGCAGCGGGTGTGATGATTGAGGATCAGACATGGCCGAAGAGTATGTATTGGCTCTTTGAGGATCCGTGTCCACAATAAACTGGGTCAAGTCTAACGAAATCCGTGCACAGGATGCGGCCATACAAAGGGTAAATCGGTTGTCTCTCGCGGCGAAGCCTATGCTAGGATACAGGCTGCTGTGGATGCGCGTAATCAGGGACGGGATATATTCATCTTGGCAAGGACGGATTCATTGATCCACGGGTGGGACGAGGCAATGACTCGGGCGAAAGAGTTCAAACGCATAGGAGCAGATGGCGTGTTTGTTGAGGCATTACCTGATAGGGAAGCTATGAGGAAGTGCGCCGAGGAACTGGATATCCCTTTGCTTGCTAATATAATTGAGGGTGGAAAGTCGGAGAATTTGTCTGCTAAGGAGCTGGCGGAGCTGGGGTTTGCAGCTGTCGCATACCCCTGGACGCTGGTAGCTGCAAGGCTGAAGAGCGTTCGTGACGCCCTCGATGGACTAAAGCGCAGTCTAATGAGTGGAGCGCCGCCCATGATACTTGGATATTCTGATGTTTGCGAAGGTGTTGGGTTCAATAAGTATTGGGTGAGTTTATTTTCTTCATTTTGTCTGTCCGTATGCTGATCGTGTCACCCAGGACTTGGAATCAAGATATGAGTATAATGAGGATGGACTCACAAACCCTCCGGAAGCCTCTTGATCATGGCACAACCTGCTTCACGTTGAATATGACTGATTTAGTTCCCCAAAGTCAGCTCCGCGGACATGAAACTATGAGCATCGTGAAATCGATGATGCGGACTCTTACCCGCGCTCCCAGCGCGAATACTACAAAGACAGGCAAAACAATAAACTAGGGAATAGCATTCAGATATGATATCATCCGAACAGCACATACACATACACTGAATGACCCATATCCATGTCAAGCCAAATGTTTGTAGCGGTTAAATCCTTAACTGCTGGCGGGGCTGATGGCCCACCTCGGCTTTAAGCCACTCGGCGTCTCAATCCATAAATGGCATTTAAGACCGAATACCCTGCTTTAAATACCACATAAAGATTCGGCTTTGTCTCAACAAATTCTCGGCCTGAGGCGTCCAAGCCGATCAGCCAGCCCTATGGCTATATCTATTGACCGATGGTATCCACAAATGTTCTGAACTCCTCCGAGGCGATGATATAGTCGGAGATAAAGTTGGAGAAGTAGTGGCGCAGCAATGTAGAGATGGTAAAGTGGACTCAATCCTACTAATAGTAGTGGTTCTCTACATTGAACGTAGCAGCATTATGGTATAAATACCTACTGCCGGTACCTGTCCACCAGATTGCTCAAGACCAACAGACATAATTGTATCACTTGAACATCTACTACCCCAAACAGCTACATCTATCTTTATACTACGACCAGAAATACGCCTCACACATTCCTACAATCATCTACTACTACAACATCCCACTTCCTTAAACACAGCAATGGCCTCACAAGACACCGTAAGTCCCCAACAACAAGCAAAACCAGCCTCAACCCTTCGAACAACCCACCAAAGCCAATACTCATCTACATCAGGTTCTCCAAACCAACGCCCAATCAGCGCGGGAATACATCCTCTCTCAACCCAGCGATGCCCTATCCAACAACCCCTGGGCCGTCTACCAGGCCCTGGACCTCTACAGCCGCACAGCGCGTCTCATGAACTTCAAACAAGCCAAGCTCAACGTCGCCAAAGAAGCCCTCACAGCCATGGAAACCCCACCAAAGGTGGTCATCGAATTCGGCACCTACATCGGGTGCTCCGCCATCGCATGGGCCGCCATTCTCCGCGACCTGCACGGTCCCTTCGCCGAGGGTCTGCACATCTACACATTCGAGGTCAGCGAGACGGTGGCCGACGTAGCGAGGGACTTGATCCGCGTGGCGGGCGTTGAGGACATCGTGCATGTGATGGTGGGGCCTGCGTCGGAGTCATTGGCGAAGTTGGTTGAGGAAGGGAAGATCGTGAAGGGAGGAGTCGATATGGCTTTCTTTGACCATTGGGAGAAGTTTTATCTGAGTGATCTGAAGCTCTGTGAGGATCTGGGCCTCTTTAGGGTCGGGTCGAGTGTTATTGCTGATAATACTGATATTCCGGGGGCACCGGATTATTTGGAGTATTTGAGGGCTGGGGGCCGTGGGGGTGAGGGGTCCGTGAAGTATGTGACGAAGTCGGTGCAGTCGGAGCATATTGTTGAGAGGAGACCGGTAAGTTTGATCAATGTCTTGTGTTGTTACTTTGCTTGGGTTGTGGATGTTGGCTGATCTTGACGGATTGGATTGTGCAGAATATAGTGGAGGTGTCTACTGTTGTGGCGGCTCCTTGAGGGGTCTTAGTCTGACTCTGGAGAGAGGATGAAATATTGGATATGATGTTAACGGACTCTAAGATTTAGTGTATGACAGTTTTTGTATGCTGCGTTGTTTTTGAAGCTTGATATCATTCCTTGAAATAGCAGGTTGATCTTTGAACTTGAATTTTTTGATATTTTTGGTATATATTGTGGATTATGGAAGTAGAAGTAAAGCCAGCCTCTACCGGCACAAAAGTCAAAAAACCAAAAACATGGGCATCGAAATCCAGAACGTCTTTTCAACCTGTTTAGCTGCGAAACCATTATTGCCATCTAAAAGTAGAGATCAATCTATGGATATTAAACCCACCATTGGCTGTCACCCCGTACTCCAGGGCGGTGAAGACACAAACACCCCGAACAGCTGGGTGCAGTATAGACACCCAACCAACAGCGGCGCACTCCGCAATGTCTCCGGCAAAGACGCCCATGCTATGATGACACCAACAACAATTACGATGTGAATGCGCAAACACGCGAACAATCTCCCTTTATAGTCACCATATCTATCAACGACAAGCGAATTAAAGTGATGCTGGACTCCCCAACAACCTGAATCCCAGCTCAAAAAGGACAACAATACTGTCCGACTCCGACCTTTAATCACCATCACCAACCCCCTCCTCCGCAATGTACGTCGCAACCGAACTTCCTTTAGCAAAATGCACACCTAACAATCCCCATATAGGGCCGTATTCTCCCTCATAATAATCAACAAAGCCGGTGGGCTAGTCTACCAGCGCGAATTCCAGCCAGGACTGCGCAAACTCTCGACAAACGACTACCTCGTCCTGGCGGGCACGTTTCACGGGTACGCACTCTGCTCCCTACACCTCCCCTAATACATCAATTCCTAGGACTCACATACTAACCACCTTATTCATTGCTCAGTGTCCACGCTATCACCCGCTCCATCACCCCCAAGCTCCCCCTCGCCCCTGCCGCAGCGCTTGCAACAACACCCACCACCGCGACCACACCCTCCCCCAGTAATGTCGTTTCTCCCTCCGCCACATCATCAACCCCTACCTCTTCTACGGCCTCATACTCATACCCGAACCCGGGTGTACCGGCGACCGGTCTCGAGTGCCTAGAAACGGACAAGTTCCGATTAACGTGCTTTCAGACGTTAACGGGCACCAAGTTCCTACTGTTTACGGATCCGCTGATGGCGAATATCGATGTCGTTATGAAGAAGATATATGAGCTGTATGCGGACTTTGTTATGAAGAATCCGTTTTATCAGTTAGAGATGCCGGTTCGGTGTGAGGCGTTTGATCGGAATTTGCAGGGTTGGTTGAGGGGGAGGACTTGATTGATGGGTTGGTTTGTTTCGGGTGGGTTAAACGTGCTGGTGGGGTTGTGATAGATATCTTCTTTGTTTTTATAACTTTTCTTTTCGTTTCTTTTGCTTCTCCTTTTCTGCGGTTGCATGCATGGACTTGTTTATATCTGGGCGTCATAGTTTGTATCATGAAACAACAAGTTTACGATGGCGATAGATCTGCATATTAGATCGCATCTGTTTCAAAAGCGTGTTGCTGGGGAACCAGCCGCTTTCTACAATTACAGCAAGAAAACGCAAGTACATTTAAAAACGCCGGGTATGCATCAAATCATCCAGGAGGTTGTTCTGGTCTCCACATTAAGCAGTGTCCATCTTGTCACCATCCTCTTTCTTGTCTTTGCTCCCACTGGAGCCCTCCTCGGGAATGTTGTCCAGGTTTGCTTTGCGCTCTTGCTCCTCCCGGTCCCGCTTTTCCTTTTCTTGCCGGTTCTTCTCCTCTTCCAAAGATAGACGGAGGGCGAATGCCAGTTCGGGGTCGTTCTCAGCCGCATCCTCGAACCCAAAGGCACCATCGCCGCCTTCAGGACCTGCACCATCGGCACCGGAGCTGTCCCCGCCCAGAATGGGAGTAACCTGAAGCTCCTCACTCAGCAAGTTGGGGCCCGGGGGAATGATGGCGAGGTTAGAGCCGTCACCACCCTTGACGTTCTCGACGAAGGCCTCTAGTTTCTTGGTCTGATCGGATTCCAGATCTCCAAAGGCAATTACATCGATGGACACGTTGTTCTTCTTCATCTTCTTGGCCAGCTTCACTAATGTCTTCTCGTCTTCTTCGATGGGAGAGCAGGAGAACACGATGATGCGCTGTCTCTGGGACTTCTCGGAGCGGTGTTTGAGGGCAAGCTGCGCCAATCATCAGGTTAGCAATGCAATCAATCCCGTACAGTATCTATCTGAAGAGATGATGGAGTTGTTTGAACATACACCGGCCACTTGTATGCTGGAGCTAAGGTGGGCAGTGCCATGGATCTTCGTGCGATGCAGACCGGCCAGGATACCACCAAAGTCGGAAGTAAATGTCGAAAGAACCTCGGGACCTTTTCCACCCATGCTCATAAGACCGACAGCAGACTGAGGGTGCACGCGCATCTTAGTGGTGTGAATGACGCTCACGGCGTCGATCTGAGCTTGCCATCGTGTCGAGCTGGCAGCTGTTAGAGGCGGAACCAGACGGTCGATTCTGGGCGATTTGTGACAGTTAACTTACGTATAATCTCCATTTCTGCTGCTTTCGCTATTGTCGACACTGTAGATGGCGTTAGTAGGTGCGCACAGAGCTTGGGATGAAGGTGGCTAAACGGACATGATCATGGTAGCTTCGAGCGACATCTTGGAAGGAGACTGGCGGGGTTGATGATAGAAACGTATAGGTATAATCAATCAGATTTGGAAAGGAGAAAAAGTTCCTGAGAGTTATATGTTCAGAGCGTGGGGGCAAGGCAAGAGATGGGGGAGAATGGATGATGGAGGTTGGCGGAGGATGGATGATGATGGAGCTGCTGCTGAGGAGGACGCAGATGTCACACCGTCCCGATCGGAGCTAACCACGAGTTAAGTCAGCGCTTGTTTATCCTCTCCGCCATCCGCTTTCCTCCAGAAACTCGCTTCAACGCGCTCCCCTCCGTCTTTCGACTTCCATCCCTTCCGTCCCCAATTCGTCCACACAACACATTCTACGCAATACAGCTCACCTATCACTTCCTCTATCGCTCTTATCCACCACCCATACGGCTACTCACGATTGCGCCCAATGACTTCACTCTCTGCTAAACGCAAGTCTCCCGAAGACGCGTCCCACAATGACGAAGCAAGGACACCTACGAACAGCCCTCCTCGGAAGAAGCTTCGTATTACCCGCAGACAAAAGCAAGCCCTGATTGACAACCTGCAGCTCGAACGTGCGCTCTCTTGATACCTCGCTTACCTGGCAATCCACTAACCAGGCCATAGTTACCGAGCGCGCCCGCAAACTTCGCGCACAGTATGCCCTCCAGGCGAACGATCTTCGGGCACGGATTGAAAGACGTGTCAATCGGATTCCTGTTGCCCTTCGCAAGGCGACAATGGGCGAGCTGTTGGAGAAACACATGGCCTCTCTTCGGGCCCAACAGGCGAATCCCTCTCCACGGAAACTTCTCAGCCCGGCCAAAGCGTCAAGGAGTTTCAGAACCGTTTCTGTGAGCCCCAATGTGCGCAAGGCCTCTGCTGCGAGCCCTAGCGCCCGCAGAGTCAAGAAGCAAAGGTACGGCATGAGTGCCTTCAACTTATACGTGCATATATCGTTGAACAGCGCTGACTCGAGCATCCAGCCACGGAGAAATCTATTCCGACAAGGAAAACGCCCCTGCAGCTGGCGAACAGCTCGATGTCCTCAAGAACCCAAAGAGACGTGGACCTGGTGCCGCTGCTGGTACTTCGCGTGTTGTGTCCCAAGAGATGAGGGGTGCAGACTACAGAATCCTATCTCCCAAGACGTCCAATTCCAGAACATATCCGCACTCGCCGTTACGCGCCTCACCCGAGAAGCCAACGAACTCTTCCTACCTTGCAAGACCCATGTCGCCTCTGAAACCCACCAGCCCACTCAAATCCACATCAGCTAGCATTCCTGCACTGGCAGACAACGCTCGCATTAGGCCAGTCAAAAATACTTCCACCTCGATTAAGGACAACCGCCCCCCATCACAGGCTAAGAGACCCGCCAGCCGAGCCGCCACAGCCACTAGCAAGACTACGCGCTCACCACTTCCAAGGCCCGCGACTCGCCAGCTCGAACGCAGAGGCAGTGTGTCATCGTCCGCATCCTCCGGAACAACCGTTGCCAAGCCAACAAGGACAGGTGCCGGTGCCCGGAAGGCAACGACAGCATCGACTTCAAGCGCGACCGCGAAGAAGACAACAGTCGCCCGGAGCCAAGCAACTTCGGCCACCGCGAAGAGAAACACAACTTCGGCCACCAGCAAGAGGGCTCCCACTCCTGCCGGTGGTGAAGCTCCAACTGCGGCTCGTAGAGTCCTTCGGAAACGCGCATAAGCGCTGTACTCTCAACTCAAATTAACCCTTTTGAATTAGCATGTTTCGTTTCAATCATTGGCTTATCTGCAGGGATATGGAGTAAAAAGGGGTGTATTATCTCTGGGCGGGATTATAATATGGAAGGATAACCGGTGTACAAATGGAGTTCTGTCCTGTCCTTTTTCCAATCAGGTCCTTTTGTGACCATATTGGCTTTCTGATTTTGCTTCTCTTGATACTGCCGCTTATTGATTATTTCCGAATACAAGTGGCTTTCTTTCAAGTCTTCGACACTTTACATCTCTCTACTGGCTTGACTCGTATCGCAGGCACATGCATAGGCAGGGCAGAGCGCTTTCTCGGGCTATCGTAACAGTACTACTCTTCTTCATCACCAAAACATGAGAGATAGACTTAGGAGTAATTGCGGGTAACGTCTTCAATTAGATAGATGCCATTAATGGGTACTACGCGTATGCGATGATGATCATGGTTGAAGGTTAGCTAGCACGAATGGAAGACCAACAATAGTAACTACTGGGCAAGCATGCTCTACTCTTGTCACTTTTCGGGATAGAGGTTTTCTTTCTGGTTCTTGAAGCATGGACGCTGACAAGGAGCAAGCGAGCAGCACACAACTTTGCGCACTTCAACAGAGTTGGCACTATGGCATTCCTTTCACAATTGTATGTAAATTACACCTCCTGTTCTCGAGGAAACAGCATCACATGGAGACATGGATGTGATAGAACCAGTCACGAACAATTCGGGATATCAGAAAAAGAAAAGAAAAAGAATCAAGTCGTATGGGTAGAATGTAAATAGGGGGTTAGGAGAAAGGAAGCAAGAAGAGTATAAGGGAAAAAATGAAACGAACTGAACATATGACTCAGCACAGGTATCTTTGCAGTCATCAGACTGGCTGACAAATGAAATCAAGGGCAAACAGAGGATCTCGATAGTCTCACATCTCGATCGGTAGTAGGTTAAGGGGGCGCAACGCCAGGAAGACGCAAGTGATGTAAGGAACAACAAAGGGCAAAAGAAAGAAAGATGCCAGGAGAAAATGCCCACGCTGGGTCTCAACTGTTAATGCAGGTGGAATACCAGGAAAATAGGAATCGAAAACAACATCCAGATCCCAGAAATTGCCAATCCGAACGGGCAGAGGCTCCTGTGGCCATTTGCGCGCGGTTGGAATCCAATTTATAGGGGGCAGTGAGTGAAGCATGTCGAGACTCACAACCAAATGAAACGCACCCCACGCAGTCAGTGCGCAACAGAAAGCAATTAGAAAAGCCTCGATCCATCAGGAGAAGCTGTCAGCCGATCATCTAACTAAACCCTGGAAATCATCTCATTTCAAAAGGCGAACAAACTCCATCCAACCTTGTTAAATCGAAAGAACGCTGAACGGTCCAAGAATACGCCAAGAGCGATCACTAGGATATAGAGGCGGGTAATGCATTGGTAAATGTCTTCGAAACTATGCAGAGAAGGAACGGACGGGTTGGCGTCGTCAAGAGCACAACTGGCAAAAAACTTAGCCAGCAACCCCCATGGGCCCAGCTCCTGGACGAGCCCTGTATGGCATTGGCTGAGACTGTCCTTCGGCTTGCATAGGGTTCTGCTGACTACCATTACTGGTGCTTCTTTCGCGATAGTCATTGGAAGCTGTAGGGGCCAGTTCTGTACCAGCTTGTGGAGTACCACTGGTCGAATGCTGATGCCCACCAGGGCTTTGAACATGGCGAACTGAGCTTTGCATCTGCCATGCCGTGTCTTGGGAGGGATCTGTCTCGATACGGGCAGAAGTAGGGATATTGGCAGCGCGGTTCGAGTTCGTAATTGTAACGGTTTCGCCACCATTGCTCGCCTTGGGGGAGAAGCTTCCGCGCGCGATATCGCCGTAGCGTCTAAGTATTTCCTTAGTTGTGACTTCGGTGTTTTCCTTGAAGAATGTTGTGTCGCTAAGGACCGACTGCAGATCCTCGGGTATCTAACCAAAAGCATGAGTTTATGAAAACACCAGTCAATATCGGAGAGAAACATACCTCGCACATTGTATCATTGTATGTAATCAGGCAATTAACGGCTTCGATTGCCAGGAAACTCTCATCCACCGTGCTATTTTTCGCATTGGGGTAGAGAATATTGGGTGTCATTACTGTCGCGAGGTTGTGTATGTCCATCTTACTACCGGACTCCTCATCAACGTGCGAGAAAGATGACGTCCAGTTAAGGAAAGCAAAAAGTACTTCCATAGTATCCCGATGAGCCTTGGGAAGAAGGCAGCATGTAAGATGCAATACACGTTTTTGCTTCTCAGGGTCGGGTAATTCTGTGGTATAATGGTAAGTAAACAATGTTATAATGTCAACCAGGGCCGTCAGTCACTTACTTTGTGAAACAACAAACAGACGATGGAGCTTGAATGTAAGGAGAGGATCGGGCATCTCGCGGAGAAACTTCTTCAACAGCGCGGCAATCTGGACAGGATTCTCCTTCGTCATGTCCACCTGTTCATATTTGTTGTCGATCATTTCAGAGATGTCTTTCAAGCGCCTGATATTGCCGTTCTTTCGGAAAACACCCTCCACGGACATATCCATTTGGCGCATGGCGGATACAGCGTCATCAACCAAGGCTGGAATACGAAGTTGTCCTGGACCCACACCATGACTAGATTCAGTGCCCTCTCTTTCAACAAGGAAATCCAGGTTTACCCCGAACACGCCTTTCTTCTTTCCAACCTTCTTGCCTTCTTTGTTGAAGGCGCGGCCAAAGATATTCCATATGGTAGGCTTTCGTGATTCGATCAAGGAGAGTAATTCCTCTAGCGTGAAATATTCACTCAACAAAGGCTCCATGGACAAGACAGCAACGTGCCGCACAATAAAGTATTCCAAAGCAGAAAGCTCAGAGAAATACTTCTTTGTCCTGCCACCTTGTTCGATAATGTGCTGGTCAAGACCTGCTCCGGATACGCCACGCTGATGGCCATGATTGTATTTGGGAAGTGGTTCAGTGGTTCCAACCAACTTGGTCCCGGCGTGCTTGTAGGCGTTGGGACGCTGCTCTTTAGCTTGCTCGGCAGCAACAATTCTGGGTATGTCATCCAATGTCAATGCATCCTGGTTGCCAAATGTCAGCTCGGTGACCGTTTCCCCGTTGGCATCTCTTTCCTCTACAATCTGGAAGCCATGACCCCGTGGGTCTGATCCTTCGCCGCCCGATGAACCAGGTCGTACGCTACGGCCTTCGGGGCCGTCGATAATGCGAGACGCCCGGGCCTTCTTGTAAGTAGTTGAGAGGGTACGCTCATTTCGGATGGATCGTAGACGCCGCATTTCGCCGACAGTTTGTTCAAGTGAAGACCCCTCTTGAGGGCTCCTAGTAGCGTTTGCGTACGATTTGGATCTTGTGGCAGATCGGCGCATTTCGCCGCCAGGAGGGATGCGACCACTTTCGTTGCCATCTTGTGGGGGGGAAGCGTCGCCTAGAACATGAGTCAGAAGAGGTTAGAGATGATGCTATAATGAGGAAGAGAAAATATGAAAATCATGATGACATACCAGAACCGAGACTTCCGCCCGCTCTGAGAACGGCAAGAAGTCGCGCAAGAGCAACCTTGAGGAGAAAGACAAATTGCTGGAGTTTCGTGATATGTGTAAAACCCCCTTGTACGTCGTGCATAAGTCCTTTCTGAGAACCGCAATCGCTACAGAAGGACTGCTTCTCCTTGGGATTCCACAGGGCATCCTGGAGAGTATGGGACAACTCCTTCTGGCATGACGCACAGGTGAGATGAGGTGGCTTTATATGCCACCTGCTATCACCCAGCATAACACATTCGTCATCGATAGGCTCTTTGCAGGCCGCACAACAATCGGAAAGTTGATCAGCCAGTGTGTCGACACCGGTCATTAGATCAGCAAGCGTCTCTTCTTCTTCGGGTGGCCTGAGTGTCTCCAAGTCTCCCAAATGGTCTAGGAAATGATGAAGGCCTTGAGAAGCTTGCTGCTCTCTCTCAAGCTTGAGGGCTCCTTGCAAGCCAATGCGGATTAGCAACTTCAGGTAATGCGCAAGGCCGGTGACCAAAGACAGGAGCTCCTGGGTGACGCCGAGTTTACGGACACCAGTTTCCTGGGTTTTCGAGAGTAGTGCGAAGAACGCAACAATTTTCTTGCACAGAAGCTTTGCTTCACGTCCATATGCCAGGTCTGGAGAGTCAACATTGTTAGTTTTTATTAATCCTAGTAGAAGTGAAAGATCAGTTGTTGCAACCTACCTTTCATGCCCTGTTCCTTGATATGTCCCGCAAGCTGATCGATAGCCGAGAAGAGAATATCAACATGGCCAATGAACCTCTTGGCGACAAGGACACCATCCAGATATGTGCCATTGCTAACATGAAGGAGCATATCTGAAATGCAGGCTGCGGATGATTCCTCGAAGCTGGATAGGATGCTCCATATTTTATACACCTTTTCTTCCATTATGTCCTCCTCTTCACGCACCCTATTGCGCTCCTCATCCGTTGCGTCCGTCTCGACTTCCGGGGGTTCAAGAGGCTGGCCGGTCGGGGCCAAACGGACATTCCAAAACTTGTGAATCATGTAGCACTCAGGGTGCCAATGCTGATTCTGTCCGTTGCGGAAGATCTCCACGAACTGTTTCAGGATTGCTGTATGGCAACCATGGCATCGTTGTGCAAACTGTGTGGAATAGTGAAAGTGACAATAAACTTTCCCTTCATGCTCGTAGTATGAGTCTTGTGCACCAAAAACAGTGGGACAAACAGAACAGGTGAAGTGTTCAATATGATACTTGCGTTCCAGGGCCGTAATATATGACCCACGCAGGGCACCGCCACATTCATGGCATAGAAGATCTAATCGCCGGAAGTAGTCCGTTTCACATAAGGGGTATTGACCACTACCGTCTTCGGCATCAACAGGGAAGAATTTCGATGCCACGATTTGGCCGCAGTCCTATGTTCAACAGAGTTAGCTGTAATCTGAGTGTCTCCGTAAGCCTGTGTACACACCTCGCACTTGAAACACTCGAGATGATATGTTGCTTGCAAAGCCCGTACGAACTGGCCAGTCAGTGGTTCGCCGCACTTCTTGCAGATCCGAGACGAGCTTCCTGGAGATTTTGTCGGTGGCCGACCATTCGGACGGGATCTCTCTCGTGGCGTGGATCGGTCCCAATAGCCATTGCGATCCCGGGGAGTTGACGGATCTCTGGGGCCCGGGTGACCAGACTCCAGCCGCCGGCTCATACGATTATCAGAGCCTTGTGGCCCCTCAACAGGGCTGTTCGTGGAGCCGTTCCACCCTCCCGTCCTCGTACGAGGCGAGTCAAAGATAATATTGCTATCTGCGGGAGACGTAGGCGTTTGCGATTGATAGCTACCAGATCCATAGCCGCTAGTGTTGAGTTTCGGGCGGACAGCCCCGTTGCCCGGCACGAGGCTGTCCGGCAAAGGAACGTCGCCGGGAGGCATGTCCGTGGAGAACTATGCCTTTCCGCTAGGTATCTAAGGGAGTAGGACCTGGCTCGACGGGTTGTATGGACGATACTCGAGAGTGTAGATGATATCGGAGCCAACAAGGCGAGGTAGGGCCGAGTTGTAGAAGACGCTGGAGGGGGAAAGGAGAATCTAGTGCGGAATTGGAGAAACAAAGGGGCGAGTTGTCAATGTCGCGCGTCTAACTAAAGGACTTGCCTTCTGCTGAGTGTGCAATGTTAGCATAGGGGGCAAGCTTCCGGGATTCGTTCGCGCGGGGTTGTCCAGGAGAATTGACGGCTTTCCCGTAGCAACTCACCTCACGCCATGTAGATGAAACCTGCGGGGAATATCGATCAAAGGTGTCGGGGCGCGTGATAAAAGTATAACCATAAAACCGCTTCAAAGTAGCAGGTGATTTTGAACCCGATTTGGGGAGAGATGCCTCCAAAAGCGCAACCGCCCGCGTCGAGGGAAGCGGAATGGGGAAGGGTTGGAGCTCAAAGTGAGACCAACAGGCGGCGGAGTGCGCTGTCTGGAATCACAACCATTCCTAATCCCTTCCAGAGAGACTTTTGGTGGACGGCCTGAATCCGAGGTTGAGGGAGACGGGCCGGCAAAGTAGAGCAGGGGAAGTAGGTTCGGGTCGAGTCTAGAATGCCAGCTCGAGGGAGTGAAAGCGAGGGCAGGAAATCGCGTGTTTTGGGAAGAGTGAGTGTGCTGCTGGCAGTTGTCGCTCTGCCCCCCTATGCTTCATGTTGCTGGTTGCCCGCTAGAGACCATCACGTGAAAGGGGTCACCGCCTGGCACACCGCCAGAGAAGGCGCTTCCATGGCTCCTTCACTTGTGGGTGTATTACCAGACAGGGTAACCGTTCCAGAGTTCACAACAGCCAACATGGAGGTTAGGGGGAGACCCAAAGTACCCCAAGTTTAGTGGCCGGATGGAAGAGGTTGTTTCGTGTCAAAGTTTATCTTCTATAAGCTACATGAGGTGGTGATTATACTATCAAACGGACAAAACGCTCCACATCAACTACTTAGACTACCCTCTTGATCATGGTAATTAATGTAGGAAGACAAGGTACTCGGCAGTACACCTGAGGTGCTGGCAGAAACAGACCCTGTAATTTCCAGGGATGTGGAGACCTCAGGATCATGCCGACTGCCATAGTGGGTAGTGATGGCAGGTGAACGGCATGGACGCTGTTGTGCATGCTCTTCTCTCAAGGATGAACAGAGTCGAACCCCCCTCCCCCCCCTTCTGAGACATCCCTGGGGGGGACCCTTTTGCGCATACCTCTCCCACCACGCGCTTCTATTTGGGCGAACCTCGTCTTTCCCACGCGGCTTTTGGGTCGTTGGATCATTCCCCGCATCCTTTTCTGCTTCTTCCCCTTATTCATCACGGGCTAAAACCACTAACTACTATCTAATTAGGCAATGCTAACTCTAGGGGAAGCGGGCGAATGCCCGACCGCTCGCTATTATACAGAAGCCTTACGCTACTATGGTTATTTCTAGCAAACACATCCACACCAATCTAGCATACGCTGCTTTACCAAGTGTGCATGGAGAATTAGCTCCCTATTCCTCCCTTTCTTAGCGAACAGCAGTCGCTCCATATGCTAGACATAACAGGTAAAGATGTACAGCGCCATATTTCTTTTCATCGATTATCCACCAACGCACTGGGCGGAGAAATCTCTGAAGCGATGAAGGGTAACCAACCATACTTACTGCGGATCTTAGAGCTGGCATCTTAATTATAGCTCACACTCATGGTGGTATTGAATTAGAACTCCTTAGCGAATGCGTCTCACGCTTTTACAAATGCTCCGTTTACCCTGACAAAGGCATCCAATGTGGATAGTTCTCGCTTTGATAATGGACAGGAAGCCAAGAAGCCTTTCTCCAACGCTGAGAGAAATGTCTCTGAATCAAATCCCATACGGCTGACGCGAAATTTATCCGAAGTGTCTACTACCCCGACCTCACTTGCGATTCCTAGCAGTTCATGCTTCTGTTTTTCGCATAGTATAAATCCTCAAGGGAACAAGGCGTCGTTCTTTGCTTGCGATATCATGCTTCTTACCGAAAATAGGCGTCAGCAAGATTGCGGCTTGATACCCATGGGTCTCGTGTTGCGGATTTGCATTCCTGAAGCATTCCCAATCCTGCTGGTGTACCACCTTCCCAGTTGTACATGGAAATTCTTGAAAGGTTGGTTGGCAGCGGGGGTGGTAGCTACTCCTCATTGGGCTTGATACTCAGTACTGTACTCCAAAATACTCCGTCGGGGTGGCATCAGAATCTTCATCATGGCAAGCACTGTCGATCCAGAAAAGATGAGATGTAAGGGGCAGTTGAAAGGATCAGCGCAGCAGAAAATTCAGGAGCCTTGAACAACACGCCCAAAGTCACAAGCCAATCGAGGATCTGACTGTAATGATATTGAGGGGCTTGTACGCGGTGGGTTACGAGATTAGGAGGGGTTGGGATAGTCCAGTAGAAGAAAGTGAGTCGGCTAGTCAGAGAAAAGAATGGGGGGTTTTCTTTCTAGGTAACCAGCCATCCATAATCCCATCCCGCCTTGCCTAAACGGGCATTAGACCCAGGGTCCTGTCAGTGGTCGGTCGCGACTCCAATGGCTCAGTAAGTACGTAGTGAGGAATATTTTATTTTCAGTGGATGTGTTTATTTTTGTCTCCTCGAAACATCATCCGTCGAAGGACGGATCCGTGTCTCCACCTCTGCGGGCGGTGAGACAGGGGGCTGTTTCCATGGGTCATGGCCTCAGTCCCCTTGACCAATCTTGACCTGGCAAGAGTTTGTGCTAGACTGACGACTAAATATGGAGTATCCCGTCGATCAAAAATCGGACGAGTAGTAACTATGTAGCTCCTATGTGAAGTGAACTAATGGAAGACATGCAACTTGCTGGACTACTGACTTAAGTGTCCTTTCTGTAGCTCCAATGAATAGTGTATCTCCATTCTCGTCGCTCTCGTACAAGCCATTTGTGCCAAGAGTTGTGACAGCTAGTAGTGGCTTGCTTCATCGTGGTCTATTACCTATCACCTTGGCCTTACCAGATGCTCAGCTAACAGATGGGTCGAGTATTGGCCATCAAGTCATAGAATCCAAGGCTTGCCGCAGAGGTTTGGAACAAGGTTTCGCAACTGCAACATCCACTCAGGTGAATTGGCCCTCGAACATTGACAGGTATTAAATACGCAAGTCAGTACATAGTTTCATGCATGTACTCCGTAGAGCCGTCGCATGGGGTATTGTTTTTTACATGCACCTGAGCATGCAGCCTTCTCTTTTGCCTTTGCGCTAGCCAGAAGTACTGCGTACAGGTCAGATTTACGTCTCTTCGCCAGTCTTGGGTATCTTCAGTCTGTTTTTACTACGTGCCTGGAGCCGTGTTAGGAATTGACTCAGACTGATCTCACTTTGATAGTTAGCCTGCACTGCCTGGCTTCCCCGCCATCAACTACATTACGACGTTGATTGATCATACCCTCCTTTAACACGCTTCTGTCTCTTCCCCGTCGACTGCACCTTGATTTTTTAACACTCAGCCTAGTGATCCCGGGCCCCCGTCAATCTGTCTCCCATTTTGGACCTTCTCGGTCGTCAGGATGTCTGACCAGGCGATCCTGCGTATTACCAGGGTAGCATTCCTCACCGCATTCTTCTAAGCTTCGCTGGGCTAACGGATGGTCTTACCTTGGCGGGGTCTTAGGAAATCAAGCAGATTCAGCAAGGCGCAGACCTCTGTGGGTACTCCACACCCTACTAATAGTAATCGGAAAACGCTTCCATCGAATACCCGTTGATGGATAGCACCGGCTTACAATGGTCTATGGCCTTCGCATTCTGATCATTTGCTTTAGCTCTCGCAGTATACTACGATGATTCTGATATCCGGAGTGTCCGTGCTCTCATTCTCGGCCCTCCAGATACTCCCTACCAGTTCGGCTTCTTCGAGGTTCGTTTCCAATTCTTCGATAATATCAGCCAACTTCACAGTGCTCTGTGTTGATCTCCAGCATGATACCCTAGTTTTTGATCAAGTTCGGAAAAGGTACATTATCATCATCTCGTGCCAATTCTTAAATCCGTGGACAAGTGGACTAAGCTTTGCAGACTACCCGGCGACATCTCCGAATGTTCGCGCCCTGACCACTAACGGTGGTCGCAGCCGCTTTAACCCAAACATCTATTCATCTGGCCGGGTCTGCTTGTGAGTTGAGTACCTCGGAGTTGTCCATAATGCTTACTAACCGAGCGGGGATGATGTAGATCGATTCTAGGGTACAGATACACATTCCTATACATATCAACTGCTTGAGCCTGGCTGACAGGCATCTTTGTAGAACCTGGCGAGGCGAGAGTGGGGAGCAATGGTCGTCTGCGCAGTGCTTAGAGTCTCTTCTTATCTCGATTCAGAGCTTAATGTCGTCTAACCCCTACGAAAACGAACCCGGATATGAAGGCACACGATCTTCGAGTGATAAAGAGAACATGGAAGCTTACGTCTCCAAGGTAACAAGGGCCCAGCTATCCTTCTAGGTTTAAACCATTCTTGACCAGATCTCCAGATACACCATGAAACTCTCCGTCTTGCCGTCCTTGAGCCTCTTGAGGCATCTCTTAACATCTCACTTGAGGGGGATGCGGACTCGCTAGCTGATCCAACATCTGAAGGCGATGATAATATCATCTATGAAGATGGGAGGTCTTCCTTTGACCCGTTTTCGGATTTTCGCAAGAAGCGTTTCTTGTGGTATTATGAGCCCTACATGCAATCGCTTGTCGCTGCAGAGAAGAAACACTCTCGCAAAACAAAATTCCAGAGAATGCCTTTCGAGGGCGGCAACAATAGTATGGATGGTCATTTCGACTATCCGGAATTAAGACGGCGGATGGCGGTGGTCAAAGACGCCATTCTTCGAGAAACACGCGGTTGGGCTGTAGAAGGACAATTGGCCAAGAAGCAAGAATGGGGTATTGCAGCGAGTCTGCAACGACAGTACGAACAAATTGTTGAAAACCTCAAGCATCAGAACAACATTACGGTCGATCTATACCTTGATGAGGGGAACCCATTCATGTGGAGGCTCACGTACTTTGGACGACCCATGACGCAACTGGATGGTGGCATGTTCAAGGTCCTGATACACCTGAGTCCGCGATTTCCCGAAGAACAGCCCCGTGTGTTTCTCGAGGCATCGTCTTTCTTTCATATTCGTGTGTCCAAAGAAGGAGTTTTATGCTACGTTCCAAGGCGAACAGAGGAAATGCGCTATCACATCGAGGGGATTGTCGCATCTCTAGAAGAAGAACACCCACCCTATGACCCACGAACCACAGTTAACCCCGAGGCAACCAAGTTGTTTTGGGGAACACCGGAAGATCGAAGGAAGTACAACCGAGAATTGCGACGATCAGTAGAGAGGACCGTGTAAGTTCCTATCCACATTGGCGAGTTCACGGACAGTCGAATTGACGAAAGGATACAGTGAATCATAGCACGCCTGAGCCTACATCAGCCTAGGTTAGTGAATTAGTAGAGGGCTCAGCTAGAACGTTTCTGTGCTCTGTGTCATGGGACAGATATCTTGGCTACAATGTCCTGGATTTCGGGCCTATACTTCCTCACTCCTACTTTATTCATTCTTTCCCAGATCTTCAAGCCGCTTTATCAGCAGAAAAGGGCAAGGGTTTTATCACCAGGGCTTCAGGTGTGCTGTAGCAGCTAAGAAGAATTGAAAAGGAGAGTTCCCGTTCAATTAGTGCATCGTAGTAACCATTCAGATCTGCCTCCTTGCTGTAACCTTGATCAATTGTAGGATAGTGGACGCAACGCCCACAAAGTTTGCAATCCAGCCCCGTCAGAAGACGAATATGTAGCCAGATTAGACATGAGATCTTTTCCTGGATGGTTGGACGATTAAAGTAGAACCAAATTGATATCTCGGTTCCATAAAGTGGAAACTCACGTGTGGCCTCTTTGCGGGGGGTCCGAGCTTTGACCCGGAGATTCTGTCCGGAGGCGGAAACCATCGTCGTCCCCCAAACCCGCAGGCCTCGCAATTTCTCCTGTTTATTATCTCTTACCCAACCACCGACCACGGATAGTTAGCTCTATATATATCACAGCTTACTGTCAGACTTCACAATGTCTACTCGACGTCCTACAATGGAACTGGGCACTGTCCTAGTGGTTGGTGGCTGCGGGTTCGTGGGTTGGCACATTGTTGATCAATTGCTCAATTTCCCTTCGGAGACAGACCCCAGTGCTGCTCTTCCCAAGCCCCAGAATGACCCTAGGTTCATTTATCCCAAGCTAGGTGATCGATACCCTCGGTGCATCGCGAAAGTAGCAGTTGTCGACCTGCGAACGACCCACAACCGTCTCCCGGGAGCCGAGTATTATGATGGCGACATCACGTCCGAAGAGTCCATGTTGGCCGTTTTCCGCGCGGTCAAGCCCGACGTCGTTATCCACACCGCCACGCCCAACGTTTTGGAAGGGAACAAGCCCTTGTTGCGTAAGGTCAATGTTGACGGAACTAAAGTCTTGGTGGAAGTTGCGGGCGGTGCCCGTGGTGACTGGGGTGGAAAGTGCAAAGCTTTTGTATACACCAGCTCGAGCTCTGTCGTGCACGATACCCAAAGCGACCTCATTAACGTCACCGAAGAGTGGCCTCTCATCCGGGGGCCATTGCAACAAGAGTACTATTCAGAAACCAAGGTGAGTTATGTACCCCTATTGTTCGTATGGCAGGTGCTGACTGGGATTCACCCTGTTAGGCGGACGCCGAAGAACTCGTCTTGAAGTATAACCGCGCCTCTCCAACCTCGATGGTAACATGTGCCCTTCGCCCGGCCGGTATTTATGGTGAGAAGGATACGACCTTCACCTTCAAGGTCCTGGAACACTCAGCCAAAGCCTCCCCGACCGTCCTCCGCATGCAATTAGGCGAGAACAACAACTTGTTTGATTTCACGTACGTTGGAAACATTGCATACGCTCATACTTTGGCTGCATACCGCTTGCTTGCTACCTACTCTCGGTATGAATCTGGACAGGGCGCTCCCCTGGACCACGAGCGGGTTGACGGCGAAGCGTTCAATGTCACGAACGATTCCCCAGTCTACTTCTGGGACATGACACGTGCTGCCTGGGCACTGACTGGCAAGGTCGTGGAGCCTCACCAGGTGTGGGAGCTCCCCGAGGGCGTTCTGGGCCCTATTGGTGGAATTGCAGAGACGGTATTGGGACTTCTCGGCAAGACACCTCGTTTAACTAGAAGAACGGTTCGCTACTCATGTATGACTCGTTACTACTCATGCGACAAGGCCAAATTCCGGCTCGGATATAGACCCGTTGTACCTGTGTACGAGGGTCTCGCTCGTGCAGTCGGGTATGTGGTGGAACAGGAGCGGGTGGCCGGTGAAAAGAAGGCGTTGTGATCTCAGGCTAGAGTTTGATGGTTTTGGTACGGATGTATATGTTTATTAATGTAATATATAAGTAATTCCTCATCCCGTATTTAAGCGCGTCCTCCCTTACTAGTTATCCATGTGGGGTGGGCTCTTTAACAACTTCAGTGCTGACTGACCACAGGCAATTTTGAGCTGGCCATGACACCAATACCGGCTCTCTAAACCTGCGAAACCCTTGAATTGCCGGGACCCCTTATTATCTTCCGAGTGAGATCAATTGAGGCGTCTCGTATACTCCATCAACGCTGTCTCCTTGGCTCTAGCCACGAATGGTACTCAACAAAGCGTTGTTAAAACGCCCCGAGCAAATTATCCTACTTCATTTCGACTCCTGCCGAATAATATGCCCGAAGCCGAAGATACGGTGTAGCATTTCCTCGATCTTTGGTCCGGCTGTTGAGTTAACGATGATCCACGAGCTTTCTCGACACAATTTAGAATTCATTAATACTCGTCGGAAACGATACAATAGATGAGTATTGAAGCTTTGCCCCATTTCTTGATCTCAGGAACGAATGGGAGTCAAATACTCCAGTTTCTAAAGCTGTCCCGTTTGCGCAAATCGATTTAATTCCTGTCAGATCGATTCCTATTATTCTGTCATACATTGCACCTTTGTTTGGTTTCACATTCTGCGCCATATCATCGGGTCTTTTACCCTCTCCGCTGGGATGCAAGCCGACAGAAAGTTAGGGTCCTCGTGCGAAGAAGTGGAAACCAACATGGATGCGAACTATTCCTTGTGATATAGGTGATGATCGTCGCCATGGGGGTTAGTCGTCTGAACACCACAACATCATCAACGACGGGTTTAACAAGACCTGCAATACTTGAAAGAAAGGGGTCAAAGATACTTGCCTCTTGGCGTCAACTTGCAATGCGCTTTATGTCGTAGTTCGCACCAGCTCGTTGGATATTTGGCTCTGAGAATGTGCTGACTGTCATTGTTCTCGCAGGTATATGTGCCATCGGCATCTTGAACAACAGGCATAATGCTGGTAGGAGTGAGCATGCTATACCTGGTTTGATCGATACCGTTCATTGGTCGTCAGATATCACTGCATGGTGTAGGAACAGGTCATTACGAACTATTAGCAGTATGTAGTATATTCTTTCCTCATCCGGCAGGAACCAATAGATCCCCCACTGTGATACAACTGCATTCCCTCCGAAGGTACTGCGCCGTTCTTTCTGGTCATCTCGTCCATTGCTTTTATTTTTGAGGTTTTAAACATCCTTATTCTGTGGGCTTCAGTGGGATGCAGCGCTATGTCTAACGATCAGGATATGCCTCGGATGCCTCAAAGGCCCGTACTTCCGCCGAACGCCTGCTCTCATCAAACCTGCCTTGGTCGGATATCTTCTCTTACAGCCTGGATAGTTGTCCTATTGGCCTTTGCTACCACTGCTTTAGGAGCCTCGGGAGATTATCTCGACGACGCCGAGCAAGGTGTTCCGGGGCTAGATGCCTCCTTCGATTATGTGGTTGTCGGTGCCGGGGCCGGGGGTTTGACTCTGGCAGCTCGTCTCGCACAACACAGGTACAAAGTAGCTCTGGTTGAGGCGGGCGACTTCTACGAGTTCAAATATCCCCTAGCTGCGGTTCCAGGGGCCGGGATCATAGGAATAGGGAGCGATGTCAGCAGCTCGACACCCGTGGATTGGCGGTTTGTCGCCTACGCTGTTCCGGGAGCCAACTATCGCGACCTGCATTACCCCAGAGGCAAATGCCTGGGAGGATCGTAGGCTCACTTCTCCTCTCACTTTCGTCGGTACATTTCCAGATGGCCAACGCTGATTCTTCCGACCTTCTACAGGACAGGCTCCAACATGATGGTCTATCAAAGGTTCGAAACCACTCGCCGGGTAGTTCACGGAGGGCAGGACTGATATGAACTGGAGCTAGACCAAACAAGGAGGCAATGCAAAAATGGGCGGAGCTCGTTAACGACGATAGCTATACTTTCGACCGAGTTCTCCCTTTCTTCCAACGCACGGCTAACTTCACTCCGCCCAACAACGACGTACGGAATAGCAATGCCACAGCATCTTTCAATCAGGGTGCGTTTGATAATTGGGGCGAGCCTCTGCAAGTATCGTACCCTGAGTTCGCCGTACCGTTTTCGAGCTGGGTGAAACGCGGTATGGAGTCTGTAGGCATTCCCGAGATCCAGGATTTCAACAGCGGGTCACTACTGGGCGCTCAGTATTGTGCTCTGACCATTGACCCACACAAGAAGATCCGAAGTAGTTCAGAAGCCGCTTTCAAGAGCTCTCCAATACCACGCCTGATGACTCTTGCGGTGTACAAAAAGACAATGGCAAAGAGGATACTATTCAACATAGAGAGACGAGCTACCGGAGTGGAGGTCAGAACGGGAGGTTCGAAATATATATTGCGAGCCACCCGGGAAGTCATCGTGTCAGCCGGGGCATTCCAGAGCCCTCAGCTCCTAATGGTATCTGGAATTGGCCCGGCCAATGAGCTGAAACAGCATGGTATTGAGGTTATTGTTGACCTTCCAGGAGTAGGGCAAAACATGTGGGATCATGCTTTCTTCGGGCCTGCGTACCGAGTTGCGCTCCCAACAAGCACCAGGATCGCTACCGACTTTCTTTATTTGACTGAAGTGATCGTCCAGTATTTATCAAATCATAGTGGTCCACTGTCAACCCAGGGAATTGATTTCTTGGCTTTTGAGAAGGTCCCAATTGAACTGCGGTCCCACTTCTCCGAAGAGACGATCCGGGATCTATCTTGGTTCCCTCCTGGCTGGCCTGAGATAGAGGTACGCTCTCTGCACGGGAACTTTGAGCATGGCTAACGGTCAACCCCTTGAAGTACATCCCAGTGGCTCTCTATCTTGGGGACTTCTCTGATCCTATTAAGCATCAACCGCTAGATGGGGCACAGTATGCATCAATCGCCGGAGCATTAGTCGCACCTACATCTCGCGGCAATGTCACCATCATCTCAGACGACACAGATGACCTGCCGATAATCAATCCTAACTGGCTTGCAACCGACACAGACCAGGAAGTGGCTATTGCTATTTATCGAAGAAATCGCGAGATTTTCCATAGCGCGGGGATGGAACCGATTATTGACGGGGAAGAGTACTTTCCCGGTGAAGAATTGCAGACTGATTCGGAAATACTAGAAGTGGTCAAGGACACACTTATGACAGTCTACCATGCTTCATGCACGTGCAAGATGGGTGTTCGCAACGACTCGATGGCTGTGGTTGACAGCCAGGCACGAGTATTCGGAGTTGATGGATTGAGAGTGGTCGATGCCAGTGCGTTCCCAATTCTGCCTCCGGGACATCCTCAATCGGTAGTCTGTAAGCAGCCTATAGTTCCAGTTATCCTCTGATTCGCTGCTGACAGTCTTAGACATGCTTGCCGAGAAGATCGCGTCGGACATCATATCCTGGGACTGAAATGGTTCGTTACGTGTTGCGTTTGTCATTATCATTAAAGTAATTCTTAATAAGTGCCTCTGTTCCTACCATTCTTCGTGCGCTTATGTTCAGAACTGAAATTCATGTCTACTATTGTTAATATTAAACCTTCTTTCATGTTGATATCATTAAGAATTCGACGCGGAGGGAATTTCCTGCATCCTGTAAACTCAATGAAGCTATTTTCCACATGATCCTCCCAGAATCACTCTAAATCATTGGACCACCCATGCATCGCATAAACGCATAGGCAACCCCCAATGATGAAACCATGCTTCAACAACTCCACCCTCTACTCTAAATTCTGTAAAAAACACTGACCTCCCCGGATGCAAACACACCACAAGAGTGGAAATAACTCCGACATGATCCAACCGCCTTCTAACTCCCATCGAAACTTGATCCTAAGATTGACTTTGGAAACTATAAGTTTCTACAAAAACATGTATATCTCAAAAGACTTAACCTTGCCTTAATTACTGATTCATCTACCTACTTACACCAAAAATACATTCCCCCCATACCAGAACGAAATCCAGAACCTTCCATTTCCATCCATACCCCGACATTATGACCATCGGATTGTCGTACTCTATCCACCCGCAACCCCCGCCCCCTTGCAAGGATAAATATACTATAGTTCTTTCGTCTCCTCTCCCCCATGCTTATATTATATGTATATGTATATGTATATGCTGTGATAGGAGGGGTAGATGATGTGTATGATGTAGGGGGCTGGGGATGGCAAATCAAACATACATGCATACATACGTACAAATGTATATAGGTGTGTGTATGTGTACGTGTATGTATGCACATATGTATGCATGTGTAAAATGCATGAACGAAGATAGGATGGGATGGGGAGAATTGGGATATGGAATATTTATTGGAGGGGGGAGAGGGGGACAAATCTCGCTAGGGTGTGTCTGTCTGTCTGTATGTATTTTGTATGTAGTACGTACTCGGGACAAGGAGAAGTTTTGGTCTATGTAGATACTCAGGATGGATGGTAAAAGTTGGAGGTGGTTAGTGTGTTGTTTGGTGAATGGCTGCTGCTGCTATGGTAACTAGAACCTACCCATCTAGGTACTGTGGTATGGATGAATCTCTACGAAAAGTATGATGGGGTTACTCGAGGGGTCTAGATTCTTGTGTTTCAGTGTCAAAAGTAAATCTAAAGAATTCGGGATTTATCACATGGTAGTAGTGACATGCCATTAAATAATTCTTTCCTGGATATATATACTATGTAGGTCTAGGTCTAGATAGGCCACCCACTTGCTTCCATGTTATAGGAAAGATCATGCCATGATGAGGATGCATAGAGATAAAAACCTGTATGTGTCTTTTACATGTAGGTCGAGGCTTGCTCTCGGAGATTTCCCCTAGGTTTGAATGGAGAGCTTTAATAGAAATATATTCCTCCCCGTGCAAATCAATGATGAGGTGGTAGCGTTCCAGGTCCTTTGATTCCGTGGACCCCTTTCACTTTGTTTTTGATTTCCAATCCAGGTGTCTTGCTAGTTTGGGTAAGTACTAGGTACCTCGTGAAGGAATTCTTGGCTTTAGAGGCGGAGGTGGCTGAACGTTAACTTTGTTGGTTTGGTTTGACACATTTTAACATTGGGAGCGATGTGGTATGTGAGCAAGGTTAGTTACTGGAGTGACGGACTGACTGACTGACTTTTCTTCCCATGCTTCTCTGTCCGTATTTAGGTTGGGGACCCCCTGTCAGATGATCTCGTGGGATCATGCGGGTTTGTGTGCGGGGATGGGGGATATGGTTGATTAGCTTAAGGGAAGAATCGTGGTAGTTAGTAGTACTTTTGTCACACACACTCTCATGCTTTTGTTCATGTTTTGATGATCTCCACAGGCAAGTACATTTTTGGGTTTTATGGGTGTCGGCTTGTATCTAAGTGGTTTAGACAGGGAGGAATTTGTGTGCTGAGTGTGGGGAGGGAGTTCTCTCCACCACAGACAAAAAGCCGATCATTACTCTTGTTCCACCTTTTCTTTCATTCTCCTTGGCCCCTTCGGTAAGGATTGACGGTGGAATGCAGTCTCGGATGTGGGAGGTGCAGGAACTCCCATCGAATTTCATGTACGGAGGCCGGACGTGCCTACGCCACCTGCAGACGGTTGATCCTCACAGTTGAGGGTTGGAAGAGACTGGGACCCATGGGATTTGGATGTTTGGCTGACGGCGATAGAATCATTCGAGAATACGACCAGGGATATATGGTCGTCATTGGCTTGTAGCGATGTCCAGGGGTTGGGGGGTCCTCAGGGCGCCATTTTTGAGATTTTGAGGCATTGGAGATGAAACGGGGTGGATCGCCAGCCAGCGCATCATTGTCATCATCATGATATTATTGCGTAGCCATCAAGCAGAGCCAAAGGACGTTACTGGTCTAATAGGTGCAGCAGGAAAGCCAAAGGCGGACTGAAAAAGAAAAGAAGGGAGGGATCGTTTGCGGTCATGGATGGCTTTTGGTCTCCAGCCACGCCGTCAATCAGCTTTGGAACCTCCCCACCTGGATTACCCCGCAGAAACATCCACCTCAGCTTCTATCATATACCGATGGGTGTCATCCTCCATCGGGGAGTACGTGGAAGTAGTCCTGATGACGAACGATCCTGGTTTTACCATTTTCGGGTCATAATAGGAGTGACGTGAGTAGAAACAATACTACCTCAGTACCGATCTGACTGCTACCGGTCAATCTCCACACAACCGCAGAAGGGGTAACAAACCGATACTGCTAAGACGGTATCTAGTGGATTCCGCAACTGAGTCGAGCGAATGCTCGGAATCCAGGGCTGAGACTATGATCTGTCACGGGCCAATGGCCGACCGCAGTCCGGACTGTGTGTAACTGCAGACATGCAGACAGCCTGCCTCGCTTACCAGCGGAACCCCAGTCAGTTTAGCACCAGACGCACCACTCTTTGAGATGAATCCGGGCTTCTAGCGTCCCTGTCCCGGATCGAATGATGTATCTCATGGGGGGGCGAAGGGGAGTCAAGTGAGCAGCTTATCCGCTGGGTCTGGGGGAGCTTGATCCATGGTACAGCGGACGCAGATGGGAGACTCTTGCTCTTTGCCATTAATAACCATTATGGTTCATTACTTTCGGCCGGGCGGTGACGTTCTGGTGTAGTCGGTCGACCTCTGAATTTATTGGCGCAAATGGGACACTGCAGGCAACACACGTACGCCGTCGGTCGCATTCACTTGTAGGAATCCTTTTCGGGGGTCCAAAACTTCGCACCAGTCCGGTCTACAGGGTTGTCTAGATTGCGATGGCTGCGAGTTAGGGAGCGAGGAGGGTCTTGTCGGTTGTACGAGGATTTCGAGAATAGAAACCCATCGAAGAGATGCGCCAAATGGAAATGGCCCGACCGTTGAGACTGGGGTCTGGAGTGGCGCTTCGTGGCTGCGGATACTGTCGTGTGTGGTTCGGAATGACCTCCCTCCAGAGGGGATCGAGACCGAAAGAAAAGAAGAAAAGCAATTCCGCTATCTCACCCACGGGAAAGTACGAGGTCTGCATGCTGCGTTGTCTCTGAATGGAGGGGGGGGGGGGGGGGGGGGGGGGGGGGGGGGGGGGGGGGGGGGGGGGGGCCACTGATGGTTCCTGGGTGATGATGACGGCAATGATGTTAATGGCGACCGATAATCGTCAGGCCACAACAAATGAGAGAGCAGAGCATTCTGAGGAACGAGCCGTGTGCTGGGATTGTTCAATATCTCTCCAAGAATTTAATTTGCTAATTGAGGGGAGAGTGTGTGTGCAGCATCCGACTAGGATGAATCACTGCCCCGTTGCTAGAGTGAAGGAGGGAGCTGGGGGATAGCCAGCGAATAACAGACGTATGGAAGCTGTCCGTCGGATAATGTCGACCATAATACCAGCAGATGATGGGCGGTTCTGGCGCAAGTTGAAGCAGCGCCTAGATAACTGTGCAGCTAGGTACAGTTAAGTGGATGTAGCTAGTGACTAGATGCCTATACCACGGGTGTGTCCGGGCATCCACCGCGGCTCCTCTGAGAGGTCTAGTGGACTGTGATCCATACCCTAATGCACCTTGCAGATGGAGCCACCACTCCTTAGCCAGCGGTAAGAAAAGCCGGACAGAAAGACTTTAAGACTAGATGCACCGTGTGTCAGAAGGGAAGGTGAGGTGAGAGGAGGGGGGAAGAAGAGACGAGAAAGAATAAGAGACATTAATTGCATCTGCCGGTATGAGAGAGAGTAACTTCAGTCGCAGTGTATTTCTATACTACAAAGAGTAGACAGCAAAGAAGACGGATGATGGTAATTCTCAATGCGAATCATGTTATCTACTCCGTAGTAACTACAAAGTATTATTTTCCGGTTGGAACGGCTTCTGACTGTCTCTCCATCGGCAGTCAGAACCAGACGATTAACAACCTCCCCTGCCCTTTGGAGCTACGATGGTTTCAGGCGGGAAACCCAAAACCCCATTTAGATTGTGTCCATTCAACCGAAGACTTTCTTGAGAAAGTGGTTTGGCTTTGAAAGTCAAGTCAATCGTTGATCGAAAGTCTTGCGCTGCTGCTTTTCCCGCCAAATTTACCATACCATACGGTACCGCACAGATCCGCAGCCACCGTTGGCGCCGTGTGATTTGGCTGTGTGGGTACCAGACGGGTAAAGACTGGTAAACTTGCCGTTTCTCACGTTCTTCCCTCCATACAGGAATACAAGAATAGTACGACGGACTGACGCTGCCATTCCTGAGGTTGCTTGCTGGCTGGCTGGCTGCTGTCTTCCCACTCACTCACTCTGTGCCTTTTCCCATCTATTTTTCGCCCTTAATTCTTGTTCGTCTCTCCATTTCCCTCCCTGTTGGCTCTCTTCCCCCTCCCGCTGCTCTGTTTATTCTATGTCGCTATTCCTCCAGCGCTGTCTGGTTTCACCAACCCCGACTATTCCCTGCTTCTAGTCGACCTCGTTCGGGGGTTGACTTGGTCAATCGTCACCCTGGCTTCGCGTTGACGCTCCGTCGCGCCATTCCCCCGCATAGCCGCTTTTCCCTCTTCGTTTCGCTTTCCTCCTCTGTCCTTACGTGATCACGAGATCCTCCTCAACTTTTTTTTTTTTCTTTCTTTATCTACAGAAGAAAAGAAATACCTCGTTCTCTCTCTATCACCGGAAAAACAAATAGTGCACTTCCCCGTCTGTCTGTTGCGATAGGGTTGTTTGCTGTCTCGTTATCACCGTCCCCCGCTATCCAGCCATGGCCAATTAATACTGCGGATGCATTCATAACCAACAATCAAAGGGCACCCGCTCTGCCTGGCAGACGGTCCTGCTTGGAAGCTGCTCATTGTGATAATCTCTCTCGCTTGATCTCACACCCCACGCCTCTCAGTCATTCGACCTTCCCTCGTCCTCCCCTCGGGGTAGTCTTCGGTATTCCTGTCGGCTCCGCCTGTCCAGCATGGCGGGCAATGGCACAGATGATGCTCAGTACCTCGCTCCTCCGGCCGTGACTGCCCTACGGCAGGAAGCTCGGAGTATCGATCCGAGATTCTCTCCTACTCGCTCCCCCAGCGTCGATCACATGCGACAGGAACGTGAAGATCTCAAAGAGGCGGCGGAACAAACCTTGAACGTCATTGTTGATTTGGATCTCGATGGTCGCGTCAAATGGGTCAGTCCGTCATGGAAACAGGTCGTCGGCACATCACCAGTATCAATAGAGGGGCGGATGATATCAGAGATCGTGGTCGGTAACCAGAATGTCTTTCACGATGCCATAGAGAGCATGAAGGAGGATGACTCCCGCAGTCGGTTTATTCGGTTTGCAGTTCATATGGGCCCCGATTCGGTCTTGAAGTACTCGCCAGAGCCACGACCTGCGGAGCCAGAGCATGAAGCTACTGAAACGACCGACATTGCAGAAGAAGCACAAGCCCCTGCAGAGGAGGACCGCCATCATGACCTCCTTCATCTGGAAGGACAAGGTATCATGGTGTTTGATCGGACAGCCGATGGAGTTGGACATGTAGGTCACCGCAATTGTCGATGCTCGGTATACGTGATATAAACTGACCATTCTTTTCTACATTGGCAGACCATGTGGATGTTGCGACCGTTTACGGAACCGAGAGAAGTCACCATCGACCTTCCGCCTTTGCTAGTAGAATCCTTAGGCGTCGGAGCGGAAGTGTTGGCAAATTACTTGACCACTCTGGCTGAGGCTGCTGCTAGTGAGCCTGATCCTTCAAAGCATCCAGCTCCGAATCCGGTGTTGTGTCGTATCTGTGAACGACAGATCACACCATGGTGGTTCGAGAAACATTCGGACCTCTGTCTACAGGAGCATCGGGCCGAGATGGATGTTCAAATAGCCCAGGAGAATCTCAACGAGCACCGTCATGCCATCGTCAAGGTGCTAGATGCTCTAGAGGCCAGACAAAGCAGGCCGTTGGTACTCGGAGAGAGCAATCCCCCGCCAACACCCCAGCCCGAGTACAAAGGCCTACCTATTGGGCCATCTCCAGTGGCCTCCGCACCGTCGTCGGGATCAGTCTCTAGTGCTAATTCCGCTCCTGGCACGCCACCTCGGTCCAGAGATCATTCGGCCTCAGGAATCGGGCATACTCGCGCTCGATCATTCGCAGTGCGGCGTCCGTTAGCTCGCGTCGTTGAATTGATCCTTGACCTTTGTGACACTGCCCTAGAAATCAACATGCCTATGATCAAGGAATCTCGCGCGGACAACAGTGATGATTTTCGGACATTGTCACCGCAGTCCGAATCTCGTATCTCGCAGGTTCTCCAGTGGCAATCACCCAGCTCTAATACACTAGAGCAGGAGCAAGGACTCGCGGCCCTATGCAACGATACCGAACAAGTCGCCAAGGCAAAAGTTGATGCGGTTATCCGCCATAGAAGAATTGTGGAGTATGCCGAGCGGATTCGCATCGAATACACGATTCTGGTAGAGGAGTGCATCACCGCAGCTCTCACCAAAGCCGAGCGAATTGCGGCCGGTCAGCTCAGTGATTCGAGTGCCTCAGACGATGACGCCCCCCACGACACCGAACCCGCCGTGACCACAAGTAGCCCGATAATACGAGGGAAGCGCGAATCTGCAGCACCGCCTACAATGTCCGCTTTAACAATGTCCATGCGCAATTCGCCCGACCGATTCCAGTCTAACCACTCCTCCGAAGGCAAAGCCTCAGTCGCTGTGTCGACCGGGTCGAACAGCCCAATGGAATGTCCCACACCCCGATCACACAAGAGTATAGCCGGCGTTTTAGGGACATCGCAGCCATCCAGACGGGGTCTCTCTTTGATAGATTTGGATGCCGGCGATTACAGTGACAGCAGTGCTCCTTCTTCTGCTTTTCCCGGTGCCGTGCGAACCGACTCTCCCTCGTCCGACCGCAGTATGGACAGGAAGCGAAGGAGTCTGGTCCTTCCCGGTCTTTCTAGCTCACCTCGCAGACAACATTCTCCAGCTAGGATATCGGGGCCACATTCACCATTACGAATGCCCCGGGCTCGTCTTTCGAGCGGCGCCGATAGTCTACCGTCACCTATAGTATCTCCCTCTGCAAATGCGATCGAGCTGGCACAAATTCACTACCCTCATCATCGCCGTCAATCGTCCGCAACGTCTTCCGATATCGTAAAGCCGCCCGTTTCACCTCATCTATCTTCCGCCAGCCAGCCGCAGCCGAGACCAGCACCGCCGTCGATCAAGGACTTTGAGATCATCAAGCCAATCAGTAAAGGTGCCTTTGGAAGTGTTTACTTGGCCAAAAAGAAAGTAACTGGGGAATACTTTGCGATCAAGGTATTGAAAAAGGCGGATATGGTTGCGAAGAATCAGGTCACCAATGTCAAGGCGGAGCGTGCAATCATGATGTGGCAAGGCGAAAGCGATTTTGTTGCTAAGCTCTACTGGACATTTTCCAGCAAGGACTACCTTTACCTGGTAATGGAATATCTCAACGGCGGCGATTGTGCTTCGCTTGTCAAGGTTCTTGGTGGACTGCCCGAGGACTGGGCGAAAAAGTACATTGCGGAAGTAGTCCTTGGGGTCGAACACCTCCATGGTAGGGGTATCGTCCACCGTGATCTCAAACCAGACAATCTTCTTATCGATCAGACGGGTCATCTCAAGCTGACTGATTTCGGACTGTCACGCATGGGCCTTGTTGGGCGTCAAAAACGCGTCCTCAAGAGTATGAACAATGAGCCGGCACCCGATCTTCTGAAACAGGGCTCGTTTCCTCGAGCAACTTCAATCACATCTTCCAGATCAGCCTCTTTCGATTTCCAAGGCAGCGGATCCCCGGGATCCACTCCATTGATCACGCCAGATGTTGCTAGTAGCATTCCCCAACCTTCTTACTTCAGCCTCAACCAAGGGGGAGGTCTCAGTCGGCAGACTTCACGTCGGGCGTCCGGCTACCGTAGCGATAGCGGCGCCAGCGAGAGTCTGAATGCCATGTTCCGCACTTTGTCTATCAACGAGGGTGGTGAAGCTTCCGGCACCATGCCTGTGCCCGTCCCTTCCTCGGGCCAACACCAACACCAACACCATCTACCCGAAGAGGAGAGCCAGAGCGAGGCGGGTGAGTCTCCTCACTTGTACCCGCTTCAACCCACGATGAGCAATTCCTTCTCCTACAGCACTCCGCCGCAACAGTCAATGATGCCTCCCCTAATGGCGCTCTTTGATCCCGAGGACCATAACAGGCGGTTTGTGGGTACGCCAGATTATCTGGCTCCGGAAACTATCAACGGTGTTGGTCAGGATGAAATGAGTGATTGGTGGTCCCTGGGCTGCATCATGTTTGAGTTCCTCTTCGGCTATCCGCCATTCAATGCTGGAACTCCAGATGAGGTTTTCGACAATATCCTTCACCGGAGGATCAACTGGCCGGACGAAGCCGAGGAATTCGCATCCCCCGAAGCTATTGATCTTGTGAACAGGCTCATGACTATGAACCCTCGTGAACGGATAGGGGCTAATGTGGATGAGAAATACCCAAATGGTGGAGCAGAGATCCGGAGCCACCCTTGGTTTTCTGATATCAACTGGGATACCTTACTGGAGGACAAAGCGCAGTTTGTACCCAACATTGAGAACCCCGAAGATACCGAATACTTCGACGCTCGTGGCGCCACGCTTCAGGCCTTTGCTGAAGAACTGGAAGATGCAAGCCCCCCTCAACCGCCGTTAACCACTGGTGCATACCCTCAAGATCGGCCTCATGATGCCCTGTTCAAAGTCCGCTCTCATGTTAACTCGATGAAGCGACCGTTGATGCCTCTGCATATTCCACCTCATGTGCGTGAGTCACGTAGCAGGAGGCTGAGCGAGCCTACAATGGCCGACGATTTTGGCAACTTCGCTTTCAAGAATCTCCCTATGCTAGAGAAAGCCAACAAGGACGTAATTCAGAAACTACGCCAGGAGGCAATGCAAGCACAGCAACGTCACGTTCCTCCCACGGGCTCTCAGCAACAAGGACATGCGCAAGGCGGCCAGGATCAAGCCCCCACTCAGCCTGCACCACCCGCTTTGGAGGGAAGCCCGTTACCGATGTCCCTACAGCGGACATTATCTCAAACTAAAGGCAACAACCGACCTGCGTCCCCTTCAAGCATGAGCCAGGCGAATTCGTCTCCCAGTCGTCCTTCTCAGCCCTCGTCTCCGCTTCTTGTTCAATTTAGCACCGGTCAAAATCACGAGCGCAGAAAAACGTCCGGGTCATCTTCTAATAACTCGCAGTCCGCCGGAAGCTCTCAGCCCGCAAGTGTCGACCCAAGCCGGATGGCGAGTCTTAAGCACGGTTCCGCGTCATCGTCTCCTATAAAACCCCCCCGAGCCACGGCTCACTCGCCCGATAAGACACCTTCTGGACAGCGCCACGGCAGTGCTCCTGCCTCACGAGCAAGATCACAGACCATCGGCTCCCAGGACGGGGACCTCTCATCATCCCTAGCCAAGGAAACATACGCCGTGGGCCACTACAAACGCCGCAGCCAATTATTCGATATTTCGCCCTCGTCGTCAGATAATGAAGATCCGCGTACGAAAGCTTTGCTTAAAGTACAGCGCCGCCGCCAAAGCTCGAGGCGCATGTCACAGATCAATTTCCCCGATGGGCCATTTTTCCGGCCTTTGGACGTGCTCATCTGTGAAGATCATCCTGTTTCTCGCATAGTTATGGAACGCCTCTTTGAGAAGCTGCGCTGTCGTACCATTACGGCCGTAAATGGTAACGAAGCTATGCGTTACGCTCTCAGCGAGGTGCAGTTTGACATTATCATGACGGAGTTTAAACTACCCCAGGTAACCGGTGCTGATGTCGCGCGTATGGTGCGGGAAACACGTAGTGCGAATCGGCATACTCCAATCATTGCGGTTACAGGCTACCTTAAGGATCTACCAGAAACCCACCATTTTGACGCGCTCATCGAGAAGCCTCCAACCCTAACAAAATTCACGGAAGCACTGTGTAAGTTCTGTCAGTGGAAGCCGCCTCCAAAGGACTACAACCCTTCCCAGTCAATGAATGTCCCGCCTTCTACGATGCGCCAGGCTTTCGTGCAAGCCGAGCATAGCCCAAGTTCAACAGCCTCGTCGGGGTTCGCACATGTACCTCCTAGCTCTTACAGAGGATCCAGTCGAGAGGACTCCATCGTCAGCAGTTACTTTGGCGATATGGAGTCAATCAAACCCGATGACGGCCCTGTCATCGTGAGTCATCACAATGAAGAATCGGAACAGGATAAAGGTGGCCTCGGGATTTCTGAAGATGTAATTCGAGTACCAGAAACGACGGATGGCAGTTTCACATCTGGCTCGGATACAGTGCCTTTCCCAAGCCTACTTCACGCCTCTTCAGCACCACCCACCGTGCATCCTTCTGGAAACATTACACCTCGCAAACAGCGATCCACTGAAGCGATTCGGGCGAAGAGAGAATCGCTGGAACGCAAGCGCTACGAGTGTGCCGAGTCTGGCGATGATGAAGATGAAGAGCTCGGTAATTCTCAAACACGATCAAGCAGCCCCCAACAAAGATCTCGTCGTCCTGGCTCTAAGCTAGGAATAGAGATGATGAGAACCAATAGCAGGGGTAGCGTTGTCAGTGGAAGTGAGGAGCTTCTCAAGAGAGAGAGGGAGTCTTTGGAGCGACGGAGCAGTGGAGGTTCTGGTGGCGCCAGTGACTACAGCGAGGAACGTACTGGCACTCGCTCTCCGCAAAGTCCAAGTCTGGAGAGCCGCCTCGAGAACCTTTCAATTCCCGAGGAGGCGATTGTGGGGTCCGTTGAAGGATACAGCCCTAAGCATTCGCCCATCGTGGAGCTAGGGTCGAAAATGGACATACCAGCAATTTTTTCAGATCGGCCAACTTCACCGTTCTCGGCAGAAACTGCTTCGGGTGCACAGGCTATGGAAGACAGCGTCGAAACACCTAAACTTGGACATATTACACCACCTATCGTTTTTACGAGAGATGGAGAGTCAGAGCCCTCAGGAGACGACCCGGAGACCCCTTACATCAAGACTACTGGGGACGATTCAGCTGCGAAATATGGTGCAGAAGCTGACATTGACCGATATCTGGATGCCGATGCCACGCCTCGACCATTGCATACACCATCGCCCCATCCGTACTTGGGTTCTGCCCATTCTCAACCCGACACATAAAGAACCGACACTATCTTACTTTCAAGATAAACCTTGCGGAACTGCAATTCAGTGAGACATGCGTTGGACAGATGTCCACGTACGGTCCGCTATTGTGTGCGACCATATGACTTATATCACTGCATGCTTACGACATATTGTTCTTTTTGCACCTGTTAAAATACATTCCTCTTCTTTTACTGCCGATCATATTGCTTTATTTGCCACGCGCGTTTCAAGGCTAGCGGGTGTTTGGGAGTGTTTGTCGTCTCAACCAGGCTGTCTGAGTTCCACTCTTTTGTCGATTTCCCGTTCTCACTTTCATGTTTTTATTCATTGTTCCACTTGCTCATCATCCAGGCGTATATCCCATTTCCTTTGTTCTGAAATTTTCCTCTTCTGAGAGCAAAATTGTGTGTGTACCTATACGTACCAGTTTCTCAAGAAAAAAAAAAGAGTCCATCTAACTGCTTTGCACTAGTAGACATACCAGTCGAAATGTATAAAAATATTTACGTTAATCCTGTTTCATCTTATATACTCCTTTCGACCCGTTGTAAAACGTGATTTGGCTAGTTTGCTTCCCCCGTTCTAATTGATCTTTGTCTGATCCACATAGCGACGGAGTACGGAGTACTACTTACCCTACTAGTTCACTCTAGCCCCTCCCTTCTCCAAAGACACTCTTCCAACATGCACTCTAACACCCATCCAACTACCCACCGACTCCTTACATACTGAACACATGCGCTACCATCTTGCCTCTTCGATACACAATCTCAGCGAGTAACTCCAAATAATGATTACTGAACGTACCTCCAGAATTAATGGAGAAGCCCATCCACGCACTCCATTGAGAACAAGTGAGAGAATGTGGGAAAGAGGACATGTTACCAGTTACTAGTGTATTTGGAAGCAGATTGTATGAATTGCTTAGTGAGTGGTAATTAGTTTAGCTTGGATAGCTCCCCTCACTGATGATAATAAGACCCGTTGTTGTTGTTGTTGTTGTTGTTGTTGTTGTTGTTGTTGTTGTTGTTGTTGTTGTTGTTTATTATGTACTACTAAAACTGGGTTGTTTTACTGTTGTCGTAGGTGTTATAATTCGGTTGGTTGGTGGTGGTGGTGGTGGTGGTGGTTCTGGCAGTCAGTTTTAAAGGATAGAAGGGCTTGTAGTAGTCTTATAACAGTGCGCTTAGGACTAGAACTACTAAACAATTTTGGCTAAGTAGTGCATATCATTATTGAATCTATATATCGATCGAATACTATGCCACAGAAAAACAAACATCTGACACCGGCCAGTGCTGATTTGCATACCAGCCACACAACAACATTAGTAGTCTAGTCAACTGAATATTTCGATCAACTAACCGGGACAACGTACTGACAGCTGTCCGTCCAGTTATTGATGCAGAAATAGAAACACAAATGCCACCGTTTGGTATGTACGGAAAGGTATTATCTATAGATAGCTATGCTGATATGATCAGGACAAATCACTCAACAGTATGTAAAAGAGACGACGAGCAAGTGCACAATGGCAGTCATTTCCAGCATGAACACCGCACTGTTGAAATGAGATCATTTCTCGTCCATAGCGGGCGACACGGCGCGGATCTGAGGCGACTGCTGGCCATGGGATTGCCCTTGCTCCAGATCAGCTGGGTCGCGGCTGCTGATGCTGTTGCGATGACGGAAGAATCGGCCGCGACTGACAGAGGACAAACTGTGACCACCCTGGGATTCCATTGACTGGCGACCGGAGCGCGCCGCAGACGGGGCGGCGCTGGTGTTGGAGTGGCTTCGGCGGTGAGAGGTAGATGCACGGCTCTGCCGCTCGGCTTGCTCTTCCTCTTCTTCCTGGATGCGACGCTCCGCGGTTTCACGGTTGGCCATCCGGACAACGTCATCCACACGAGTGCGGCGGTCTTCAAACACATCACCCATAACGTCGCCGGAAGAAACGTCGCGCATGCCCAGAGAGAAGTCAACATGCTTTCGCGTGAGCATTGAGTCACCACGGGCCCGGGCAGCGGCGGCGTCCGCGCCCTTGCGAAGGATAGAATGCTGGCGGACAGAGCTGCTGGTGCCCATATTTTCGGGGAGCGAATCGTGCTGGTGGACAGGGGTGGGAGGAGGCCGGCCATCACTGCTGCCGGGAGGAGCGCCCATGTTATGCGAAGGGAACCCGGCGACATGGAAGGGAATGTCGACACGGGCACCCTGGAGGTTCATGCGTGGGCCTTCGATGCCAATCTCTTGCAAGGCAAGCATCAGCATGCAAATGAACTTATTGCGACGTTGCAAACGCAAGCCCTCATTTTGCCAGTTGGACTTGTAGAAGAAGACAACATTGAGGGTGACTGAGAAGTTTTCAGTCACCTCACGCATCTCAGTGAGGATGTTAGTCTGGAATTCCCGGCGTTCGCTGCGGACAAATTCCAACAACCGTTGGCGAAGACCATCAATTTGCTCGAGTGTCGTGCCATACTTGATGACAATAGGAACAGCCTCGGCCAGGGCACCTGATCTGCGCTGGTTGAGAATGAAGAGACCGTTCAGATAGCTGTTCGGGGCTTGAACAACGTGACCCTGCATCTTCTTGAACTCGGTATACAAGAGGGAAATCTGCTTGACGAAGTAGTCATCACCCAGGCCGGAATCACCTGAGTTACCATAAACTGTTACGCGGTCACCAACATCAAACGGGTGCTTGATGAAGACGAAAATGACCGACTGAAGGAACTCCTGTGCAGTGGCAGAGAACAGCCAAGACAACGCAAGGATACTGGAGCCTGCAGACGTGAGTACGCCGGCAGCCGAGGTGGAAATCAGGGTCAAGAAAACGATCAGGGCAATGACAATCACGAAGAATTCCAGTACGTTGTCAAGTCTTCCGACAACAGAGTCAAGGTCTTTCAAAGACGCAGTGATGGCTTTGCGTTCGCGTCCGATTTCCACGCACACAGACTCCAATTCCTCCATTGAAATATCTCCGTTCATGTCCTTGTCGAACATGGTAAAGGCAGCTTCGGCTTCGTCATTGTTATCAAACGCCTCCTTCAGATCTCCAGAGAAAACGGTCTCAAAGCCATCCCGCACGAGAGTCCGGTAGAGTCGCCGAGCCAAAACCTGGCAACCGCTCGTGGTTCGCAGCAAAGCCAGCACAACCTGGTAAGGGTGGTTGCTGTTGGTAGCCGTACGACCAGTGAAGTCCGCTGCAACTGCACCAGCAACATCACCAACCTTGGTGAAGGCACCCTTAGCAAGACGCCCCGCTTTACCAGCGTAATGGAACGGGATCTTGAGGCCGTTGTTAGAGCCGGGCTGCTTTTGCTCCTCAAATTCCTTGTCCTTGGCAGTAATTTTCCTCCGCGAGAATTCGTATAGTTTGGTCAAGCTGCCAATCTGGAACTTGTTGATCTCGATTCTATCGGCATAAGTACGTGTGTGGAAGCTGATGGCGATCAGCTGAATGATGAACTTCTCCACCAGGTTGAGGATCGTCCAAACGAAGACGGAAATGATGATCTTGTTGAGCGTGTTTTCCCAGGAGCGCGTCGTATGGTTTCCGTCCACGTGATGATTCTTCATCGTGGGGAGGAAAGAAATTTCGACACCCAACCACCAAAAGAAAAGGGTCGCATGCAGTTCCAATTGCTTGGCAAGATCACGCCATTTCTTTGCATTGTTGGTAAAGATACTGGCGAGCGCATTCACAGGTATAGGTATTAACTTGGAAACAATCTGCCAGGACTCGTATCAGCAACAGGGCAATGGGAAACGGGTGACGATATCAGGGGTACTCACTCTTCCAGCCCACAATGTCAACCAGACAATTTCCAACCAGACAGAAAACCAGACCAACCGGACACCTCCGACACTGGCATCTGGATATGCCAGCGCGCCAACCAACAACGGAATTAATAGGACGATCACAAGGGGCACGATGTAGGTAAGGTAACGGATGATGAAACTAGATTCGTGGAGTTTCTTGACGAATCTGGCAATGTTGGTATTGGGATTCTCGGGTGGGTTGTAGACTGCAGCTTTCTCATGCAGCGGATTAGTGGCCTCATCAAACTCGTCGACATGTTCGTTCGGGCGCGAGCGAGAACGTGAACGAGAGCGGGAGGTGGATGTACGGCCGCCGTTAACACTCTTTTTCGACTCTGCCTCTTGGGTGGAGCGCGAAACCATCCGTTCAGCCTCCATAACTGCCAGGTCGTCTTCTAGACGCGTAGATTCTTCTCTCGCAGTGACAGGAGAGCACAGGGCGGTCCTATCCAAGTCATTGTAAGAAGTGTCCACCCTCAGGTGGTGTCCATTACTAGAACTGTCATAGACGTAGGTTCCTTCGTCAGAGTCAGGAGTGCCATCGTCGTATCTGTGCTTGCTCTTCTCTTCCGGATGATCAGGAGAAAGATGCTCTCCCATAGACGTCGACATGTTGGCGCCAGGCCAGGAGTCGAAAGCGAAGAGCTAGATTACAGGCTAACCAGCAGTGGGATTATAGATCGAATTACTCCGAAACAGACTAGATGCTGGGTATGTTAGACGGGAATCGATCAAAAAGAAGCCATGCACAAGCTTAACCACGAGCACATAGTGAAGAATGAAGAATAAAAAAGTATAGACAAACGAAGGGAAACACCTGGAAGATAAAAGAGGGTCTGGTGCAAGCGAGAAAGAGCACGAGCAAGGGCGAAGGCTGACCTACACTGGTGGGAATTCCTTCCGAAAACCAGCAAAGCTAATGATGCATTGACTCTGGCCGGTGGCTCAAAAAGGAACGGGAGATAAGCGGGCACTAGTAGGATTGTGCAGATGGAGGAAAAGGAAAAATGCACAGAAGCAAGTAGTAGAGGGAGGGAAGAAGAAAAGGAAGCGTAATGAGTAGAATAGGACAGCGTGTAGGTGGGGAGCCCGTGAAAAGAAAAGAGAGAAAGAAAGAAAGGAAAAGACAGAAGGACAGAAAGGTACAGGACCAAGTGAGACTGGACCTTGGTTCGACAATTCGACAGCAGCAGAGCAGAAGGAGGAGGAGATCGATGCGGGCGAGATGCCGATCGCACGGGACAATTTAACCAACTGGAGATTCAATGACTGAAGTCTGAAGGTTTGGCAAAGTCCAGACCAATTCCATCCTCGAGTCAGACTTCGGTTATACTCATGAGTCTTCCTCCACACCATTTAATCGACACCATCCTGTGATGCCCTTTTACAGGGGACAACCGGTAATATCCGTGTTAGATAGACCCTCTACGTGGGAATAATCTCAGCCATCCGCCTTAAACAATGGTGGCCGCGGGTGGCGGTCATTCGACGATCCAAGACCTCGATCGATATGGATCCAAGTATCCAGTGGGCGTGCACTCAGCATCGGTTCTGGCCCAGTGGCGCCCAGTGGGTCCGAGTCATCTAACGTTAGAAACTTCAAACGGGTCCAAAGAAAACTCTGGGACCCAGAATACCCTTCATGCTAACCCAAACTACCTGCGTTAGCTCCTCCATCGTTGCAGCCTTAGTCTGGTGTCTCACAGCGAGACTGCGTTCTCTGAGAGGGGGGGTCAGCTTGGCATTTCGCGGGATTTGGTCCTGCAGCGACAGAGAAGAGAGGGGAGATTATTCGGATTTATGTAGGAAATTCATCTCGCTTTGCAGATGCACAATCCGCGGATTTGATGGGGTGGGAGGTTTCCAGACAGATGTCAAGTCTGGAAAACAGACCAAATGATGTTATCTCATCCAGCGATTATTCTCCGAAAGTCTTGAACACAATAATAAATGTGGAAGACTGGAAGGGCAAAAGTGGCCACCGCCAAGAAACGCCACCTCAGGCACTCCCGGCTGTCCTCCAGCTGTGCACAACGTATTGCACAAAAGTCATCGTGGATTGATTCCTGGGTCAGCACTTACGTCGGAGAACCACATCTCGGAAATATTTTGCCCCCCACTACGCAGAATGCCCATGCTTGTTGCCCGGCCTCTATACAGTTCGTCAACCCCCCGGTTACTGTCCCTGCAGATTGTTGTAATTTTAATCCCGCTGCCGTTCCAACTTAAAAGGGATATTATGGTTTGTGAGGCGCGAGTCAGTGCAGTCTATAGCTTTAACACTAGTATATGGCGCTAAGCCTGGAGGATCCCACCATAGACACCATCTGAGTCTTGACGTCTCAAAAACCTGATTTCTACACGCTAGTGTTTTTTCCAAGCAGCCAATCCTTCACTTCAGTCTTAGATGGATGAATGAGACCGCCTCTTATGATAGGTGACAAAGAGGGACGCGGCTAACCTACCGAAAAATTATACCTCCCCAGCATGATATTCGGAATTACAAAGCGCCATCCTGATTGGCTTGTGCATTAAGTAATTGTATGCGCATACTTAGTTATGCTCCTGCTTGCCTCCATCCTCCATTATCTGCCACTTCCACTCACCCCATCACATTTTCAAAGAGCTGATCTCGATTGGGTTATCAGCTCGACATCATACCTTTAAGCACGCGAATTCCATTGGCAGGTCCGCTCTCGGTTGTTGACGTGTCTTGCCCCGCCATGTCCACTGAAGATCTCGGCGGTCATCTGCACGGTAGATGGGAAGGCCATGATAACCGTAAATGGAAGGTTATGAATTATGCTTACGAAGCTCGAATCATCGAAGTGCAAGGGCCATCTCGGTTACTCTGTAAACTGTAGTATGGCATCCATCGGTAACGGTTTGCCGTTCTCACAACGACTTGGCCGCATTGGTTCCCATCTACCTGCCGGGTGTTCGAGTGTTCCACAATGCCAAAATACGAACCAGAATTTGTGGTCAGGTCATTGTTGACTAGTAGTCATCGTGCCTGTCTGCCTGTTTTACGGCTCTTGTTAGTCCATGTAAAATAAACAACATGTAGGCATAGATGCGTAGGCATGGTGTAGGGGCAGAGTGCGGGGAAGATCGACACTAAACAGTTTCAAACTATCTCTTCCATCAAATTTCCATATCGTGCTTACTCGCCCCTCTGATTAGATCTACCGGGTACTCCATACAGCTAAATATTGTAAGGCCAGCAGGGGCATCGCAGCTACCCCTGGTCTGTGCAGGTCAAACCGCTGTCACACATCACGAATCCCAAGGATGGCTTCCCCGCATTCCACGGCAGAGGGCACGTGGAGTATGGAGGATTCCGCTATGACAGGAAAGAGATGTAATAGCTTGGAAAGAACTCCGCAGTTGATAGATTCTCTGGTGTATCGGGGCGTCAAAACATTAGCACCCGGTTCTATGGGAGGGAAAGAGAGAGAGACCAAGTGAAGTTCACGTGCTGATCGACTGATCGGTCGGAAGCAGAAGGGCCGCTGATTGGTCGAAGGAGCCTTGTCTTGTTTATTGGACCGGCAAGAACGACTGATGCTCTCTCTTTCCATCCTCCATCCTATTGATCCAGTAACTCCCTCATCCTCCATCTCTTTCCTCTCTTCTTCTTCCATCATCCTCTGGGGGTTCAGTCTACTGCTTGTCATCCCAGACTATTGACCATTATCAAGACCTTGCTGAGCGAATCCCTTGCGTTTGTTTACGACGATAATTGGATCCATTCTCCAACATGCGAGGCGAAGTATACCCCCCGTTGTATTTACCTTTGGACCCCCGCACCGTCACCCCCTCCCCTTATCCATAAACATCCATTCCCACAACCTCACGTACCAGCACTCATTCAACTTCCTCATCGCAGCTTGACTTCCCTTTATTCTAACTATTTCGTTCCATCAGGTCTGCCATATCCACATCGGCCAGGCTGGTATCCAGCTTGGTAACAGTGCTTGGGAGCTGTACGTCCTCACCGCTTTTTATTGTACCCCGATATAGATGCCTTCATAGATGATTTCATGCTGACCGCGGCCATCACGGCAGGTACCTCCTTGAACACGGTCTCAAGGCAGATGGCCAGCTCAATCCTGAGGCTGACGACGCAATCAATTCTGGCGGTTCGTTCGAAACCTTCTTCACCGAAACGCACAGCGGCAAATATGTCCCTCGCTCTATCTTCGTGGATCTTGATCCTTCGGTACGACTTTATCCAATCAAAATGGCTTATTGAATGTATATGGTAAACTGATGGATGCAGCCCGTCGATGAGATCCGCACCGGCCAGTACCGTCAACTCTTCCACCCTGAAACGTTGATTAGCGGAAAGGAAGACGCCGCCAACAACTGTACGAACTACTTCTGGTCGGGCCTGAACATGTAAGCTAATGCTTGTCAGATGCCCGTGGACATTACACCATCGGTAAGGAGCTTGTCGAAGCAGTTGCCGACCGCATTCGTCGTGTCTCCGGTAGGTTAACCACAATCCTCTGAAACCTGACTCTTCGGGAAGTAAGCTTACACACACAAGATAACTGCAACTCCCTGCAGGGATTCTTGGTTTTCCACTCCTTCGGCGGTGGTACCGGCTCCGGATTTGGTGCCTTGCTGCTCGAGCGTCTTTCCACCGATTATGGAAAGAAGTCGAAGCTCGAGTTTGCGGTGTACCCTTCCCCTCGTGTGTCGACCGCCGTCGTTGAGCCATACAACGCCGTTCTCTCCACCCACAGCACGATTGAGAATGCAGATTGCACCTTCTTGGTGGACAACGAGGCGGTTTACGACATCTGTCGCCGCAACTTGGACATCCCACGTCCCGGCTATGAGCACCTCAACCGCCTGATCGCACAGGTCGTCAGCTCCATCACCTCCAGTCTCAGATTCGATGGTGCCCTCAATGTCGACTTGACTGAGTTCCAGACCAACTTGGTGCCATTCCCTCGTATTCACTATCCGTTGATCTCGTATGCACCTGTGGTCTCGAGCAGCCGCAGCTCCCACGAGAGCTTTAAGGTGCAGGATCTCACCTTCCAGTGTATGTACTTCTCTTTGGGACTTTTCGTCTAGGCATTGGTGGTGGTAGATGGCTAACGGTGGCTGCAGGTTTTGAGCCGAACAATCAGATGGTGGTTTGTGATCCTCGCAAGGGCAAGTATATGGCAGTGGCTCTGCTGTACCGCGGTGACGTGGTACCCCGTGACTGCACCCAGGCCATCGCCTCCCTCAAGGCCAAGGCCTCGTTCAATCTCGTTGAATGGTGCCCCACCGGCTTCAAGTTGGGTATCAATTACCAGAAGCCCGTTCGGGTTCCCGATACTGAGCTGGCTCCGGTCGACCGCTCCGTCAGCATGCTCTCAAACACGACCTCCATTGCTGAAGCATGGGGCCGTCTTGACCACAAATTCGACCTCATGTACTCGAAGCGCGCCTTCGTTCACTGGTACGTGGGCGAGGGTATGGAGGAAGGCGAGTTCTCCGAAGCTCGTGAGGACCTGGCTGCGCTGGAGAAGGACTATGAAGAAGTTGCCAATGACAGTCTGGAGCCGGAGGGTGAGGAGGGTGAGTACTGACACCTTTCACTACCCTAATGGCTTGTACTGCTTTGGTCACTTCGTTTCTTGGTCTGTCTCACTTTGCCGGTCAAATTGTGTCTGCCCCGTCCTTTATGCTTGTGACAACCCCCTTCCTTCTGTTCATGCGTCCCTAGCGTTGTTTAATTTCCCTGCTCTTACTTAATGAACCGATACATGCGCTGCGGGAGAATATGAGCACACGAATCCATCGGTCTTTTGAAAGGACGTGAGAGTGTATTCCACGTGGAAAAGGAAAAAGTCTAGTATTCTATCAGATAATATACACAATCAGGTGGTTGCGAGTGCGCGGGATCCTGTAAGCTCAATCCTCCTTGCTCGTAGCTACCTCCATATCCTGGAGAAGCCGTAAAGAAGTCTCATAGGTCCACATCGTCACCGCACTCGCGGGAGCAGCCTTGAACAAGCTGACCGTCAAGCCCCGATAAAGTCCCCGGATACCCTGTGTCCGTAGGATCAATTTCATCGTATTAAACACACCCTGATACTCAGGAATATTGCGATGAATATATAACTGCCGCGTCGGGCCCTGCACCTGCAACCTCTTCCGAATCAAATCCAACGGAAACATCACCGTCTTCGACGACACACTCGCAATCACACCGGCCGCCGCATCCCCCGATCCAAACGGCAAATCCTGATACTGCGCCAACGGCGGCCTCAACGCCTCATACGTCGCAAAGAACAGTCCCATATACGGGACAATCTGTCCCACCGCCGCACTACATCCCCGAAAGAACCCGGCATACCCTTCATTCCGCGCAATATCCCTCACCGACGACATCAGCGAGGTGTACACCCGGTCCGTGCCCTGCGCGGCGAACCGCGTCCTCAGTAGATCCAGTGGGTATGTAGATGCCGTTGCGAGACCTCCGGCTGTGGCGCCCGCGACGAAGGACTCTGCGGATGGTGGAAGACGATAGGTGTCGAGTTGTGCTAGCGCTTGGGTTGTTGTTCGGTATGCGCTGAATTGGATCACCCCGTAGCAGACGTACATTAGTTCGGCGGGGATGTTGCCTTTCCAGAGGCCTGTTATACCCTCTTGACGGATGATGTCTCGCATTGTCGAGAGGGTGCCCTTGTAGATGGGACCGGTTACATCGCGGTGGGAGATGGGGTCCGATAGGGAGTGTATTTGTAGCTGCAGGCGGATTTTGACGACGTCGAGGGGGGCGACGCAGAATCTGGATGTAGATTGATGGATTAGGTGGTTGTTTGGAAGATTGTTTTAGGGGATATGGGAGTGGGCGCACCGTGATACGAGGCCGGCTATTCCGCCTGCTAGGACGACTTGTCGTCGTGTGCCCTGGATAGTTGTAGAGTTTATCAGCTTGTGCATTTGGATTGAGAATTGAGAGATGGTGCTAGGGGCCTGGGATGTCCATGGCTGGATTGTTGAATGGATGGATGGTGCATGAGGATCTGGGGTGGCTGCGTACCTCATCCTTGAGGTGTTCTCCCCCGGCCGACATGCATGTGACGGTGGATGGTTAATGCGAGAGAGATGTAGGTATTTGAAGCAAAATCGATGGTCGCGAGTGATAGCACGTTATATAAAAGTTGTCATTGATGTGGTTTTCCCCGTGGTGGTGGAGTGTTGTAAGTGGTTGTTTCGCTTATGGCCTTGTAGAAAGGCGACGGGCAAAAGAAAAAAGGGTAAAAATGATGCTAACGCTCTAGAGGTATGACGTGTGTCTGTTGCTGGTTCTTTTCTTTTTTCCTGCGGACGGACTTTCGGAGACTTCAAACTGCCGGATTTAGTTCCGTGGATACTTTGTTGACTTTGTTCACACTTGGATTTATCTACTATGCTACTGCTATTTATGTGATGTTAATTTAGCAGCGGGCAATTATGCTCCGTCTGGAACAAGCAACACAAGGGATGGCAAGAATATCTCCTGGTGGATGATGATGCCTGGTGTCTCTGCCTGACTGCCTGACTGCCTGGTTTGTACTCTAAAGCGGCGGCGAGTCAGTGCCCAATCAGGTGCCATCTGAAAAACCTCGGTACAAACAAAGTCGCATCGGATCATAAGTTATTATCTGGGGGATCTCCTGGCGTCCCACTTCTTCCCCAGCTCTCCTTCACCCCCCAACCCTGGAGTCCTTGGATGCGGGCACCTTCAGGCTCTTCATAGCAGGTCTCCTCGCTGCTAGTATCCGCCATGTCTCGTCTGTTGCGAACCGCCTTCCGCCTTCCCCGGGCCTCATTCCCTCCGGCCTCCGTTCTCAGCCGTCGTGTCTATTCGTCCTCTGTCGTTCGTCGCTCAGCAGCTAATGCTATCCCTCCCTCCGACAATGTGGCTCCCATACCAAGTGATGCTGCTCCCACAGCTAGCAGTGTTGCCTCCGCAGCCAGCATTGCGGCCGCCGAACCGAGTGCATCACATGAAATAGCAGATGCAAGCAATGATCCTGCATCATCGCAGTCCAATCAATCCTCACCTCCGGAAGCAGGTGATCAGCACGACGAAAAGACCCAGACAACGAGCGCCGGGACAGTGGAATATCAGGATGATAAATACACAATTAGACGCAAAGAAGGAGGCCTAGTCATCGAAGAAGGTCGCAAACGCCCCATTGAAATCCTAGACATTATCCTTCGCGACTCCTGCAAATGCTCTTCCTGCGTGGACCCTCACTCCAAGCAACGCAATTTCCGCACGAGCGACATATCCTCTGACATCATCTCGGAGAACCCTACCATCAAGCACGGAAAGCTGCACGTAACATGGAAGAACGACTTCCGCGGCGCTCCTGCCGAATCCGCACACGAGTCCACATACGATCTCCGCCAGCTCCGACACCCCATCATCTCCCCCGTGGAAATGGAGTCCGCGGGCAAAAACCGCTGGCGAGCATATTGGGACAACAGCCGCATGCAACACTGGCAGCACTGGATCACCTACGACCAGTTCATCAACAACGACATCTCCTTCGCGTGGTCCATGCGTACCCTCGCCGAACTCGGCCTCATCTTCATCAAAGACATCCCAGACTCGCGCGAAATGGTCGAGAAGATCGCCACCCGCATGGGTCCCATCCGCGATACCTTCTACGGCCGCACCTGGGACGTGCGCAGCATCCCCCAAGCCACCAACGTCGCCTACACAGACCAGTTCCTCGGCTTCCACATGGACCTGATGTACATGAACGACCCACCCGGCTACCAGCTTCTGCACTGTCTCCAGAACTCCTGCGAGGGAGGCGAATCCCTCTTCGTCGACACCTTCCGCGTAGCATACGACATGAAACAGGACGACCACAAAAACTACTCCCGTCTCCTTCATCATCACATCCCCTACCACTACAACCACCCGGACCACTTCTACACGAATTCTTGGCCCGTCTTCGAAACAGAGACCTTTGATAACAGCGTCACGGAGGGAACTAACTTCGCTAAATCCCGTCTCGTTCACGTCAATTATTCGCCTCCGTTTCAGGCACCCAGGAAGGTGCAGTCTCCTGTGCCCCGCAAGTTCCGCGAGAAGAATGAGGCTCTCGCTAAATTCGCTTCTCTGCTGGAGGACGAACGATATATGTTCGAGCTGAAGTTGAACCCCGGTGAATGTGTTGTCTTCGAGAATCGCCGTGTGGCGCACGCGCGTCGTGGGTTCAAGACTAGTACTGGTGAGAGGTGGTTGGCTGGTGCGTATGTGGATGAGGATGCTATGTTGTCTGGGTTTAAGACTTCGTCGAATAAGTATCCGAATTTGTGGAGGTTGAAGCGGAAGGGACTGAATAGTAAACATGTGAAGATGTTGAAGGGGGTGAATAAGCCGGATGAGCTGCCCTAGATTTTGACTTATTTAGGGTGGGGATAGCGAGAGGGAAGCAGATATCCATTGTTAATGATACGAAGAGAGGAAGATGTATCATACACGTTTTGTACGTACTGCATACAGCTGTGACCTGAGGGTCCGATACATGAATACTATACATAGTTATACGAAGTGGTGTTGAATGAGTCAATCAAATAATAAATGGTCTTTTATTTAGTAGGTTTTATATAAAGGGCGACGCAATTCCCATGGCACTCATGGGTATAGATATCATCCAGTCAAGTACTATGTAATCAGCGAATAAATTATAGACACAGGAAAGAAGGAGCAAGACGCCGCTAGATCTCAAGCTCTAACCATTGAGAGTTGGAAAGACAAACGTGAAAATAATAAGGTAGAGAAACTGGGTACCCAATACGGACAAAGCCGCGGTATTATTCGACTTGAAATTCTATAGCCTAAGCAGCGGGCTTGTTAACGGAGAAGCGGTCCAGAAACTCGGGATCGTTCTCAAGTTCCTCCTTGACCTTTTAGAAACATTACGTTAGTACTGCAGACACACCATGAAAGGTAAAGGGGCGGAAGGAGGGGCCTTACAATATCCAATCCACCAACCAACTCACCCTCAACCCACAACTGCGGGAAGGTAGGCCAATCTGCAAACTCCTTCAAGCCCTGTCTCACATCCTCATCGGCCAAGATGTTGAAGAACCCGTACTTGACGCTCCGCTCACGCAGAATGCCCACGATTTGCCGACTGAATCCACACTGAGGCGCACTGGGAGATCCCTTCATGAACAACATCACCGGCGCAGCCTTCACCAACTCCGCGAGACGCGCAAACAGCGCCTCCTTCGGCTGTTCGGGGGTCAATGCGGGGGCAGCTGCGTTGCCGTTCGTGGCGGGCGCCTGTGTAGCGGTGGCGGGAACGTTCTCTCGAGGCACGGCTGTCAATGGTGGGGGGATGACGGTCTTGGGAGCACCGTCTGCAGAGGCGGCGGCAGCGGCACCGGCGTGGCGCTCAACGGCATCGCGCACTTGGATTGCTTCACTGCCGCTAATGGTTTCGAGAATCTTGTTGTCCCGGACGAGGACTACGAAGGGAACAGCGGTGACATTGTACTCTTCCGAGATATCAGGGAGCTCCTCGGCGTTAACGCTGAGGAAGGCGATGGAGGGAGGGTTGGTCGCGGGGTACTGGGAGGCGAGGGCGGAGATGACGGCGCGCATTTGGGCGCAAGGAGCAGCCCAGGGGGCGTGGAAGTAGAGAACCTGTAGGCATGACGGGGGGATGGAGGAGATGATGTTAGGGAATTCGGCCTCAGAGGCGACTTCAACGAGGGAGGACATGGTGATAGTTCGGTTGGGTTACTGAGGTGGGGTTTCGGCGGGGAAAACTTGGCGTCTGATGTGACGATGGGAGGAAGAAGATTATGAGAAGGATGAGTGGAGTTGGTAGGGAAGGCAAATAAACTTGGGAGCGGAGGAGGATCAGGGAGGGAAGAAGACAAGAGGCAGAGGAGAAAGAGTCACGGAGTGCCCCACGGTGTGGCCGAGATGGAGGGAAGATGGAGAGCAGGGGAAGATGGAGAGCAGAGGAAGATGGCTGGCCGATGGCGAATTTTTGGCCGCTTATCAGATCGAACCGTCGGGGCCGTTTGTAATACACGGTCCTTACCCGCTTTCTGCCCTGCGATCTTCGGCGTAAGACGGAGACGCGATGGCTCCGATGGTGTGTCAGCAACAAGATACTGCCATGAGTGCTAGCAGTCACTCTGTGGCCAATGCGCTTGACGCTATAGGTGCTGGATTCCACTATCTAACTTCATTAATCTATGTTGATTGTTCTTGCAGCATCTGAACGCAGGAACATGCTGCTCCGTTGATAGGCGGACCTAGCCCTGCATGCCATCCGTACCGTACGGTAACCAGATAGATTATCATCACGTGCCTCAAAAGTCGGCGGGATTCTGCGTCGCGCGACCTCTGTCGATCTTCTGGTCGCCAATTCCCCATCCTTGCCTAGACCTGCCTGTAACTGTCTGAGTCGGCATTGCGATATCGGAAGCACGCTGAGTGATTCTGGTCGATTCTTCTGCAGCTAGCAGGCCTTCCGAGCCCCCGAACCTGTCGTGATTTGTTCTTTGCCGCCCCGGTCGTCGCTTTAAACATCATGGGAGGAAACAAGCGCAAGCGCACAGAGGCTGGATGTTCAGATGACGAAGATCCAGTAAGAGGCAGCTCAGATGCGAATAGCTTTGGCGTTGCTCAAACGCTTTCGCTCCTAAACTCGGGCAAGACAAAGTCTCAGAACGGTATCGACTCGGAAGAACCTGGGAAGGCGCAGGATGAAATGCTGAAGGAAAGAGCTTCGAAGAAGAAGCGCGTGGATGGGGAGAAGACAAAATACCCCGTCCTTACCTATGTTGAAGGAAAATTGCAATCATCCATCCGGATCTCCGATCTCCAGAGTCTGCTACTCTACTGCTTTGCTGATGGCGTCGCGCCGCAGTGGATCTCAATAAAACACTCTGGTCATGTTAGGAAGATTGTCGTGCTGATGGTGCCTGGTCTGGAACTGGGCATGTTCGATGGTTCACTTCCTTTGGATGCAGATTCAGTTACTGAGAAGGAGACGGAAGAACCTGCCGGTGCGGACAAGGCAATGGAGGAGGATACAAAAGCGGAAGAATTTGCTCGCTGGAAGCAAGGCCTGCCGCTGGAGGACCGGTCACATCGGTTCAATCCTCGCCCTCTTTCGCGTGGTGACCTTCCGGCTCCCCTACAACCGCTAGCGGACATGTTTCCTCACGCCTGGCCCGTAAAAGCCCCCGGTGATTCTAAGTACAACAAGATCCACTCTCCACTTCAAGCCATACTTCTATCTGCTCTACCGAAGGGCAAGGACAGTAACACGAAGGGAGTAAAACCTCCCAAGGTGGACAAGAGTATCGCCTTCCAGCGTACACCAATCACCACTTTTATCAGCTCCCTGGAAGATCTCCGGGAGAACGACTATGTGCTTCATCCGGCTCTGCTCGCCACAGAACAAGAGAAGTCGACTTTGTTGGAGAGCCGTAAGCGGGCCGGACATTCCAAGGAAGATGGATGGGTAGATACTCACGTCGAGAGCTTGGAGGCTGGTCAGGTACCAGACTCTGAAATCCAGCAAGGCAGCATGACCGCAGGCCGGGATGTGCTAGCGTTGGATTGCGAGATGTGTATAACTGAAGGTGGCCAATCCGAGCTCACGCGCATCAGCATGGTCCGGTGGGATGGTGAAGTCGTACTAGATGAGTTGGTGAAACCCCAGCGACCTATCATCGACTATTTGACTCGTTTCTCTGGTATCACGAAAGAATTACTCGATCCCGTCACCACCACCCTTGCCGATGTCCAGCAGAAGCTTCTCTCCCTCCTTACTCCTCGTACCATTCTCGTCGGCCACTCCCTGAATTCCGATTTTAGCGCCCTGAAACTCACTCACCCGTTCATCGTCGACACCACATTTATTTACCCCCATCCCCGCGGGCCGCCGCTCAAGTGCAGTTTGAGATGGCTCACCCAGAAGTATCTCGGAAAAGAGATCCAGAAGGGCCAGACCGGCCACGACTCGATCGAAGATGCGCGCGCAGTGCTCGAACTTGTGAAGCAGAAGTGCGAAAAGGGTGAGCGCTGGGGCACCAGTGAGGCATCGAACGAGAGTATTTTCAAGCGCCTCGCACGCTCCATGCGTTCGGGGAAATCGGCCACCAACGAAGGCCGCACCGGAGCTGTTGTCGACTGGGGCAACCCCGAGCGCGGCTTTGGGTCACAGGCGACTGCATCGATAGGGTGCAGCAACGACACCGACGTAGTAAATGGCATCTCGAAGGTAGTCAACGGCGATGACAGCAACCCCTCCATTCCCGGAGGTGGTGTTGACTTCACATGGGCTAGGTTGCGTGAGCTTGAAGTTTATCGCGGCTGGTGCAATCGGATGCCCGACCCCAACAACGCCAACGAGTCGACGACGCTCGTTCCCCCTCCTGAAGAAACGACTCCGACATCCGCCGCCGTCTCCCCCACCAAAGAAGCCACTCGCAACCTCGCCGACACCGTCTCTCGTACCGTCTCCAACATCCACCAAATCTACCAATCCCTCCCACCTTGCACGTTATTCCTTGTCTACTCTGGTACCGGAGATCCCCGCGAAGTCAGCCGCCTCCAAGCCATGCACAAGACCTTCCGCGAAGAATTCAACTCCCGCAAACCGTGGGATGAGCTGACTGTCAAATGGACCGATACTGAGGAGCAGGCGCTCAAGAAGGCCTGTGAGCGAGCCAGAGAAGGCTGCGGGTTCATGTGTGTGAAGTAATAAACATCTTACCTTTTTTTTCTTCTTATTACGTCAATTATTTTTTGCTCTTCCGTACGGGACTGTGTTTTTGACCAGGCAGCAGACCGGGTTCAGGATACAGGTCCTGGTGGTTTGGTTCGCTTATTGGGAATGCCTTTCGAGGCTTCTTGCGGAGGTTCCCCATGCTTTGAACTCTAGATTATGGGTATGCGAGCCGCGCTTCTGACCAAAACTTACTCGCCTACTACCTAACTGCCTAGTATCTACATTCTATCACGAACAAAAAGGCACAGGACATACTGAAGCGATCTCAAAATCGGACATTTTTGGATTGGTTGGTTAAAATTGGGCTGAACCACAGCCAGTGTGGGGATATCATTGTGCGGAAAGCTAGACTGGCAATCTCAGCCCAGTGGGGAAATGTATCAAAGAAGGGGGGCGCCATGAAAGAGCTAGTAAATAGTAAGGCGGCGGGTGATCCCTATAGAGACCTGTGTAGGGAGAAAAGAAAAGAAAAGGGGCCACTTTTTGTACAAACACATGAAAGAAGAAAAGAGAAGGGACGTCACATCACCCAAGGATAGAGTATAGATAATACATTTGATAGAAAGAAGGATGAAAGGAATAATAAAGTGAGCGGATCAGTCTAGCTTGCTTGCTTTTGTGTATCAAAACTGAAGACTTCACGTTTTTGTTTCTAAAGATCCCACTCAACTCGCTCTCACCGCGAATCCTCAGTCTCCATTGCTTCCTCGCGCTGCATAGCTAATCGTACCATGATATCTCGCGCTGCGGACTGTGCTTTGCGTTTCTCTCGTGTATCGGGCTTGTGCACTCCGTTTGCGCCGCCATGCGAGTTTTCTTTGCCTGTGTGTAGTGGGGGCGTTGGCTGTTGCTGTTGTTGTCGCTGTTCAGTCTGGTCTGGTACGTCGTCCCCGTTCTGAAACCCATTCTGTGTTTGCTCTGGCTCCGAAGGACGTGTGTCGGCATTAGCTGCGGCGGATTGGCGCCGTGACGGGGGCCGAGATCTACTGCGCAGGCTTCGTGAGTGAGCGGGTCGGTTCTCTTTTGTAGTGCGGATATCGCTGGGACTGGAATCCGTGAATTGGGTGTCTTTGTGCGTGTTGCCGTTTTGCTCGGTCAGTGCGGTGGGGTTTGGGCTTTCATTGTTCGCGTTGTTGGTGGGAATGTCTGGTTTAGCGGTCTGGCTGAATGATTTGCGCGAGGGTCGGCCGGGTCTGCGTCCACTGGTTGGGGGTTTATCTGTTGATTGAGATAGGCGGGGACGTTTTACTATGGCTTCTCGGTGAGAGGTGGCGGAGTTGTTACTGTTGTCGTGGTGATGGTTGTCGTCAAGGTCGTTTCCGTAATTGGGGGTTTGTTGCTGCTGCTGTTGTTGTCGTTGCGAGGGGTTGACTTCGATGTGGAGTTTGGGGGAGCCTGATGGTGTAGGCTCTTGGGTTGTTTTGTCTGTTGTGGACATGGATATGGAGTCCTTCAGTGGGATTTTGACTGGAGGTAGGCTGGCATCTTCTAGCGAGAAGTCTGCGATGCTGTCTGAAGAGTCATCGTCGAACGAATCTCTTATTGGGTGGGTGCGTCCGCTCGGAAATGAATCTGGCCAGGGCCGCTTCCGACTCCCCTGTAATAGGCCTGGGCTTCGGACTTCTGCAAGGACTGTTGTGTCGGCGTATAACGGTGGTGGTGGCGGCGGTTGTGCTTGTTTTAAAGTTTGTTCTTCCGCGTAGCGATTCCTCAACTTGAGTGCTTCGTTTTCGAGCTTCAGTCTTTCGATCTCATCGGCTTTGGATCTGAGTTCCTTCAACACTGTTGCAATCATCATGTCCTTGCTGGCGGGGGTGCCCATATCAGATGTGAATCGACCTGGGCCGTTCAATTCGATGCGCAGAGCGGTGAATGCGTTCTTCAACTCGGACATGGTATCGTGAAGGTTGCTGACAGAACTTGTGATGTGATCGAGGCTCAGACCTTGGTGCTGGATCTGTTGTTCCATAGACATGTTGTAGGGGTCTAGCTCCGTCGATGTAGTGGGTATCAGGGCCCCAGCATGGACTGGGGTTCGGTCTTGTCGGGAGGGAGGAGTCGGACAGAGGATGCGTTCGAGCGATCCATCCTTGAATACGGGCTCTACTGTGCGCATGGTAACAATTTCCCGGAACGACACCTTCGATAGCTTCCAGAAGATATTGGGGCTGCTTCCGTGTTAGTCGAGAAACGTGAGACAGATGCCTTCCAGAACAATCCCCCCACTTACCCATTGTCTAGAGAGCAGAGCACGCCCAACTTCTGTTGACAGAGCTTACAGGAGATTTCCTGGAGGATCCGGCCTCGTAGGGTACTCAGCTCTGATGATTGCGGGATCTGCTTCTTCTCCGAGGAGATGGAAATGCGATGCAGCTCAACGCTCAGCCATCCAGCCACTATGGAGTAAGAATTCGAAAGTTTAGCCCACTCGTTCTCCAGCGCAGCCAGCGAACTCGAGCATCGCGAGCACTGGCAGAGGATTGCGGGGCGGGTAAGCCGAGACAGATCCATGGCGGTGGACATGACGGGGAGGCGCGTTGGAACTCAGGCCTTGAAAGAGCGTCTGGCCGTGAGCCCGCGTGAAGTTGCGAGATGGACCAAAGTCAGGGCGCAAACCTGCCCGCAAAAGTCCAGAGGGATCTCGACTGCTGACTCAGCCGTCAATGGAGACACGTTGGCGGGTCGACCATTCCCGATTAGGCTATCGATAAGGGCCGCACGCGTTTCACTGTCGTCATACCCGGCCCTCCGTGTTTCCCGTTCAGTGGCTGGGCCCGGCTTCCGTTCCCCTCCGTGTATGTATCTTTACGTATGTTACCGTGATGCTTCTCCTGATCAGCCCAACTAGATATAGCCTCAGCTAGTTACTTCAATACCTATACACTTGGCATTGCTGGCAAGAATGCAGTCCATTGAGAATGATAGAATCTCTACAAAAAGGATCTCGATCATGCAATGATTGTATCACAATGCATGACCTTCTGCTTTCTTAATGACTTGGTGTATGGAGGAGAGCACTGGCCTTTTCTTCCGTCACAGCCAGATATGCAGGTAAGACTTTTGACAGTCCTCCAATTAACTTCCGTACTAAAGTCTGTTTAGTTTTAGTGTTGAACTAACTACTACCTAGATGCAGGCTTCCAGATATCTACATATCAGCACTCAGCACACATGTCACATCCTGGCCCTTACAATTTCTTGTTTCTGTTCCTCACCTGCTCATTATTTAACCTTGACTTTGCCTTGGTCAGATAACAAGTCTGTTCGGACATCCCTCATCGGAGAAGTTTAATATCCAGGAGAGTATAAACTATAATTGTCTTCATCTGCAGAAAACAAGCCAGTAGCCTTGACATGCGGCTTTTTTGGCTAGCATTGTCTGGGTTCATATGATTCTTCTCAATGAGCGCGTAGTTATTCATCGCACCTCGGCTTAAATGGAGGGAACCAGGTCTCACTATCATTCTTTGCCTGTATGGAAGATGTTGAAAGTGGGACATGGCTTCGTGGAGCTTTGTTTTAGAAAACTATAAAAGGTTAATTGGAACTGTAAGGTTTACTTGGTGAAGTAGGTGTCGAAGGTGTAAGATTAGCGGACGATGTAAGCTGCTGAATCTGCTAGGTTTCATCTAAGTTCATAGTCCCAAACGCATCCTTTAAGCTGTGGTGGTGCTCAAGACTTGATAAGTCTATACTAGAGAAGAACGCTTCTACTTCAAAAATTGATCATGAGAGGAACTAGGCCGAATCGAGTATGAACCATGCACCGCCTGGGCCCATCTCATTGTCGAATCACAGCCCTCCGGAGAATCTCCTCATTGTTCCTATCGGTGATTAGTCACTTTTTGCTTTCCCTCGGAATGTCCCCCGCATGCCCGTTAGATTAACAGCCAATTCGTTGCCGCTGCCTACTTGCTTTTGCCTTAGCCCTGTTATCATTTCAGTTTTGAGGCTCGATGGGATCCTTGGCCCGCTATTCTCTTCGATCCTTGTTTCCTTTAAGACCCTCCTTCCCAATCCCAAGATCCGCATACCGTTCCAGGATCGCCATGGCTAGCGTATCAACAGCTTCCAATGGAAGCAGACCCAGCACGTGGCAGGGCGCTGGGGCAGCTGAGTTTGACCTGAGAAGTGAGTATGACTCATAGCAGAAGAATGCTGCCATCGTGATGTCCGCTTTTGCTGAGAATCATGTGTCGTAAGGTGATACAATGACCAAGCCAACTCCGGCAATGCTCGAGGCTATCTGCCAGACCACACTTCTTGACGATGTCTTCGGTGAAGACCCAGTGACAAATGATCTTGAAGCTTATGTGGCAGAGCGTACTCAACATGAAAGCGCTCTCTTGGTCATGTCTGGCACAATGGGCAACCAGGTTGCCATCCGCACGCACCTGAAGGAACCGCCTTATTCTGTCTTGTGCGATCATCGGTCTCATATCATCTGTTACGAGGCTGGTGGAGTAAGCTCCCTCACGGGCGCTACAGTCATGCCCGTCACCCCGAAGAATGGTGTTCACCTTACTTTGGAGGATATTAAGAAACATGCGGTACTCAGCGATAACATCCACTACTGTCCTACGAAGCTCATCAGTCTTGAGAACACGTTGGATGGGATGGTTATGCCACTTTCTGAGGCTCGGCGTATCACTGAATGGGCCCATCAAAACAACATCAAGGTCCATCTGGATGGTGCGAGACTTTGGGAAGCAGTGGTGTCCGGTGCCGGTAGTTTGCCTGACTACACTACTTTGTTCGATAGCGTAAGCCTATGTTTCTCGAAGGGCTTAGGTGCCCCCATTGGAAGTATTATTGTTGGCTCGAACGAGTTCATCAAGAAAGCTCGATGGTTTCGCAAATCCATCGGTGGTGGTGTACGTCAAGCTGGAGTCATCTCTGCGGCGGCCCGCGTCGCGGTTGAGGAGACGTTTGGACCAGACCCCAATGGACAGCAAGGGAAGCTTCTAGGGTCTCATCAGAGAGCAAAGAAGGTTGCCGATATGTGGACTAGCCGTGGAGGCAAGCTATCTCACCCTGTACAGACCAACATGGTGTGGTTGGACGTCGAGGGGTCGGGCTTGGGGCCTGATGACCTGGCTGAGATCGGACGTGAAAAGGGGTTGAAGCTTGGGGGTAGTCGCATTGTCGTCCACTACCGTAAGTATCCCTTTCCCATGCGAACTACTCTCTCCTAATCAATCTAACATGACTGCAGAGGTATCCGAAGAGTCCCTCTCTCGACTCGAGCAGGTGTTTGAGGCAGCTATGAACAAGAAAGCTTGAGCGTAGTACTGACTAAAGTAATTATACGGTAGTCGCTGAATAATAGCTCTAGTGGATATAGGATAGACCCGACCTGAATCACTAGGAAGTAAATCGATCTGAAGTCGAGTGTCACGCGTTGGATCCACGGATTCATTAGATGCGGTGTGTTCCGCCCGCCTATGCGCAAGGCGCACTCTTATTGGCTCAGGCGTGGCCGTCCGGGGTTCTGCCTTGTTGGTGCCTGGGGCTCTGCTGGACTTTCAAATTAAAGAGCTGCGGTTTACCACCCCAGCCTTGCTGCTGCATGTTTCTCGGACGACGACTCCTGTCGGACAGTCTCTCGTCTCGTCTCAGTCCCTGGCTCCACCTTTCATGCTCCCTCTATCGCATCTCCAGAGCCTGGCAATGCAGTAGATAGTTGGTGGAGACTTTGCTAGCTGTGTGAGTCTAACTTTCCGTTCTCTGTGCACTGTTGTTTGTTACATGGGCATCCTTGACTGATACCTGAACTTGCTATAGAAATACGCTTGGTGTCCCTCACAAAGCCCCTTCGACAAATTCCCCTTTCGCTCCTTGCTTCAATGGTCCAACACTACGAATTCCTGAGCAGTTTAGGTCCCAATCTGGTTGGCTTTCAAGCCTGGGGCTATCCATCACGACTGAGATACTTTTAAGACCTCGCTGCCTATCGCTCGAAGGCACACTGTATAAAGTCTTGTTTGGTACATTTACTGGCCCTCGTCCTGCCAGATTATTATCGCATACACCAGGCCTTGGATAATTTGGGTGTGATATCGGGGTGCGCTCTCTTAAGGTTGCTGGAACATCGCGCGGGCTGGTGCTGTCGTTTGGTTGCTCGCCAGGTAAGGTCTTTCATACCTTCCTGCATCGCTGCAAGAATTGTTCAAACATACAAACGAACAATCTTAAAATCCTAGCAAGGCTTATACTTCCAATAGGTCTATGATATGGAGTCCTGTTGATCATCGCCTTGGTTACGCATAGTCCTATTCCCATTTCTCTACTCGCAACCCCTGCACATATACCCTTCAGTGTTTGTCTTGTCAAATAGTTTGCTCCTACTTTTTTTTGCATTTTTTTTTTTTTTCTTTCTTCACAATATTCTTTCATTTCCCGGCAGTCGCACTGGTTTTGTCAGCCCTCGACGTCATCATCAATATCCGTGCAGATGGAGGCGACCCAGGAGTCCACCCAGCCATGCACGGACCCTCGCCGCATGGGCTACAACAATTCGGCCCTCCACGAGGATGATCTGACGGACATTGTTTGTATCTTACACCCAAATTCACCTGCAGCCCATGATGCTGTAGCCGCAACTGCGCGCCACGCCCCGCAGCACATCCTACAAAGGGATGCGCTAGAATATGAATGTTCAGATACCGCAGCTTTGGACTTCGCTCTTAGACTGTCATCAGATGTGCATGACGCAAACACGGGCTTTTGCTTCGGACGGAACAGGGCTCGCTGCGATCTTCTCATTGCTGATGCTAATTCGAAACGTATTTCGAACACGCACTTCCGCATCTATCTCACGCAAGATGGGATCATAATGCTGGAGGACACCTCCACCAATGGAACGATCGTAGACAACTGCCGTCTTCGCAAGATTCAACGTGAGAAGAGCCGCATGCTAGTCAATGGTTCCGTCATTCAGGTGCCGAATGGTGAGGGGCAGTCTTCGGAGGAAGTCAGATTTATCGTGCGCCTGCCATCCCGGGAAGGCTTTGTCATGCAGTACACCGAAAATATGCTTCGCTACTTCGAAAAGATTGAGACGCAAAGAGCAGGTGCGGCGCAGCCCAGAGCTCGTACAACCCCCGCGCCCGCTCTGCAGATCGCTTCACCAAATACGTACGGCATGCACTGGTCTGGCGGAGCAATCTACAACGTAACGGGGCAAATAGGCAAGGGAGCCTTTGCAACGGTCTACAAACTCGCTACAAAGCAGCATGGTTCTGTGTATGCAGCTAAAGAACTCGACAAGCGCCGCTGGATGAAAAATGGCATACTCGACAAGAAGGTTGACAATGAAATGAAGATTATGAAAGATCTGAAACACGTGAGTAATCACATCAAATAAAGTTGTGGACTTTCCTGTTAACATTAATACCTTCCAGCCCAATATCGTCCAATACGTCGACCATCACGAACACGACAGATGGATATACATCATCATGGAGTACGTTCCCGGTGGAGAGCTGTCCACATACTTGCAGTCGCATGGCAGGATCGCAGAGCCCCAGGTTAGGACTATGGCGCGACAAATCTTGCATGCACTCCACTATCTACATAAACGGAAGATCACGCATCGGGATATCAAGCCAGACAATATCTTGATCTCGTCTCTTGATCCCCTACGGGTGAAATTGTCGGACTTTGGTCTTTCAAAAGTAGTCCAGGAAGAGACTTTTCTGAGGACGTTCTGTGGAACTTTGCTGTACTGCGCCCCGGAAGTCTATCCCGAGTATGACACTTACCGGCGTGGTGAGGTTCGGAAACGGCGCAGGCTGGGTGATCCGTGAGTTCCTAATACCATATGCTCTGCCGAAACTATACTGACCATTAGACCTCCAAAAACGTCCCCTTACGATCAATCCGTTGACATGTGGTCGCTTGGGGCCGTTCTATTTCACCTTCTTTCGGGAGTCCCTCCTTTCGCTCCTCGAGGAGATGATCGTGGTGCTCAGATGCTGCGAATCATCATGACTGAGGATGCCGATTATAGTGAACTTCGCAAGGCAGGCGTCTCTGAGGATGGGATAGACTTGGTCGCTCGACTCCTGAATCGTGACCCCCAGTCTCGCCCGAACGAACGAGAATGTTTTAGGCACCCGTGGATTGCAGGAGTTGCGGACATTGACGAATATGATGACGAGGACTTGTTTTTGGGTGTCCCAGATGAGCTTTCTGATATAGGCGAGGATGTCGAGGACGAAATAGACGCCTCCCAACTGTCTTTGAATGATAAGCCGGCAGCAGAAGTCGCGGCTGAGGAGGAGGACGAACTGGCCCAGGCCAAGAAAATCAAGCTTGAATATCCCCCGGAGGAAATTCGTTATCCGTCGCTGCCCAGTCTCGACAGTTTCCAGGCTGTTCAACCAATTTCCCAGTCGACTCCTAAACGACTTTTTGGTGAGATTACGCCATCGATACTTCGAAGTTCTCACGCGTTGGGCGACAAAATTGATGCATTTGAGGGGGACGACTTTGGCCTCCATGACTTCGTTTCTTCCACTGGTGAGTCGATTATCAGCGACGGCAACAGCCTGAACTCCATCCTCTCCCTGCCGGAAAACCCCGTCGCCGGGTCTGCACCTAGCTTAATGGGAGCTGAGAACCTTGTTGGGCAGCTGAACATGAACTCGTCGCACCCTGGCTTGAACAACATTCCCCGTCACGTCGAGGCGCCGGGGCCGCAAACTAGCATGGCCGCGGAAGTCCCGAAGGACAAGGCCCCAGAAGTACCCCCGCAGACCACTATCGATGATGAAACCCCCAAGGCTTCAAAATTTAGCCGGCGGATTGAGCTCCCTATACCTGATACTGCCAGTGAGCGTTCGAGTCCTGAAGCGACAACGGGGAAGACCAACGACAGGTGTGCTGAGCCCGATGCTGCCCCTGAAGAGGTCTTCGACATTGAGTTGGCGAATACTATCGATGCCAAAACCGGACTGCGACTTCCTGACTTGCCGAAAAGGGAAGACAATCAGCCTTCCCCACAGCCTGCATCCGACCAGACACCAAGCCCAATCCTCAATATCGCGGCGCAGCCTAGCAAAACATGCCCCCTCCTTGGAAAGCTGACCACTCTCCCAGGGTCCATCTTTGAGCTCACAATCCCGTTGGAAGCTCGGATGACATCCTGGGGCCGCGGCCCCCAAGCAACCATATGCTATCCCGAGCCGATGGATACGCGGATACCTGCGTATGCATTGGAGGTTACCTTCTGGGCTCCAGCCATCGAATCCAAGATTGCCGCTGGACACGATTGGATGACTGTCCCCGGCGTGATGGCTATTCTCTCAACCAAAACCCGAAAGTGTATCTGGGTCAATGGAACTGAGCTGCGACGCGGGCCCGAGAATGACAATGGTGGGGAGGGCTTCCATTTCGGTAAACTGTATACCGGCGATGTCATTACCGTCTATCAGCATCGGAACAAGTTTTTAAAGTTCGCGTGCGAATTCTACCATGGAGACAGTGCGCGCTCGCGTCCCGATGAGGAGAAAGGCTTCACCGTGCGCAAAGTCCTGATGCCCAAGGAGAAGGCTGCCAACCGACAACCTATGCGGAAAACACCGCATGGGAAGAAGTAGGTGTCGATATGGTGGCAGTTGGTTCGCTGACTCAGTTGAAGGTGGCTATGAGGTATGGTGTAAGGTCCCTGGTGTGGAATGGAGTTGTATGTATCTCTTATGTATGGGTTGCATCTTCGTTTGGTCTTGGGGGTACAAATGGGGTGACTCAGTAATGATTTTGGCGTTGGTTGCATATACCTAATGATCTGGATAAGGTAGGGGCAGGAGGAGGACCAAAAAAGGAAAAAAAGACTACTCTCGTCAATGCATGTACGATCATCAATTGCATGGATATTTATCAATGAATACCAACCACAATTTTCTACTCGCTCACCCAGCATACGTCTGAGACGAACCATTAGAATATATGAAGTGACATATTGCCATTGTCCATCCCAGTCCCGTCTGATACCTTGGTTTAATAGTATCGCCTTGTGCAGAGGACTACTTGGAGTAAATAACAAGCTGTTGCTACGTGGCTGGTATTAGATAGCAACCCCGTCATGGGTTGTTCACGCCTCAGGGTATATACTAAAAATCTGATTGTTGAGCATTTCGACGATCTTAGAGCTCTGATTAAAAAGAGAAATTATTTGTATCTGAGACATGACTTTGTTGTCTACATTCAAACTCAGTCAGGCTAGAATATTCTCTATTCTAGTTAATCTGCACTCTATCCCTAAGGAGACACAATAGCGAAATACAATCTACCCTTGCGACTCATCCTTCTGTCCTCAAGCATAGGCCACTGCGTATCATGGTCATGGACAACCGCCAGGAATAGCAATCCCAGGGGGGTCGCACGAGTTATGTTTGCCCTCGAAGTAACAGCCACCTGACATAGAATGGAGATCAGTCAAGCCGAGTTTCCCAGGGATGGTAGAGTAAAGTTTCAGAGATGTGAAAGGACACACCATTTCCTTGACAATAACAGTAGTTTCCAATGTCATTATCAGGATCTGCTCTATAAGAAACTTAGCATTCAACTTCGAAGTAAATAAGATGCTTGAAATGAAGACAGAAGAGCACCTACTGGTTATAACAAGGTCCAATACCCTTCGCCACGGCAACTCCCATGAACAGAAGGGCAACGATGGCGTTCATCCAGAGTCTCATTTTGCACTTGATTTTTACGGATTCGTATGTAAGGGATTGTTTTGCACGAGAATATTTTGGAAGTGAAATGCCCTCGTCTGATGCACTGATAGCCCAGATTTATATGAAAACCGCCATTCAGGAATGTTGTTTGGGTCAGAGTTTACTAAGGACTGCCATTACTTAGGCGATACTAATAGTACAGTCTTTCAAATTCTTTCTGCATCACAGACGAGGCGATTAACGAATATGCCTCACCTCGGTAGATACCATGGCCTGATATCTGGACTCCGTCGCTGACATCGGGTAACGCGGTAACTGAATCACCAATTGATATCCTTGTTGAAGCCTAACCTAAGTCTATTCAATGTAACTCTGACTGCAGTAACATGTGCCAGGTTCATTAGTGTTCAGTACCTAGGAAGTGCTATATCGGCCCTACCATCGTGTATATGAGTGGACGCCTAGTAGGTCACAACAGTCAAATCTTCGTATGGTTACTAGGTGAGACACTATGATATGTGATAGTTATATACTACATGGATAATTGGTCCCTCCTCCAGGTTTGATCCTGATCATGGCCCGGCACCTACAGACTTGTACATTTCCTTATCAGGCAAAGCTTGAGCTAACAAATGCAACGCTGACTGCAGTAACAAGTATTGAGCTTATGCCTAGTGCTTACACGCAGGCATTGTGCCAGGGGCCCTATGATCCCACTGGCCATCTTGGGTGGGTCAATACTTGCCCTGTGGTGACCGGATCTACCGCTAACCTGATGGAGAAGTGATTGCGAGTGATGGCCGAGAGATGCGAAAAGTGAGCAAGATAACCAGACAGTTCAATTCTTGACGAAGAATAGTTCATAGTTCAATGTTTAGTAGTCAAGTCTACTTGTTGCGTATGGGTTGGGGCTAAGTTAGAGCGGACGAGTCGAGGCGATAACTAACTATGAACGAAGGCCTCAAGTGACGATGTGTATCTGTTCTTCCTATCCATTGAAGTGGCGCCTGATACTGTTCCAATCGTAAGGCAGTGATTAGACTGGAGCATATGACTCTGAGTGATATACCGTATACTAGCCCCGCCTTTTGTCTTCCTGTCAGGCGTTCCCGATCCCGGTTGCTCTCAAGAGTATCATTCTGCTTTGAATATTTGTCTGGGTGGGGCAATCGTTCATGATACATAGTTTCTTAGCAACTAGTTCTTTACATGTTAATGAGGCAATTATATGATAGGTCTACACTTGATAGACGATCCTCGTCATATATATAAGCCGACCATCAGTTTGTGGTTCCACCGCCTGTTTGTTTGCCTTAGCACGTTAGCTCACCCATCTCTAACAGAGTGGATACCCGGTACTTTTGGCAGATGTTGATCTGGGTTTGGAACAACAGCGGGCAGCATTCACAGTGCTCCGAGCTGTAAATCATCTGTACTCCACTTGGAAGGTTGTATTCGGAGTTTCAGCTACGTAGGTATACTTCGCCAGATCATCTTTACCTACGTGGTGTTCCCTGCAGCTATAGAAGAGACACCAAGGATTCCATTCTGAAATATAGCGCCTTGCTGGGATATATTCAACCTTCAATCACAGGCTGGACTGATAGTCTCGGCTCTCTGTCGCCGAGGCACCATAAAAGGACACAACATGGCCGCGTGAATTGACAGTCAACAACTATTTCGGACGCAATCAAGTCTGTTAAACCGAAAGATCGAGAGTTCCCGTTCTCCTTATTTATTTTCTACAGCTCTACAAAATATGAAGCTATCTTATCTGTCCATATTTATATCAGCCACTGCCATCGTGTCCGCAAGGCCAGCAGTAGAAGCGCCGCAGGCTTGTTCCTCTCGAGAGGCAGATGTTGCAGAGCCTAATGCTGTTCACCTTCGTATTGACGAGAGCGATGCCAACAACCCGAGTTATTACTTTGGTGTAAGTTGCAACGGAAACGGTTATCGTAGAAGCGTTCTAAATCGCAATACGGAGGTTAGTTTTGCTCCTCCATGTACCAGGATTGCTCCATCTGTGTAAACGGAGTATTACACCGTACCAACTGTTATCCACAGCACCAGGTATATATGATCTATAATGAGCTTTCTTCAGTAATGATCCCGTGATGGAAATTGACTTTGCTCTCATTAGTGCACACACATGAATAATGCTTGCAACTACTCGCTCCGCACTGGCGTTACCGTTTGTTCCTAGATTCGGACCGGGAATAGTCATCTACTGTGGGACTCGACAGAGACATGGGATATAGTTAAGGAGCATCAATACATGGTTTTACATAAATATAACTTTTGCGAAAGCCAAGTGGTCATGCTTCGTAAGGTACAAATACTACCAGTAAATTACTGTAAGCGTTGTGCTACTACTGTTAGTGCAAGGGTATTTCAGCGGATACATAAAGTCAACGCTACCACCTCCGTTCTCATATTACATCGTCTCTTGTGTGCCGCTGATCTTCATTCATTAATTCGCCAGCCTATCCAACTCGGAACTTAGTTCAGCCCAATCCCTACATATTATAAAGCGGCCAAACTATGTCAGTTGATGCAGATCAGGAAACTCCCCTGTCTGGTACTGCAAGCCAAACTCCCTCCTTTGCTCTCAACGCGACATCGGATACAGATGAGTCTCACGCCGTCGACCCCTCAAGCCTGACTACTTACGAGAAGAGACTTTACGACTTCTTATGCTCTCAAGCATGGACTGATACACAGTGTTCTTGTTTCATCGCTCATATCGAGCGGATGAAAGAAGCCCTCTCGCAGCATTTCTACTCGCAAGGTTGGAACACCGTTCAAGTGCAATGTCTCCACGAGCAATGTGAGATGGAATTTCCAGAGCATTTCCCAGCTCCTAGAGGTGATGCCGAGCAACAAGGTCTGCAGATGCAGCTGAGATTCGTCGAAGAAATGAATCGTCGAAGGGCGATTGGCGAGCGCATGTACCCTTCAATAGGCACTATGGACGGGGAGATTGATGAGAGAAGGACTTGAGTAGAATCCGCTTAGAGCTTTGTGATCTGTATGTCCATCTATCTTTGCTCAGTCCGCGTGTATGTGATTCTTTTGCTGACTTCGTCGAGCCAGAAATGCAGAGTAGTTGAGGCGCGATATGCCAATTCATCAATATGCAAGGCTTACCACAAAGCTTGATGCTTAGAATCACCTTCCGCATCAGATCAGTTCTCATTATTTCTCCATTCTTATTTAGACCTGTAGCCCGTAATTTTTCAATCGTTCCATACCGCTAAGGTCCGGAATACTGGTGTCCTAGCGCTCTAATTCGTTACGGTGAGTTTCTAGCGCGAGAGTTGCCATAAGTGCGGCTTCTCTAACTGCTACTATGATCTATCCAGAAGCTTCAGGGAACCGCTCTGTTAATTTGCCGCTTCTGTCGTGCAGGTACCACCTCTAAACATTGCAAAGGTATCTGTTTCAGCCAGTATATCTCTAGACAGCTGGCGTTGGATTTCTCGCATTGGCTGCTCCCGGTCGTACTTTGTTTGGATCTTAGAAAGGGGCTTTTCTGATGTTCGTTGTCAGGCACCTGATATCTCTTAGTTTGGGTTCTTGTATAGAGTATATCTTTTCGTTCCTTTGTCCTAAATATGTCAATATTTAAGATCTAAGATGGTCAAAGTACGATTTGTAGTGAGACTGGCAAGCTGCAAGACAAGTCTCATTCCCATACAATGGCGACTGTGCCCAAATTTCTTCTTAGTAGCACTGACAGTGGTCTCTATAACCTTCGCTCAGGAGGCTTAACCCGTCTTTGGGAGAAAACTTGCGCTTCTTGGCTAACTGTCGGATCACCGCACAGGTGGTACATGGATTAACTATATAGTTGATTACGCACGATATCATAGTGGCTACCGCCGTAAAGTCATGCGGCAATGGAAGGATCACACATACTTAATGTATTGAGTGGTTTATTCATGTCCCAATCTCATTGAAATTTTGACTATTGTAGACTATTCTGGATACTCTCATAGAAAGATATCACCGGAAAGAGTAAACCATTCTTAGATGTATACCTTATTGGAATTATTCTTGCTTAACCCGGTCAAGGAGAGCGGTGGTACTTTTAGGGCAGCCTTCTTAGATATTCAATGCCTCGTCGATGTTTGCTAGTTGCTGGACATAGTACTCCAGTGGATGTTCGTTGTCTTTAAAGAGCAAGTCCGCGTCACTGGCATCCTGTATTTGGACATCTTCATCCCAGGAGTCTGTATTATCAGTGTCGCATCATTTATTCTCAGTACTTTGTCTATCAGAACAATTACTGTTTTTGGATAACTGGTAGTCTGCATCTAAAGAACAGTAAGCCATAAGATGAGATTACGTCAAAATAAAGAACAAGAAACTGTTGATACTCCGAACTGAAGGATTACTTATTATCCTAAAGGGTCTGGGCATAGATGGAATGTCTCTATCCAAAGTCTAATTGTTGTTTGCAGAGTACAACTATTATGGCACGAAAGAGAAATCGAGCTTCTGCATAGAGAGCATTGATTTATAATGAGACCTTGGGAAGAAACCATTTCAACACCGTTGTCAAGCAGCAGTGCGGTGGACAATATGCTCTAGCAAAGTATAGCTGAAGGTTAGAAATCGTGACTGACAGCCGAGTTGCTGTCAGATGAGCGGAGCCCACTACACATGATACTGGGACATGGACACAAGAGTCTGCGTCAGTGGTTAGAATACTGGCAAATTGACAGCCAAAAACAGCGTCGCTCTCGGCCATTGAAGTTCTCAATATACATATAACGATATACAGTAATTTCTATGATATGTAGGAGCTATTTGCGAAGAGAGACTAGCAGCGACCCTCATAGGGTCTGGACTTGACTGGGTCCGTGAAGCCTTTACCTCTTGGCGACAATACGAAGGCCAGTTCCCTGGTTCGCAAGGTGGTACCTATTCACCTTGAATAAGCGACGCCGGAAGCAGACAGATCCAAGGAACACATCAAGTTATTTGGATACTGTCAATGATCTCGAATCATGAGCTCGTGAGGTTTCCCAATGCGTCGAAAAGCCACGATGGAAGCAGGGCAGCAACACCACCACCACTTGTGACCCTGACCGCTAAACTGAAAGACGGAGTGGGTCTCACTCTCTTTCCATGTGGATCTTGGAGATTAGTTTCTTTCTGCTAGTCAAGTCGGTCTTTCTCTTGTCTCTCGGGTTTCTAGCAGTTCTTCCATCTTCTCCGAACTGGAACATAGCTCGAATGTGTCCCACCGCACTGCTTCTTTGTCGCATTGGGGAGGTCTGACAGATGTGAGACAACCGTCTCGAGCCATCGTGTCCAACTCACTACTACTTGCTTGCAAAGTAACCTTCGAAATGAGCAGCTCCTCTTCCCAACAAATTGCCAGGCTCCAACCGTTCGTTTCGGCGTCTGCGCGAGAAGCTCAAGCGAGGGGGCGGGGCTGTTTCTAGGATTTAATTAAATTAATCTGCTTTTTGCAGTTTAATCTCCTTCTTCCCCACCACCGACGAATGATGCTCTGTCGGAGCACCTCATCCTCACTCACTCACTCACTCACTCACACACAAGGTGACAGACGATGTCCGACTCATTGGGTGGTCATCCTGATAGCCATGGCTTGGATTCTTTCCATGGTCCTCGCGCGGAATGTCTTACTTGACGATAAGGGGAGGGAGAGGAGAGGAGGTAGTAGCGCCCTCATCGCTGCCTCATGGGTGTTGTTGACCCTTGGATCCATTCCTTCCATTCTTCACCAGTTCTCCGGGGCCCCCTAGCGCGCCCTTGGAACTGTACCGTTAACCTGACAAGTGGCCCTCAAAGGAAGGGAAAAAAAAAGCTCCCAAACGAAAGCGGACAGACCCGTTCGCGGATGGGTTCTCTGTTCCTGGATTATTGTTTCGGCCTTTTTGGCGACTTGGTGATCCAGTTTTTATCAACGACCATGTCATGCTATTCCTCTTCCGTCGTTTCGAGCTGGTGACTCCTGAACCGAAGAGTAATTTTACTTTAATTTCTAGCTCTCTTTTAATTTTCTGGGTCGATAGCGATCTGTTACTTCACTAACGTATCTCCTACACCTCCGCTCCAAAACCTCGTCCTTTTTTTCCATCCTGCTGCGCTCCTGTTCCCCAAGTTGCGGGCGCCCGTTTCAAAGAAAGACATCTCCCATTGACCTCCTCCACAGCGGCCCTCTGCCGAGCACGAACTCCCCAATCACGCCCGCCTGTGGCTGCTCCGCGGGCCGTTGTGCTCGCCCGCCATTGCCCTTCCTGCCGGCATCCCTGTCGGTCCCGACTCCCCGCTCATGTCCTTGTCGCGATCGCCCTCTCCCCACCCCGCGGGAGCAGGATGGTCTAGTCCTGGACTCACTTCGCCCAGTGGCTCTACCACGCCTCACAATGGCTTCCTGTCGCCAAATCCCATAGGCGCCAGCGGCATCTCCTGGGCCGCCGCCAAAGCCAAGAGCGACGAGGTACGAGGCTACCCGTCCTTTTCGACGAAGAACAGCGGATTCTTCTCGCGCTCAAGACGCCAGCTCTCCGCCACTTTGCCGCGCTTTCGTCTGGGCTCGGGGTCTCCGAATGGTTATGTCGATAAGGATGAGTTTGGCCGGGGGCGGCCTCTCTCCCCAGCTACGGGCTGGCGCTTGGGGTTTGGCAGGTCGGTTCTGCGGCGCAGACGATCGCGCTTGCTCGTGGCGCTGATCTTTCTTTTGCTGGGCTATATGTTTTTTGGGGCGTGTAAGTGAATCGCATACCAATGGGAAGAAAGCCTGCAGGTAGCTGACCTTGTTACAGCTCTTCTTCAGAAGTATCGACGCTCTCCGCTAGGCGGTGGGCGCAAATTCGTGATCATACTGGAATCTAACATAGAAGGCGGCGTGATGGAGTGGAAGGGAGCGCGCGAATGGGCGATCGAGCGCAACAGCATATGGAACAAGAAGAATTATGTGGAACGATGGGGCTACGAGTTGGAAACCGTCAACATGTTGGCGAAGAAGCGGTATTCGCACGAATGGCGCGAGAGCTGGGAGAAGGTGGACCTTATCCGGGAGACGATGCGAAAGCATCCCGATGCTGAATGGTATGCTTGCCGTATTTAAATTCCATGAGCGTCACTGACATCTTGTGCAGGTTTTGGTGGCTGGACCTTAGCACTTGGATCATGGAATACTCCTACTCGTTACAGGACCATATATTCGACCGCTTGGATGAAATCATTTACCGGGACATCAATGTCTATAACCCATTGAACATCAGCCACCCGCCGGACGACGCTTATCTGGACGAGGTGTCTCGTTCGCCAAACGGAGACGGGGATCCATCATCGGTACATATGCTATTGTCGCAGGACTGTGGGGGCTTCAACCTCGGCTCTTTCTTCATCCGGCGCTCCCTCTGGGCCGACCGCCTGCTGGACGCGTGGTGGGACCCAGTCATGTACGAACAGAAACATATGGAGTGGGAGCATAAAGAGCAGGATGCGATGGAATACCTCTATGCGACGCAGCCGTGGGTTCGCAGCCACGTTGGCTTCCTCCCTCAACGCTATATCAACTCGTATCCCCAGGGGGCATGTGGGGACGAGAATGACCCGAATGTCCACTACCAGGAAGATGAAAGAGACTTCCTGGTCAACATGGCTGGGTGTCAGTATGGACGCGACTGCTGGGGCGAGATGTACCAGTACCGTGAAATCAGCAAGCAGCTGAACCTGACATGGTGGGAGCGGATGAAGGACAAGTTGAACGGCCTTTACGAGAAGCTTTTCCCGGGCGAGGAACAGCAAGTTGAATGATCAAGTCCGTTGCTGGGATACGGCATGTTGCTTCACTTTGATGTTTACTGCAGATGATGATTGGTCTGAGACATGACCATGTAAAATGCGGACTAATAACGACCTGGCTGACGGCGTATGGGATGGATTCTACGTTTTTGGCTGATTTGCTATTTTTGGCGAGGCGTTTGGTGTTAGTGGTAGCTATCTAGACTTCAAGTAGCTCATCTACTACCTCTTTATCTGTGCTCTGCAATGATTAAAAGGGTTACGAACTAAATATTATACAATTGTAGTCGCACAACCAACCACTTATAACCCGCTTAGTAATTATCCACAGCCCCACGTGACACAATGAACTTAGCACACCCGACCGCCCACACCCCCCAACCAATCAAACCACCGCAATTGCATCTGCTACTCTCGCGACCTCCGGAATTGAACTTGATACACTGACTGACCTCTCTACGTACGTACTCTCCCTCCGGTCCCTCCTCCAACCTACACACCGAACCTCCCCCCGAAGGCCCCCGAAGGCAACAACCAAGGGAACACCGAAAATGCCGACCCCCGAATCCGCCTCCTTCCTGGCCAAGAAGCCCACCGTGCCGCCGACCTACGACGGCGTCGACTTCGAAGACAACGTCGCTGTCCACAACGCCCGCGACGCCATTATCCGTGAACAATGGGTCCGCAGTATGATGTCTCGTCTGGTCGGGGAGGAATTGGGAAAGTGTTATGCGCGTGAGGGCGTTAATCATTTGGAGAAGTGTGGGGTTTTGAGGGGTGAGTTTATTTATACCTGTTCTTTCCTTTCTTTCTTTCTTTCTTTCTATCCCGGGAGCCCTTTTGGGGATGGTGTGGGCTAGCGAAGATGGGGTGAGAATTATGGCTAATATGTGTGTTTCTTTTCGGTGTGTAGAGAAGTACTTCGAGTTGCTGGGCGAGCGCAAGATCAAGGGTTACTTGTTCCAGGAGAAGAACTACTTTGCTGGGGAGGGAAACAAGTCTGCTTAGATTTTGCTCGGTGGATTGAATTGAAATTGGGTTTGCAGGGTTTCTGTGTTATGTTATGTGATATACAATATATGCATTGTGGTTTCTTTCCCTACTTCTTCTTCTTTTTCTTCTGGGTTTGGTTTGTGGGGAGTTAGAGGGTGTGGATGCTGGCTTTGACCAGTCCCGGGCTGTGATTGTATGATATGCTTTGAGATGGGTTGAATTTGGCTCTGCCGTGGTTTATATACTGGGTTGTGAGGTGCGAGTGAGGGGTCGAGTGTCTGTATTGATACTGCGTATGTGGAGTAAGCCTTATGGGATGGTATTATGCTTGTGCTCAGTGATACATGTATAGGAAGAAGCTCGAAGCTCGAAGCTGAGATCAATAATAGGCACTGTCGCTCCGCTCCGGTACTGTCCCCGGCGTATACACACGCGCCACACTGGCTGCCTCCTCGTCACTGTCCTCGACATCACTTCCCGGTCCAAAGTCGTCCTCCGCCGGCGGCGCACGCATGCGCACCAGCTGCTCCTCATCCAGCGAGGGGATCTTGTATGGCGCTGGCGCCGAATGGATATCTCGACCGGAGGGCAAGTTGGCAAGCAGGTCCGTAGAGGGTGGGATTAGCTGGGTATTAATCTGTGTTCGTCAGCAACATCATCCTAAACCAATGACGTGAACATCACCAACCGTATCGTTCATCCGCACCCACTTCGTCTCCAACATCTCAATCACTCGACTCTCCTCCTCCCGGCCTGCATTATCCCCCGGTCCTAGCTCGCCCTTCTCCATCCGATCCCGACTGCCCGCATCTTTCTCCATCCGTCTCTCCTCCCGCCGCTCCATCCAACCCTGCTTCAATCTCGACAGTCCGGTCCGACTCTTAGTATTCGTCTCCTTCGTTTCCGCTGCAGCCGTTCCAGCTCCCCGGACCCCCAATGCCCCCTTCGCTGCTCTCAGCCATGCAATGCCCTCCCCGATCTTCCCAGACAATTCCGCATCCACCCCGAAGAACCGGCAGGCTCTCGCCCGCGCAACCCGTCCCAGTACCCGCGTATACCCTAGCAGATCGTCATCAATTCCCATCCGCCCCTCTGAGCGGACAGATCCCAGCCCCGCAGCAGCTTGCTCCGCATATTCCGCGGCCCGGATACATAATCTAGCGAAGAGGTGCGCCCGGACCTTGAGAATCTCCGGCGCGCGGACCATCCAGTCCTTGTCATTGGGATTGCGCGCTTGAATACAGGCCGCGACGTAGGAATCGTCCTTCAATACGGCGAGGAGAGTTGCTTCTGCGAGGGCAAGACAGGAGAGGGCCGCTTGCGTGGCGGGGTCGAGGTCCGGGAGGGTAGATGTTCCATTTTTGTTGTTATTGCAGATGGAGTGGGCCGCAGTTGCGAAAGACGGCGAGGAAGCGAGGAGCGAGTGTACGGCGCTGGCTTGTTGGAGGTGTTTAGTGGCTGTTTGGATGGCGGCGGTGCGCTGTTCCGGAGTCGGGGTCGTGGATGCGTAAAGTGTGCGGGTGACGCCAATGCGAGCGAGCGAGTTGAGCACGTAGCTGAGGGTGGAGAGGACAAAGGCTATCTCGAAGTCGAGGCCCTGTCCCTGGATGCGAGTGGTGGTGGGCCGCTGTTTAAGGGAGAGCGTGGTGGTGGGGTTGGTGAGGGTCGGGCGCCAGGCGGATATGATCTCGGTGCGGAGGGTGATTTCAATTTCTTCGGTGGGTGATGTGTCACCGGGCTTACTGCTGAGGCCGTTGGAAAGAGCGAGGAGGTAAGGGAGGTAGCTGGTTACGGTGGTGAGGAGAGTCTGCAGGTGGGCGTCTTGTTGCGGACCGCGGGGTAAACGCTTGTGTGCTTTGAGAGCTTGTCGGAGGGCATGGCGGGCGGTGGTGGCGGCTTGGGGAAGAGAGGGGTGGGTGCTGGAGGTAAGGAAGGTCTGGAATGAAAGATGAGAGGTGGAGGGCAGTGTGAAGGCGTAGACCATGGTGATGGTGGTGATGATTGGGGTGTTGAAGCTGGAGTGGAGTAAGAAGAGGAGAGCTGGAGGCGAGTTGGAGGAGGTGAAGATCTCCGCGGCAGCCAAGAAGCTCGTTTGCATTGGAACCTACGGGAAAAGCACGTCGGGTTCAACTCGGGCCTACTGGCCGATTAGATTAATTCATGTGGCTTTATACGCTGATATGCTGTAGATACATGATTTAGTTTGCAGGATGGTCTTTCCATCCCTCAAAATTCGTCCCGGTGGCCTTCTTCGCACATGTCTGAAGGCGTAGATGCTGTTTTCTGACTCGGTGGATAATGGTAAATCCAGCCTGCTCTGTCCCTGAATTGTGACAACCTGTCTGTAGCAATAGCAATTGATATGCTGATAATCCCAAGCTGGTGGACGATCTGCCGGGTCGTTGTGGTCAAGCTGGGCCGGCCAGCTGTCCCAATGCCAGATACGGTGTAGGCGTTGTTGATGCAGCTATGGCGTCTATGAGTCTGGCTTGTCGGGCTGCAGACGACCGACAGCCTTATCGCAGTTAATCGTGAAGTGAGGTCTCGCTCTCAAACGGCCTCTGTTTGCTGTCTCATCACACATCCATCCCTTCACCATCGGACAGGTTGCTCGGCGCACTACTGACACCAGACGAATCGCTGTCAGCCATGTACGGCGCCCGCGACCGCATTTGTGAACCCCAGTCCTGGAGACTGGGCGCGCCGCCCTCGATGATAATAGGATGCTCGTCGGCATTCTTTCCTAGCACAGTTCCCGCATATCTCGACTCTTCGCCGGTTTTGCTGTGTTTCTTCTTCAATGCCGTCAAAAAGTCTTCTTTCTCGAGAGCGTCCGCATCGACCATGTCGCCTTCGCTGGGCACAAATCCAGCAATCCGTCGAATCTCCCGGTTGGCCGGCCCGGTGAACCATGACAGAAAGCCTTCCAATCCTCGCATATCCTCTTCTCCCTGCCAGTCCTCCTCCCACTCTCGAAGCTGGGGTCGTAGGGCGCCTGCATCTTGCAAGGCTTGGTAGATATCTTCTAAGACCGGAACAGGGTCATGTGGATGAGCGTTGGCAGCATGGGTAGTCGCAGATGAAGCAAGGATCATGATGTATTGGGCGGTAAGGTCAGCGAGGGTGTCTAAAACGGACGGTCGCGTTGCATGAAAGCCTGCTGCGCGCAGGATCTGGATAATTGGCGGGCGGAGAAGAGCGTTGTGTAGATTGGAGCCAGACATGTTGGCGTGTGGGTGGTAGACGAAAAGCAGCGAAAGAGACGTCAAGGAGAGCCTTTCAGCTCGCAGACCAGGATTATATAGCTAAGAATATAAGCGGCTCACTGCGTCGCTATTGTTGAGGTCGAGTGTTAGGAGATGAATAGGAAGCAAAGAGAGGATCAATGGCTGAATGGATGGGCTTCTTACTGCCTCTTTGGGTCTTCCGCCTTCCTGGCTCCGCCCTCGAGTCTTCGTCTCCGCTGTAACACAGCAAGCTTCACTCTCACCCCATCCGTTTGCCAGCCTCCTACCATCTCTGTTATTGGTCTTATTTCGCTCACTTCTATATCGCATCTCCACTGACTTGGTGGTCACCTCTAGCCATGTCGGACACACCCCGTCCATCCCTCAAGCTCACCTTCGGGAAAAAGAAGGCGCCCGAGGAACCATCTCAGAGACAGCCTGCTGCACCTCCTCCGCCAACAGAGACCCCCCAACGCAAGCTCACGCTCAAGAACGCCCGTAGGCCGGCACCAGAAGCGCCTCCTGAGAATGACAAACTCAAGAAAAAGAAGAAGACTTCGAAGAAGCGCCCAGCAGAGGGACCCGCGTTGCAGGAACCTTCCACCACGGTCGCGACAACCCAACCCTCTGGGCCCAAACGCCTGAAATTAAACCCATCGAAGAAGCCCGGGGTCCAGTCGCTCCGTATCAAGAACAAGGGGCTGGTCCCCAACCGACCGGTGGGCGTTGGCTACGACTCGGAAGCGTCCGACACGGAAATCGACCCCTCGATCGAAGAACAATTCATTCTGCGCATGTTGCCCGGGGAGGATTGCGAATATCTGCAGCGCGCCATTTCTGAACGCCGGTTCGATCGCTCGGAGATTTCTTTCAAGCCACTTACCCGTGAGGGACGACGCGCCATCTTCAAGATTCGCGATCATCAATACGCCGCAGCGCTGGTCGACTTGCCATGTATCATCGAAGGTATGAAGAGTTGGGACCGGCGTGGGTGGTACAAATCTGCGGATATCTGCCAGATGCTTCTGGTCCTTGGCCCGGTTGCTAATGAACAAGAGGCTATGGACTACCCGCTTCCCTCGGACATTTTACACCCAGATGACAAAACTTTGCAATACCCACACGGTCTCACGCCGCCGTTGCGATGGGTCAGGAAGCGGCGTTTCCGGGAACGGATCAGCACGCGGACTATCGAGCAGGTCGAGAAGGCCGTCGAAGATCTGATTGCCCAGGATGAGGCTGCCGTGGCACCTATCCGCTATGAGCTGGTTGATAAGACAGCATTGAACCGGGCTGAGGGACTGGTCCAGAGTGGAGATTACGACTATGAAGACGAATACGATGATGAACAGGATGCCGAGGGTGAGATGGAGGAAGGCATGGAAGATGGTGGTCTGTTTGACGATTTCGAAGACACCCTCGCTGCCGAGATGGAGGCTGCCTTGGCTGCCGGCGACGAAGGCGAGCCAGGCGCTGCGGCCGCGGCAACTGGAGCTGAGCCACCATCAGATGCTGGGGTATACCAAGCGGGCACGCCAATGGCAACGAAGCCGTCCACGCCTGCGCCAGAATCGTCTGGTGATGAGAGTGACGGGTCCGACGATGGCGATGAACCGGAAGACGAGCTGGACGATGAGCAACTCGAGCAACAGCGGCAGATGCAGCAGCAACGCGAGGAAATTGCCGAACTGGAGGCACTGATCCGCGCCGAGACCGCGAAGTGGGAGAAGATGCAGAACGCCATCCTAAAGGGCAAACTGGCCAAGCGGATCCATGATCTGAAACAGGATCTATCATTGAAGAAGGTGTCTATCGGCGAGGGCGATGATGCTGATGGTTAATCAACACCTCACCTATGTGTCTCTGTCTTTGTGTCCTAATAGCCATTTATTGATTTCTGATACCCCATTACATACCATTCAATCTCCTTACACCTATTCTATCCTATTCTTTCCCTATAAGATAAAACAGATCATAGTATAATCAAACAACCTTCCCCGCGGACCCCCTACTCGCCGCCCCCACCACATCCACCTCCTCATCCTGCCTCAACTTCCTCCTCCGGACCGCCTCCGTCTCCCCCTCCGGCTCCGCCGGGCTCTGTCCCACCCGATCCCCCAACATCCTATCGTGCATCTCCCTCTTCTGGTCCAAATCCGCCATTTCCCCCTTCTCGTACCCCGGCGCCCCTGGCCCCTCGGCGCTGCCTACCGCCCCGGCATGCGCCCCGGCTTGTGCTCTCGCCCGCGCATCCGCCGACTTGCTCTGCACTGCGTGCGCGATATCCCCTTCTGCGGGCTGCTGCTCAACCCCGTACTCTGTGTCGAGGGTTTCGCCGGCGTTGCGCATGGTTTGCTGGGATGCTTGGTGCTTGGTGGATTGGTCCTGGGAGTTGGAGGGTTGGGAGACGGCGTTGCGGGTTATGGAGGGCAGGGCGTCGCCACGGTGACGGGGGAGGCGGTCATATTGGGATTGGGATGAGGATTGGTTCTGGGGGATGCGTTGCTCGGAGGGGGTGTGGGTTACGGGGTTACTGGCTTGGTTGTAGGCGGCTTGTTTGGGGGGTTGGGGGGGTTGTTGGTGGTGGGATTGCATTGTTGTTTGGGTTGATTGATTGATTGAATGGTTGGTTGGTTAAATGATTGATTTGTGTGTGAGTTTGTATGCGTAGTGGTCGAGATGGAGGGATTGGGATGTAGTGATGGTGGTGATGATGGAGAGTAACTATAAGAGAGCTGTGAGGGGATGACGTCAGTGATGATGTGATGTCAATTTTGGAGGAATGAAGAACAGTTGGTTCTCTTGGAAATCGCATAGATTAGCTCTATGGACTGCTTGGGTTGTTTTTATCATATGAAGTTAGTGGTATTGTCCTGAGCTGGAGGTGATTTGAGATCTGGTTCATTTTGCTTGGGGATTCACTGGTGGTGTGTTGCTTGTGCTGTTAGCTGTCAATATCTCCCCTGACTGTATTTATTGAAGAGTACATGGTGGAACCATAAGGGCAAGCAATGTAACTATTCAACATAATGGAAACGGTAATGCGATAATTGATGTCAAATATGGTTGGTATACAGTGAAGTGGATGCAGAACACTGGCTGGTGGAGTTGGGTGATGATGGATTGCGGGGATGGCAGATGCAGCTGTGATGGGCCCGTTCACGCCGTTGGAATTTAATTTTACTACTAAGGACTAATTGCATAGGATCATCATCACGATCAGATGAGTTCTACAAAAAGCAAATATATACATACACCCCTCAGCATAAGCATGATATCTTGACAAGAACATAACTCACATGCAGTAAAACTAATCTGGACATACTCCAAGCGCATGTGATACCGCGGGAATCAACTCCTTTATTTCCCCGGATTGAAGAAACAGATCTAATGATTACTGATCACAACTAAACCTCAAAGTATACAAGACCACCATCCCATCTCTCTACCATCCGCTTCAGGTCACACACGTACACACTCACCAAGAAAGCAACAAGCAATAACCCTCTCCTACTGTACCACCCCTACCATGTCTACCGCATCTCCGCTCTTCACCCTCCCCATCCCTTCCACCTCCGGTTCCATCACCTGCACCAACCCATCCCCCGACCAACCAACAATCTACCTCCTCACCTTCACCTCACCCCCAGACAACCGCCTCACTCCAACCTTCATCGACACCTTCCTCCTCGCCCTCGACATCATCGAACACCGCTACCAAAAAGGTGTCCTAATCACCACCAGCGGCATTCCCAAATTCTACAGCAATGGACTAGACCTCGAACTCGCCCAATCCACAGAGGGCTTTCTCGATAAATGGCTTTGGAAGTTATTCCGTCGACTATTAACGTAATACCCGCTCCCTGATACTTCACCACTAACAGACAACACTAATATATGAATACTTTGAAATACAGCTACCCCATGCCCACCATCTCCCTCCTAAACGGCCACGCCTTCGCCGGCGGCTTCATGCTAGCCATGTACCACGACTACCGGATCCAGAACCCGAGTAAGGGTTTCCTGTGCATCAACGAGCTCGAGTTCGGGGTTCCGTTGCAAGCGCCCATGATGCATGTTTTCCGGGAGAAGTTGACACCCAGCGTGTGTCGGGATGTTGTTCTCGAGGCGAAGAGGTTTCCTGGACCGGAGGCGCTGCGGGTGGGGATTGTGGATGGGCTGGGAGGCGTGGAGGAGACTTTGAAGTTCGTGAAGGACAGGAAGTTGGTATTGATGCCGAAGACGGAAATCTATGGGGTGATGAAAGAGGAGATGCATCGGAGGTTGTTGGGAGTGGTGGACGATCATCAGGGGAATCTGGAGTGGAGGGAGAGGGTGGAGGAGAGGAAAGGGGAGGAAGAGAATGTTGGGAGGAAGAGTGTGGAGGTTTGGGAGGCGAGGAGGAAGGGGGGGAAGTTGTAGTGCACTCACGGTATCTTGTAGAGGGATTGCATTTGTGGTATATATATAGATGATTCATATTATGATACTATAGAAAGTGGGATGGAAATGGTGGCAGTAACTTCTCTTAGAGTCTGGAGTTACTACTACTAGCCAAGGTTGTCGACATATATTGAATCTACAAGACCGATCACTGCATTCTCCATACGGAGCTTTGATCTAATGGATTTTGAGACATGCGTGATTAGAAAGGCGACAGCTAAAGATATACTACTACTAGTATAGGGGAGCTGAAAGATTCCTGGCCAGATTGCCAGGGACTTCTCATACCTGTATTGAAAATGTTGCAAGACCTCAAGGCAAGATATGTGCCTTTATCTTCCCATAACTGCTTCACCTCACATAGTATAGTATACTAATCATTGTACACTAAAGAAGTTTTCTTAATATCAAAGCATAGATATTATACCCAATACAAATACCCACCTAGTGTTCTTGTAACACTCTCTGATATTCTGCTGCAAGAATGAATCCCCGTACACCAATCTCAATTCCCTACAGCCTCAATCTCAGTAACATATCATAAGACTCAAGCAACATAGTGAGCTCAATGTGATCTGTAACTCTACAAATATTTCACTCCTGATCCCCTCCGCCACTCTCACTTCACGAGCCTTCATGCACTTTGTTCCATAAACACAGCATGGCTCGCTTGCTTGCCTTCCTTAGTCAAAATCAATTCACAGCGCTGGATGGGGTCTTGCCCTCGCAGAGTGAGTTTTATACAAGATATTTAACCATTGGCTTGACGTGCTCTCAGGCTCACTACACCAGTTAGTTATCGCTCATGGTTGTCTCGCTGCAACTTTCACAGCATTTACAAGTTTGCTAGGTAGTTCTACCATCTCTTCCATCACAAAGTTTGCTAAAATTTTCATATCAGATACAGCTTGATTCAACATGGAGAGCAGAAAACGCAAGGCCGATGATGAACTCGATCCCAGCATTGCCGAGAGCGTGTCAGATGTCAATCCTGCTACGGTTGACAGCGTGCCTGGGGTCGATTCCATGACTGCTAACAGCGTCCCTGGGGCCGAACCCATTACGGCTGACAGCATTTCCAAAGTCGATCCCGCCATGGCCGCTTACATTGAGAAGAGACGCAAAGAAAAGGAAGACTTTCTGATACGGCAGGGAAGGGCATTGTGGGCGAATTACTGGATTCCGAGAGAAAAACAGCTCTCCAGGCCTTTCGGGCCACTGCCAAACCATCCAGAGGTGATCGAGGTCTGGCAACGTAATGAGGTAAGATAGGACATGGATGTGAAATCAGTTGTGGATGGGCAAATCATTGACGGACAGTAGGCGGACCAAGAAACTGCATCCTCAGAATTCCCCCCAAATGGAATAACTGATAAGAACCCTCCTCTTTCTTACGACGTCATCGCAAGTATACTCTGGATGACCAAGGGTCATTGTCCCAAGGCGCAGGCGTGGTTGAAGAGCCATGAGATGGACAGATTGTTGCGCGGTAATGTGATAGTGAGGCACTATGGACGTGAGAACCTGAGAAAGCAGGCGCTTCAAAACCGGTATCAGATGAATCTTGCTCTGCAGAAGGTGGCCATGAGGTCCGCGCAAGAGATGGATGATGTTAAGGAAAACCAGGAAAATGAGGCTACTACCCCTTGGGACAGAATCTTGGCAGCTCATGACAGACTTCGAAAGGCGATGGGTGAACCTGAGGTGTTTGCGCATGAGATTCTATTGTGGTAGCAATTCCTCCTGTCACAGTCAGATTTGCAGGCGCATGCTAGTAGCCGGCTGACGTACCCTCTGGTTCTGTCTCTTTGAATTACGCAGTAAGATGAATGTCCGCTCATGTACCAAGGCTTGACGGTTCACTGGACGGTTCTTGTAACTAGCTTTTTCAATAATCATTGATGATCAAGTCTTCTTGTTTCTGTTAGTTCCCTTGTTCTTTCCCGGACTCTCCAGCTTGTCCACTAGAGGCCGATACGGCGAAGCTACAACATGCTCCGGCGCTCTTTGAGCAGTATCGTCGCGTCTGGGTTCACCGGACGTCGGCCGCCGCCGCTGCTCCTCGTGCATCTTATCCAACGGTTCGCCCACGATTTGGTATTTGTTCCAATTGATGGGGGGCATACGGACAACATTCTGCGGCGTGGGCAGGGTGCCTAGCCCAGAATAAACGCCTCTCTTGGGACTCTCTACATCCTCGTCCTCCGAGTCTTTGTCATGAGTGAAGTTGATGAAAGCCCCTGTATCCTTAGCCGACAGATTCCCTGCTGCCAATTCGCGGGCGAACCCTTCTGGATCCTCTGCTGCAGCTTTCTTGAACTTTTCTAGAGTCTTAATATCCCGCATGCTTTGCTGCTTCTGGAGCTGAAGGATAGAAATCGCGGATCGCAGAGCAATGGCATCCGGATTCTCGCTCTCCGAGATCGGGACGGCGGCTGGTTCGGGCGCGAACACGGGTGCTGCAGCCGGCGGGGTGAAGTCTGCTAATGAACCATAAGGAGGTACTCTTGTTGTTGGCGAAGGCGACGCAGCTGGAGGAACAATAGGGTGAGGAGCGCCGTTCCCCGTGGCGGCGTTCGTGGCAGGCACAAGATGGGCAAAAACAGGAGTCACGGGAGAGTACGGCGGGCGCGGCGGAGTTCCCGGCCGATCAGGCTGATTGCTTTGGTTCTCCTGCGAAGGCTGCATTGCGCGGTGTTGGAGAGAGCAGGGACCGGAGGGGTTGTTGGCGATGGTACGTGGTAGAAACAGCAAGATAACCTGGTCCAACGGATTGCTGGCTGGATCGATGCGATGATCGACGGCAATGACGTCTGTGTTTGCAACTGAGGGGTTTAAGGGATGGTAGTAGCGGTGACTGTCAGGATGCTAATCTGATGAAAGTGATAAGTCAAGAATACTGCCCAATATGAGACCGTCAATGACAGTTCATGTTGGACGAGGCGATGCTTGAGTCAGAAGAGCGATGGAAGGTGCTGGATGCGCTTATCGAAGGCGATTATCGGGGCTCCAGTGCGGAGTCAATCAACCCCAGTCAATTGCTTGTTGGTGGCTGGGAAATGCATGCTGATGGCAGTAGTAATTGTAGAGCGCATCTCCACAATACGATAATTGGTATCGACTACTCTTGTATTGTTCTTAATGAATAGCCAGTGAATCTCTATTCAGCAGCAGTCAATAAGTAGTAAATAAATAAACAGTTTGATGAATCCATTCTAGTGAATGTGTCTATTTTAGGAAACCATATGGCCTGATCTGGTGGCCTGATTGATGCCTGCAGATTTTTCACCGCCAAATCTATTCGAAAAATTGAGGGCAAAATCCAACATTCCGTGAGATTGAAACCTCTCCAGAGTCTATTCAGTCCCTCGCATTCCTTTCCATCCCTTTCACAATGAAGCGCAAGACAGATGGAAGAGATTCCCTCGGCGGCAAAGACCAGCCCGAGTCCAAGAAGCGCGCTTTGTCCAGTGAAGAAGCCGCTGCGCGCTTCCGTGACGGCTTGTTCGAGCCGTCGGTCCTGAAGGACTATACCGAGCAATATGCCCAGTCTGCTCCGTATGTCGCCCATTCTACTCTTGGTCTGGCATTTAACGTTGAGTGAAGCTAACCCCAGGTCCAAAGGTACAAGCATGGAGTCATTCACCCCCTCATCGAGCCCTCCCTCCTGCGCGCCGTCCGCGACGAAATCCAGGCCCAGGTGCAGTTCACCGAGAAGGAAACCGACATCTACAAGATCTTCCAATCTGGCGACTTGGCCAACCTGGACGGTCTCGACGATGCCTCTCTTGCGAAACTGCCCTCCATCCTCAAGCTGCGCGACGCCATGTACTCTGCCCGCTTCCGTGAGTTCCTCTCGAAGGTCACCGGCTCTGGAAAGCTGAGCGGACAAAAAACCGACATGGCCATCAACGTCTACAACGAAGGCTGCCACTTGCTCTGCCACGACGATGTTATCGGAAGCAGACGCCTGTCCTACATTCTCTATCTCACCGACCCCGACCAACCTTGGCAGGCCGAATGGGGTGGCGCACTGCGTCTGTACCCCACGACGACCAAGAAGGATGCGAACGGCGACGATGTCCTAATCCCCAGCCCGGACTACTCCCTCAGCATCCCTCCCGCCTTCAACCAGCTCAGCTTCTTCACCGTCCAGCCCGGAGAGAGTTTCCACGACGTCGAAGAAGTCTACCACCCGAAAGACAACGAAGACAAATCCAAGAAGCGCGTGCGCATGGCCATCAGCGGCTGGTTCCACATCCCGCAGGAAGGTGAAGACGGCTACGAAGCCGGCTTGGAGGAGAAGCTCGCCGAGCGAAGCAGTCTGGCCCAGCTCCAGGGCCGCGGCGACATCTACGACCTCCCGCAGCCCAAGACCGTCGAGTGCGAGAACGAGGACGAGCAACAACCCGAGGAAGGAGGCAAGGGCAAGGGCAAGGCGAAGGTGGAAGAGGAGCCCACGCCCGAATTCACAGAATCCGACCTCGCATTCCTGATCCAATACATCGCCCCATCCTACCTCACCCCCGACATCGCCGAGGAAATGTCCGAGACCTTCTCTAACGAGTCGTGTCTCAGTCTGGAACGATTCCTTTCGGAGAAATTCGCTACTCGTGTTCGGACCTACATTGAAGAGCAGGAGAACAAGAGTCTGCCCAAATCCTCCGACGAGATCCTCGCCCAGACTGGATGGACGGTCGCCCGTCCCCCCCACAAACAGCGCTACCTGTTCCAGCAACATGGCACCGCGACCCAGGACCAGAAGTCTCCGATCCAGGAACTCCTCGACGACCTTTTCCCTTCCCGGGCGTTCCGCAAGTGGCTCGCGCTTATCACCGGCGCGGACCGTATCACCAGCTACGACTACCTGGCGCGTCGCTTCCGCAGAGGCCAGGATTACACCTTGGCCAGTGGATATGATGGAGAACAGCCCCGTTTGGAGCTGTCGCTTTGCTTGACGCCCACTCCGGGCTGGGAGAAGGAGGACGACGAGGAGGAGGAGGATCAGGATCAGGATCAGGAAATGGGCGAGGGTTCCTCGGAGGAGCAGAAGAAGAAGGCGGTCAAGCCCAAGAAGGATGAAGGAGCCGTCGCCAACGGCGACGCCGAGGAGCCTTCGGTGGGTGGATACGAGATCTACATGGCCGGTGACGACGAGGAAGAGGGCGATGCAGCGATCTACCGGTCCGCAGGCGCCGACGATGATGACGGCATTCTCTTCAGCACTGCCGCCGGATGGAACCGACTCAGCATTGTGCTGCGCGACAGCGGCACCCTGAAGTTCGTCAAATATGTCAGTGAGGCTGCCAAGGGTGACCGTTGGGATATCACGGGTAACCTGGGAGTTGAATTCGAGGATAATGATGACGAAGACGAAGATGATGAAGATGTGGATGATGATGACGTTGAAGAGGAGGATGAGTGAAACAGAAAAAAAAAAGTCGTATATTTTCCCTCAATTGTACATACTACGCAACGTGATGAACCCCAAAACAATATTGACAAAAATAGATACAATCATGATTCCTTGTGTAAACGCCCCGAAACACACACTCACACAGCCCATCGCATCCCACATACCCAATCCAATCAGAATTACATAGAAGTAGGCAGCAACGATATACCCAAAACACCGCAGGATCAATCCCTAAACTTTAAGTACCCTTTTTCCACTCCTGTACGCAGTACAATATACGATTGTCGCAAGTAGGAACCTAGTTGTTTAGCACCGCCACCCCAGCAATCGATCCTTCGAACGCCCAATCGCTTCCTAAACCCCCACTCAATTACTCGCTCAGGAAAAGAATTCGATTGCTTTCTATGGGGGTACAACTATGCAGCCTAAAAAGTCTTTCGTTTGGTCTCCTAGTGGATACTTAAAAACACAATATTCAATTGTTTCGTGGACTTGTCACATTTTAATATAATACTTGGTAAGTAGGTAGAGGGTGCATATGGCAGATATTCAGTAGTAGTTGGTAAGGATGACGCGATCCTGCGGTGATTTGCGCAGGGTATATATATATATATATATATATATATAGTATATACTCCGGATATACTAGTTACTGTTATATTGTTGGATACGTAGTGTGGTGGGTGTTATATTTGGACGAAGGGGGAGGGGTACTTGATGCAGGGGATGGATGGATGGATGGATGGGTAAGTCTACTCTGTAGATGTGGAGTTTAGTCGCATTCCTGAGGTCTTATATTCAAATTATACAGTTAATAGATGAATTGTATTGGTGCCTGTAGAGTAGAAGAAAGTATGTGCTTTTATATGATGTTTCTTTCTTTAGTGAATGTATGGGTAGATGGTGTAGTGGATCGGTATGTTGCACTTTAAGTGCTTTTTTGGGCTCTTGGTTGGAATCTGTACTAGACAGTTAGGATATATGAATAACCCGTTTCAGTAGGAAGATTTTTTTGTGTGTTGATAGTAATTGGGAGTGTAAGTGAATGCCCTTCCTTTACTACAATGTATGGCGATGCTGAGAAGGGGGTTCCGGTGTGGGTCTTGTCAGTAGTAAGTATTTCATTGCAGTTGTGGCTACTTTTACGATCTAGATTACTATATTGTGTCTAATGGATTTTTACTATGACATAAGTCCTACAATTATCTAGGACTTATCGAAGAATTTACTTCGTATACGGAGTGTATATTTTGGTTTGCAATGATCGGATGGAGCGATCTCCGAACGATTCCCTCTCTGTAAACGTAAATATATACAACAGGACCCTTAAAACTAGATAATACACATCACAAATAAGTTATGATCATGAGACACACTCTCACTTCCTAATTTCCTATTCTGAGTTACTCCAACTAAAGCATGCATGCTTCTTTCTCTTTATAGTACACTTATACTTTTTCCTCCTAACAAATCATCCGCGGAAATAAGTCCGTCGCAGAATGATTGGATACCCGTCACAGGAGCTATTTAAACCTTCTTTTTCTTTTTGTTTCTAATTCCCAAGCCAGGCCACTGGACTTTTGGATTCTAGACTTTGCATTTGCTTTGAGAAATCCAGACTGTAAGCCCTACTGCATACTTAGTTTGTCACCTGAGGGATAACTATTTCGTTGGTTGCCACCAATCACTCCGAGAATTATTCCAAATCCGAGCCTACTTATACTTACTTGTGCCACTGAATGGCGATGAACAGTCCCAAATTTAAGAACCCCCGTTCAAGCCCGACTATTCAACTTAGCATGCATCGGGCTTTGAAAAAGATGTGCTGAATACGACTTGGTAAAGCAACACCAAAACCTGATTGGCTAATTGCTGTAACCAGGAGGCGTTTCAGAGATTCAACCTGTGCCTTATTTCAAGGCACAAACTGCGGATCCTCCCTGAGCTGAGACCCTATCACCGGAGAGCCTCACCTTGGCCTATGAACTCTTTTGTGTGTCAAATTTCGGCTTTTGGGGCTCACATACTTGGCATTATCTTTGATGATGTATGGGTATGAGTTAACGTCTCGCAGGATTGCGGGGTGGGACGTGCTTTCTTGCTGGAAACGGAATATTCAACGGAGTCCGGGTCCATGGACGAGACTGAGTCTGCCAATCAGGGCCATATCCGAGATAACTACTCCCTGCTTACCTTAAACGGACACAGAAAACTGTGCTCCGTAGGGCTAAGGGGTGGGAAGGAATTGAGATGACTGAAGCATTGGGGGCCGCCCACGTGGTTTTGGCCCGCGTATACTCGGAGGTCAGGAACCTGGTTTTCAGTGCGTGAAAGTGGACGCATCGGGTTACTTGTCGACAGCCTCCGGTGAGGCTGTGGACGGGAGGATTAGTTCAATTGGAAATATCTTATGCAGTTGTTTTCTTTTTGCGAGGGGAGGGGTGACTGTATGTGGTATGTGTTGGACGTCCGAAAGCGCCGCCGGCCCCTCCCACTCAGCCTGGAGTTGGGGTCGGAAATTGTGACAGGTGCCCTCCATGCATGGGCGTCAAGCCCACCCCCTGCTTTTGCGCGGGTGATGATTGTTACATTCCGTCCCTATTGGTCTTTCTCGCCCGCGCGGTGCAAATCGGTGGTTTGATCCAGCTCAGCCCTTCTCATAGTTATTTAGTTCATGGATGCTCGCCTGCAGGCAGCGCTGTATCAAGTCCAGCGGGCGTGGTTCAAATTTGATGCTTCCCCCTGCAAATGAGGCAACCGGGCAAGTTCCGTTTGTCTCCCGGAAGATAGAGTAAGCTCGATAACCATGCTTATTGAGGCGACAGACCCGAGTTGGGGACTTAGCCTCGGACTGCAGAGCTTATTGGGCCTGTGGATCGATCGATTCCCTATGCTTAGTGTGTTGAAGGATGCGCCGGCGGCCCAAAAAGACGGCCGTGGCGACTAGTCCACTGTCCGGTGTCCGTTTAGAAACGGAGGAAGTTGGTGCCCCTCGAAGGATGCCTCGGTCTATTGTCACCCTTATCCAGTTCTGAGTGAGATGTTTCATTGGTGAGGATAGATTACTTTTTGACCAAAGAAATCGATGAGAGATTGAGACGAAGCTGATCGGAGAAGTCCGTAGCCACGACGTCCTTCTCCCTCGTCCATTTCCTCCCCGGCGCGCGACGCTAATTCGAGCTGACATAATCCTCATGACCACACACCAGTGCTGAGGCGTGTGGGTTGCCTTTTAATATACCAATGTATGCACGTCGCAATTTAGCCGTGGGGTCCAGTCATCTGCATCGGACATGGACGCCCAGGCTGTGTGCCATGAGGCAGGTTCAGCCCGAGCATGTTGGGATCCAGCGGTTAGGACTGGCTTACCCTCATGCCTAGGCCTCTACTCAGTACTCTACCATTGAACCACGCCAGGATAGCTAGTCCAGATGTGGCAAAAGGATGTGCATATAGTAGGCCACGGTATAGACCGGGAGCTGTCAAGAATCCACCTCACCAGTTCGCAATTACTTGACCGGGCAAGAAAAGCCGCCTAGCCTTGCGCCAGGAGCCTTGCATGGAGAGATAATCAACACTAGGTGCTGACAGCCCGACACAGGTTTTGGGTAAGGCCAATGTAACCGTCCGGGCTTACTGTTATCATGATTGAGATGCCAGCGGGGTGTTAATCTAATCGAGTGAGCACGGTGCAGATTTCTCAAGGTCTGGCCCACGAGCGGCAGGTGGGATCCATCCGGAGATACTAGGATTAGTCGAGGCTGGCAGCGTCGGGGAGGACATCATTCAGCAGCTGCAGGGGCGGCACTTTCGTCAAGCATTGGGCTAGATAGATAGAAGGAGGGTGAACTGTGATTTGAACTTCTCAAAGAAGGTTAGTTGGCGCCAGGGTGAAGAAAGATCGCTTCATGGCCCATGCTCCAGGCGAACGAGATGGCAGCGTCCAAGGCCCCAAGTCTGGCCGTGATGGATGGGGTCACCACCGGATCTATACCGGGACAGGCAGGTGCTAAAGGGGCCCCCGTGTCAGGTAAATGAAAGCACATGGCCCAATACTGCACGAGCAAATCCCCCCGGTCAGGCCCAAGCATCCCTGTCAACTAGCAGAATTGAGATGCATGGATGGTGGTGATGGCCAGAATTAGTCTCGTGGCCGAGGCGGTGATACAAGGACTCTTTTGGCTTCGTGTTACCTAAACGAGGCCCGGTGATTAGTTGGGCGTCCGGCTCCACCCGATGGGGAAGCCAGACCCCTGTCCTGTCACATCGGCCCAGCATTGCACACGCTGCAGGAAGCGGGTCGAATATGGCTGAAGGCAAGTGGTAGTACTCCATACTAGTAGTTAATGAATATTCAACCTATCTATCTAGCCAGTCTCGAAGAGCACTAGACAGGTTGAAGGTAGGTACTTTGTACTCTGTACCTAATTAGGGGATTGAGTAGTGGTAGTACTCGGTAAGTAAGTAGTAGTGGGAATTGTGAGATTTTGGGGGGGTGGTACTGTCAGTATAGGCTAATCAGATCAAGAATCTGGGCGGCGCTGTGTGTCATCTTTCATTAGCCGTTGAGATAGTCAATCAGTTAATCCCCGATCAGAAAACATTTTCTTGTAAAGAGAGTTCAATCGAGGACATAGTCTTTTTTTGCCGAGTGCTTGTGGTGGATGTGGATATATTGGGCTTGTCATTGTAACCACGGGACAACTGGTCAGAAGGAAATGGACGAGAGCAAAGCCAGTCAGGATCGAGGAATGAGAGACACAAACAGAAAAAGAAGATCAATAATAATTATAATATCACCAAACTACTAACCACGACCATAACAACCATCACCAATCCAACCAAAATTGAAGCGGGTCGTTGCATGGGCCAGGATTCATCCAGTCCCCATCCGGTCCAGATCCGACTCCGACTCCGCCTCCGACTCCGGCTGTACTAACTTTGGGGCGCTCGCGTGCGCCCTCCACCCTCCCTCCCTTGACGGTTGGCTCGATGTTGAAGCCGTCCGTTTTAGTGTGCCTTCTAGTCGTCCTGCAAAAGCGGAGCTGCTGGGCGGCATGGATTGTCATTGGTCTGCCTTCTGACTGGCACGCTGCCAAAGGTGCCTGTCTAGTGGACAATATCTAGAGTCCGTCGTTGCTGGTGTCACCTGGGCTTGAACCCTGGTCTTTGTTGGGTTACAGAAAACAATCGGTCGAGTGTCGAGGGTGGGGAGGAGGAAGAAAGTTCATGCCGTCATCGTTGAGGTTTTGACATATTCAGACAGGTGGCCTTGATATTGGTTGATACACCCCAGCTTGGCGCTCAAACATCACAGACTAGCTCCATTTGTTCCAGGTCACGCTAGCGGTAAAACGTTGTTGGCTGATCTGCAATGGGCCAGCCTGGGGAGGTTGTAAACGTGGGAGTAAGGGGAAATAAAAAAAAGGCTATGGTCATCATCGTACGTAGTATTGTTATCATCACAGCTGCTTGTGTCTTGTCATGAATGGCCCCGGACCCATTCCTGGTGCCATCATTTAGTTAGCCCATTACGGCCTGGTTCCATTGCATCCTCCGAACGAAATGAGTGGGAGCTTCCGGTGATAAGATCGACCGTTGTGTTTTTGGGGCTTGAAAATCGCCCTGCCAACCAGATTCATTGCCCACTAGTGCCTTCCCCTCCATCATCTTAGCGAGCAGAGGCGACAATGTTAAGTCTCGGCTAATTGACTGGGTACTATTGAGTGTGGTGATTCTTGGAACGGAGATCCCGTCGAGTACAGTAGATCATGGAGATAAAACATCCCGAAAGGGCCCAAAAATACATAACAGCGCGTACTGTCGAAGTACCAAACACAAAACAAAGAAACAAAGACAGAAGCAGCAAGGGTTTCGAGTGACACCAATTCAAGGTCTGCGGTGAAGCTTCAGGCACTCAAAATAGACGCCACATTCTTTCATGTTCCATGTGTGGAAGGCAGTTTGACATGCTGCAGAAAGGTGTGGGTGACAAGGAAGGGATGGATCTGGCTGGTGGAATTGGAAAAGTACCTCAACTCCGGGGTGACTGACTCGTCCAGCCAGCTCACTGGCCATGGCGATTACTTAAAAGGGGATCATATCAGACAACGCATGGAGGGCGATCGACATACAGCGCTTGGCAGGCAAGGGCAGAAAGAGAGAGACAAAAGGCCAGGCAGATCATACATAAGAGACCACTGTACATGCGACTTACGTAGTGCTTTAGTGCTGCTGCTATTCGCGGATGCTGCACATTGTCCACATGTACCTTGATGCGCATGTCGGCTGGTCACATTCCACCGGAGCGGGGGGACTACATGCTGCGTGCAGGCCTTCCCCTCCAAAAGAACAAAACCAAGTATTGAGTGTCTGATAATTGGTGCCTCCCTGCATCTAAAGAGAATTGGTGTATGGGTGTGGTCGCTCTTTGGCTACAGGCGGCCAAAACCCATGCTGCAGTGGCTGTTATCATGCTGTCTGACTTCACCACCCATAACTTGACTTCCCCCTTCTGGTAGTTTCCAGGATGAGGTCCTCCGAGGCGCACTGGGGACACCCCATGGACGCTTGGCGTCGTGTGGCTGAACCAGTCTCAACCGTCGCATGTCCAGAACCCCCCTCTCTAGCGGCGATCATTCCACCATGGTTGCCATGTGTCGGGCGCTGGAAAGCCAAACGAGTTGCGCGTTAGGCCTTATTGGGCATTAGACTTAGACTTTGCGCTGACACTGAGCGCGAACAGAAATATGATATGACTCTGAACTGTGACGACATATCCATATCTTGTTGTATCTTATTGTATATTGAATTTGCTGCTGCCCTTGCTTCGATTACCTTTTGTATCCATCCATCAATACCATAAGTAGTTTTGGTAAAAATCAAACCATGTGGTTGGGTGTCGGGCAGGTACGGAGTATTGTTAGCCATTACCGACAACCACACTCCCCCAGCTACTAATACCATGTTCCAAACAGCAGCTGCAGCCACTCAGGTTTGTGCACCAAGTATCTGTTGCCTACGGAGCTTGGATGACCGTCCCAATGCTTTCTCCCATGGTGACATAGCACTCCGCGGAGCTCTGTTGAAAGGGAGTCTACAACAGACCCATGCACCTGGCTACTCGAGCTCAGGACCTCCTCACCTGTGGGTAGGCAGTGGATAAAACGAGCATATATTCTGTCGCATTTGCCGCCCTCTCCCTAATCCCAGGCTGGATCAATGTCTGCAAGGAGGACGATGCAAGCAAAAGGCTAAGTGTCAACTGCTCTGGCGCGAACGGAATGGTCCCGTAGGTAGACGGAGCCTTCACTCGAGGCCCAATACGGTACGCTTACGCCGCTTACGGCAGTTCGCCGGTCGTGGGACCCCTGAGGCCGATCGTCCAGTGCAGCCACGTGAAGGCAGTTCGCATCGAGATCGTTGCCGACCGAGGATGGTCTCTGCTTCGCTAAAAGATCAGGCGGGCGATGTGGATGCACCACCTGTCTTTCGTGATATGGCCCATCCAGTACGCCATTGCCATCTGTCCCCCATCAAGCTTGAATCCTTATTGTCGGATGCAAACGGATATGCGGTCTTTAAACATTGCAGGCTCGAAAAGTCCTACAGGATGCTAAACACCCGGTGGGCAGATTCATATGATGTTGGAGAGGATAGTAAAGGCGAGTCAGGTGAAAACCATGAAAACTGACGGGGCTTATCCAATTCCAAAGACACAGACCCGGCTGCTGAATCCAGTTTAGACTGAGTATTTGGAGTAACCGGCCGTTTGAGCCTGAATAATAAACGTACATTTTTATTCAGATTATCCTTCCTGAAGAATTTTCATCTCTCTTTTCGAGATGCGAGCCATGACAAGGCCATGCGACCGTCGGTGATGACGGGCGTTGATTGCAATGATGCAGAGACTCTGGTTCGTGATGTAATCGCCAGCTGCAAACTCATTGCTCCGAAAGACCCCCTGGTACTGTGTTATTATCCCTGGCATGATAGCGGCCCCTTCCCCCCCCCCCCCCCCCCCCCCCCCCCCCCCCCCCCCCCCCCCCCCCCCGCGGATTGCCTGGGACAGGCGTTCAACAACGTGTTCTCCCGTCATGGTTCGAGTAAGTAACTAAGGCCGGGAATTCTTCAGCCCACGGGACATTTTGCAGGCGTGGAGGGTGCATTTGCCATGCCAGCGGCCCCGACGCTGATTCGTCCACCCACGCTGGGATCGACTCCCCATTCATTCTGGGCCCCACTTCCCGGCTGGTCTGAGCTACGATTACCCCCAACCTGGCTTAGCTTAGCGCCCAAAGGGGTAGATAGAGAGCAGTTTGGAGCAGTTTGTCCCTGTTGGGCCATCTCGTCTCAGTAGATACTATGAGGAGTAGTCTAGTTACCAACAGGCAGACACAAAGTTTTCCCGCTGGATGGGAAAGTTATGGATCCCTCTTGCCTAGGCGCTCCTGCTTGACTCGACCAGTGGGGCGGCCGATGACAAGTCTTGTTTCTTCGTCATGAAGGTATCCAAGTAATGAAAGAAAAAGGGCTTGCACCTTAGAGAAAGGCTTCCAGGCTCCCAAGGTCATCAACTGAATCCAGTTTCTTTCCGACGCCTGATGAATATATTTCGAAGAAGGAGACTTTACTCCCAAGATATCTCACGGGACTGGTGAGAAAATAAATTGGGGGCGTCTGAGAGGTGTGAGGCAACCTCGGTCCCGATCTGCGTCAACATTGCCCCAGTTAGGTTCAACGATGATTACCCAACCCGGACAAGACTGATTCGAGCTTTTCTTCGCGGATACGATCCAGGATCCAAAGTCGAACGACGGATCTCTGCTCGTTTCCGGGAGATGTCCAAGTCCGATCATGGATGACCGACATAGGTACGCACCACAAAGTCCCCATTGGCGTGATTTGCCAGACAATATCGTATACGTATTATGAGCCAGGGCTCGATGGAAGCGACCGGTTGATAAGCTGCAATATCGATACCCGGGCATGGGTGGAAGGGTGGACACCAGGCGCCATTAGGACCAATAATTCCCTGCGATGGCCGGGGAACTGTCAAACGTGGCTCTGATCCGGCCGACAAAAGGGAAAGAGAAGCAGATTCCTTCTTCTCGACTTCAGCAGAGCTATCCGATGCGCTAAATCGCTAGTGGAGGACTAAGCAACTTCAAGTTTGGTACCTGACATTTACACTGCTCGCTAGCCGACTGAGAATATGACTGGGCTGGACCTTCGTTGTCAGAGTTTTGGAAGACACGAAAAAAAAAGCCATGTTGGAAAGTCTGATATAATAATCGACCATTCTTCGGCCGCCTCCTAAAAATGTGGCAGAACTGTAACCCACGGAATGAGGAGCAGCTGGACCCTCAGAAATGGCCACCTCGTGGCGGTGGACTTGATCGCTCTAGGATGTCGTATTAACTATTTTTATTTTAGTTGAATTTAGTTGGTGGCTGTAAGAGTATGACTAATTTGTTCCCCTTCCTTTCTTGTCAATTTATTTTATTCCAATTTACTTGAAATAATATTTTCTGTTTTTACTTTTTTATTTCCCTTTTTTATTTTTTTTATTTTTTATTCAAATGCTTGGCTGCTTTCCGGGCGGGCTCCCCTTCTATGACCTATGTTATACGGCTTTCCTCTCTTTTTGTCCCCGAACTTGCGGTGCGCCTCTGAGGCTATCTGTCATATGGAAAATTGAATAGTCTGTACTATGTTTGAGCCACGGAGAAAATGGTCGTCTTTAGTGGCTGATCCTGTTGGGATGGCTTCAATTCCTGTCCAATTGCTGGCAGCCACTGCTGACCACGTACGGTTCAAGTAGTACGCAGCGCCAAGCGACCTTTTTTCGCTCCATGTCTCTTCTTACTTTCATACAGGACTGTACTTGTCATGTTTCTGATACCCATCGAGGAATTTTGCTCTCGTATAGAAGTAGTTGTCTCATGTGGCTGAGGGGGAAGAGCGAAACAGACCAGACTGAAAGTTATCGTCATTTACTTAAGTACAGCCAGCCATGGATCGTATGCTACAATGATGTACACTGAAAGTGAAATTAGTGTAGATAGGCATTCAGCATAAGAAAATCGAAGTAATTCTGGAGAGGGGAATTCTCGGATGCAAGTGTTAATCAACATTGATAGCTTGATTGCCCTTTTCTCCTACTCATACTACCAGCGAAACTGAAAGAAGGACGGAAGGGATGAAAGTCGGCGGCGGCACCACTTTGTTCTTAACCTTCTTATTTTATGTTATTTTATTTTATTTTATTCCTTTACATTTTTCTTTTCGGGAAGGGGGAAAAAATAAATAAATTCAATTTTCGTTTCCCCTTTCTGGATTGTCCTTCAGTCGCCGAGTCTCACCTCGATATTTGCTTTACATGAGAATTATCAATATTTTTTATTTTCTCTTCCAGCCCTTATTTTAATTCTATTTTGGCGTTAGGTAAACCGCATCTGTCACTCGATCTCGTCATTTTCTATTTGCTTGTTATGCTGCATCGGTACCTTTGCCTTGCGCTTCAGGGCCGCTTCGTACTATTACTTACAGACTGCTTGTTCTTTTACTCAGTTCTGACCCTTTTACCCCAAGGCGAGGAGGGAACATCTTCAACCAAGAGGTAGTGCTTATTCTTCTAATTTTTCCCTCTTCCCCTCTTTTTGAAAGCCTTGAATTCCCCTGGTCCATCCCATTATCGGCCTTTTTCACCGTCAAAATCCGAACTGATCTCAACATCTGACTTGATCCCATTTTCGTTCTATCTCTCTTTCTTATCCTTTCTTAAAAGAAAGACATATTCTCTTTTATTTTAAATTCTCTTTCGGGTCTCTTCGTCCAGACCCGCCCAAACTTTCTCCAAACTAGTCCGAATAGCTCCCGCAACTAAGAGGAGAGTTCCCATCTCCCCTAGCATTTTCCCGCCCGATCCATCGAACTTCCAAAACGACGAGACACCAGTGCCACAGTCTGGTTCCTGTGAACTAACTAGACGAGAAGAGACGGCCTCGACGGGCCACTTCTACTACTATTATTATTACTGCTTTCACCTATCTGGTGTTAGTTGAGGGGGGGAAAGCAGAAAGAGCTTGCATTTTACTGATTTTCTGACGGGCTGGCTTACTTTTTACTGCTACTACTTACTACTTTTTTTCCCTTTACTACTACTACTGTTACCCGCCCTCTTCCATTCTTCAAACCACGGCCCCCCCCCCCCCCCCCCCCCCCCCCCCTCCTCCTCTCCCCTTCTGCTCCGATTTTCTTACTTCTCAGCCCGCCCGTCCCACGACTTGCCTTCCTCAGTCAAGTGCCCTTCTAGTCCTTCTTCTCTCACTCTCTTGCTCCTCTCATTTTTTGCCGGGCCATCATTTGCCCCCCTCTACCACCCGCCCCTCCCTCCTTCCCCCCTCTTACATACTACTGCTGCTACTACGACTACTACTACTCTCTTTCCCTCGTCCCTCCCTCCATCCCCGCAAGCCTTCGTTCTAGCCGGTCACGTTAAGGTTCTGCTGGCCATCGGTCGGGAACCTTGCCCTAAGACTCCTTCCTGCCCAATTGTTCGTCGTTTTAATCTCGTGCCACGTTCCGCTGCGCCGCCCGAGCGTTTTGCACCTTCGCCATCTGGTAAGCTCCATCCAGTCCTGCACCGCAAACCCATGCCCCGGAACCATTGGCCCTGCCGTACATAATTTCCGTCAGCCCCCCATGTGGCCGAAGCTGACACGATTTGTCCCTTTACTTAACATTTAGTGTTCCCTTTTCTCCTCCTTCCCTTCTTAATTTTTTTTTATCAGGGAGAAGGAAAGGAAAAAAAAAAAGTCGATTTGCATCATACACCTTCTCTCCTTCGCCGATCCCAGTTAATCTTCACTTAACTTATCCCTCCCGTCCGCCTGTCTTTCCTATCCTTCTCATCCTCCGTCTTCCGCTCGCTTTCACCACGACGGCTCCTTCCGCCCTCCTCTCCTCTCCGGCAGTTTTTCCATTTTCCCTCTTCCGGGCATACTTTTGCGACCTGCACGTCACTGCGCACTTCACGATTTTCGCATAGCGTTTTTCGCCCTCGCTTCTGACTCAGTGTCTATCGATTCGTCGATACCGTGTGAAGACGGTTCGTTGACGCATACCACCCTGCTAGTTATACTCACCGGTATAAACTGTCAGGTGGAGACAGACGTCTTCAACCCTGCTGGGATCTGTCACTCTGCACCAGAATTGGAGGTCTTTCAGGATCAGTTGGAATAGCGAATCGCCGTCGAGAACCCATCAACGCGCCAGTCAGTCACCTCGATTTTCGGATAGTCATACTTGCGCGCGCCACACGAGATCGCCATTGGACACGTACAGTTGGTTAAATCTATATTGCATTAACCGAATTGCCAGTCAACGTTTGAACGTTCACTGTCTTATTACGTGTTGTGCCGATCCCTGAACATGAGATAGCGGAGCGACCCTGGCTTTTACACCATCCGGTCCTGAAACACATCAGAATACTCCTCGCCAATCCGTCTCTTCTAACACCTTCCCTTCCCTGATATCCATTTCCTTAGTATCTTTCTGGATTGCAGGTATACCAGTCAACAGATTGTCATGGAGACCACTCTTGCTCATCGACCTTGGGAGCCCGCTACCACGGGACCGCAAACCCCCCCAGTGTCGTCTACCCAAACCCTCCCATCTATTTCGACTTTGACAGCAAGTATGGCCGGCGGCATGCCTACCCAGGCCGAAAAGTCACCGGGGAATGCCTCCCTAAATACGATAGAGCGAGATTCGGGGAATTGGTCCATGCCTCAGAGTACCAGTAAGGCTTCGTCTTATTCATTCCCACCTGCGGAGGCTGATTGTCCCCTAGGGTCGTCTACCTACTCAACCACGACAAACGCGACAGGCAACTATCCCTCTCTCTCCTTCCTCACGTCCCAACCTTCTCCCAATCGCGCATCCTACGTCTCGGATCGGTCCCCGTACCCCAACGACCACTCTAATACCAACACGCCTTCCTCTGCGGGAGCGCAGCCTTCGCCCAATTTCGGGTCAACCCAGCCGAACACAACCCTGCCTTCGATCAACCAGAATTACGATGCTCCTTCTCAACGAGGCAGTATGGTGGAACCCCCCGAGTCTCGACGGAGCAGTGTGGATAGCAGGATGAACCAAGGAATCAGCTCGCTTGCCATTAACCCCGCATCTCCTTATCATAGCACGAATGCTTCGCAAACCTCGATTGTTTCGGGTCTCCAACGAGAGCGCGGTATTTCTATGGACGTGAATATGAACAATTCCTATCGCGGCCCTCGATACTCTGGAGGCCAACCACTCTCTCCACTTGGCCCGCGGGCTAGCGAACATCGCGGATTTGCAGCTGGCCGCACGGCACCTGCCATCTCGTCGAATCCTCGCTCTGAAATCTACAATGCAGAGGCACCTACCGCTGGTCTTGCGTACGCTTTCCCGGATCCTGACATTGCGCGATCCAATTCTGTCTCTTCTACCACCGAAAAGTCAACCAATCAATTCTCCCGCAAAGGAAGTACTGCTGAGTCGCTTGCCAGTAGCGTCTTCTCTGATGCACGGTTGCCTCGTGGACAGCATGGTATGTCTTTTGAATCCCTTAAGATATACGAACTACGATTCCTGACCTTTTTCTAGAACTTCCTCAAAATGTGCACCATCATTCTTTACAACACAAGCAAGTCCGTGGTCTTATTGGAGAAGCAGACGCACATAGTGGTAGTACGCCTTACAGCAGAACTCCCGAGCTGAGGGTAACGCACAAGTTGGCGGAGCGAAAGCGCCGCAGTGAGATGAAGGATTGCTTCGAAGCTTTGCGTGTCCGCCTCCCACAAAGTCAGAACAATAAATCGAGTAAATGGGAGACACTCACAAGAGGTATTTCATAACTATCGCAGGCACAGCCCTGGTGTTGACGTTGTTCTTTTACTAACGTGCTTGTAGCTATCGAATATATCTCACATCTAGAAAAGATGGTTACTACCACTCGCAGAGAAAATGACGTGCTGAGGAGCGAACTTGACGAGATGCGGGCACAACTCAGTCAGCAGCAAGCCAACGGCCAATCTCGGCAGCCGTCGATCTTTGAGCATCATCCCGTAACGGTGCCGCAGCCGAATGGGCAGGTACATGGCGCTATGTTTTCCGGTTATGCTCCTGGATCCGCGATGCCGCAAGAGCAACCGCGAACGCTTCCTCCGCTCATGAACGGGACTGTTGCTCCAATGCAAGGCGTGCAGTACACCGACGAACGACGGTAGCTAATCGATGGCCACCGAGATTCTTACCCATGACACAGCCCATGACGAATGCATTGGTGACGGTTGCTTTACTTGACACGGCCCACATTTCCTCGCGTTCTAGACGCGGTATCCGACTTCTCTTTCTCTGGCTTGTAGATTTGTTTTGGGTGGCTATCGTCCTTTCGAGCGACAATCTGCTTGACTATTTCATCATCCTATCCACCATTTTGGTTGGCACAACAGCGATTCTTGGCTAGCCTATGGCGGGTAACAAAAACCTCTCATCCTGTTTCTCTATATTTCTCACCTCTCCAGCATATTACCCCCTTGGTCATGTCCCGTTACATTACATCTCGGGGTCATGGTGGCTTCCACCTCCCCAAACTCATTCAACCCCTACCCATTTTCACCCCTCTCCCCAAGAATCGGAAGATCGGGGCGTGGAATCTGTTTATTTGACCTCCATCATGTATTGTCGGTGTTGTTAAAGGTACCGTGTATGCACGGAAGAAGGGCAAAAAAGGAAACTCGAACATTAGTTGCTTGGAAAAGGAGTGTATGTGTGGCATTGTTTTGATATCCCCATGGTTTGTTTATTATGTGTATTTTGCTCTACAGATACCTGGAAATCAAACGTCGAAGCATCGGTTGATACCGGTCGACATCGATGTCGATCGAGAACCTGTTCCACCTCAGCTGCCGTCTCAGTAGTGTTCCGGATTGAGTCGACTAAGCAGAGAATCTCATGAAATCGTAGCTTCAAACGGCCGTGGGTGATTGATATTGTTAGTAGGAGGTCAGAGCTACGTTGGGGCATCCCGTGGACTGCGTTGATGCAGGCTATTTTTGTCCCTGGCGTCTTGGCTGCTGATTGGCGCCCGGCGAAGTTCTGCAACCTCACCGGCGTCGTGGATATGCTTCTGTTAGCGCCGCGTGCCCCCCATCGGCGGCTACAGAGCTCCCACGGCTTCTTCAGGAGCCAATCCACCCCTGGAGCTACCTGCCAAACATCATCTTGCAGAGTCGATCCAAGCAATCCTGGCCAATGGAGTCCACCCGTCCTGCTCGACTGTATGAGGCCGGAGGATTTGGCACTCTGCACAAATAGTAGCCAGGACCATGCGGGTCCGCAAGTGTCCAGGTCAAGGATGGCTGTTGCATGATATGCATGAGCTCTCCCACTCATTTCTAGCACCCTGTGGGTGCTTGGGCTTCTTCCTGGCACCAGCTGGTCGTGTTATGACTTTTCCATCACTCTCCTCTTTCCTCTGCTGCCTTCCTTGTCCATGTGCTACTTCTACCACCTCAGCAGTTGGTGTTCGAATTGTTCACCTGAATTTACAGTTCTGGCCTTTTCGATTTCCTTTGTGTCCCTTGTATTCTCCTCAAAGTGGACTGTGTGAATAACAGCTGGCGGTGTCGTGTTTGTTCTGTTGAGGCTGCTTTGTGTTCTGAAGGTCATTGTTCCCTCTGGTTCACGATTGTCTCACCTTGATGCTTTGGTCATAACAATAGCAACCCAAGCGTCCTTTGTTTCCCACTTTCAAAATCAAAGGCCATCAGTTTATCAACGAAAGGCTTCACAATATCGCAGCTGGTTTGCTTGATCTATACCGAAACGACCTTCATCTGCTGCGCCAGTCCGTATACGGTACTTGGCCTACTCCAACCCCCTGAATGGTGTGTTACTGAAACCAGCCGACTAATGAATTGGTTTAGTATAAGGCAGATTTTTGGCCTCGCAGGCCATACGGCCCCCGAGATGCAGAATTCGACGGCAGGTCTACGAATTCCTGCAGCTCCGACTTTCCCTCTGTCATCTCCGATCACAGAGGAGATTCCGAGCCCGGTGCCGTCATCTCCAGAGGACCATGACATGGAAAGGAATCGACCTTTTGCTTTTCTGAATAAGACAACACGCAGAAATAACCCTTTCATACGCGAAGGAAGTTATGATAAGCACACTCAGTCACAGGAAGCAGTAGATGAGACGGGGGTATCTTATCAGGCAAATCCGAACCAAGAGGACTTAAGCAATCTTGGGCTCTACACAGGGAAGAGCTCAGGACGGCCTGTTGGGTTGAGCTTGGTTACGGACTTCTCTCACTCTACATCAAAGGCACCTGAAGATGGATCAGTGCCGACTCTCGTGGATTTAAATGACTTGAAGGCTCTCTCTGAGGTGCGGGAACAGGAAAGGAATACACATACTCTTAAAGGGATATTGAAGAAAGTCCCCGGTCAGGACTACGACCAAAAGTCTGTGAAACCGTCCGTATTCGACAACAAACGACTATCTTACTTCAACATCAGGCGGAAAAAGAAGGGAAATGACGACCTGTCGCCATCCGATCGACCGATTATGATTGGACTAAGCATGCCATCTGATGAATCCTTAAGTACTCAAGGAAGAGGGCTAACAGTAAATACTGGCCATGCCCAACGAGCGGCACTGACTCCCTCGATAATTGTGACTCCGGCCAAGGAAGACACATTTTGGACAGGCCTTGACACGACTCATCCTCGTCCTAGGATAGCGTCTAGCATCTACTCTCAACCAACGCCGTATCCCGATGAAAATGACAGCGACCTTGACATTCCACCTGTGCCTGCTATTCCTAATTATGCCTTCTTGGCGCATAATGAGAACCCGAGCACGAATATGAACACTGAGTCTACACAAAGCCAATTTGTATCCGCAGCAGGGAGACAACGCTCCCTCTCGACTGGCACTCTGTTTGAAGAAGATGACGTGCGACGGGAGAGCCGCTCTCGGTCATATTCCAGCGGGACTGTCAAAAAGATTCCGGATAGGTTAAGCATCAACACTGAAACCAACAGGCATCAGTCACAGGGTTGGTGGACTTACTTGCTCTCACCTTTGCTGAGTCGTTACAGCACAGCCATGGGTCCCACCACCCCAACTGAGGCTGCCAGACCACCAGTTCCCAGTATCGCAACGGAGTCAAGGGAATCGAGTGACGAGTGGTGGGAAAAGGAAGTATCCAGCTTCTCGCCCGATACGCCAGAAGCCATCATACCTCATCATAAGGAATTGCCACCTGACTGGACAGATGCTAGTTTGGACCCCTCTGACGAGAAAAGACTGAGTATTCAAGACCAACGTGTCGAACGAGAGCGAAATGCCACATCCTTTATGTTCCCGGGAAGGCCAATCCAGGGCTCTGCGGCTGAATACTACCAAGCCTGCGCACACGAATTGTTCAGCGGACGGCCGTACTTTGAATGCGTCAACCATGTCTGCTCTATAACACCCAAGGACAAGATTCCCGGCTATACCGAGGGTACAGTTGTGGGTTCCTCAGATAACAGGAGTCTTCTGATTGACGTTGGGGACATGCCACAAAACGAAGTTCCTGGCTTGAGAGCTGTTCCCACTACTTCGGAGCCACGCACTGTGTATGAACCGAGTGTAATGGATAAGGGAGTAGAGGCCACCCTTGACAATCTTCAGGACGATGATCCGGTTGGAAAAGCTAGCTCGAGGGGGGTACCTCCGTCTGAGCATCCAACGATCCAACCTCCCCCCACCCTGCGTCCTCTGAGCGAGTATCCTCCGACCGAGCACCCTCCAAGTGAGCACCCTCCAAGTGAGCACCCTCCTAGCGAACATCCTCCTAGCGAACATCCTCCCAGCGAGCATCCCCCGAGTGAACATCCTCCGGCTGGTCAACCTCCAGTTGACAACAATCCAAATCAGCCTATTCCTGATGAAGGGTCACGGGAATTGCCTCAGGAAGCCTTTCCAACATCACATGCCGGAGGAGAAACTGGAGAATTAGCACCGCCTCCAAACAGTCAAAGCGAGAGGAAGACGTCTTGGCCTATCTTTCAGCCAATTATCCAGCCAGTCATTCAACCAGCGCCGCAGCCAGTACCTCAGCCAGCCATTCAACCAATAATAGTGCAAGCTCCTCAACCGGTTGCTCAACCTGCCCCTCCAACTCAGACCTTCCATGTCCATCCTGCTACTGTCCCATCGCCGATTCTCATAGCACCCCATGGGCACCAGCATCCAGCATTTCCTCAAGAACAGCAGACTGAACCACAGCCTGAACCACAGCCCCCTAACCCTACGTCTCCTGGCCTCCAACAAGCCACCGTGAGGGGTGGCTCAATTCCGCTATCTGACATGCATACTACCCCGGCTCCTGCATATACATCCAACCACAATAGCTCCTCGACCCCAGCGCCTACATATACTTCCCCCTACACTGGCTCTATGCCTCGCATGGAGCCTCATCCACTCCCACAAGAGGGAATGACACATACCACCACAGAGAGAGAGATAATCGAGATACGACGGAAAACGTTAGAGACAGAAGACAAGAAGAAGAAGAAAAAGAAGTTTGGCTTGTTGTTCTGCTGTTGCTGTTGCGGTGGTGACCGGTCTCATAAAAACGGCTGTTTCGGTAGGAAAGACAAGGACAAGAAGGTCAAACGTCGGTGGTACCTAGCTATCCTCACGTCCTTCCTCATAATAATAGCGATTATCCTCCTTCTAGTCATGACCTTGACAGGAAAAGGCGACTCAACTCCAGTGGAGTCTCAGTGGCTCAACCTCACCGGCTATCCACCGATGCCCACTGGTATCGCAACAATTGCCGGACCAAAGCCTCAGGTACAGCAGTCAGGATGCATAACTCCATCCACCCTTTGGAGCTGTGCTCTACCACCAGAGGAACAATCCGCCAACAAGCCCTACGCGGCCAATGAGCCCAACTTCCGCGTGGAAATACGATTCCGCAATGGCACCTACCCTAACAGCACCACAATTGCCTCACGATCCAGCAAAACCCTCTCCTCACGGAGCTCCGATAACCCCTACAGTCCATCTCCATCCCCACCAAGCATGAAAGACCAGACCTTCCTCGGCAACACAACAGACAACAACACCGTCCCCTACGCTGGCGAGGAAACCCCCTTCTACATGACCTTCCTCTCAACCAGCACCCTAACATCCACATCCACCTTTCGCCTGGCGCGAAGATCCTCCGACAGCTCCTTCCCTAACCTCGCAACAATTATCCCCTCCCCAGACGAAGATTCCGACGGAACCGCCGCCGCCGCAGATCTATACCCAATGCCCTCCTCCCAACCAGTCCGTCTCTACAACCGCGGCCTCAACACAGAACACTATGGCTTCTACACCTACTTCGACCGCTCCATCTTCCTCTCCTCCCGAGCCCCCCTCGACGGCAACACAACCGACACAAACCCCAACGACCGAAACGGCGGATCCAACGAATCTGACGCCCGCGTCCGCTGCACCTGGTCCCAGACCCGCTTCCTCGTCCAAATCTGGACGCGCTCCAACGACACACTCCTGGAGAATGCAACGGCCACGTCCACAGCGTCAGCAACTGCATCAACAGCAACAGCAACAGCCACAACAACGCCTTCCTCCGCGAATGACTGGACCCGGCCCGGATCCTTTCCTTACCCTGTCACCATAACTCTAGACCGCCATGGAGGAGACGCTAAAGAGAAAATGGTCTACTGTTATGGCATGGAGAGCGGCGAGCAGATCAACTCAACGGAAGTCAAGTTGCAGCTCGAGGATCGATCATACGGTGGGACGCTGGTAAATCCGGCCCCGGGGATTTTCGACTTATATGGTAATTCGTCGACGGACGCTACGGGGGATTATGGGGGCGTTGATGGGGGAAGTGGAGGGTGTTCCTGTAAGTGGGCGAATTGGGTATCAAGTTCATGAGGAGTTGATGGTAGGATCAAAAGGATATGACTTCCCAAGTTGGAACGAAAAGAGGAATGACATGTCAGCTTTAGTTGTCTTGGTTGATGATTGCATATATGCATGGTTGCATCTGTATGGGGAGTAATGACTCGAAGATGATAAAACTACGGTGCAGATGCAGTATAATATACCACTACAATAGACGCAAATGTCTTTTCTTTCCCGATTATTGAGGATAAATGAATTTACCGAGTCTAATACACAATCCATACACCTGAGTACTCCAGAACCCAGAAAGGAAACAAAAGTTTAGACCGGAAACAAGATAAAACGCCGTATATACCTCTAGAAATTCGATTCCAACGAAGCGACAATCTGGTTTTTGACCAGAGTACAATATCGGAATCAACGAGAGCATATATTATTTGTATTGTGAAGGACACCTGAAACAAACAAGCAAATAAAAATGTCTCATAAGTGAGCGAAGCGATCCACTTCTCGTCAATAATATTAGTTTTTAAAAGAGTTTCTGGGTGTAATAAACCTGCCCACTTCGTTGTATTGTATTTTTTGTATCGGTTTCGGAGCGGTGGTCTTGCCATCAAGCAGTCTAGTGATGCATGATATCGAAGGTAAAATCAGAAGAGAGACAGTAGCGTCATTTAAGCCAGGACAAGCAGGCCCATGGCGATGCTGCCGACGAGAGCAAGGCCGGGAAGAACCATCTTGGCACCAGAGCTGGACGAGATGAATCCCGTGGAGGTAGGTGCAGGAACAGTAGCACCGCCGTTGCCGCCGCCCTCGCCGCCGCCTCCAGAGGTGCTGGTAGCAAAGGACCCTGAAGAGGTGGTCGAGTTGGAGAACCGCTGCGATGTGGTGCTGGCGTTGCTACTGGCGGCCGGGGGGATGCTGGCAGCAGGTGCACTGGTCACGGCGGGGTTCGATTCGACCGGTGCTGGTGGGACGCTAGGGTTGACAGCAGCCGGGGCACTCGTTTGAGCGGCCGGTGTCTCCGCTGCGGAGGTCTTGATGAGCGGGACGCTCGGTTGAGCAGCGGTGCCAATCCCCTGGGTAGCCGGGGCGCTGGATCCAATAGCGGCGGGCACAGTGTTGGTGACCACTGGAGCGCTGGATCCAGTGGCAGCGGGCTGAGTCTCGGCAGCACTGGTCTTGATGACTGGGACACTTGTCTCGGAGGAACCAGAAGCTGTAGGGCTGGACTCCGGGGCACTGGATGCGGCAATGGGAGGCGGGTGCTGGACGCTGGATTCAGTAGGTTGAGATTCAGCACTGCTGGGCTGCGCGGTGACGACGGCGGTGGTTTCGACGGTACTTTGGGCGACCACTGTGGTCACTTGGCCGTCGTCACTAGCAGACTGGCTTGCGTGGGCAGCGCCGACTGCGAAGGCCAGAGCGGTCACAACGTGGGTTGAGTAACGCATTGTGAATGGAGGAGTTTGGGAGAACGGAAGAAAGAGATCTATCGCGGTACAAGTAGCAAAACTTAGCGTCAAGAAGGATTGAAAGGTAGAGAATGAAGCATGGCAACGCAGACGGATCGAGCTGGATCTCGAGGTTCTTTATAGCTTTTGCTTGAGGTACCATTCCGGTACTACCATCATTGCTTGACAGTCGGTTTAAACTCCGGGACAAGTGCTTCTTCATGGTGCCATCCACGAATCGCAAGAGGATTAGGGATCCGGATGCCGTAGTGTGGAAACGAACGTGGGTGGCTAGGCACTGCTTCCGGACTAGATCGAACAGATTGAATCTCAAAATAGCACAGCTGCTACCCAAAGCATTGACAGCCGCCCGGATCTAGATAAACTACTCCTGCTGGTAGCAGATCCAATTGGGGCTCTTCCCAACGTCATGTGACTTGGGGCTGCCACCCCAGGGGTTCCCAAAAGGGAAGTCGAGTGGCCGCAATCAGCCAGCCAGAGGAATGTTGATCCATTCTTCGATGATCTCTAGCCCTGCGAAGAGAATAGTATCGTCGAACGCATTTAGGAAGTGCAATGAGGAAGCAGCAACGTCTCAACAGACGAAAGCATCCCCAGGATGCTGTGAGCTACCTGCTACGTCAACCTCACCACGTTGCAATCTCGACTGTGGCATGTTTCGCAAGTAATGTGCCATCGGATGTTTCACACCTAAATGTCGATCGATTAGCAGTTTAGCAGTTCAATCTAGCGAATTCTGATTGTCTCTCGACTAGTGACTCAATCGTCTTTTGTTAGTCACTGAAAGCCTAAGTGGTCAATCATCGGGGACATTGTTGCGACCGCAACTTTCAGTGCTACCGATGCTGGACTGGGCGATGTACAGGCACTGCAAGTCTTTGAACAAGGACAGTTCGTTTAAGGCTCCTGCCTGTGCAAGCCAACCTCCCCTTATTGGTCCGTGCTTTCTGATTGCTCGATAGCACGTTTGTAGTTCTGTTCTTCCGCTGATCACCAAATGCAAGCTGTCATGATGAAGACATAATAGCTTTACTTGTCAAATTAGCCAGTTATCTTCAAGCTATGGTATGCCAACGCCTTGGAGGAGAACTTCTTTGTGAAGCTTCAAGCATAATAGAGGCCACTGGTCTCCCCCAGGACCCCTTTGACAGAGCGGCGGAGAGTTGACGACGCGTGGAAATTGCTGATGTCAGATGGTAGGAGACGGTCAAGCTTTTACATAGACCAGACTCCAACAGGGACAAAATGTCATGTTAGCTCGAGAACTAGTCCTGCTAGTAGTTATACAGAGTTGAACATATCCATGGTGTGGGGGAGGACAGACATGAGCTGGACCGGTGGTTCCCATTCGGCACCGGCCCGGAGATCCGCCGATCGCCTCCCCCTCGAGGTCAATAATCCATGAAGCCGCCATCCTTTATCATCCCCAAGTTCCTCACTATCTTCCCTACCAACACTCCATACGTGTCGCCATACCGGCTCCAAGGTCGGTCGGTTTCTCCTCCGTGCCTCTGCACTCCGGCCTGATGCCACCGCCCGTCACTCATGCCTCTCCGACGCAACATTCCCACCTCCTCCCTTCTGTCTCCCGGCGACTATGACGAAGATGCCGAGTCGCACCGCTCCCCGTCAGAGCAGGACTCTGACTCGGAGGATGACGAATTTCTTCGGAGATCACGCACCACTTTAGAACTTGCCGAACACGATCGCACAGTACTGGATGAGGAAGAAGAAACGGAGAAGCTGCTTACCCGCACCGGTCCAACTCATGGCCTTCGCCGCATCTTCAGCCCCAGCAGCAGTAGCGTACGAATTGGGAAGCAGGAGCGCAGGCGACAACGCCAACAGGCCAGAAGAGAGGCCCGCAAGGAGCGCCGTAGGCAGGCACGTGGATCCGGAGAGATAATGTTTGAGATGGAAGAGGGTCACCGGGATGATGAGCACTCTCTCCTGAGCGCATCCTCGTCCGACTTCGACACACGGGTCAAAGAATATGCCTTTATGCAGGTATGAATGTCACATGGTAACCTCTTATGGGTTTATTGGTTTTGCGGGAGCTCCGGTACTGACCTCTTGGTAACCAGCCACGGCGTGTTTCATGGCGCAGACTCGCGCTCGTATTTTCCGCTATCTTTGTCCTTCTCCTTATCTTCTTACTAGGCGCATATAAAGCATCTACGAAATATCGTGCCCCCCATACCTCGAGGCAACTTCTATCTAATGGCACTGCTTTGTTCGCACCTACGACGATCTTGATCTCTCTGGATGGTTTCCGAGCGGACTTTCTCACTCGTGGCTTGACACCAACCCTCCGCTCATTCATTGCAAATGGCGTCTCGCCGCAGTACATGTTACCCAGTCTTCCAAGCGTGACCTTCCCGAATCATTTTACACTCGTTACGGGACTGTATCCTGAGAGCCACGGAATTGTTGGAAATACTTTCTGGGACCCAGAGTTGCAGGAAGAGTTCTATTATACCCACCCGTCGGTCAGCATGCAACCAAAATGGTGGAACGCAGAACCTCTGTGGATGACGGCCGAGAATCAGGGCGTGAGGACCGCTGTCCATATGTGGCCGGGCTCCGAGGCACATATTGGAGGCGTAGATCCAACCTACCTCGACCAATACAATGGGTCCGAAATGCTTTCCTTGAAAGTGGAACGCATCTTGGGACTATTGGATATGCCTGGAGTAGAAGCCGAGTCAGACATTGCGCCACAGAGACCTCAGTTTATCGCTGCCTATGTCCCGAATGTTGATGCAGATGGACATAACTATGGCCCTAACAGCACTGAAACTCGCAACACAATCGCCAGGGTCGACGATATGCTTGGCAGCCTATTTTCCGGTATCGAAGCACGCAATCTAACGGATGTCGTGAACATTGTGATTGTCTCCGACCATGGCATGGCGACAACCGCGACCGAGCGATTGGTTCAGTTGGAGGATCTGATCGATATTGATCTAGTCCAGCGCATCGACGGGTGGCCGTTACGCGGGCTGCGTCCCAAACGACCAGAGGATCTCCAAGTTCTCCAAGCTCAGTTGGAGAGCGTGGCCGCCAACTATTCGCATGCGGTCGAGATCTACACGCGTGAGGGCATGCCTGAACGGTATCACTTCCAAAACAATGATCGCATCGCCCCTCTCTGGGTAATTCCAAAGACAGGATGGGCGGTCGTCGAGCGTGTCGACTTTGACGTCCAGAAGGCCTTGGAGAATGGGGAGATATATCATCCCAGAGGCATTCATGGTTACGACCACGAGCACCCCTTGATGCGGGCAATTTTCATCGCCAGGGGACCCGCATTCCCCCATGAACCAAACAGTCGCTTGGAAGCATTTCGTGAGTCATCCATGACCCTTTTTTCGTATGGGGTTGGATTTAAGCTAACCAATGTAGAAAACGTCAATGTGTACAACATTATTTGCGACTCACTCGGGATCACCGCGCACCCGAACAATGGGACCATGCGCCTCCCTCTCAAGACGATAGGCCTTCACTCTGACGAAGACACACCCACGCTGGCCAGTGTTCCAGACCCCCCAGTTTCTAGCACGACCGCCACTATGACGCCAACGATGTTGCCATCGGCAGAGACTTCCTCTTTTGCGTCCCCGACGGAAACGGCGCCTGAAGCTCAGCCAGAGCCTGACCCGGAAAGCGAGGATGAGAAGGGCCCAACCTGGTGGGGGACCCTTTGGGACAAACTCCAGGAAGCCAAGGAGTGGGCAACCGATATATTCGACACTGTGAAAGACAATTTCACCAGATCGTGATCATAGACATAGAACGAGTAGCTGTGTCATTTTTTTCTTTGCTTGTTGGCTTTCTGGTGCTCTTACTGTTGGTTCTTCTGCGAGGCGCGGCTTTTTTTGGTTTAAAGGAAGGGGGCCCATAACCCATTAATACGTCATAATCAAGATACCCACATTTGGATTTTACAGACTACGATTGAATACAAGAAAGACATCATTGGCTCGCAGGGGGGGTGTTTGTCCGAGAGGAAGATGGGGATGCGGCTGAAAAGGAAGAAACCCACGATCGCCGGGTGAGTTGCCGGGATTGGCGCCCGCCTGCTTATGGCGATGACTCAAGTGGCTCCCCGTCAGCTGCGCATTCCACTGCGCCAGTCACTTCCTTCGTTGGGCGCGGTTCGTCAGTTACACATTGGCCTACACGATGGGTCAGAGACTCGCTCTAGATCCTGTGCCTACCGCTCGGCGCAGATGGATGCCTACCAACCCCACGATGCCACGGCTTTTCAGCCTTCCCTGCCTGGCGCATCATGGCTGGGATAGAACTATAAAGGAAGAGCTCATTCTTGACAATGAAAAGCCTTTTCATCCAGGCCAATTAATTGCACTTTTCCTTCAACGTTTATTTCCAGTTTTCTGTTATAGAGCTGCCGGTTAGTTGCATATTATTGTTGTTTGCCGCTAAAGATTCGTTTATACACGGTTAATCCCACGCCCACGGCATTGTTCGCATATGCTGGATTTCTCTATATAACGTATCCCTACGACTACAAAACTCTCACCATGGCTTCAAGCGCCTTTCTCAGCAACACCATCAACAACACTCCAGTCATGAACGCAACATCTTCCTCACAGTATATGAATCCTTCCGACAGTGCGATGTTGGATATGTTCATTCCGGGCTACTCCTTCATCTCCCGGTTTTTAATATCATATTTACACATCGACCTCTCCCAATACATTCCCATGATTTTGACAGCCGTGGCTTTTGTCGCTTCACTGCGATATGTGTTCTCCCGCTCCCACGAGCTGTTAAGTGACTATTGTGTGTCAACAGCTGAGATCCGCCTCGAGGATGAAGTGTACAACTATCTGATGTTCTGGATGGCGCAACACCCCTCGACGAAACGGTCCACTCAATTCGTAGCCAGCACCAAGATCTCTAGCGGCGCACGATACTACGACTCCGACGACGAGGGTGATCTAGATGACGAAGATGAATACGATGAGAATGGCAACGTCGTCTCCGACTTCGACGACTACTGGGCCAAAACCGTCGCACGAGACAAGTTCAAGCGCCTGCGCTTCACTCCAGCCGAAGGAAGCCATTATTTCTGGTTCCGCGGTCGTCTTCTTACCTTCACTCGTGCCAAAGAGGAAAACAACAACACTATCTCCTACATGCGATACGTGCCTGAGAGACTTTTCATCTCATGTTTCGGTCGTGATCCCACTATCCTGAAGGAACTGCTCGCCGAAGCTCAAAGGGCATGGGTAGCAAGAGACGGAAACAGCACAGTAATCTACCGCGGCCAAAAAAATGGCGGATACACGGACTGGGTGCGCTGCATGGCACGCCACCCCAGACCTCTCTCCACCGTCGTACTAGACCCGGCCCAGAAGCAGTCTTTCATCAAAGACATCAAGGAATACCTCCACCCCCGCACGAGGAGATGGTACTCCAACCGAGGGATCCCCTACCGACGGGGTTATCTCCTCCACGGTCCTCCCGGTACAGGAAAGACCAGTCTCTGCTTTGCAGCATCAGGGCTCCTCGGTCTGCCTCTATACCTACTGAACCTCAGCTCCAAAAGTCTGGACGAAGACGACTTGATGTCTCTATTCCAAGACCTCCCTCGACGCTGCATCGTCCTCCTTGAAGATATTGACTGCGCCGGAATGACCTCCAAGCGCGCGGCCAACAGCACTCAAGACGACAAAAACAAGAGCGACCCCAACAACGCCAATACCAACCCAGCTGCTGCTCCCAACACTGCCACCAACACTCCCGCCGGTTCCACCACAGATAAGAAGCCCTCTGAGGAGACCACTGATAACAAAGGCATCACCCTCTCCGGTCTGCTCAACGTAATCGACGGCGTCGCAGCAAGTGAAGGCCGCATTCTCATCATGACTACCAACCATCCGGAGAAACTCGATGCTGCGCTCCTCCGTCCCGGCCGCGTAGACATGACCATCACTTTCGGATACGCTCATTCCCAAGACATCCGGGAGCTGTTCTCGTCGATTTACTCCACGCTTGAGGGTGACTTGCGCTCTGTGTCTCCTAACAGGAGGAAGGATGCCATCACCAGCCACGACGGCAGAGCCAATGGTGTCAAGAAAACGACCATCGGTGATGGAATGGAAGAACGGCCCCCTGTTTCGGATAAGATTGTCAGGTTGGCGAAGGATTTCGCAGCTGGTATCCCAGCTGGGGAATTCACTGCTGCGGAGGTGCAGGGCTATCTGTTGAATTATAAGGATGATCCGGAGGGTGCGATTACAGGGATTGGGGGGTGGTTGGAGCGGACAGAGAAGGTGAGGAAGGAGAGGAAGGAGAAGGCTGAGAATGGGAAGAAATAGATCTTCTGTTCTGCTCATTTCTGTGGGTTATGATGATGATTATAGATAGTAGAGATACCCCACCCTACTCTTAAAGAAACTTACTAACTAATATGAATGATATGCATGACCTCATTACCATGTAGAAGATATACAGATTCATACAAAATCCAGGACAATAAATAACCCTTCCAAGCCACCAATATCAATCCGAAAACGAACGTGGTATCTAACAAATATCAAACACAACACCCATCCGGAACCCAAAACTCCCAACACCACCCACAACCCACCAAACCCTCACATTGAACTACTAACAACCTAAACAAACTCCACCTCCGTCCCCGTAATCCTCACCTCAGCCGCATACATACACCTATTATCACCACAAAACCCATGAAACAGCATGCGATCCCCACACCCACAAACCGTCCCACCCCCCGGCGAAACAAGCCCATAATCCCCGGACTTCACCAACTGCCTCCCGGTCTTCGTATACGGACCCGTAATCTCACTCGCCGTCGCCCACCGCACATCATACTTCTCATCCGTATAGCAATGCGTCGAGTAAAACAGAAAGTACGTGTCCCCATGGAGGATCAAATTCGGCGCCTCCACCAACGGCCCGTCGCTATCATCGCGGTCCAGGATCTGCACTGCGTCGCCGACGGGGGTAAATCCGTCCGTATCTACCTTTTGGAGAAGAATCGGGGTGGGTTTCAATGGCGCAATGCCGTTGTTGCAGTCCCCGCCGTTGCCGATGCTGTTGCCGTCCACTTTGAACACGACGTAGCGTGAGCCGTCTTTGTCTAGGAAGCCGGACGCGTCGATGCTGCCGCCTTGGTCGAGACGGCAGGAGAGGGGGGTTGGGTTTGGGATGTAGGGCCCGCTGGGATCGGTGGATTCTGAGACTGCGGTGCCGATGCAGTGGTGGCGGAGCATTTGTTGTGCTTCGCCGCTGTAGTAGAGGACGTATTTGCCGTCGTTCTGGGGGTGGTGGTGGTTAGTTTGGATTTGGGGGAAGGGGATGGGATGGGATGGGGGAATGTACACGGCGGACTACGTCTGGGGCCCAGTGGTCAATTTGGGTCTCCCAGCCTGCTAAGGTGGGGAGGGCTTCTTTGTCGAGGAGAGTCCATGTTTTGAAGTCTGCGGACTTGGCTACTTGCACCGTGCGGTTGTTGCCGTTCGTGCCGAAGGCGTACCAGGTGCCGTCGTCGGCTTGGACGAAGCCGGGGTCTGGGAAGTCCGTGTCGAGGGCTAGCCAGGGTCCGGTGGCTCGGATTTCAATGGGTGAGGTTATCACAGATGTGATTAGTGTGAGGCCTAGGGCACAGAGGGATGGTAGATGTGTCCACATTATGTTGTCTCAGTTAGGGTGGTTATTTGAGAAAGAAACATGTAGTAGTAAGTGTTACTGTAAGGAGTCTGCAGGCTCGGTTGGGGTAAGGGGGGTTGCTGTTATATACAAGTGCGATGAAGGTATTAAGCAATGCTACTATATACTGGGATGAGGCATCGTTGCTTTATATCTGAGCGTTCTGAGCTGGGCAGTAAGCAGGGCCCACCCGTGTGTGGATGACCGCTTTGGATGCTGGATGAGGTGCTATTCCCAATTCTGTACAAGAGTATCGATCATTTGATGCCCAGTGCTTGCGGGAGGGAACCTGGTCTGCTGGTCTGGGGACGGGATACATCAACCAGCTGGAATTGGCCTAGGGCAGGTGCTAGCATGGACTTGAGATGCGCCTATATGCATATTCGGAATTTAGTGGATCATCCAGGTGAGCTAGCGGAAAATATTGTATTGACTTGGCATCTTTAATGACTGATGTGGCGGTGATTGAGTGCTCTCCCTTCATGCAAGTGCCGCAAGGCTGCCTCTGGATTTATGGGCCAATAGATGCCACTGAACTTGCACTCGGTCACTGGGACAGAGTATTTAGAATTGGAGGGATGACTCGCTTTGACAGGCAGTCCATAGTGACATGTTAACCCAACCGAGCGAGTGCGATATATCGGTTGGCATTGGATGAGACGGAAACGGTAGTAGCTTGGCCATTTGCCTCGGCGCAGCAACAACAATTGGGCCTCTGAATAACCTACTAGCTTCGTTAGTGTTCATTCGATCATCTGGGGATGGACCCACTTCATTGAGTAATTATGCTCGGATAAAACATGATTATCCTAGTCGATTCTTCCAGGAACATTAGTAGAAGAGCCGGTTGAGGCGGAGACGCAAGGGCAGCATTGATCATCAAGGGGTGAGAGTATGACCATGCCACCGACCTTGGAGTAAACTGTTGTGCTTCAAGCAGGCTGACACAATTGCCCGTAGATTTTCTAAACCGACTGCATAATTCTTCCTGGCCTGATCTTACTGCATGATGCATGGCTGCGGGCCCCTCCTCACCATGACTCGATCTTCCTGTTCCTGGTAGGTACGTGGAGGCAGCTATTGGCTTCAGCCGCTACCGAAGTTATTCCCATGGATCGAAATTTTGGGACACGGCATCCCAAACCTTGTAACAAGACCTCTTTCAGGGCCGATACTCAAGGCCAGGATCCGTATTCGACGCTTAGCACAAGTGCAACTGTCTTCATATCAACCGGTTCATTGGTGCTTTCTCACACCCTTGACCATTTCCTTCCTCCAGTTTATGCCCAGATGGATGGCACATGGGGAGTTGTTCGGTGCTGCATGACCCAGCATTTCTCCCGTTCGCTCACCTACTTCATGCCGAGTAACCCAGCCAGTGGATTTACCCAGAAAACACCAGACACATGGCAGGAGAAATATCTGTCGTGTGTGCTATCTGGTGCCCTTTGTTGGCTGTCCGCCAAGTCTGGGTAGGTTTCTTAGCCGGAAGGCCATACATCGGGTGCTCTTTCAAGTCCCAACCTTAACGGCCGGGGTAGGTCTCAACGTAGCACCTCAACTTCCACCCTTCACATGCAACGTGTAGAGGCCAAGGATTTAGCGATGCCATGTACCGCTTTGTACTGGGCTTTCCAGAAATCACAGATACGATGGCAACCGCTGCGCCTCGTCCCTTGCCTGAAGAAGGTGATACCTACCCGAAACGTCACATTTGACCGCTTATTCCGGCGAAGAACACCCTAACAATACTCCTTAAGATTATCATCAATGATCTGCCTCATTTAGGGCAATAGTTTCTTTCCATGATTTCCATGATGTACAAGGAAATCAACTTAGTCGGTGAAAAGTGAACGGTCGGCATTCAACTGATTGGTCCAAGGGTTGAGCCTCTTGGGCCCTTGAGACCCGATGTACAGGGAGATCTGCAGGGCTACCTCGTGTTCCCATCAGGTGAACAAGTGGGCCTCGTGAGATCCTGCCTTTTCACCGAATCCTAAAATCTTCCCTCCACTTACCCCGCACGAGTACCCGATTGAAGGAATTGATCACAAAACGGCTCTTGGGCGGATTCTCGTGGCCGTCTCAGATCCCGGGAGGGGCTTGGTGGTGGGAAACTATATCCCTCACTAACTCTTCATGGAAGCGTGGGGAAGCCCGATTAGTATTAGCAAGGGTCTTCTTCAAGTACGATGACTTCAAAGATCGGCATCGGGTAGCGTGCAACTTACTCCAGATAATGGAGAGCCAGTGAGAGGTGAGATCCTGCGGGTAGTCTCGGATACGAAGACTCCAGTCATGCTTGAGATTCCTACTCACACCGGAGTTGCCGTGACTTTGATGCAGAATATCGGGCAGATGTGTTTCTTGGAGGGATTTGTTGGGTTGACATGCGGAATGATGCCATAAGATGAAGTGAAGGAGGCGAAATGGAAGAATGAAGACGTGATGGTCAGCTGCGCCCAGTCCCTTTCCAGCTACAGCGGCACTTTTGCAATTTCTCTCACACTGAGCCAAACACCCTGAGATGCTACATGTTACAAAATCATCATTTCTTCTCATAACTGACTATCCACGCCCTTCTCATATAAGTCATAAGCGCTAAGAACCTCAAACATATACACCCACCAACGCCATAACATGCACATAGAAAAGACATCTAGAATCCTGTAAGAACCCAACTTTCAAACGGCACACCACGAGGCTGTCTCTTGCCATTTTCCTGCGTATACAAGACGGGCTCAAACTCGCACGATGCAGCATACTGTTGAATCAATTGCCTCCAGTAGCACGACTCTGCAGCAGGAGTCAAATACCGATCCCGAAACGTCTTCACAGAATTCTCCGCAATGCGTTGCGCAGTCTCCGGATTATCAATAAGAAATTCCATCTTCCGATCGAGATCCGAAAAGTCACGCTCGACCTCAACATAATTTGCCTCCGGCCCGGACGCAATGAGCGCAGCATGGTGTGCCTCGCGCCAGACCAGCTTATGCGAAACCACCACAGAACGACAATTCAGAAGATACTTCCCGCGCCCTGAGAAGCTGCGTCCTTCTGCATGTGCCAGGAACATATACTGGCAGTAATCTTCCATCGGAAGGAGGTTAAATCGGACATCATTCTCATCATCCCAGTCAATTACCCGGATGCTTGCCCAGCTCCTACCCTGCGCTGCCTTCAACAACTTGCCCCGGATCTCGGGGTTCGTAGCAACACTACCTCTCCAGGCGAGTTGCTTCTTCTTATCCTGGAAAGGTAACCCCGGTGTGGACCCCCCATCGATAGTCACTTCACCATCGTCGACTGCAGCAATGCGGCGGCGAATATCTTTGTAAGGGCCAATCTTAACCTCCGGCCACGACCAGTATCCGAAGTCGGGCATTAACCAGACATTCTCCTGCTCGTCCCGTTTGGAATAAGACCAAACTGGCCCCTCATTAGTGCTATAATCCTCCGTCGTCAGGACGAATTCAATATCCGGCAGACTGCTTCGGTCTGGGAACGAAGCGAGTGCACGATGAAGCGCATGTAATGTTGCTTTCCCGCGGGTGAATGTCGCGGGCATTGCGCCAAAATCTACTACATACAGCTATATCGCATCAAGTCGTTGTTAGAAGACACATCAACCATCGTAGGTGATTCAGGTTCCAACATACCTCACCATGATGAACAATACCCCGCACCATCCCATCCTCCACTTGCAGACTATCCAACTCCTTAAAAGTAATGCGATGGCCTTCCCTCAGCGACGCAGATTTGTCCAGCTCAACAAACAGCTTCGGAAACGCGAGGCGACATTGCTCATCTGAAAGTCCATGATTGTCGCCATCGCGCTCGACAACAAACTCCCATGTCGTAGCATTACTTGCTTCTGATGGCGAGGTGTTCAAGCAACTCTGCGGGGCTGTCTTGAGGGACGACTTCAGAGCATACTTGGCGACGTCATTGGAATATTGTGTGCTGAAGATAAGGAATGTTGTTATGATCAGGGAGAGAATGGCCCCGGTGGCTATGAATCGGAAGCCTGACGACTGGCATTGTAGTAATTGCATCACTGCATCCCTTTTGGTACTGCCACTTGGTACCTCTGCGATGATCAGTGCATGTACTGTGGTAGACAGTAGTAGTTAACTACTAGTCATCGGGCGGGATATTGAGGTAGTCGCTGAAAGCGCCGTCGCCATGGCAACGAACGCCCAATACCATCGGTCTCAACCTGACTCTGTGCCTGCGAGCCTTCTGTCTGCGCTCTAGAACACTGTCACTCAATTAATTATATTGTCACGATAGCAGTAATCGCCCAGGTGGCTTCTCCTCTTTCTTCTTGAGATATGAGCGTGAAGTTGGTGTTGGGTTGTTGTGGCGATGGAAGCGAATAGCAACGGATAGAGAAGCAGATGGAGACAAATGGTTCGACGGTGATAATGCCCAGTAATGGATTTGTGAAGCCAGAGGCAAACTAAGCGTAGAGGCATTTGTTGATCATGCGAGACTGGGGAAGGAAGAGACCGATGGGTGCCTGCAGAAGCGAAGAGATTTCGGGTGTCCATTTCAGTCTCGAGATGCTATACCATAGTTCTAACATGATACAACAAGACAGTCAACAACTTGTATATATATTTCTAATTATCTCACTCTCCAAGAGCAATCATCAACAGACAAGTGACCTACTGCCCGCCTGCGGACACGCTGAGCCCTCCCTTTCTTGTATCATGGCATGCAGGCTGGTGTGTATCTGTATCTATAGTTGAAAATTTTTTCCAAAAAAAAAATGTATGTACATGGGAGTTGATGGAGGCCGTAAGAGGCAAATTTATTCAGGGGTATCTCAAAATCAATCAAGAACGGGTGTGGAGTGGAAAGAGATGTGTGTCATGGCTCAACGAAGGAACACCAGGCCTGCCAATCGGAAACGCGATAAAAAGGAATAAACGGTAGAATCTAAATGTATGGTTGAAAACAAATGCTAACAGCCACCGGGAGGGTACTAAATGCAGGGTCGGGAAACGGAGGGTTAGGGGTAGAGTCACACTACGGATCTCCATGAGACCTGTTCAACAGGCGGGGAAGACGCTTGCTGGGTCACTGCTGTGCAGGCAGACATGAACTTCACGCATTGTGGTTTGCCATTGCTCTGGCACCAGGGCTGCTGAAGTAGCTTTCATCGATCTTCAGGATCCATTCCACTTTCTGGGCCTCGGTTCGGGCCGCAAACAGGAACGTGTTTTGTGCCCCGTACACTGCAAAGACATTCGGACGACCCCGTGGAGACGATCCCCGGTCAGACCCGGCTGCTCCTGGGCCATCGAGGAGCCGTGCGAAGTCGGGTGCATGATCAACTCGGGAATTGCGCAGGTTGATAGCGTTGATCTCATCTCCGTCAGGAACAGAATAGATGTGGAGATATGGACGACGAAGCTCAACAAAACGCCGTACCCAGTGGCTGTTGGTATCATCGGGGGTTAAGAGATAGCCAGACTTCAAAGAGGAATCATTCTTCGGAAGAGCTTGAACACTGGCAACAAACCGCGGCTTCAATGATGCCTCGTCTTGAACCGAGCTTCCATCATCGCTTGAAGATGATTGCTTCGCCCGCGAGGCAAAGGCCGCCCCTCCTGCAGGCGGCTCGGTGTTGCTTCGGACCAGGATTGCCTCGATAGGATCGGTCTTTTTCCCCCAAAGGTCGACGTATTTCTGAAGCAACTTAGCCCTGCGGTCAGCAAGCTCCTGGCTACGGAGGGGGGTTGACCGTCCGCTGCGTGGAGGCGACGCAACAAGGCTGTTGGCACTCAAAGCCCCTTTAGCTGCATTTAACTCGGCAACACGTCGCCTTCGTTTGCGAGCGGCTATATAATCACGGACAAGTGAGACTTTGCGGGGAGCCCAGGTGATAAGGAGCTCTTCGCCCTTCACATAGTCGTTCTGTGTGTTCATCCGCCAGAGATCAGCCGCACGTTTGGCGGACACTGGACGGACGACTAGAGAGAACATGCGAACTGTGGAGTGCACAATTCGCGTTGAATTGAAGAATTGCTTGAACATGGACTGAGGTCGAACGTAGGTTCGGCCTTGAATCTGGAGGGTCAGGTCTATCTCAAAGGGGACGGGATCCTGCAGACGGGAAGACAACAAATCCCATCGGAGTGTCACCTGGACACGATACTTGTCTGCAGTGACCCGATCAAGCAAGAGAGACCCGTGTAAGCTGGAGTCCCATTGACCTATGATGGTGATGTTTGATGTCCCATCGGCGTTTTCCTTCACGTTCGGCTCCTGGACGAACTTCAGCGCAACGTCTGGCGTCTGCAAGTCCTGATCAGGGATCTTGCCCCAAGGATCTAGCAATCGCACTGACCCCACGCGGATATTGGTAATATTGTCCCACGGCAGGCTTTCAGTTGAGCTGTAAGTTAGATTCACCAGGATCCGCCGCTGTAAACCCTGATGGAGCTGATATGTACCTGCATCGAGGCTGTTGCTCTGGACCACCTCGACTGGAAGATATTCACCGGACTCGGCTAATTCGAGCACCTGTGCCCTGGCGAAAACATCATGTCTCTCTTCGGAATAGAACTCCGTCTCTGCAATACGCGGCGTTTTGCGTTTCTTGGGAGCCGGCTCTGCAGAGTCACGCATGTCATCCCAGCTAAGGAGCTTGTCCAAATGCATTTGTGTCACCTTTGCGTAAACACAGATCTTTAGTGCTGCCGTCCGTGGACTTGACAGCGGCAAACTCATACTATGAACGCTCTCAAACCGCACAGGTGATTCATCGAAGCCCGTAATCATTTGAGTAGTCGTAGCCCCCCCTTCGTCAGAGATTCCGGGTACAAATAATTGCGCGTGGACGTCCGACCCTTCCCATTCAGCGAAGCCAACCATATCCCGCATCACGACGTTGAACTTGAGAGTAGACGAAGGCGCCTGAGCCGAGGAAGGCTCCAATGACAGCCTAATGATGCCTATGACATTTTGTGTATATGGCGAGGTAACTTCAACTGAAACGTCTTGGACTCGGGTCTCAAAGACAGCCGTGAGAGGGATATCGGCGTCACCAACCAGCGAATATTGAGGCGAGCACGGCTCCGAGAAGGGGTTTTCAAGCTTGAAATGCTGGATGTAGTCTGGCCGGTCGATATACTGGTGCAATTGCCGCATAGCCTGAACACGGCGTTGGAGCTTCTCGATAGACCATAGGTGGATGACACATTGCTTGAAATCAATCACACGAACTGCGACACAGGGTTTCTTGGCCTCATCTAGAACAACATCCTCGTCTCCTGAGATACCATTCAGTACAAGGTCGTAGGACGAGGCCATGTTATGCCCGTGGTCAATGATCGCAAACTGAAACACGACATTCTTGTCCATTATGTGGCTCATCACTTGGGCCTCCTTCAGCAAAGACGCATGCTGGAGCACTTTCTCGGCCATGCGAACGTAGTTTTGCTGAGACCAGTGGCGGTAGACTGTTTTAGCGACTTCAAGCTCTCTGTCATCCAGCTTGGCAAAACCATTCTCATAGATTTTGGGTACTGGTTGGCCTAGATCCTTCATGTGAGACTCAAAAGCTTCTTTCTGCTTTTTCAGTTGCTCTTCGAATTCTTCCTTTGCAGTTCGCAAGGCTTGCTCCATTCGAGCCTTTTCGGAGCGTAGGTCATCAACACCCTGGGTGGAAGAGGCCTCGGCATTCCTTAACTTGTCCTGATACTCCTCCTTTTGTCGGTCCAACTGGCGCTGCATATCCTGACGCACCGATTGCAGTGTAGCTTCACCCCCATTCTGCACGTCATTCTCATCATTCGGATGTGGAGTTCCAGGCATCGTAATGGCAGTGTCCAGTGAAAAATTATCAATTGTTCCGTTGGACATGTACTTATCCCGCACTGGGAACGAACTGAGCGAGTCAGAGTCTTCCTCATTCTCCATCAGCCCACGACGAGTTGCCCGCACTTTCTGTACATCCTCAAACAAGGCGTCTAACTCATCGTCAGGCATATGGGAGATTTGATCGGGCCCCAGCACCGCACTGACAGCTTCACGGCGAGCATAAAACCAATCAGATTCCCTACCGCGCTGGGAGGGCATCGGGGAATCTGCTCTGCTCGAATCGCCGTCCACCTCCGAGCCTGTCTTACTCAGGGTTCGATCGTGGGTTTTATTGGGCGCGGGTGAGCCCAGTTGACTTGTGGTGACGGAATGACGCAGCAAGCTTTGTTCAACTCGTTCAGCACGCGCTTCCTGGGGGTGGTTGAAACGGAAGATATGGAAATCACCCAGGATGATGCGGAATCCACTCTTGAGCCGCTTCGGTTTATCGATTCGCAATCCATTCACCATGACCGCTGCGCCTTCGGTGGGGATAATGGTGACAACATTGTCCACGTTCTCAAACCTACAATGGTCGTCTAAGATTTTCGAGCCGTTCAATCTTATTTCAACATGGCTGCCCTGGTCCATGTTTCCGACTATGGTGGTTCCCGGCTTAATGTTGTAAACGAGACACTCAGCTAGCAGCGGGTCGTCGCTCAGATTGACCAAATGTGGCATCTTCTTCGGCGTGCTCAATCCGATGAAACCTTTCTCGATGCTGATACCAAGTTCCTCCAGAGCAGACTCTCGCTCTTTGTGAATCTCTTCAGTCTTTGCCAACTTCTCCTCCCAAGTTTGATTCAAATCTTTATAAAGCTTCTCGCTCTGGTTCAGCTGTTCGACGATTTCAGCCTTGCTAACTTTGGTGATCGAACCATCCGGCTGTTGTATGGAGACGAGTTGCTTCTCTAGGGGGGTATCTGGAGGGTAATACTCTTCTGCTGGTATAGCACCAGCAGCGCTGCCTGCTCCAGGACCTGCGGCACCACCACCAAGTTTCGACCGGAGTTGGGCCAACTCCTCCTTTAACTCTCTAATCATTCGTGCGTTGGGGTCTTCGTTCACAACGGCATGGTTCTTGATTCGCTTCGCCGAGTCTGCATAGCGGAGAGTACTGAGAGTCTCCTCAAAGTTGATATCGGCGGGTGAAATAGCAGCAATCATCGCTGTCATGGAGTTACCTCCCAACGAGTCCTTCAGCAACCATGTCAAGATGGAATCACGATATGGAACCATTGATGCGTTCTTCTTTTTGCCAGCCGCCACGTCAGCGAGAGCGGCAATGACACGACCAAGGGTCGACAGCGAACGGTTAATTTCCGCACCCTCCTTCAGTCTCGCACCGGTCGCGCCAGTAGAATTTGCTCTTTCCGAACCTGCAAGATCGACTAAACTAATGCGCGACACCTTCTCCGTATCCATAGACGTCTCCGCGTCATGGCGCTTCTGTGTGAGGGTCAAGGTAAACACGGCATGGGAACGACTGGACGTCTCGTTCATGTTTGTGGCAGCAACCGTTCTAGCCTTGTTACCCTCGTCCATCAAGTTCTCGATCTCCTCGAAAGAGCGCACTACAAGCTTGGCCAGGTCCTCGACGTAGGGACCAGTCGACGGATGCTCGCGAACTTTTAGATTGCCCTTATTCGAAGGGTTGAGCAAATCACGGACTCTCTCATTGTAGATTTCAAGATACGACACTTCCACCGTACAGCCGAGGTTCTTGTCTTGCTGGATTGAATGAATGCGCTCGAACATATCCTGACAAATTCTCGGAATCACACCGTACTCTTTGCCGTAACCCATCATCGAATACGATTTTCCGGAACCCGTCTGACCGTAGGCGAAGATACAGTTATTGTAACCCTGGAAGGCATTGTCTAACAGCGGTACACCCAAGTCGAGAAAGAGGTTATCCTGGCTCGCATAATTTGGGGCATTCTTGTCGAAAGACCAATACGATCTGTCGAAGGCGAATGACTTGGGTCCTCCATCCGCGCCTTTCCCTCCACCAGCCTTGCGGGCTTTATCATCCGCGCCTGGTGGAGTGGAAAGGACGGTTTGGTTGTCTTTCATCTGAACAATACATTTTGCACCACGGTCGATTTCTAGAATGCGGAAAGAAGATACCGGGGTCAGTCCAATCTAGGAGAGGGGCTTGGTCGCATTGCCAATGCCACAAGTGACTCACCTCTGCTGTTGAAAGGCCGCACTCGCACCACCACCTTGATGTTTCCTCCACCAGCCATGGTTGCTTCCTCCCCATACACCTGGGTCCGATCGCCTGGTTCCGCGTGTTCGAAAGAAGAATCGCAAGGGGGTGAACCGACACCAGCGGAAAACGCGAGTCGCGAACGCTACGAGGAGCGCCGCCCTATCGGATAGTGCAAGCTGATGTGTTCCTGGTTCGCGGTACTTGTTTCAATGCTAGTTGAGTTATTGTAGTAAAGTGTTACTGGCGAATTGACGGTCTGAAACGGATGTCAACAAAGACGTCATGTATATCGGGGGGTGTCTGCGGGCGGACAATCCGGCGCGTTCTAAGGGGTGAAAACACGATGGTAACGGGAGCGGTGGGAGTTGACGGCCGTCTGTAGCGCAACCAGACCGGTCCAAGAGGCTGCCAGGATCGTCTGCGTCGAGGAAAAAGTGAAGGGATTGGAAAGAGGAGGCGGAAGATAGGCCGACTCGGTCGCTCTCGCTCTCCTTGCCCCAAGCACGGGGAAAAGCCACATGAGGGATCGAAAGGGCGGGTTCGAGGTGGATCACGTAAGCAATCCCGTGTCCCTGCCAGCCAATCAGCAGCCCCGATATTTACTCCGGACTCATCAAGCATCTTTTTCCCTTTCCTGCCACTGAGTGGATGCTCCCTCTAGGTCCTCATTCACCCTGCACTGTTATGCAGGCACACTCTTCTCCATCGGTCTGCTCGAGCTCCTGATTCGCTTCACAGGACATAAAGTGTCTGATCGATCTTATGGTTCAGAAGCAGTTGCTCTGCAATAGGCCCCCGGTGATGGTGTTGCAGCAAGCTTCTCCGCCCGGTTCCAGGGAATCCATCCACTAGCTAGCAGAGCCAGTGTGTTGGTAGTCTACTTCATACATAGTAGATAGGATTTCATAGATCCGAGCATTAAAGGTGGAACATCTATGCCGGCTATCGTCATCCTTCGCTACAGATTATATAACTACGGGGGGTTCTCTATGGCACCGGTTTATAGCCTGGTCCGCTCTCCAACACACAAGTCTGCCTCCCCTCTTCCAGAGCCATAGTACATATCCGCTGTCATATAGATAAAGTATATGAGCTCGAAGAAAAGCCACATTTTCTTGTCTGACCAGCATTCCCACACAACGAGCCAAGAATATGATTGCTTGGCCATTTGCTTCCCATATCGAAGCCTCTAGGCCAGTCCAGCTCCTAGAGCACTAAAAAATCCTCTTCTCCATTTGACCAGCCCATCCAGATTCCTTCTCATTCACCCACACAGTAGTTATAATATCCATCCCGACCAGGCGCGTTTGCATGGCCCATGTTTGAAATAACCCCGCATTATCGAAAGTTCTTCGGGCACCACCCATTTATTATTAATCGGTATAAACTTTCCACGGCCGGAAAACCAAGTGCGGATGGAAGCCCAATCGGCCTATCTGCATACACGAGGAGCAGCTACCCGGAACCCTGCTGACATCGCTTAGTAGTAGTATAGCACAGGCGGCCATGAAATCTCAGTTGATCCCGGAGCACTGCCACAGCTCCAATCGCGCTGTATCTGGCATGAAAAATCGGCGCCATTTTGGGAGGGGTAGAATTCTGACTTTAGATTTAATTTTGTTCTGATGCGTTTGCGTTTGTCTCAGGATGTCACGCGCGAAGCCACGGTTTTGTGTGAAGTCCGCATGTCGGGGAAACTAAATGATTGAGTGTTAACCTTTCTCTCTCGCCAAGGCTTTGGGATATGTCCATGGCTGTCGCGATATTATATCATCCCATTATGGCCGACAATAATCTGCCACCAAACCTGGTCAAAAAGGTATTTCGATACTGCTGAGCAATTTATAGCGAGCGCCGGACGACGGGATAGCCTAGTATATTTGGTGATGGTGGTGGTGGGTAGGTTTTGGTCAAGGACTGCACGAACAACTGGCAGTCTGCGGTGGACCGGAAGATGGACCTGTAAGACTTGGCCATGTAGCCAGCGGCAAGTATCGGTGTCAATGAACTCATGACGAGAGACCGCGTTGGTACCCAATCATGGCCAATCCTTTGTTAACGGGTGTACATGGGACATCAAATATGTATCTCATAGGTAGAAAGGTACATGGGTACCTAAGTGCCCAACTGGGAGGGTTTCGGGATGGAACTACCGGTCTTCCTACTGCCAGTGTACATTAAAAGAGACTCTCGCTTGTCCCGCAGAATAATTTACGTTAAAATCCTTTTTCCTTGAATGAGATAAAGTTATTTCAGGCGGGAGTGTCTGTCTGGAAGTTCCTTGTTACAGGGTTGATATGATTTTTCTCTTGTTTCATCTGCCGGCTGCGCTCAGCACTGGGAATGGCGACGGACACTCTCCCGCTCTCTTTTTGACTTCAGCATTAGTGTGCTGTTTATTACTTGATACTAACATGATGTCGAGTCTCTAGTGTGCGAGAATTTTGTGTTCTCTAAGCCGCGGGTACTTTGTCTGTCATACTTGTTGTGCATGAGACGCAAAGAACGTATACCTATCGAATCTTACAGAGCGATACGCGAGAATGTGGGAGCCTGCCCTGTTATCAGCAGGTAATCGAGACGGATGAGTGATTAAATTATCACAAAGGAATCTGTTTAGTGAGTGAATTAGAGCAATCTGTAATCTCGGGGTTTCCGACAACAGTGTCATGAAATGCGAACGCCAGCTCAGAGAGAATCACGAAATACAGCGTCTTGGGAGGTGGCCATCCATGTGACAAGAAATTGGCGCACTGGATTTAATCTGAAAAACAAATTGCTATCAATTTCTGGCCTGCCTAATGGGGTTTCCAGAAGAGCCGGTGGTGACAGATCGTAACGCAGGAATACGCCCCAAAAGGACCGAGACTGCATAGCCTGGTTTGAATCAAGGCCACGGTAGCCAATTAACGAGGTGCAGTAGCAGCATCCGTCACATTGAGAAATTGCCCTATTGAGGAGCGAGAGGGCGTACGGATGTCTTATTGGGTGCTCGCACTCGACGAGGTCTTCCTGCCCATTCCTTTGCCCCTTGCAAAGGCCAGGGCTACCGCTGTTTAACCTGGCCATTCGCTGTGTGATGTTATGACATCGGTCTGATGATAGCAATGTGTAAGGGGCCTTTTGAGTGTTCACAGGTTGTGCTCTGAGGCCTCCACTGCATAGATGAGACAACTTGGGTTGGCGTAAAATTGGTTTCATTCGAGAACCTGTAACAGGTATTCAGTCCACAGGTAGCGTCAACTGGCCTAGACAAGCTCCGTAAGCCACGTCGTCCACAGCGTAGCCGCTGATCTTATGGATGGGACGGCACAGAACGTAAGGTCAGGGGACGACAGCTATCGTAAAGCCCCGCGCTTTGCGACGGGCTTTGGTACTTACGACCCCGATGCAACCAAATACCATGAATAAGCTGCTGCTCCTTGCGTCCCATCTTCGGTTCTTTATTCGATTGATCAGTCACCGGTTAATGCTGAGAATGCTCTTATACCTCGGAGAACAACCGAGCAAGCCGTATCATGAGATCTGCACATGACTGTTTCAGTGAATATGTATCCCATGGAGGTGAATGACGTTCACAGACTTTCCTGTGAGAGCATGTCGCAGGACGTTTCAATAAGGGTGTAAATGCCCTTGAGCTGTTGGCGGAGCACAGGTATGCCCCGTGATCATCATGACAGCAATCTTTCAGTAAGAGTCGATAACCGTACCTTGTTGGTGTTATTTTCCCCCTCAAGCAACCCGTTTGTATTGCCAAGGATGAAGTACGCTTGCAACCCTCCCCTGCTGTTGTATCAGTAAAGCTGCTCTCCCAAAGTCAGTTATGGCGCGTACGAGATAATGGAGGCTCCGAATGCTACCCTAGGTCTCTCATGTTCCGGATACTCCCACATACCCTAGGACCAGTGTGGCAAGATGATCTTAGGCCCTAGGATATCGAGGTTCATGTACGGATCAGTAAGCTTGTAGTAGGGATTGACCAAGTCTATGTCACTTGAAATCGTTAGCTGTCACATCGAGTGCATCAAAATGATTTACATACTGTTAGAAAATATCTGACTGAAAGGTCATACATATTCCTGGTGCGCTTAGTGCAACACTAAGTTCACTCGTATGGGGTTGCAATAGGAATCCTGTGGGCAATTCCTGTCAAGAACAAATTCGGTCGATATCTTTCTTCAATGAGCCCTTGGGCTGCAAGCCATGCAAACACATGATTTAACCAGTAAAGCCGAAAGTCAGAATATATAAAACAAACGAGCCATACTTACTCCATAGGAGTATGATCTCGAAACCAACGCTTACCAGGTTGGAAGATACACACATCAAGGTAGCCGCCTATACACTGAGAGAGGTTAGCTTGTAGCACACAACAATTGATGAGAAGATATATTGCTTGAAGCATGTTCATCATACATAAGACGTATGAGTTGCCATGAAGGTAGCCCTATCACCGACGGGAAGCAAGCGAGTTCATTCGTTGATGAGGATGTAGATAGAGGTTCCGATAGAACGGTTAGTGGGACCTTCACAAAACCTCGGCGCCTGTAAGTGCCTTAGGCATCCTACTCCATCCCTGTGAAATGGTACTTCCACGGACCGAGCTGCCTTCCGATACAACTACAGCTTTACAGAAAGACCAAGGAAGAATTAACACAATAAAAACGTGATTGGCCTTTAAGAAAGCATAGATTAAGCTAAAACAACATCTGTGAGCGACAGAGATAAGAATATCCTTCTAGATCGGATTGCCGACGCATTCCTGTAACATTGCTCATCAAAACGAGCCCTGCCGGAGGGGATAAAAAGTAAAGAATTTTGAAATCATACTGAAATGTCGACGAGGAGCGGTGTGGCGGGGAAAGGCTAGTTGACTTTGACGTCAGATGGCTCGAGCTTCCCCCATGACAGTCAGTGCTGAGACTGAGAGAGTTCGACCGACCCAAATTACGGACGTTCCATGTCCATGCCGTAATCGCGTTTCCGTCCCATGTATGTTTGAACCGTCCGCATACGCGATGGGCTGTATCTGGACAAGGCCGATACTTGCCGCCTTCCGTTGCAGTCCATTGAGGTGAGAAAGCAGGAGAAATGAAACAAATCTATTGAAGATTCTTGCTGCTATATAACCTGACATTCTGGAGAATTTATCGCTTCGACAGAAAACATAATCAAAGGTCTACCTTGATGAGATTATCCGATTGATGCAAGGTTATTGAGCTGCCCAAATGAGTTTTGAGACTGACGAGTCTCCATCCGAAGACCCAAGCGGTCAAGCTTCAACACGTGGAGTGGAACAGATCGACACCCAATCTGCTTTGCCATCGTGCCGGTCGGTCTTCAAGAAGGGAACACATTGTTAATAGTGAACTACTATATAGATCCGCCTTCTACCTTCGTTTTGTACTTCCTGGCAACCTTTTGGCTGCAGGATGGATAAGAAGTCCGTATCTTGGAAGACAGAAAGCTTTCGTCATGGCTACGACACGTGCAAGGCCCTTGATCTTAGGAGCGTCTATAAGACTTCCTTGTGCAACATACAACTTAAGACTTCAGTAATAATACTGTGGTAATTTTTATCGATCTAATCTACTGTGACAGTCAAATTTTAATCGCCTGCTTTTTCTCTCGGTGATGCGTAAACTTAAGTAGACTCAATGGCTTAGTCCATCAATTACACCAAATGAGACATGGATACCTGTTCAACTTTGACCTGAAAAATAAACAAAAATAAAAAGAAAAGAAAAGAAATCAGGCGGCCGAATCCGCAGTATTCAATCTGCGGTAGGCTACTCATACATCTGGGTAAGATTACATCTTCACTGTGTAAATCTAATAACGCTAATATTTAATGAGAGGACGCCGTAAGTCCATTTGACTTCGTGGGATAAGCAAGTCAGGTAACTTCGGCCGGTGACGAACATGGAGTGCTCCATACTAAAGAATTGATGACTTCGGAAATACTACGAAGAGTGATGAAGTCGCTTCATGACTTTTCCAATGTTTGTACTAGTTACAACCATTCTAGTAAATAGCAGAGGCTTAATAGTATCCAGGAGATTTACACGATGTAGTGTACCAAGTGATGGATGTCGGATGCGATCGATATACTAGTAAATATATATCTTAGTACTGTATTGATGCTTTATTTAGTCCCGTTAAAAGTAAGTAAGCAGTCCACACTGGTCGCAATCTCGGGAAATGAATTGAACGGCAAATATTCTTCTGCAATCCTAGGAGACTGGCCGCTGTGACTTTACCCTTCTTCAATTAATGCGGAGAACCACCAATAATTACTGTGCTGAGCCTAAGACATCAATGTCGCTCATTCCGCACCGGCTGATATTTGCTCGCTATCTACCTGCCACAGGGAAATGGAGTGTCCTAGGGAGTCTTACCTAGATTGGTCATATAACCGAGGCTGACCGTGGCTTCGATTGACTCCGCTGACGTTTGGGTGTATCAACGCGTACGTAAGAAAAGCAAGAATCGAGCCGCGCTTCCTGCGTAGAAACACAATGTGATTCCATGGCAAGAAACTGCATTGTGCATTAGTAAAGTGTCAGTCTGTGTGATAGCACGGCGCTTGTTTTCCTTTCCTTTCTTTTACTTCTGATTTTGAATTTCATCTCAAATCTTTCTCCAATCCTACCTGTCTACTTCATTCAGCCCGTTCCCTGTTTTTATGCTTCGCGTCTTGAGGTGGCATTTGCGTTTGTTGCGCATCGAGCCGTTTTACCTTATTCTTTCGTTTTCTAAGGCCTACCACGAAATCCTACGTAAGAAGAATAATCTCTATTACTGCTTTTCCATCCGGGGTGGGGGCAACGCAAGTAGGGGAAACAAAAAAAGTAAGAAAGAAGAAATGATGAAAGACAGCGATGTGCAAATCGAAGCCAGTAGCATAATCCCTCTGGTTAATGTAAAACCATGATTCGCAAAACAAACCAAAGAAAATCCAGCTGAACCAATGGGGGGTGGCTGGTCGAGCTGACCCAAGGTCATACAGGTTTTGTTCCCGAGGGCGATTCGCCAGATTTGGGTTGCACATGATGAACATCACGAATTCGGGATGGCCGGATGCTTTGCATAGTAGTTATAATGGGCAGTTATCTCAGATAAGAAATAATATGCTTTTTTATTATTTATTTTCATGGCTTATTAGATGTAATTCAAGGACACGGGCGAGAATTGAGGTGTGATATACGCGCGCACACACACACACACACTCTCTCTCTCTCTCTCATCCCAGTGTCAATCTCCACCAAACGGGCTGAGAAATTGGAGAAAGAGAGGAAGAGAGAGAGAGTGTGTGTGTGTGAGAGAGAAGGGGGGTGGGGGAAGGGAGGTTGGTTTTGTGATAGTGAAGAGTCGTGATCGAGCAAGCTAGGCCCGGCGGCACGGAGGGAGAGAGAGAGGGAGAGGAAGAGCAGAGAGAGCGCGAGCGTGTGCGTGTGGTGTGTCCTCGACCCCAAAGTTTTCCGGGCATCCATCCATCTGGTATTTAGAAGAAAGATACCATACGAGACAGATGATACCATGACCATACAAGACGGGAGTGCAATACACGCCTTACCCAGGAGGGCAAAGAGCGCAGACGCTAAGTGGAGCGAACCCTGGGGTTGATACCGGACAGTATGGTCGTGGCCTTTGTTGGTCTGATTCATCGCCGCCTTGTCCGCTAACGAGCTGCCGAGCCACTCAGCTACCCTCTGAGCGCGTCCGGTACAAATGCCCCATCGCTCGCCCCTTCTTCTCGCTGCGGCTTTCTCTCTCTGCTCCCTCTCGTTGGTCATCCAACCTCTCCAGTCCTTGCGTGCCCTCCAGTCAACAACGTCGGACTGTCCTGGCTGCGCAGAGCCCATTGGTTTCCTCCCAATTTGTTTTTTTTCCTACTCGCTGCTTGCTTGGGCTGGCTTCAGATTAACCCGTCTGCTCTTGTCCAACCCAATCACTGCCCGCCTTTCCCTTCCTCCCCCCCCATCCGCTTCACTCTCGTGATTGATCATTTTCCTTCCTCCCTTTCTGTCATTACCACGGTTGTGGTCGAATCATCATCTAAGGTACGTTTAGCCATATACTACCACTTACTACTACTGCTGCCCCTTGCTCAACTTTGTATTTTTTCCTCTTCTGTGATTGCATACTTTAATTTGACGCGCGCCCAATCATTTGTATCCTCTGCTGTACCGAGGCCGGATCTTCACTATTCATTGGAAGTTCTCACTCACCCTCTTCCCCCCCGGGCTCCATGTTGTTGCCTGTTCTTCCATTGTTTGTGTGCATCAGCTTTCTGCTGTCCAAACAACTGGTAGCTATGACCATAAGCTACAACCCTCTCCACTGATTCTAGTCTATTTTTGGTCTTTTACATTTCTTTGAGTTCTTTGCTTTGTTTTCCGAACCACTCCACTTTTCCTATTATTTTTGTTCTTATTTTATCTTTTTTTTTTTTTTTTTTTTTTTCTTTCTGAACCAGGTGTCCGGAATCATGACATCCCCGGGTAGTGGTACTTAGTAGCATTGAGGCTTTTTTCCCTTTCTTTCTTTTCTTATTATTTGCTTTTCTTTCAGGACTCCGGGTGGCCTACAGCAGCCACCAGCTGCTGCTCATGCGAATGACTCAACGAGACAGAAATTTTTTTTTTGTCTTTCTTTTTTTTTTCTTTTTTTTTTTTTTTTTTTTTTTTTTTTTTTTTTTTTTTTTTTTTTTCTGTTATACATACCCCTTCTGTTTATCATATACCATAAACACCCCTCCGTCATCTGTTTTATAATTTCCCATTTTGTTTTGCCGCTTCGGTCGCGGATCAACCCGGGCCGGACTGACATCAGCGGCAGCCTACCGTGCGGTGAAAGAAACGGACGTTCCTTTGCTTGTCCGCCTTTCTCTCGTTGGCAGAGCTTCGTCGCGTTGCCATCGCCCCGCGAATCATCACAGGTTCCTTCCCTCGTGACTGAAAGCCCTCGTCAAATCATTACAACGAGTCGCTTTCAGTGTCGCTCTGCATTGGAGGCTTTTCTGCCACCTACGGAGAATAACCCTTGATAAAGGTAATTAACCTTTTCAAACCACGAGGCAAAAGTCCGCCTGTTGTTGTTCTTGGCTCCCTCTGGCCGCGGCCCGCAAACCGCGACAGCTGTGATTCCCTACTGCCCACCCTCCCTCCTCCCTTCTCCCCTCCCAAAAGTTATGGCTGGCGTTACCCACCCTCGAAGCAAATCAAACCATTAGAATTAGTGTCGCATGTACTTTAAGTACTGCAGGCAAGACCCTCTGCGACTCCTCCTATCATCCCTGGTCCCTGTGAGCTTCTGCTATCGCTTATGCATTGTTATGTTTTCTTGTCGCGTTTCAGTTGCAACCCCGACTCCCCGCCCCATGATGGCCCAATCACCACGCGTCAATCCTTGCCTTTGCCCTTCTCTGACAGCTATCTAACACCATGACCTGTCAATAGGCGCGCATCCGATTTCTACGGTCGGAGACTGCAGAATAGCTCTTCCATCACGGTTGTTTGATTCCCTGATTTTAAGTGCCGCTTTTGCGCGCGCGCAAAACTCCGCCTACCCTTGTTTGGGGTCGCGAGTGCGTCGCTTTTGAACAAGGTATGTTGCCGGCTGCATCATGATTCCGCTTGCCAACGCATACATCCTTCAGCCCTGAAAAGACTAAACCGCCACGATGTTTTCCCCCCTCCTGCCTCCCCCCCACCACCACCTTGACAGTTCCTATCCCCCCCCCTCTCTCCTCCAATCGTGACAGCGCACAAATCAGGAGTCGAAACTCTCGGGACGGTGGGAATGATAGATGCTAATAGTTTTTTGTAGCCCACTGAGCCGTGCGAGCCCCTCTCAGGCGTACCCTGACGACAGCGTCGAGTGGCATTATAGTTCGAGAGCCTGCGGACCAGGATATTTCCAAACTCCCGGGCCCAGACGGACTAACTCACCAGGTTGCTCTAGCACCGCCTCATACGAACGTGGCCAAGCAGCCTGACGAATTTAGGAGCTGAGCAGCATTACCCAGGTAGCCTGCCAGTTGTCGTCTCCTTATACTTGCGTAGTCTTTGTGTGTCTGCGATAGACTTGAGCGCCATTATCAAGAAGATCGCGCTTTGTCTGACAACGCATCAAGTGCGACATCTTGTCGAGAGCATCCTGGTTCCCTGCATCGAAGCCCAACCACGTTACACTTGGAGGCGAACGTAAGATTTCCACAAAAAGACGCAGAACCTCCGGAAAAAGCGGGTTGAAGCATTTCGGCAAACAAGCGTTCACCTTTGGGCGAATTTCCTTGACGCCAGAAGTTGATGAGTGGGTGTATTGGCAAAACAAAAACAGAGGTACGCGCCCTCGGTGTAAGCGCCTTTCCTCTATTCCCATCCAACCCCCACCCGCAATCCAGTGACCGTTTGGCGCTGCGCTCCATGCTGACACTGTCAACCAGAGCCTGCAGACTTTCGCAGTTCACTCGTCGAATCAGTAAATAACCGCCTTTCCTTTGTGCACGACGGTGATATTGTCAAATGCAACTGTGTTGTTGACAACCTATCATTTCTCATTATTTTCGCCACTTCGGTCTCAGACGAGTGAAGCTCCTTTGGATTGGCCCATCTTTGGCAGTATTATTGGTTCTAGCCTCCTGGTTCCTGACAGCCAGGGTACTCCAATCACGACTCGAATCGGAAGCCTGACGGTAATCACCGTCGCAGCTCCATGATGGAATACCCGCCGCAGTATCAACAGCCTCATGGCCAGCATCCCCACGCTTCCTCTCACATCACTGCCCCGTATCAGACAGCTCCCCAAAATGCTGGGTCGACGGTGGGGTCAATGACTTCTCCCACCAACCCCCAAGCGCACATGCAACAAGCTCACGCGACACATCAAGCGTCTCCCATTGTTCCCTCACAATCTCATTATCAGCCTGCTCAAAATGCCCCTGGCTCTGTACATCAGCAAATGAATTTCCCCCAGTCGTATGGAGTTACCACGGCGATGCCACAGACATATGGTATCTCCCCTACGCAGGCAGCCGCAATGGCCACCGCTGCAGCATCGGGTCAATTTTATCCTCTCCATCAAGACTCGATGGCTGGCCAGATGGCTCCGGGTCCCCGCGGATCACCGCGCATGGCTGGGGTGCAGGTCAAGAGTGACCGCAATCCTCGTTCACCACCCCAGATTCCCGGCCAGATGCCCTCAATGGGATCCCAGGTACAGATGTCCCAGAACGCCCAGATGCAGCAACGTCGCATGAGCCATGTCAGTAGTCCGCATGTTCAAAATGCGCAACCACTTATCAACCATGCTGGACGGCCTTCGGTGCCCCCATCTATGCCGCCACCACCACAGCCGCCTGTTCAGCAGAGCCAACCTTCGCCGGATATGGTCGCCGGCGCCGCTGAGGAGTCACCTTTATACGTGAACGCGAAGCAATTTCATCGCATCTTGAAACGACGAGTGGCTCGCCAGAAACTGGAGGAACAGTTGCGGCTTACTTCCAAGGGTCGCAAGCCATATCTGCACGAATCGCGTCATAACCATGCCATGCGCCGCCCTCGTGGTCCTGGCGGGCGGTTCTTAACGGCTGACGAAGTGGCTGCTATGGAGAAGAAGCAAGCATCGGGGTCTACGACCGCTGGACTCGAAGGCGCTGACGATAATGCGGTGAAACCACCTGGCGATAACCCGCCATCCGCGCAGAAACGAAAATCAAGTGATGTCAACGATGACACCATCAATTCGTCTAAAAAGACGAAAACTAGCGCCAAGCCAAGCACCAGTGCGGATGAAAGCGAGAATGAATCTGCTGAGCTGTCCGACGAGGATGGTTGAGCGTTGCCTCGTCCTAGGACCGTTTTGCGAAAATGTTGCTCACCACAACAGCCCTTTATGATGGATGGATGTCTGGATTTTCTTTAACCCCCGTCTTCCTTAACCTTTACTCCCCGCAGCGAGCGATGCGCAACTGCCCCATCTTCTCTCGTACTTATTGACGCTATTCCCACCTCCCTCTGGTTTCTTCGGAAACGTCTCGTTTCATCCGTTTGAAACTTTTATGTCTGTTTATATTGTTATGCTGGCACGAAGTATTATTACTATTTTCCTTTTTCTTTTCATCTAACGATGTTCAGCCTGTTAGGATTGCATGTATGAGATGATTATGTTTTGTTATTTTTTTTTTTTTTTTTTTTTTTTTTTTTTTTTTTTTTTTTTTTTTTTTTTTTTTTTTTTTTTTTTTTTTTTTTTTTTTTTTTTTGTTTTTTTTTTTTTTTTTTTTTTTTTTTTTTTTTTTTTTTTTTTTTTTTTTTTTTTTTTTCATTTCTCGGGATGGTGCACGATTCTCGAACTTATGAATTGTTACGTTCGTCCCACTGTCGATGCTGCATGACCCGGTTTCTTATTTCCAAAGGTCGTGGTTCTCACAGCTGGCGGCAGCCTTTTTATATGTCTTGTCGTCAAAGTCTCTGTCGACAGGCAACTCAATGTCATTGGCAACTTTGGTGTACTGTGTTCTTTCTTCTCCTGTCCCTGAGTCCACCGCTTTGATCCGGATCCGTTCTTTTGCGTCTTGCTTCGGGCCTTGGTTGGTATTAGATTGAAGCCCATCGCTGGTAAAATAAAACCCCGAGGTCAGGTGGCGCGGCGACAGAGCTTACATCCCTTGGTGGTGGATGATGCACGCATGTCTTGGTTCCGTGTCGCGGATTGTCCCAACACACTTGAAGTTCAGTGCAGTTAGTCCGAAAGTCGTTTCTCTCTGGCCATTCGTTTCGATATGGAGAGTTCTCGACTGGAGAATTCCACGACGGACTTCATCCCGTGGTTTTTCACGGAACATTTCGATTGACTGTTGGAGCCACTGGGGTAGTGCCTGAATGTGACCTGGGATCTTTCTGTTGTTGATGCGATTATGAGACTACATGGGGCGCCACTCTTTCTGAATTTGCATTGGAGAGTGGTCTGACATGCGAGGCTGTGATAGTCTGAGGCTACCACGGCCGATGCTTCTTTTCCTCTGCCTTTCTCTGTTGCCCCCTTTTGATGCCTCGTTTGATATATTACCTTGATCTTCAACGGATGATTCCCCTACTAGTCGTGTACAAATATCAAGACATACTTGGCGAACTCGTTACTGGTCGTGCTTGCCTTGTTCTCGTGGCTTGACATTAGAGCAGGTCCCTGCGGTGTGAGTGCTTTAAGTAGAACAGAATTAGCAGGCCGCGAGTCTTCACTTTGCCCCGGATGAAAAAGAGGGGAGTGAAATTGGTATAGTGAATCCCGAGTGCGATGATGCTGACAGAAGTTGCTTTTGTATTCATCGTAAGGCAGGCTTCGTAACGCTGCTCCTCAACACCAATGCTGGTTCTATCTTTCTATATTCCCCGGTCGGATGTCAATCTACGGCTACGACTGAGCATCCCGCGCCTCTATTTTGCCACCAGTTGCTAGCAACGTATCGTTAGGACTAGACCGAGAAATACTCCACTTACTCCACTTTCAAGGCTCCGAGATATCAGGTGAGTGAGAACACATTATAAGATTGCCTGCCATAAACCTTTTCAGGATGGGGGTTTGTTGATGAGAGACGAGGCGTACACACTGTCTATCTATCCATCTCCATAATCTTTGTTGGAAGAAAGCGGCGACAAGAAAGGGAACCCGGGGGCGCTATGCCCGGTCGGGACTAGGTGGCCTCCCTTCTCCGGCGCTCCAGCCTCACTTCCCAATCCTGTGTCTCTCCTTCGCTGCTTTCCCTTCCCTCTCGCTTTCTCTCCACCTCTTCCCTTCTTCTTCTTCTTCTCTCTTTCCTCTCCCTCTCCCTCTCCCCCACAACACATCCGTTTATATATCATCCGCCTTGCCCGGTGATTATTCCCGGTCTGTTGCGATTGTCGTCTGTGTCGTCTGATCTGCTCAGCTCGGATTGGACCTAGTACTCCGTCCGTCATCTTCGCATCTCGTTGGATCTCCAATTCTCTCCTCTTAAGGCTTCTCTTGTAGGTCGCCTGCCTTACCATTCATCCTCTCTCTCATCCTCTCTCTTCTTTCTCCATTGTGTTCAGTCAATTCATCGCAGCGCCTTTGTCTCTCATCGTCCCCTTACCCCTGCTCAATTATCTCAGTCCAAGCTGCCCCTGTCATCCATCCAATTCATTTGGATCCGCGCCACACTTGTGCTTCATCCCGTCTCTTCCTCTTTTACTTTTAAAACCTCATCTTGGACTCCTTTCATCGTCGCGCCATTATTGGTTCGCACCACCCTCCGTGCTGAATTGGACTACTACTTTCTACTGTCTACCTTGTGCCCTCCTCTCTTTTTCTCGTCCTCTCTTGGCTCTCGCGAGCGCACTTGCGTTTTCATCCTCTCAGTTTCCGGGTTCGCCCCTGTCATCGCTATCCAAAATCATGCCTTGTCTATCTCTTCCGTGGCCGGCTCCCGGCAACCAGCTTCGTTTGCATCTTCTTCTTGCCCAACTCGCCCCTTAACCCTGCTTCGTCAACGTCCAACCTACCAGGCACTCTTGCACACGTGAAGGACTTGCTCTAATGTTGATCATTTCGGATATTAGCTTACGCCTTCTGTCTTTACCGTCCTGGGCGCGACCCTCGGCCATTGTCTGGAAGCCGGCTCCGATTTCCTCCGTTACGGCCCCTAAGAGCTTCGGTCGACGCGATTTTCCATAGTCTTGTCCCGATGGACTCATATGACAATTACGGGTCCCCCGGCAGGACCAGAGAAGGTGGTGACCCCTATGCTTCAAGGGTTCCGGTGGATTCATACCGCCGCAGGTCGCCTGGTAAGTGTTTAGCTCCTAGACTACCCCTCCGGGTGCTCCCGGACTCATGGTCATGGTCTTATATTCTAATCACTGGTACGTATGCAGTGTCTCAGGATCGACGCCGAGGACGCGGACGTTCTCGCTCGCCCGTTATGATCGACCGCTACGAACCTTCTGATCGCCGTGCATCGCGAGACGATTACTATGCTGCTTCTCGGGAGCATGCCGGACGTGACCGTGAGGACCGTCGACGTGCGCCTTCACCGAACGTTGCCAATATCGACCGCTATGTCCCCGGACAAGATTCTGTCAAGCGCCCTATCCCCACCAATCCGCTCCCGAACCCGTTGACTCTGGAATTCCAAGTGGGATTCAACTGGTTTGCCGAATGGTGGCGAGCGGAGCAGTCGATCAAAGAAGAAAAGGAACGTGCCAAGCACGGCGGTCGGCGACCTTCTGATCGCGTCAAAGGGGAGCGGGAGGCTCGTGAAGATCGAGAGAGAGAGAGAGCACAGATCCAGGCGGCTTACGATTCGTATAAGGTGAATCTGCAGGCGAAGATGGCCCGTGCTTTCGTCCAGCATCATCGGAACGAGGAGTGGTTCAGAGAGCGCTATGTTCCTGAGGTCCGGGATCCTCTTCGTCGTCAACTGATGGATTTCCGCATGGGTGCCTATCAGCAATGGGAGAGAGACCTCGAGAGTGGTCTCTTTGATGAATTCACGCTTGAAGGCATCTATAAGAGTGAGAGCGACGGTGCAGGCGGTGTGATCGAAAAGGAAGAGGGTGAAACTACCGCGGTTGGTGAAACCCTGGGTGTTCTGGACTTGCTGCCAGCAAGAGGCGGAGATTTGCGTGATGAAGCTTTGTCTCAGTCTGCTCTCTTGATCAAGACTCTAGCGCCCAATGTTAGCCGCGAGAAGATTGAAGAGTTCTGTAAGGAACACCTGGGAGAAGAAGATGGTGGGTTCAAGTGGCTTAGTCTCAGCGACCCCAATCCGTCCAAGAAGTACCATCGAATGGGATGGATCATGCTTCATCCTGCGCCTGACGTTGAGGTTGTCGAGAGGGGGGACGGAAGGGAGGAAGAGGGCGAGGAAATGGAACATGATCACGCGGCCAACGGATCGGTGACAGTGACTGCTGCCGAGAAGGCACTTGAGGCTATCAACGACAAAACGATCCATGATCCCGTTCACGGCGACTTTGTCTGCCACGTGGGTGTTCATGTCCCGCCGTCGCAACCCCGCAAGAAGGCCTTGTGGGATCTTTTTTCTTCGCCAGAGCGTATTTCACGAGACCTGGAACTCGCAAGGAGGCTGGTGTCGAAGCTCGATGTCGAGATGGGAGGAAGTGCTGATGGATTCGCCAAAATCGAAGAGCGAGTAGAGGAGTTGCGCGGCAAGGGCTGGCTTCAGCCGCCTGTCACGGGTCCTGTTAGTGTCAAGAAGAGAAAGCCCGACTACGATGCCGACGACATTGACGAAGGGGAGGCAGAAGAAGGCGAAGAACAGGAAGGATGGGAAGATGACGAACTCGATGATGAGGAGCTCTTGGCCAAGAAGAAAAAGTTGGACCTGATGGTTGAATACCTTCGCAGGGTCTACAATTTCTGTTTCTTCTGTGTCTTTGAGAGTGACTCTGTGCATGAGCTTGCTCGAAAATGTCCTGGTGGACATCTCCGTCGGCCACGGGCCGGTCTTACCACACAGTCAAAGGCTGTGGCTCGAGCCAGTGCTCTTGGGCAGCCGTTTCCTGTCAAGAAGAAGGAGCCCAGTGAAGAGGGCGAGGAGCAGCAGCCTGTGCCGGAGGAGAAGCGCCCACAGCGTTTCAGTTCCAAGACCGAACAACAACTTCAGCGTGCATTCAACTGGGTCAAGACATTCGAAGACAAACTTTTGCAGATTCTCGAGCCAGAGAATGTCGATATCGGGAAGCTGGGAGGCAAGCCTGTTGAGGACGCCTTGGAGGAGGAGCTCGGAAAGTATATGAAGCAGGAGGATGAGTCCAAGTACCGTTGCAAAGTACCTGAATGTACCAAGCTGTTTAAGGCGGAGCATTTCTGGCGCAAGCATGTCGAGAAGCGTCATACCGAGTGGTTTGAGAACATTCGCAGTGATGTAAGTGATCCTTCAATGTGTTCTGTGGGGACGAATACTCATAATAGTACAGCTCTCTCTGGTCAATGCCTACGTTCTCGACCCTGCTCGAATTGCTCCTTCGCGGTCCGACGCTAATAGTAACGGGCATTTCCCTCTTAACACTGGTCAGGGCCAGACTGGCACACCACGTGGGTTCAGCCTAGCGTCCATGCCGCCTTACCTTGCAGGCGGCGGAAATGTTCCTCCAAGCTTCCAAGGTGTGCCAGCGTCTGGAGTACCCGGATTCATGGGCGTTAACAACCCCTCGTGGAGTGGTAATGGAATGGTGTCTGCAGATGGCCCAGGTTTGCACCAGCCAGGTGTCATGCGCCGTGGCGGCGGACGCTATAATAACCGCTCAGGTCCTTATGATCGCCGTGGCAATCGGCATGGCGCTCCAGGCACTGGAAGCGGCCGCCTAAGCCCCGTTCGTGGCATGTCCAGCATGTATGGATCTGGTGGTCGCCTGCCGGCCAGTTCTGGAGCGCCGTACATCCCTCCTGGACACCCTGCCGCCGCCTTGGTGGGGGCCAGCGGCTTTGTTGACGCCGGTGCCGGCCAGCAAGGCATGGGTCCGCGCGAAGCCGTACAAGGTCGCAGCCTCAAGAGCTACGAGGATCTCGATGCGGTCGGTGGCTCCGGCAGCGGGGAGCTGAACTATTAGACAAATTTTCTCCGTGCAAATGGCGTTCGCTGGTCTGTCGTTCCTGCATCTTCACAAAGCCAGTTGCATATTTGATGTCTCACCGCATATGCCGTGCATTGATCCGTGTCTGTCATACTTTTATTTTCTCTCTTCGTACATGAGCCGAAATTGTCTCCATTCAATTTCCGATTTCCTAGGTTCTTCCTTCTCATTTCCCCGTTGCTCTCAACGCTTCTTGTCTATCCAAACGTGAAACATCATTCAGGTTGGAATTGTGCCTGATTTCCTTCCTCTACGGAATATGGCGTGTTTCCTTGTGCCCTCTTGAGGCCACGAGTTGGCTTTGCGACTGCTACTGAACTATTTCCGGGATCTTGAAACTCAAGTCTGCATGCTATCTTCTCTCGTTCACATCCTTCGTCGTTGTTCTTTTTTTTTTCCCCCCCTTCTTCTGGTCTTGGCGTCCCTCGGATTGTACCATAGTATCTATCTTATCTATCAGCTCGATATCTTCGTACCATAAGCTCAATGACATATGGCCAGATACAATTGCCTTGCTTTGTCCTTCCCGCTGTATTGGACAGACGCATCCTACCTTCAGTATGAGGGACGGGCTTCCATTCACACGCAAAAGTAGTATTTCAAAATGAAATCACAGATTAGGATATACCATCCCTGACAGTTATAGTAGTATGTACATATATAGCGCATCGCTGATGCTCCACGAGTATCATATACTACGAAAAGAACCCCCAAATCTCTTTGGGGGGAGATAGGAGGTGGGTATCAGCCCATCCACCCATCACTACGGCATCTGAATAACAACTTCATCTGCACTATCGCGCCATTGCAGCCCCATTCTGCGGACGCGACGCTCACTCGCTAGGAATAAGAGTAGGTATATATGAGAAGCTATCTCACCCCACGCATAGACCTTCAGGATTACTGGTCTCGTTGTTGTCTCATCACCACCATCCTCGAGGCCATTTGCAGGTTTATCTGAGCCATTATCCTCCAGAAGGCACCAGACACCCCAGCCGGCGCGGCCTTCTTTGGCGATGAAATCCGTTAGAAAGGTCCAGAAGCGCATGAAGAATGGCATCTCCCAGGTGGAGCTGGAGGTTGAGTTTGGATTTGGGGAGAGATTGAGGCGGAGATACCAGTGTCCTCTCTCGAGGTTGTCGAGGGGTCGGGTTTGGTTGATGGGTGTGTATGTGCGGGAGGGGTTGAGGCGGATGGAGAGCATTTTTAGGGTGGGGGTGATGTGGGTTGTGAAGGGGTTTGCTGAGATGGGGGGTGGGTTTGGCTTGATTTCTAGGGGGAGGTGTACGGTGTTGTCTTTTGAGGTTCTAATGACTTCTTCTTTGGTGGCGGTGGTGGTGGTGGTGTTATTTGGCGATTTGTCGTTGTTGAGACGCTCGTCTGAGGGGGGTGTATTGTTGCGTGCTTGTTCCGTCACCAGTGGAGGGACATCCAGACAACTTCGCTTTGTAGGAGGAGGCAAGCCATTTGTATCAGTCGATTTGCGACGAGATGTACTTGATTGGGGAAGAGCAATCTCCTGCAAGTCGACTGGCTCAAGGGGTATTCGCTCAGGCTGAGAATCTGGAATGACACTCAGGGGGGTTTCGAGCGAGTCTTTGTCATGATGACGTTGTCGCTGGACTGATGAGGTTGCTCCAGGGTCTGGAGGCCTGGGTGTAGAAGAGCTGGCATTGTGTGGTCCCTGGGTATAGGAGGGACCGGCTTCCGTTGCAGTGGGGACGGGGTCGCTGTCGTCTGATCGCAAGGTTATGACCTGACGCGAGAAGGGCTGGAAACCGAGGATGGCTTCGACTTGAGCGCGGTAGCTGGCATCATCGCCCACGGTGCTGGGTGCGGAGATGTGGACGAGCACTTCGGATTGTTGCATGGCATCGGAGGGGAGGTTGATAAAGAGCCTGGACCGACATGGTGGGGCACTTTGGCTTCCGATGCAGGCGTTTGAGGTTAGGCGTGACAGACTGCCATTTGCCCTTGGAAGTAGAGAGTACAGACTTGTAGCCTACTAGAGGATAGAGTGAAAGAGAACCATAACGGCAAGAGGGGGGGAAAGTGCAGAGGGAAGAGCACATGATAGGCGGAAGGCGTCGAAGATCACGAGTCATGGCGGCCTGAGGCGTGTTCCCGATTGGGTGGACTGGCGGCCTTAGGCTGCCGATCCGCTCGATAGTTTCCGCGCCGTCCAACAACTTCTCCTCTTCACTGAGCTCAGACGGGTCTCTGCTCGACCTCGCCCTCCCTTGAGATCCTCCCTAATCTCGATCTGACCCGGCTTCTCGGGGAGCTTCGTCGGCGATGATTCGGTCTTTAATTTCAATTGGGCCCGTGGTCTGTTGGTAAGCTAACTACAAGTATCTTGGTTTGTGATCCTGTTGGGTGATCGTCGTCGTGCGCCTAGCCTCGGCTCATCATTGAAGGATTGGGACAATAATCGTGGACAATCGAATTAGTGGCCATGCTGAAGGGTGCCAGGGCCACACTTGGGTGATGTGATAATAATGGCTATTAGAGTCTATACCATTGACGAGCTATCTATCTGTCGAAACCAATGTGTTCGAGCCACCGTCACCGCTACCCACCTGGTATCTGACTCTAATTCGAACGTGTTATTCAATGGCCGGGAATGTCTTCCAGCCTTCAGGAAAAAGCCCGTGCACTACCCAATGGGTAGCACGGAGTACGCTTGGTGTTGCTTGGAGTGTGCTCTGTGCACTATGGGCTCGCATTGTGGGAGAACCCCTCGGGGACCTGGAAATCAATGTTCACGAAGCCTGCAGCAGACAAAGAGGGACACACAAAAAAAAAGCAAAGAGACCCCGGAAAGGGGCGATCCCGGTCAGTTACATCACCTCGATTTGCAGGGCGCGCGCGTGTGTGCACTATCCCATCTGTAGGTCTTATGCGAGAATAACGCGGTAGTTGTGAGGCACAATAAAGCAACTCCGACTCTTGATCTACGAGCGCAACCTACGGAGTACTTACTACCTGTCCGGGCAAAGAGCGACGAAAACGTCGACTGACTGGCACGATCACGATGGGATCGAGTGGCATCTTAGTCTCCTCCTCTCTTCCCCCTCCCCCCACCCCCCTTACAGTGGAATAACAACCGCGGCAGGAGCAGGAAGGTGCATACATCCAATCATCCACTAAGCTCCGGATGTAGGTACCGCACCGAGATAGTGTCCACTTGACCACCTCAGAACCCGGCAGCTCGCGCATGCTTATCCTAATGACGCAGCACAGCCGGAGCGTTGGGGACAGTAGATTTTCCTGTGCCTGCCACTAATGAATAATAAACGTATAGCGCTATTCTGGACCAGGCGACTAGTCCGAGGCTTCTGTGTGGGCAGTGGGGCTGATGGGCCCGTTGAACACGGACTGGTGAACCAGACAGGCCCCAAAAAAACGACTGTGGGTTGCAAACGAAAAAGGTTAAGCCCAGAGTAGGATCATACCTTTTCCCCCCCCCCCCCCCCCCCCCCAAAACCATGCAGGACGTATCTACGGGAGTACTGTGGATGGTCAGAAGGTGGAGGGAGAGCAAAGAAAAGCAAAGAAAAGGAAAAAGCAAAAAGGGACAGGCTCGACGGTAGATCAACCGAGGATAACCTGTTTTTCCCAACCCATCCGTCCGGGTCGCAGCGAAATTAAGTCAAGAATGTTACACACGGCGCCTGCCTCTATTCTGAGATGTCAATTGAGGGATGGCAAAGGTGGAAAGAAGGGCAGGACTTTTGGGGGGAGAGTCGGCGGAGGCTGGACGGTCCACTACCGGGCGACAGGCGACAGGTAAGAATGGTTTCTGGTACGACAGCCGGGGGAACGATCGATCGAACCGCCGGGCCAAAGAGATGCGCCATATATCAGATTCGTGGACTCTCTTTTTTCTTGTTCCCCTTTTTTAATCACTCCATTTTTGACATGCGTCTTTCTGATCCTCTCGGTGCAGGATGAGGTTAGGACCGAGGTAGAGGGGGAAGAATGAAGAAAGCGAATAAGGAAAAAAAAAAAGCACTTACAGAAGCAGCTGATCGATGCGGCTAGCAAAAAGACGAACCATTGCCGCGGATTGAGTGATGATGATGATGATGATGATGAGTACTGCGTAGTAGCACGATTGATTATTGACGATGCAGCGAGGATCCCAATTCGCATTAGTTACAGGGAGAGGGGAGACAGCAGAGACAGGCGGACGTGAGGGGCGACGACGATTCAGACGAGGATGAAAAAGAAAAAATAAAACCAATAGCCAATAACCGCCGAGTGACTGGATGCCTGGCCAATCACACCCGGTTGCTGCTGCTGCTTCACTCCACACGGGCAGATGCTTTTCTTTTCTTACTCTGGGATCGGTGACATGAATACGAATAATTGAATCGATCACTTGTGAAATAGATATCTGGGGGTGAATGCATGTGCCCTTGCTCATATGATGTTTTTGTGTGATGGAGAGAGGGAGAGTAAGGTTGAGTTGGTTGTGTAGCCCATCCAGTACTACTTGAGCAGTACTACTGAATACTACTAATACTCAATACTAAAGCCGAGGCGAGATCGGGACAGACAGAAACAGGGAAAAAAGAGAGAAAAGAAAAGAAAAGAAAAGAGGGGGAAAGAAGAACCCACACTAGTCTGAAACGGGCCGGGGAATGTGTAGACTGTAAGGTACACTCACTCACTCACTCACTCTCTTCTCTCTTTCTCTCTCGGTCTCTTATTATTTATTTCTCTGACCTCTTTTTCCCTCTGCACTGGTTGCTGTCCGTCTCTCGTTTTGGCTGAGCATTTATTATTATCATGATAATGATGATGATTATTATGGTTATTATTTTATTCATTCGACCATTCCCCTTTTCATTTTGAAGTTTAAAATTATTTTTCATTATTTTATTTTTTCAGCAATTAATAATCCTTTTCGATATTTGATATTATTTTTTTTTTTGGTTATCACATCTATTCATATTTGATTTGTTTTAATTTATTTTTCTTGCAAATTCACGATCAATTCCGTCACTGACCAATCCATTCCCTTCGTCCTGTACAATTCCAATTAATCTGTGCCTGGATCTATCGTGACTAGTGGACGCCCGAGTGCATGGCCGGCTAAGTAGATGCTAGTAGACTGTAACTAACGCCGAGGGTGCCTGGCCTTTGCGCCGCCGACTCTCTTGTCTCTGCTGGGTCCGTGAAGAACGGGGTGGAAAATAGGGAAGGGAGATGCATCAACGAGCCAATAATGCTCGGGGCCGCTAGAAGGCTTGACAGGGTCTCCCCGTCGATATAACGCCGGCTCGCCTACGGAGGGCCAACTTAACTTGGGTCCCGAACAAGTCGATATCGTCGCTCTCCATTCAATCCAAACGAACTAGTAGACTATCAGTAGTGGGTGTCCACTCTCAACTCACTTATTCACTCACTCACTCACTCACTCACTTGCCACAAGAGTATTATTATTATTATTATTCTCTCTCTTGACTTGCCTGTCTGTCCCTTTCTCTTTTCTCTTCCTCTCCCTCTCTCCCCTCTCTCTGTCACACACACACACACACACACACTCTCTCTCTCTCTCTCTCTCCACTCACCCTTACACTATCTATCTATCTATCTATCTACTACTTACTCTTACCCTCCCTCCCCCTTTCAGTCTGCAGCTCCAAATCTCAAGACATAACAACATCCATCCGTCGACTCCCGCCCTCACCCACCGCACCCACTTTCTCTCCTCCCTCCAACAGAGGTACTACCAAGAACCAGAAAAACCAATTCAATTTCACTTTCACTATTTATCCACCTCCACCCACGGACAGTAGACGGCAACCCGGCAAACTTTCAATCATTCAATCAATCAATCGTTATTATTGCCTGACCGTTTTACCACCCCGCCAGCCTATTTCCCATCGGCTCCATTCAGATCTCTCCTTTTCCCCTGTTCCGTTCCAGAGCTGAGCTCGTGTGGTGGCTCCCTCCCTCCACCTCCCCAAACTCAGGTCTCCATCGGCCGCGCACTTCGGGGAAAACGTCCGACCCTGCCGGTGCGTATATCTTGTTCCCTAACGGTGAAGACGCTTGGACAGTAAAAAAAAAGGAATCCACTTGGCTACCGATTCAAGTCAATTTTTAAGGCTGACAACGGTCCAGATTGATTGAATGACTCTCGCATTCATTTAATCTGCGGTCTGTTCCTCCCTCCACCGTCCAGTCCCGTCGAATCCTCTCTCTCTGTCTCTCCCTCTCTCTTCGCTTCCCCTCATTCTTCCCGCCTCCGTCCTCCGCTTCTTCGGTGCACCCCCCCGTCGGCCATCTACTACTGATCGCGCCGGTCGCATTTCTCTCAATCACCCTCATTTTCAATCGTCACAGCCATCATGACTTCCATAAATGGTGGTCCGATGTCTGTGGACCTGAGTGCGGCCAATCGCCAAACTATGACACCAGAGGCCATGCCAAGTAAGTTCCCGGCTTCCTTTGACCTGGAACCCTCGCATTGCTGCTTGTATGCCTGTGGTGATACGATCGACGACCGTTGTTCATTTCATTCCTTACCTGGGGAACATGTGTGTTGGATACACAGAGCATCCCGGATTGGGGAAAGGCTGCAGTCGGCACCGTTCGCTCGTAACCTACCAATTTCTTGATTCTGTCATCTGCACTGCCCGCATGTTGTATGACGTGATGTGCTGTACCTACATGTTCTGTTTTGATCTTGTGATATTTCTTCGCCTGCTGTGGTCTTGCGTTGCTTTGCTTCAGAGAGAATCCCGTCAACTACCCGCTCTGACCCGCTGCTTGCAGGCCAACCCAATTCCAGACCGTCGACAATCGGGGCCGACTTTTTCAAATTCTTCAGCGGCACACAGAAAAAGGTTACTCGAGGTTTGTGCTACCGTGGTGTTCGCTCTTGTCCGTACTCGTTGTAACCTGCTCCCTTCTAGATGGTCAACCCGCCAAACGACGTGGCCCCAAGCCCGACAGCAAACCGGCCCTTACCAGACGACAGGAATTGAATCGCCAGGCTCAGAGGTACGTGGCTCTCCCGTCTCTGCACTTGTCTCGTCAGGAACAGATGCCAACGGGCTGTTTAGAACCCATCGCGAGCGCAAGGAACAATATATACGGGCTTTGGAAACGGAGGTGTCGCGGTTACGAGAGGCATACACGCAAGAGATCTCGGCGGCCAACTTGACGGTGGTTCAACACCGAGATATGGTGCAGTCGCTATCAGACGAAAACGCCATTCTGAAAGACATCCTGACGGCCCATGGCATCAACTACGAGCCCGAAGTCGAGCGGCGCAAGGCTGAACGACCCACCATCGGCTATCAGTCCAGCCCATTTGCCAGCAGTAGTACCGGATCACAGCCCACCGGCGTTGCTCCGTCCAATCCCTCCACGAACAACATGTACACCACGCCACCTACGACAGTCTCGGCCAGCTTGAGTCCGATCACCACTGGGATCGAGCAAATTGATGTGTCGTCGAGCGAGATGTCACCACCGCAAGGGCCGTATCAGGCCGCTCCGTGTGACGCCCTGGCGACGCTAGACCAGATAGCGCCAGTGAGCCGGGCGCCGAGGCAGCCATCGGGCATCTTCGAAGAACTTCCCCAGCTGCAGATTGACTTTATTCTGACGTACGCCCGCCACATCTTCATCTCACAGAGGAGTGTATGACTGACTGCTGTCTAGATTGGAATCGCCGTGTCGGGAACACACCGACTATCTCTGCCGCCGATCGATCACCGAAGCCGATGACGAGGACATGCCATTCTCGGGTCATGCCTTGATGGCGACCTGCCCGCCGCCCAGTTACATCGCGAACACCTCGAACGAACAGACTTATCCGCACAAGACCTACGACCTCCCTCATGCCAACCTGTCGACCCTTCTCAACCTCAGTCGGCAGCTCGTGACGGATGGACAGATCACCCCCATCATGGCGCTTCAGTGTCTCAAGAACCACGAGCTCTACCGCAGCCTGACCAAGGACGACGTCAAGGTGATCATCGAGACGCTAAACACCAAAGTGCGCTGCTACGGCTTTGGCGCGGTGGTGGAAGATTTCGAACTGATGGACTGCCTCAGCAGCGTGCTCGGATCTAAGGTCGAGGGCGCCCTGTCACATCCGGGAGATGAGATGATGTATTCGTGAGCTGGTCTGGCGGTAGTGACCTAATCTGGACGGAGTTTCATGGGGCGATTCATTGGGTTTGGGTATCTGTTCTAACACGGATTTTGATTTGGCGAGGTGTATATAAAAGCTCTGGGAGCAAGGCTGTTCTTTTTCTTCTCACTTCTATCTTCCTTTTGAGGATTCTTCCTATGGGGTTCAACGCCAGAGCGGTGCTGGCCATACAACTTGTTTAATCTTGAAGGTGTCTTCTATTCTATTCTCCTATCTGTTTTGGTATCTTTTTCCATATGGGTTCAGCGATGCCACCCACCTAATCAATAATCACGAGAACCACGAATGTCCAGCTAGCTTAGCTAAATCGCCATAATACATACATACATACATACAAACCATACCCTACAATCAAATAAGACATATAATAATACTAACAATAATAATAATCAAACAGTAATACCTGTAACATCGTCCCCCCTCCGAATCCTCCCCACCACCTCCCTCACCCTCTCCCACGACCCATCTTTCAAAATCTGATACACCCTCTCCAACTCATCCCCTTCTCCTACCCCCTCCTCTCCCAGACCGTCCCCTTCCAAAAGACCATCTACATCAACTTCACCTCTCCCCCCTCCCTCCATAAAATCCTCATGCTCCTGCTCATGCTCATTCATCTGCTGCCGCAGTCGATTCACCTCCGCCCGTAACTCAGCAATGATCTCCGCCTGCGCAATCGCCTGCCTGTCCTCGTCCGGAACAGCGTACTTGCATTCATGCGCGATGTTTCGCGCACTGCAGGTTTCGCATGGTTGGAGACGGTTACACTGCATTTTATTAGATTTAGATTGAAATGTATAGGATGGGGAGGGGGGTCAAGGTACTTTGACTTTCCGGGTGCGGCAGGGGAGGCAAGATGCCGTAGGGCGGGATTTGGGACGGTGGGTGAGAGAGGGGGTGGGCATTTTCTTGGGAATATGGAATGTTGGGTGTGGTAGGTGAAGTTATTGATGAGGTGGTAGTTGATGGTGGATGAATGTGGTAGATAAGTTCATTAGTTAATTAAGAAGTGGCTAGCGGGTTGGTTAGTGGGTAGTGGAATGACTAACCTAACCTTGTTTGGTTTGGTGGGGTTTATTCCTACTTTGTATGAATGAAATAGGGAGGGTGTCTACTGTGGTATTGAATAGTAGATTATCTTCGTTTGATTGGTTTATATATATATGTTGGATTTGGAATTGATAGTTACTGGTCTTTGAATATAGAGTGTGTGGTATGTAAGTGGCTTCGTTTTGAATGTGGGATGTTGTGGTGAATGTGTCAAACTCTACCTTATTTCTACTTCTTTTGCTGTTACTTTTAGTAAGTATATGGGATGGAATGTGTGAGAAGGTATTGGGTGGAGCCAAAAATGTGTCATTTAAATAGAATGTATGGATACAATGGTTAAGGTGTCGATTACTGCATTTCACAGCATACTATCTCTACCTCCACAGTAGTATATAATTCTATTTCATGCAACTAACTTCCTCCAATCTTAACCTCGACACTATCTAATATCATCCTCACAGCAGATGTACTTTACAACCAAACAAGACCCTCCCCTGGCAAGAACACACCTTTCAATGCCATACTTACCCCCTGGTATTCTCTGGCATCTACAAATTCCTCCCAAAGAACCCCACAATCCTCTCCCACGGAATCACCTCCACGCGATCATACAAATCCACATGTCCCGCCCCCCTCACCCACAGCAACTCCTTGGGCTCGCTCGCCCCCCGATACGCATTCTCACTAAACTCCCTCGAATGCGCGCGATCCCCGGAGATAAACAGCACCGGTCTCGGCGCAATCACATCCAAATCCTCCAACGGATAGAAGTTCATAAACTTCAAGTTACTCGTCAATGTCGGATGAGTCGTCAATTCCGGGGTCGATCCGGGCGGCGTCACCTCGCCACGCACCGTGCGGTAGAAATCATAGAATTCGCGATCCACGGCACTGGCGTTGGGGGTGAGGACATTCGGCGTGCCGCCGGTGTATGAGATCGGAGTCTCGGAGCCGTCAGGCTGCTCGAACTCGGGCCAGCGCTGCAGCGCGGCGGACGCAATCACGGCCTGTCTCTGCGTGAGGTTCTGCGAGTGCTGCAGGCCCTGTCGGTTGACGGTGCCCATGTCGTACATGCTGGCCGTGACGATGGCTTTGATGCGTGGGTCGATCTTGGCGGCGCTGAGGGCGAAGCCTCCGCTGGCGCAGACGCCGATGACCCCGATCCGGTCGCGGTTGATCGTGATGGGGTGCGTGATGGAGGGGATGCTGGTGATGCTGGTGGTGTTGCTGCCCAGGAAGTCGACGGCGGCGCTGAAGGCTTCGGTGTATAGGTCGGGGGAGACGGCGTTGCGCGGGGTGCCGGTGCTGCCGCCCCAGAAGGGGAGGTCGATGGAGAGGGTGATGTAGCCTTGTTCGGCCATTTTGGTGGCGTATAGGTTCGCGCTTTGCTCTTTCACGGCACCCATGGGGTGGCCGACGATGATGGCGGGCGCAGGGGTCGAGGTGAGGTTGTTGGGGACGAAGAGGTTGCCCGCAATGAGGGTTTGATATTGGGTTGGGAAGGTCACCGGTTGGAGGGTTACCAGGTTACTCCGGTAGAAGTTGTCGGCGCCCAGGGAGAGGTTTTGCGCTGTGATGCATATTGCATGTAGGATTGGGGCGAGGGTGAGCGCCGTTGGGAGTTGCATGGTGATACAGTGGCTTTGTATGATTTAGTATTGAGGATGGAATTGATGGTTGAGTGATGGGAGATCAGACAGATGAGTACATGGCTTTTATAGCTATTGTCTCTGCGAACATCGTGATGGCTCGTTGCGTGATGGTGATAGTCGTCAGGGGCATATAGTCATGTCTGGCCGAGTCGGGAAGCAGATCACTTCTGGGGTTTCGTCATGCGCATGCAAGTTGCTTACTGTGGGGCGTAAGCTACTCTGCAACGGTCTGGTTACTGGTTGGTTGTTTGTTTGTCTGGAGCTCTTGTTATTGGATTAATGTCCGATTCCATGCTTACATTGATCCAGGGATACCTCACTGCTTCCCCCACTCCGCAAGCACATAAAGGCATCCCCCGATTGTCCTTCTCTTCCGTCCTCCAAGACAAACGGACATCTATCCTTTTTCATCATGCCGCCCTACGTACACACCGGTCCAGTGGACTGCTCCCAGGATGCAGACTGCAGCGCCTTGACAGGCAAAACCGCCATCGTCACAGGCGGTGCCAACGGCCTTGGTGAAGCCTATGTCCGCGCACTCGTCGCAGCCGGGTATGCCTCCCACCTCTTCCACTTATTTACGACTAATGCAAGCTCAACCACAGTGTCCACGTCTGTATTGGCGACATCGACACAGAGAAAGGCCAGAAACTCGAATCTGAGCTACCAGGGTAAGTCCCTTCTTTCCCAATACTACCGTCATCCTACCCTGACTAGCCCCAAGCACCAAATTCATCCCCTGCTCAACCGGCACCTGGACCGATCAAGTCCGTCTATTTGAAGCAGCAGTTACCCTCTCTCCAACCAACCGCATCCACTACGTGATCGCCAACGCCGGCATCCACCGCGTAGATGAAATCTTCCAGCCAGGACCCGAATCCCTACCCGAACCAGACCTAAGCATCATCGACATCAACATCAAGGGTCCTCTCTACACGGCCAAACTAGCCATGCACTACTTCATCCGCCAGAACGGGACCACACCCGCCCCAGAGCAGGAAGATACATGTTTGATCCTCATCGGCTCTGGTGCCGCCTTCCTTGATGTGCCACGCTCACCGCAGTACTGTGCCAGTAAGTGGGCGATGCGGGGAATCATGCATTCCCTGCGTCGGACGACGTATTACTACGGGTCCCGAGTAAACGTGATCAGTCCGTGGTATGTGCACACCGGGATTTTGTCCGACGAGGCATTTGCACATGTTAAGCGGGCCGGGGTGGAGTTTGCCACAGCGGAGGATGCAGGACGCTGCTTGCTGAGGATCTTGGCAGATGGGAAGGTTAATGGGCATTCGTTCTTTGTGACGGCTCGGAAGTGGGCGGAGAAGGGGTTTATGGATTTGGACTTGGAGGATTACGGGGATGATGCATTACTGGGGGAGGTGCAGGAGATGCAGATGTGCAGTGCCCCGGTGGAAGCCGGGTTGTTTGGTTAGATGTTGTAGTGTAGTTCGGTAGTTTATCGGCAATTATTGGACATGTTATTGAATTATAATGAATATGGGACCATAATTGAGGCCGAGGTCGGAGATAGCATCAACCCAGGGTTGGGATTCTTCCATGGTTAAGGGTCTCCCAGCTCCATCGCATCCCGGACGATGATTGATGGATTGCCGGATAGCGGGTCTGGCTTGGCGTAAGCAAGATGCATTAGTGCCGGATAGCAGCCAAGTTTATTCTACTGTATGTGTGTGTCTCCCACAGCTTCTTCATCCAGAATCTGTCTTCTAGAATGACTTGGAACTTCAGGCAACATCATTCTCTCAGGCTAGCACTGCCCAGAGAAGTCCCAATCGACCTTGGCACGCTTGGCTGAATACACATCCACGCAACACATCCGTCTTCTCTCTCTGCTGTCGACATCATCCTGATCTGCATCAGGACGCTGGTTCGAGTCGGACGATTACAAATGTCCCTTATGTGGCAGTGCATCATGAGCTCTGGTGGTTGCTGCTTATGGCTGTGGAGTACTGGCTTACCTCTGTATCGGAGATAGCAGCCTCAGCCTCTACCATCTATCCATTGCTCCAGGAAGGGTATTCTGTTGCCTAGATATGATGTGTATACGCTCATTACGATGTTTATGTCTGTGTGTTTACTGGGTAGAGCTCTCGGTTATGGAGTATATATACAGATCATAGATGAAGCAAAGCATCATGGGCGGCTCAATCTATTCGATCTGCATCAATGTTCAAAGTTGTCATGAGGATCTTCTATGATGTTCTTTATGTGGTGTGCACATTCATCCTGATTCAGAATGTTTTAGGTATGACAGATAACTGGTCCTACTGGTGAGAACCATCCTTACATTACTAGGCCATTCGGTTCGAAACCCAGCCACAGAATATGCAGCCCGGCTCGACCAGGTTGTGATCCACCCCCAGTCACGAACCACCTTGGTCGAGGGCCAACTAGACATTACTATAGGGGTTCCTGGACATGGCCCGGTGCTGCTGCAGCTGGAACCCAATCGGGACATTTTTGTCCCGGATACTTATATCGAGTATTTGAGCGGCACAAACCCTCAACCACTCAATGCAGACAGGGAAAGAGTGTTTCGGGGTGAGGTTTTGATAAACTCCTCCAGCAATGCGTGGCAACCGGCAGGACGAGCACGCATATATCTCGTTCAAGGTGGGACAAGTCCGCTGATTGAGGGAGCCTTCACTCTGTTCGATCAGCAATATCACGTCAACTTAGTCACGCAGACCAACTCCTCCCATCCGCACATGGAAATTAGCACGTCTGGGGATTCTACAAGGACACTGTCTCAAAATAGTGTCTTCCCCCGCCAATCCACCGAAGACAACACATGCTCCAGGCCCCGGAGGGTTGCTCTGATCGGCCTTGCCACAGATTGCTCTTACCGTGCCGCATTCGCCTCCACAGATGAGCTTCGCCGAGGATTAATCAGCATGGTGAACACTGCATCAGAAGTCTACGAGAGGACGTGGAACATATCGCTCGCCATCCGCAACATCACCATCAGCGACGAGTCATGCCCCGAAACACCCCCGCGGGACACCGCATGGAACGTCGCCTGCTCCAGTGGGAATCTGGACTGGCGACTCCAGCAATTTGCCGCGTGGCGACGTTGGCACTACGACCCCAATGCCTACTGGACTCTGATGACGAATTGTCCCACCGGGAATGTGGTGGGCGTATCGATCGTGGGAGGGCTCTGCACTTCTTACTCCGGGGCAAATGTAGTGGCACGGACGTCCAATCAATGGCAGGTTTTTGCGTACGTTCACTCGGCCAGTTATGCCCTAAGAGCTATACTAACTTTGCTGTATGGATATAGCCACGAAACCGGCCACATGTTTGGCGCGAACCATGACTGCGACTCTCAAACCTGCTCCACCTCTAATGGAGATTGCTGTCCCCTGTCTTCGAGCACCTGCGATGCCGACGGACAGTATATCATGAACCCATCTTCCACATCCTACCAAACGTCCTTCTCGCCCTGCACTGTCGGACAAGTCTGCTCCTTACTCCGCTCTGGCAGAGTAGAGAGCGACTGCCTTGTGCACGGCAACGATACCGGGCCTACCATCAGTGGGCCTTCTACACCTACCGGTGAGTGTGGTAATGGCATTGTCGAGGATGGTGAGGAGTGCGATTGCGGTGAGAACTGCGCCGACAATTCCTGCTGCGTCAACTGCCGGTTTGTGGATGGCTCGCAATGTGGCAGTGGCAGTGACCGTTGCCGATCTGGACGCTGCGAAGGTAGTGAGGATCGCCGCCCATTAGGGGGATATGAACCGCTGGTTATTGGTCTGGCTGCCGGTATAGGTGGGGGGTTGCTTCTTGGAATTGTGATTGCCATTGTTTGGCGTTGCTGTTGTCGGAGGAGGAGAGTGGATAAACAGGCCGAAATAATATCTGGACCTCCTTCTTACGCTAGAGAAGTAAATAACTATCTATACCGATAGTTGAACACCTATATGGATTAGCGAGATTTAGATTCTTGAAACTTTATGCTGCTTTGTAAGTAAATATGGCAAATAGTTGATCTCGAACCGATAGTTGCCACCATCACCATTTCCGATCCATGAATAGAAGACCCACCGTCCCAAGTTCGAACCAAGCCTTATCTCTTGAGTCTCAAGTTCCAAGGCTTCAGCCTAGAATTAACGTTCAGACCGAAGAATCACCGTTTCCCCGAGTGGGTCAGCTACTGGTAGACTAGCCGTGCATAAATAAGCCTGCAGCTCCGCCGTCAGCAACTTGCATCCACCAATAACCCACACTATGTCTCGACACGAACCATCCACAATGGATCCGATAGCTCCTGCATCATCAAACACTGTGACTCTCCGGCCGATGCCTCAGCTAGAGCATCTCTGGACGCCCGAAGACGATTGGACGGGGGTCAGCGATCGAACCCACCGTCGCCGGCTGCAGAACCGCTTGAATCAACGAGCCTATCGTATGTCTGTTCACAACCAACGCTGATTATCCATCTGACCGTGCCAACTAGGCCGAAAACACAAAGTCGCTACGGGGAATTCTTCATCCTCATCCTCATCCTCGTCCTTATCCCCATCTTCATCCAGCACTCAAACCTTAATCCCGCATTCCTCCACTATCCACCACCACCCCACAACACCAACACCACCAACATCAACATCAGACGAATTTGACGATCTCCACTGCCACCTCGCCCCTCACAACTTCCATCAAATCCGGCATGCCTTCACCATCCTCGCCACGCAAAGCTACCTCACCAACTCACCCCGTCTCGAACACCTCCTCAGTCTCTCCCGCCTGAACGTCCACCGCGCCATCAACGACAATATCCGCATCCTGGGCATGACTCCCGCCTGGCTACGGCCCGATGATGCGCTCTCCATATTCAACAACAACACCATCATCACCAATAACCCCTCCTTTCTTCCAGACGTAGATATATCTACCCTTCCCGAAAGTCTCCGCCCCACAGCTCTGCAGCGCCTCGTCCCCCACCACCCCTGGCTCGACTTCTTCCCGTTCCCCGAAATGCGGGATCGGTTGATTGTGGCGGCGACGGCGGGCTACTTGGATGAGGATGAGCTGTGTCGGGATCTCATGGCGTTTTGGGATACTAGGAACTCCGGGGCCACGTTGGTCGTGTGGGGGGTGCCGTGGGATCCGTGGAATTGGGAGGTTACGGAGGCGTTTTTGGCGAAGTGGAGATGGGTGGTTGTGGGGATAGGGGGGTTGAGGAGTAGTACGAACTATTGGAGGGGGAGAAGGGGGGAGGGGGGGTTGAGGTTTTAGCAGATGTTGTATAAAAGTTTGGTTGGAGGTTTGTGGAGGAGGTGTGTATGATACTGTTCATTCGTCCTGTAGTGTTCAAGGTTCTGCATCTGAACACTAGAGTGGTTTATTTTAGGGTTCTTCCAGTCATGCCTCTAGTCACCTGTCCACATGTCATTCCCCCAGTACAAGGCACCGTCAGATCCTCCATCTTAGTTTCTCTTGCAGCAGACATCACCTGAAACATGCTGATCTGTCCATGATTAGACTACGCAACCTAAATGGACGTCCCTTTACCATCCCTTCATCATCCCCGACCCTCGACAATAATCGTGGACTGTTTCTTTCCACAGCGCGGTTCGCATTTGTCACTACAGGATGTCCTGATAAGTTCCACTTGGCACCGGGCCTAAAAGGGCTCTATTGGCTCTTTGAGGTATTGGAGAATGTTCTTCCCTGTGGACTCATCCATTTGCCGGTGAAGTCTGTCAAAGCGCACGATTCCGAATTAAACCGGTGGTTGCCCAACTCGTCTACAGTACTTGTCAACCTGGCTACGCCTAAGCTGCGTGACGCAAGGAATATTGCAGCAGCACTAGAGACGCTTCTTAGTACGCGGGTGGATGCTTTGCGGCTGCGGGTGTTATGGAAGCTGCCGAAGCATGCTCTAGATTGTGATCATGTATACAAAGAGGTCCTGGAGATGCTGCATGAGGAAATCCAACCGGAACAGGTTCGCATTCTGTTCTGATTCGAAGTAGTCCCTCTGGCTATGCTTCAGACTGATAGATTAACCTGTAGGATACATCATGGGGGAGCCAATTTGTGATAGCTCTGCTTGCTTAATGCTTGCTGCTCACTATTTAGAATAGGGCCAGTCTGACTCAACAGAACGGATGTGCCTCATGTCGTCCTCGCCGGCTGGTAAGATTGCTACCAGTTGGCATCGCTTCTACGCAATTAAATCATCCGCGCCAGGCGTGGATGTCGACGAGCTAAGCGTGCGCTGCTCAAAGTCATCCGTAACTCATCTTACAGGGCAGCACAGCAGAGCTGTCCAGACTATATCACAAAAAAGAAGACCGGGGAGGAGAAGCAGACAAGACCACTGAGCTAGTTCACCATCCTGAACGAATGGCCCTACCTATCCCCAACGTCGACGAGTCTGGACTCCCTACCAGGGACCACTTCCAGACCATAGAAAACGCATCAGGGGACACACTAGAAACAGTCCCGTCCCCTCAACTTCCCAACCACTTCCACAACATCCCAGGGTAAGTCTCCCCATCTACATCTTCACCTCCCAACCCCATCTGACACCCTCCTCCAGCTTCATCTCCCTCCAACCACTCCTCGAACTCCTCATCGTCACCCTCTCCACCAACACCTCCATCCTCCTGCCCATGATCGGCTACTCCCTCCTCCTCATCCCCCGCCTCCGCATCCCCATCCTCATCTACCTCATCTACATCAAATACCTCAGCAAAGCGCACCAATCCCCATCCCCCCTCCGCTCCAACCTCCTCCACAACCACCCCCTCTGGACCCTCTACACCACCTACTTCCCCATCAGCCTCTACCGCAGCCATCCCCTCCCCCCGCACCGCAAATACCTCTTCGGCTACCACCCGCACGGCGTCTCCATCCGCGGCGCCATCGCCGCCTTCGCCTCCAACGGCGCCGGCTTCTCCTCCCTCTTCCCCGACATCACCAACAACACCCTCCTCGTCTCCGACAAAACCATGCGCGCCCCTTTACTCCGCGAATACGCCCTCGCTCTGGGCATCAACGGCGTCAGCTACACTTCCTGCGTGAACCATCTCGCTCGCGCCGGCCAGGCTATCACCATCTGCATCGGGGGAGCGAGAGAAGCTCGCTATGCAAAGCCGAATACCATGGACTTGGTGTTGAATGTCCGGAGAGGGTTTGTGCGTGTGGCGGTGCAGACGGGTGCGGACCTCGTTCCGGTGATGGCGTTTGGGGAGAATGAGCTGTTTGATGTTGGGACTGTTGATGAGGTGGTGAAGGGGAGGGCTTGGGTGGGGTGGGTTCCGCGTGCTTGGTATGCGGTGACGGGGATGAAGGTTCGATGGGTTGGCGGGAGATGGGGATTGATCGTTCCGTATCGGAGGCCGGTGAATGTGGTGGTGGGGAGGGCAGCTGTGAGGGAGGAGAGAGGGGTAGAGGATGTCGATGATGATGATGGGTATGTGGAGGAATTGCATGGGCGTTATGTGGAGGAGTTGAGGCGGTTGTGGAGGGAGTGGAGGGATGTGTTTGGGGTGGAGAGGGGGGTGAGGTTGAGGATTGTTGAATAGTTTGTCTTATTCAATTGTGTATTCAGTCTTTTGGAATGTGAGTGTTTACTTAGTGTCTGGTTTACGTGTGTATAATAGGTGGAGATGTCAATAGGAAATCTACTGGAAGCTGCGTGCGTCGTTGCAATTGGATTATAAATCGTAGAACATAATGGACATACTCTATGTTGGAGACGTCGTTCGTAACTAACTTTTAAAATGCAAGGACAATCAATATGCACATGAGATAGAAGATAGAAGAAAGATAGCTTCTCTTTACTCCTCAGCCTCCTCCTCAGCAGCCTCCTGCTCCTCAGCAGCGACCTCCTCTTCCTCCTCAAAGGTAGTAGCAGGGACGCTGTACAGACGCAGGACAGGACGGTTGGGGTCCTTGATAAGGACGTACTTGGTGACCTTGTCCTCATCCTCATCGGCATCGAGGGCACGGATGCGGTCGACGATAGTACGAACGATACCCCAACCGTTGCCGAGGTTCAGGTTCATCTGGGCAGCCAGATCACGGGGCTTGTAGCCGACAACACCGAGGACGACGTGACCAGCGGCCGAGCGGGGGTTAGCACGAGAGACGAAACCCAGCTTCATGCCGTCAGCCTTGGCGAGGATGGCCTGGGTGGTCCAGCGGGCGAGCTTGACGCTGTTGTTCTTCATCTCAGTAGCAACAACGGCACCGCGCTGGGACCAGAGCTTGCTGCGCCAGTCGAGGGCACCGCCGGAGCCCTGGGCCTTGCTGTCGAACTCGTTGAGGGCCTTGACGAGCAACTGCTGGTCCTCGCCGTTGACGGGGTTCTTCATGATGGCGTCGACTTCGGTACGAACGATCATGTTGACGGGCTCATCGTCGCGCTCCAGGGAGAGGTCGAAGCGACGGTACTTGTAGGCCTTGGAGGCGAGGGGCTCGGTCTCCTCGGCGGCGTTGTAGAAGGGGTTAGGGTGGGCCAGGGAGACCTTGCTGTCCTCGGACTCGACAACGGTCTGCAGGGCGAAGTTGTGGTTGATGAAGGTGGCTTCCATGGCCAGGGCGCTGGGGGTGTTGATGGCATCCTGCTTGTTGGCGGAGTCGGCCAACTCGAGGGGAGCGTCGGCAGCGTTCTCGTTAACGGTGACCAGGTCCAGGGAGGCGCCTTCGCGCTTGTCGAAGTAGATCTTGTTGCCCTGGTGGACGATGACGATATCCCAGGAGTAGACACTGCGGGGGGCGCACATGAGCATGGACAGGATGTCCGAGGTGGCGAAGATGGTGGCCTCGTTCTTCTCGGCCAGTTCCTGGATGACGGGGTCCTGGGTGGTGGTGACGTTGTAGGCGGCACGGTCGAGGGACTGGAGACGGCGCTCGGCGTTCTTGACGGGCGCCTTGTCGTAGGACCGGTCGTAGTGGTAGAGGAAACCGTACGAGTCGACGTCCTCACCCTCGGGGGCCTCGAGGTTCAGCTTGGACAGACGGCTGAAGTCAACCTCCTCCAGCATGTTCCAGTCGGGGCGGACGTTGACCGAGGGCTCACGGGTGCGCTGGGGCTTGTCGTAGTCCTTCCAGCCGAAGCGACGGCCACGGTTGCCGCGGCCACCAGAACGGTTGTCGTAGTAGCGGTCACCACCCTGGCCACGGCCAGCGCCCACGCGCTGGAAGCCGGCACGACCACCGCGCTGGGCACCACCGCGCTGGGCGCGGCCACGGAAGACGGTACCACCGCCACGGCCGAAGGTACGCTTAGCGGAGCTGCGGGTGTTGTCGACAACGGAGAAGGAAGATTCGTCTTCGGCGACCTGGACGGCGAAGAGGCTGGAGGAACCGGCACCGTAGACTTGCTGGTCTGGAGGGAAACAGTTAGTTGCTTGGTCTTGGCTTGGCTAGGATATATTTAGGATAAAGGTATACCTCTGTAGTTGCGGTTGTAGGCCTGGCGACCGGCACGGTTAGGGTCCTTGGACTCGGCAGTCCAGTCAGCCATACGGCCCAGCTTGTCACCCTTGGAGAAGGGAGCGTAGGGGACGCCCTGCAGCATGTTGTCGCTGGCGGTAGCGGGGCCCCAGGTGTCTTCGGCCGGCAGAGCGGCGACGATGTCTGCGATAGAGATGGGAGCCATGATGTCTGATTTGGGGATGGCCCTCAGAATATAGGAATTAAAAGGGATAGGAGGAAAAAAAACCCAGAGGGGAGAGTCTGGGGAAGAAGCTGGGAGGGGAGGATCGCAGAGGGCGGATATTGACCGACTTGGGCTTCACTTTCGACTTTGCACTTTTTGTGTCGCGAGTCTGTGGCGCAACCCGTCTTGGCACGAGCCGCACTGCACCGCCACAGTTACGATAACAGTCAGGTGATCTGCACAATAGTTGTGCTGCATTCACATGCTTGCTGAGTAAGACAACAAGGCATTGTCCGTTATGCACGCTATCCACGGTTTATTTGGAATTGCTTTTTGTGTTCTTATCATCATCCAAATTCAAGTTATGCCCGCTTATCTCTCATGTAATCGAATGTATGACAGCATACTTGATAGATCGACAATGGGTTTATTTGCTCAGCCAACTAGTGGCTTTTCCACATCCCCCAGTCCAACTAAATCTCCGATCTCATGTGAACTTAATTCCATCCAGCGAACATGTCAAGGGATCTGCTATCTGAGCGCTTGGCTCTATACCCAATGTGGATTTACGTAAAGGATCGTCTATCAGTTCCTCCAGCTGCAAGGCTGAGAGTAGTTGTTCCTGAGATCCAGCTGAGATCATGGTTCCTGATCACGATTGAGGCTCGATTTGGGGTCGTGTCTGTCCCTGTCCATGAGCGATCCTCGGTTTGCTGGCAGGGAACCGAGACTGCATTCACTCGCGGTACTTTAGCCACGAACCTCACTTTGAACCTGGGGTATGCGATCTATATGCGACCCAAATGCAGTGCAACGCTCACTGCACATTCGGAGATTTCAATTCCAAATAGTCATTCTATAGATCGTTCCCAATTTTTATCCGGCTATCGCGCATGCCTCTTGTCCTTGGATGGCTAGGGTTGTGTCTGACTCGCCACCCGAATAAGTTCTAATTTGGTTCAACTGATAAGACGGCGTTGCCTGACAGGCAGGCTTTATTCAGCTGGCCCCAGATTCCGAACTATTGGATTCTAACTCTGTCCCATGCAGGTACGGTCTTCCCCAGAATTGGGAATGATCGATCGACTTCTCCATAGAGTTCTTCGCTTGCAGCGGTACCTGCAGGAGACCAAGGTGCCACAGACTATGACTGGGGCGTCGTTCATCCGGAAATCCTTCGGCTTACCCTTCCATGCTCCAGCTTCCGGAAACCGGATAGTCTCTCGTCTGCACAGCACCGATCTATCCCGATGCGACTTGCTTTTGAGGTAATGTCCATCGGTCCTCTTGGCCGAGTGTGACTGAAGGAACTACCTCGAGATAACCATCAGGATTTTGATTGGGAGTTTCCGTGGAACTATACAACTCAGACTTTCAGCTCAATACCATGATTTGAATTTCGATCCTTAGTAATTGGCCTCTGCTCAAACCTATATAGGACGCTTGAGTCCCTCTGTAATTCCTCCAGCATCAGACACAAAAACCTCATACCAGAATACAAAGACATTCTTCTACAGCACCAGCAGCGCTCATTCTCCTGCATCTTTGCAATCCCATCATCATCATCACCATCACAATGCAGTTCACCACCGCTCTCTCCATCCTGGCCATTGCCACCACCGCCGTTGCTTCAGCCATCCCCGCCGCTCAGGACAGCACTGCGTCTCTTGAGGCTCAGGTGAAGCAAGTGGCCGCTCAGCGGGGCACCTCTGATGGCACCATCAGTACCGTCACGGAGGCGCAATGCATCCCTCCCATCTTGTGCTGTGGCTCCCTTACCACTCCCCTTGACCCTCTTGTCGACCCTATTCTTCTGGACCTGGGCATTGATGCTTCCAACATTGTTGGCTCCATCGGTCTTCTTTGTATGTTGCCAGATTCTTTACTTCCTCAAGACCGGATAATGGGTTACTAACGAGATATACAGGCAAGGACTACGACGACAGCTGCACATCAGCTCCTCAGTGCTGCACTGAGATCAACCTCTTGGTAAGTTTCTTCCTACGAAGATATGATATCAGGCTAACGACAGTGTAGAACGGTCTTGTGGCTCTCGGATGCTCTTCCCTGGAGCAGTAAATGATTGGAGACCTTAGAAGTCTGGGGCTAGTCTACATGGCGTGAGGACTGTACTATTATCCTGTCGGACCTATTGAGTCCGTCTGTTAGCGATACTTAATTTAATAGCATATATGGACTTTCGTTCTCAGCTTTCCCATTAAGTCTTGTTTTGCAGATGAGTAGTCTAGTAGAGATTACCTCAGGGATTAAAAGGGGAGACATCATTCTGACCACATCGAGCAGTCACCAATGCCATGCCAATCAAGCTTAATCCGTTCCACGTTCTATATCAGACAGTGACATAGTTGTCCCTTCTCTAAGCTGTAATTCCAACATATATAGACAGATTGTTTGTCAACATCATTTCCAAGTATCCGATCATATAATCTAACCCATCTATACACAACCCCCCTCGCAAACAATAAGAACTAAGGATATCATCTCTCACTCACCAACGCCCCTCCAATCCACTTCCCAGTTCAATCCCCACCAACTCCAACCCTCAAGAACAGGAATAGAACCCCTCAATTACTAGTCTCCAGCACCTCCGTCCCCTCCACCTCCGGCAAATACTCCCTTCTAGCCTTACAATAAAACTCCACCTGAGGCCTCCATTTCCTGGCCGCCTCCCCATCCATCGTGCCCGACGGCACCACCACAAACCCTTCAGCCCGGCTACTAGTCACATACACCGGGGATCCACAGACGCGACAGAATCGTCGTTGCAACGTACTTCCGGTGTCGACTTTAGTGTCTGTGAAGCTTTGGATGAGGGACTCGCCGGATTTGATGGTCAATTGCTAGACATATGTTAGCTTCAGATGTTTCTCGAAATAAGAAGATAAAGAGAGAGAGGGAAGGAAGAACTAACTGATTCTTTCATAAAGCTGTTGGCCATAAAGCTGGACCCCGTGAACTTTCGGCAGTTGTCGCAGTGGCACATTACTCGTTTCATGGGTTCGCCGGTGACTTCGTATTGGATGCCGCCGCAGAGGCAGCTGCCGGTGATGACTTCTGGGGTGGCGGGGGCGGATGAGGTGGAGGTGGTGAGATCCATGGTTGTGGCGAGGGGGTAGTATTCTAAATTTGGATGGTAGGTTGGGGTAGGTTTGGATTTGCTAGGCTAGGAATTAAAATAGGTGCTGGGGTTCTTGTCCGGGGTTATCTAGTAATTATGTAGAGAAATGATGGAGAGGGGAGAGGGTCAACTAGCCATCCCATAGTAGCTGACAAATAGGCTCACTAGCAACCTGGCTGATTAATGCTGACTGTGTTCCTGCGCTTCTGTTTCCGCTATTATGGGGAATGAACCGAAAAGATAGTAAGATCTCTACGTGAGTCAGTGTCTTTTTGTGTCAGAATATAACTCAGATGATATTCGATCTATCCATCCTGGCCAATGGCTCAAGTTAAGCTTAGTTGTGCTGACGCCACCAGCAACCTATCGGTTTCCATCAGCTTCGATAAAGCGCCGGATAAGCTGCCTTGATCATGTCCGCGCCCTAGCGTGGTTTTAGCATGCATTCTTCACCAAAAGGAACTTCTGAATTGAAGTAGTGACTCACCTTCTCCCCGATCATATACACAGCATTCTGAATCCGACAGTCAGGAATAAGGGGGATAATGGATGCATCCACGACCCGAAGATTCTGCACGCCGTGGACGCGAAGCTCCGGGTCAACCACGCCCTGGGCAATGTCCTTGGACAGTCGGGCCGTGCCGCAGGGGTCTATGACGTGAACATGAGTTAGTTGCTGTGCGCGTCAAAGTTGAGTGATTGAGTAGCTTACGGTATCCCGTTTGCGACCGCTCTAAGATCATCTTGTTCATGGCTTCATCCGAATGCCGGGGCATAGGCCATGGGTAGTCTTCCCCGAGAATCTCTTTCATCCCATCTCCGGTCATGAGGATATCGTCCACAAAACGGACGCCCTCCCGCAAGGCTAGGATGTCAAGTTCATTGGAGAAGAAGTTCAGATTGATGTATGGTTGTTGGTGTGGATCGGCCGAGTTGAGCTTCACTTCTCCGTTTCTGGACAGCGGACGGAGAAGATCGACGATGACAGTGAGCCAGTCGCCTTCGGGAGGAACGGGGAAGTGCCACTGGAAGGCGTCGGAGAACATCGGCTACAACTCATCAATATCTTCTCGCTAATTAAAGGGTAAGAAAGGTGACTTACCACAAAATCAATCTCAAAATGCGGCTGCCCCTCCGGCCCAAATGGATCCTGACCACCATTCTGCGCCTTCGCCTCGCGATACTCCTTGTATCGCTCCAGACGATCATCAATGCGTGGCAGACCTACCAATTCCAGTAACCCACTACTGAAGGGCCCCTTCTTACTAGTGCGATACTTCTGCAAAGCAGCGCTCTGCGCAGGACCGGCACGGAGAAGATGACTATCAAGACCAGTCCCATCCTTCAGCCGGAACACATGCGCAAGAATAGGATGATCATGCAAATTCTGGCCAACATGCTCCGAATCCACGACCGAGTCAATTCCATGACGAGCTAACTCGTCCTTCGGACCAATCCCGGAGAGCATCAGCAGCTTTGGTGTCTCGAAGACGCCGCACGCGAGTATAATCTCATACTTAGCAGTGAAAGTCAATTCAGTCCGATCGGCGCCAATTACAGTGACACTTGTTGCTTTGACACCATCAAAGTTGACTTTCTTCCCGATCGCAGAACTCAGAATCGTCACGTTCGGCTTATCAGTCAAATACGATGCACTGGTCGACCGCACCCCGCCGTAGATGCTGTTGACACAGTGCGTCAGACCCTCCATCTTGCCGGAGTAGATGTCCTCGCATGTCTTCTGGCCTTTGCTGGTCCATGCTTCGGTCAGTGCGTCACGGAAGGTGTGTAGTTCTGGGACGAGGTCTGCGTGGGATACGTGCAGAGGACCGTTGCGGCCGATTTTGGATAGCTCTGAGGGGTAGAGGTTGTCGTCGTCGTGGTAGGTAGCGGGCTAGTTCAGTCAGCATTGGCCCATATTCCCTTTATTCCTTGTTTGATTCATTATTTACCTTATTGAAATACTCTTCGCACCCATCCCAATTCCAGGAAGGACCCCCATATTCCGCCCATGCATCGAAAGTCCCTTTACTGCCTCGAATCCAGGTATAGTAATTCAAAGAACTACTCCCCCCGAGTACCTTGCCCCGGGTGTTAGGCTTCTCTACCCGCTCATAGTACGGCTTGTTGATCATGGTAGACTTGTACGCCCAATCATACTGGCTGTCACGCAGTCCAAAGGCAGATGATGGCGTGGTGATCTCTGAGATCTCACTCGGGTTGCTAGCTACTGTCAGAATGGCACAGTGATTGGTTGGTTGGTCGACTGCTTAGAGGACATACCTAACGCCTGCTTCAATGACCAAAACTCTCACGTCGGGGTTCTCGGCCAGTCGACCGGCCACGACATTTCCAGCTGTGCCGCCTACTTCTTGTCAGATGGTAGACCATATAAGGGGAACAAAAATAGAAACAGACCGCCAACAACGACAAAATCGAAGTTATCTTCAACAGGAACCGTCATTGTTTAGGAGCAGAACGAACGAGATATGGATGGTGATCGAACTAATTGAAATGATTCCTAGTACTTACTATATGTAAAACACTATCACTAGTCGGTAGTAGTATTTATGTAGACCAGATGCCAGAAGTTATGTCAACATCTCGGCATCAAGATATGTCGACAATGACGTATACCGGCTGCTCCACCAGCGCGTAACCCGCGCAGACAATCTTGTCACTTCAGGACTTGGTAAGACATGTCGATCCCGAGTTATTTCCGGCTTATCTTTCATTCAAGGTCACTGTGGGGTGTGCATCCACCCTGCTTTTCTTAAGAGAATCGAGAGCATGACAATGGAGTTGGTGGCTGATTGACCCACTCAGCTGCGGGACTAACGGTTGCTGAAGCTTGTTTTTCCTCGAGCCCTGTGGTGATCCGGCGGGGCTAGGTCGGATGGATCGGATGCTGAGGGGGGATGTTTCTGTGAAGCAGGTTGGGGATCTATTTGTAGAAGTACTTGTATCACAGAGTACCTTGGTGGTGTCCATTAATTGTGGTTCCACTAATCACCAATTCAAGCATAGCTTCAAGTATGATTAGCCCTCCATCAGCTGCATCTACGATGGTTATTGGAGTACATATCTTTAAACGGCCATTTTGTTCGATAAGAGTACCAATCAAATACCTCGTCTTAATTAGGTCACTACATAACAATCTTCATTCTTGGCGAAACCCTGATGGAGGACCGAGAATTCGAGGAGGGGACCGGAGACTCCGTCGCATATGATCCACTACGCCATACTTCATTGCCATCGCTAATGATGCAAAACACAGCCAAGCGAAGTATGGCGCTGCCGGGGGGATAAAAAAACCGGCGATAACTGTAACGAGCCCGCAGCCGAAAAATGCACGTGCACTATTCTTCTCACCTTTCCATGATCTGTTGAGATCGGCAGAGTCTGTATCGAGGTTCCCGACATCATGCAGTACCACTTGCCGTGGCACAGATACAAAATTGAACCACGCATAGTAGGCACCTTCGTCCGTGTGCCCTTTGATGATTAGCTTCCCAATTCCATCATCGATAGCCATTCTTTCAGAAATAGCAAAGGTCCTTTTCGCTGGGACTAGCAAGTGGAATACCACGTTATCTGCGTTGACCGGATCTATTTGTCTAAGCGACCGACGATTCTGCCACATTAGGGAAAATACAGCCTCAAGGTTGGAGGCCATTCCGCCGAAGGAGGATGGGAAGGGGCTTTTCCGGGCCCGTCTCTCGAAGACCTCGTTGGCACTGGTTGTCCGATTGTAGACATAGAAAGCATGACGGCCAACGGACTTTTCTCCACCAGCATTCTCAATCTCATTGTCGACAAATCTATAAATAAAATACCCGAAGCCTTGGGTCTGCCAGCTTTGAACCCTTGCCGTCGTCTGATAGCTCAGTTCATCTGGCACATCCTGGAGACGTAGCCCGATGGTCTGTAACTCCCTCGGTTTTGTCTGTGTATCGAGGGCTGTACTTACCAGAGCACACGAAGCAAAGACGGCAGTAAATTCAGGCCCAGCGTTGAAGGAATTACTGAGGATTTTGAACGTTTGGGCTGAACCGCCAGTGAAGCTGCTTATTGTTTTGTTAATGGTCTGTTGTTTTTGCTCATTTTATACGGTGAACTTCCAACGACGTACCCACCAATCCTGTGCTCAATCATATTCTCTTCACACAGAGAGAAACCGATATCAGCTGCCACGTTTGAAGGTTCCCCAGCGGTCGCTGCGAGATTGCGGAGCATTTGTATGATTATCTGATCCGAGATGTCATTGGGATTATCTTCGACGGGCTGGGACGTGCACGTAGGGTTCTGGGAAATGGCTTCGAGGATGCGCTGGGCTATACGACTTGCAGAGGCAACGAGGCTAGTAACTGGCTTGTTGAAGATAATACCAAGTGCTTTTAGTATGCTAAACGATCCTTTCGCCGTAGGATCCATAAGAGGTTTCAGGTCGTGGAAAAGTCGGACATAGGCTTCATCACGAGAGATACCTGGATAGCACTGCTGTATGAGACATTCTAGCTCTGTCCAACTCAGGGCGTTTGCAGACATCTGGCCAAGAGTTCAGTATGAGGCAGGTACGATGTCGGTCATAGAAGCAATTCAGCTGCGGTAAACTGTGATGGTCACACAAGCGAGTCAGAACGTGGATATGTCGATAACTTAGGGTAGTAATACATGTAAATCGAAATATAATATTGCTCTGGGGATGTGTGCCGATGTAAGGATCAACTCAGCGATGTCGAAGAGATTTGTATAGAGTGAAGGGGGGTGGGGCGAAGTATTAATGTTGCGGCGCAGCACCTCCCCAGCGCTTGGATTGAAGACTTCCGGTCCAATCAACAAAGGGTGAATCAAAGGTTTGCGACAGTAGATAAACATGGTTCATGACGGCAGCGGTGAGAAGCTCTGCAGGGGAACAGATGCAGTAGATCATCGCGCTGGACACGTGAACGTTAGCAACGGTCATCAACAGCAGAGATAATACGGGTCTTGGGAGTAAGAAAATCAACATGTAAGCAAGCCAACCTCTACTGAGAGGAACAATGCTCAATAGCGGTATAGATTGCTGGCTTGAAGTTCGAACGGCAGTATATCGCTGATGCAAAATGGCATAACGCGGTAGTGGTCTGAGGTGTGGAATGAGGAACACAGCCTTGTTGATTAGTCTAATCACCCCTGCCTCAAAGACTCTTTCTGCATCCTTGGTTAACATATGTGGCGGTGCTATCCCATCGAGTGGATCATTCTATAAGGATTACATTCCATAGTCGTCACTTCCTTGTTGGTTCTCTTCGCTTGTCCGACAGAGCAGGAGACTCGTCATGTCTATGGCTACTTAAGAGTCTCACAGTCTCAGGAAGACACTTAGACCTCGTTAGGTTCGATTTGTGGGAGGTTCGGGATAGTGTTGGCACTTGAGCTCATTAGAATGGTGTGGGGAGAAACGAGATATGGGTGTTTAGGTTCCCAGCAAACAAGGAAGGAACAGAAATATTGTGGGTCTGGAGTTATTCAGAATTGTACATTATGGCTGGTATCATAGATGTCTAGATGAAAAAAAAAAAAAAAAAAAAAAAAAAAAAAAAAAAAAAGGAAAAAAAAAAAAAAAAAAAAGAAGAAGAAGAAGAATAAGATAGACTTTTCTACACCAATCTGCAGCAGTCTGATCTATCCGGGACAGAAACAAAAAAGCACAAAAAATGGAGCTGCGGGGAATCGAACCCCGGACCTCTCCCATGCTAAGGGAATATTATACCACTAAACCACAGCCCCATTTGTTGAAAGCTGTGTCTACTATTTAGTATCACATTCCAATAATACCTTTAGACCAATATGAACCAGATCCTGCCCTCTCACAAATATACAACCTGCACTCACACATCAATGTTTCTGGTCAATCAATCCAGAAATACCCCCTCACCCCCTTCCCACCCTTCCGCCACTCCTACAACCGTCCTGTCCTCCTCCACCTGAATAACATCCTCAAATGCGTCCCCGTCCCCGTCCCTGTCCCCACCCTCATCCTCACTATCACCACTTCCACCATCATCAAAAACCGTGCCATTCACAAGCCCGGTCCAATAAACCACCTCCCCAATCTCCATCCCACTATTCAAATTATGAAACCTTCCTCTTCCCTCAATCTCAATACCCCACCTCGCAGGCCCCCTCTTGGTATACTCAACATTTGTGCAATTCGGGGTACCGAAGCCCATATTTACTCATACATCTACTTAGATGGAGAATCCAGCTTATGGTGTGTAATGGAGGACTCGGAATGGGGAAGAAGTGTGGTGTTTACTGCCAACATGAGAGTTGTCGCAGTTGAATGCTACGCTTACTGCTGATGAGAGGGTGAATAAGGCTAGAAAGCCTAGGAAGAGAAGGAGTTGCTTCATGGTGCTCTGGGGTAGTGCTCAATGGCTTGTATAGAGGGTTTCTGGGAGCTGGCGGACTTCATGTCGTGGGCTTTATTCTGCTAATGCACGAAATGAATAGTCATTTATAGCTGAAGTATACATGAGTAGCTTCAGGGGATGAGTATTTTGGTGGTACAGTGTCCATTTCGGCTGAGATATTATAGTTGGTTTGAATGGCCTGTGGCACAAGGATAATTTGAATTGATCTGCTGAGCATTCGGCTGATCTGAGAATGAGACAAAAGGCTGTGTGGCTGCCGTGACAAGCTCAGGTTTGTAGATGAGGAAAGAAGAGACGTGGGGAAGAGAATAGGGGTGAAAAGAAGGGAAATGGTCCAAAATAGGAGCCTTACAGCGAGCATAGCCTCTCAGTATTACAAGGGCCTGATAAGGTAGCTTCCTGTAGTACTTCGTGAAATTGACTAGTTATGGAGAATAGTAGAGTTTAGAAAATAGCATATCTTATCATTGGCGGGAAGTGTCACACACGTTCCAGTATTATGAAAGAGAAATATAAAGAGAGGAAGGGAAAGTAAGCTTGTAGTATGATATCTAAGCTATCACTCCATGCCAGCTATCATTCCATGCCCCAATTCCCAATTGAACTTGCAGGATGAGGGCCCTTCGTCACCGAAATTCAAGCTTGACAACAGGACATTAGCAACGTCGATGTGAAAAAGGAACTTGTCTATGGGACATTCCTTCTGCTCGACGTCCGCGTACACCAACAAGAGTCCTTGTTCTTCCCACTCGCGAGTGGTGACAACGACAAAAGCCGTGGGGTACCAATGAATGTCGCCTTCCGCACCACCATCATCACGCGGAGTGAATTCCTTGTCCAGCTCCACATGAGCCCGGACGACGTCTTCGAGGCTTTTCCCTTTGAAGTCGTACACGGTAGGGGTGCGAACAAGCGGCATCGCTTCGTCAGTCATCTCCTGCTTCCACTCCCGGTTGAGGGCGGTGGACAGCTTATCCAAGTCCTCGGAAGACAGTTCGACCATGGAATAGAGAGCAAAAGAGGCATCATCCCAGTTGGAATTACTGCTTTGGTGAAGTTCCGGGCAGGTCGAAGGTAGAGTAAGATCAAGGTGGGCATCCATGGCTGGGAGCGATTCTTGGCTAGAGAGAGGTGAGTCCACGGTGAGATTTAAGCGTTGTCGGGAGGATGCGGCTTACTTGTTGATGGAACAAACTGTGAGGGGTAGCAGCCTTTTTCATGACGTGGTTATGTCCTACAGGGGAAATGGGGAGGAACGGAGATGGTGGATTAAAATGAAGTCGTACAAAGAATGGATAGGAGGGGAAAGGGGAGGGGACGGGGGCCTGAAGCTTCCCGGGTGATCTTTATAGCAAAAGGGCGGTTGATGCCACTCTGACGCAGGCAACATTTATGCCACCTTTCCGAAGTGAATGCCCGAGCTAAATTGCACCCGTTCAATGTCTCGGAATGACAGGGTCTGTACTCAGGACACACTTTGTCTATCGGAGAGTCTCTCTTATCACTGTCGTACAGACCTCGAAGCAGTATCCAGACCGTCTGTTCCCGCTCACGGTATAGAGTATCGAATATAACTTGCTGACTTCGTACGTTCCATCACGTGTCAAGTCGGCGCAGGCAAAGTGATCAAGATTTTGACTGCAGTCTCGCGTCGTTGAGGTTTCACAAATTTCCAAGTCTGGAAGCAATGACTGACTGCCACGTCCGTCGCGAGCCACCAGCTCAACCAACTCCGCTCACTTGAGACCAGAATTTACCTCCTGCATTATGCTCTTGTCAATCTGGGGTCCCTGGAATGCTATCCTTCCTAGTCCATACCACAACATGATCACAAGGCCAAACAGACCAATTAGCACGGGAGATGTATAATTCATCGACTCGGCTTCTACCGGTAACCCAAGGGGCAGGCAGACGAATACTCCAAGTATAACAATCCACAAGATGACAAAGGCGTTGCAGAGATAGCCGAGGCAGCCGAGGTTCAAATATCGACGTGGTAGCGTGCGCGCTCTTCCTGAAATCAAAACTATTCCCTGAGGTACCACGTAAGTTATGTGGAGGAAGAGAATCGCACTATTGGTGATAATGTTGAAAGCGCCTGAGGAAACCAAGTATAGCAGGCTATAGATAGCGACAAAGCCAAAGCTAGCGACCGTGGTGCGATCAGGGAACTTTAACTTGTCGTCAACTTTGGCAAAGTATCTTGCTGACGGGGAATTAATCTGGTCGAGTCAGCTTGGAACCATCAGTGTGTCATACAGGCGCTTACATCGCGCGCCAAAGCCCATGCAATCCTGCCGCAAATCACCCATTGGGATGGAATTGAGGCTATAGTTTGGCAGTCAGCTCAATTGGCGCATGTGAAGGTGTCCCCGGACTTACCAGCATAGACAATCAAGAGCCACACTGACAGAAAGGTAGTAACGCCCTTGCTCTTCGTACTGAACATAGCAGTCAGGATTAGTTTATCAAAGAGGTCAGCTCAGATACATACGCCTGATAGATCAGTTCCAAGCTTGGGAGTTCCGAGTTCACCACCGCTTCCATGTCGGACATGCAGAACACCAGTGCAACAGACAATGGAAGACAGGTAGCGAGACTCAGAATTACACTCATTGTCATGGCCTGAGGAACACGCTTCTCTGGTTGAGGGAGCTCTTCGCTAATGTGAATAGCTGGGGTATCATCGGTCGGTCAGTAGGCGACCAAAGTTATTGAGGCTCACGGATACAGACTTACCACCATCGATCCCAGTCATAGAATACATCGTATTCATCACGCCCAGCATCCAGGCAGTACCTTCATTCCAGCCAGATCTCCCGTATCCAGGTTGCAGCAGAAAAGATGCTGGTTGTTTTTCCTGACACATACCCAGTGTGATGATGATAATGAGGGCCATGCCCGTAAGGGATAGGAAGAGAGCCGTCTGAGCCGTCCAGTTGACTTTACTCGGAGCCAAAAATATCGGTATCACTAGTGGGTTAGCTACTCCGAGATGTCATTTTAGACAATGATCCTCACATGTGAGCAGTGATATAGCAAGATATATCAGGTATATGTGCCATTGGGCGGCCATATACTCTGCGTGCCAAAACTTGACTATACCCGCAACGGAGGCCGTAACCATCTGGATACCGGAAGATCTGCAACGATGATCAGGACCTTGTCGATCGGCGGATCTGGGGCAGTGCAACCCACGTCACTATCCACCATGCTAAGACAGACATACATCCGACAACGAAGGCAGAGAACCTTTTCGACTTGGTCGGACTGAGCATGTAGCAAAAATAATACTGACCTCCACTTGACTAGTCCTGTGAGCCATGCAATCATAACAAGGCTCAAGAACACAATAGCAGAGAGCATACCGGAAAGGCCGATGCCAGCTCACTAAGCCCGAGAATTACAATGATTTGAACGACAAAGGCGCAGATAGATCCAAATATCACTAGTCGAGGACCGCCATAAGCCAGGATCTGGCCAAAGTTGCTCTGCATACATTGTACGCTTCAGAAGATATCACTGGCGCATTGGCATAAATGCTTACCATGTACCCTGCCCAGGAGTTCGTGATCGAGAAAGAAATTCCAAGGGTTGAAAGCCAATTGAACTGTCGCGGCATTCCATCCCCATTAATTCCGGGGGTGGCCACATCCGAATCGAGAATGCCGATTTCGCCATCTTGGATGCTCTCGAGGCTCACGATGGTACCTTTTCGATCCAAATCCGCTGTCATATTCGTTATTTAGGGCTGTCAAAGCCTAACAACCATGTCGAGCCCTACACTGACAATTAAGTTTTTCCAAGAGCACCATTTAACCTTGTGAAATTGGCATCGGATCCTTAAGAACTGTTGTATGTCTACAAGGTGAAGCAAGGGGTCCGTTCAACTGATCGTGCTCACCGTACCCTTGCTTCCAAAGAATGGGTCTGGACTGCTTTATCTACAAAAGAGGCGTTATCTGCCGCTTCTTGTACGACTTGACTCGCGTGGATGGTGATAATTTACATTGTTCTGATAGATTTGGGTTCATGACAGCCAGCATCCCCTCTGACATCTGAGGGCGAAGACAACGAATGCGTGAAACTGGCAAACAGCGCCTTGCTTTAAGGGCGAAGTACACCGATTTCATAGCCAAGCCATGCCAAATTCCCTGGGCAAGCAGCCAAGGCTTTTTAGTCGTCTTTTCTCGTCTCCTACCGGCTCCTCCGGCCCAGCAGCTCTCAGAACCCAGAGTTTGACTTCCTAAGCAGGCAACCTTACATCCTTCTGCAGGTGTATCAGCGCTCTCATTCTTGGTTTCTCACGAACCGTCATTCCACCCAATAGAATCCGCGGCATATCATTTCCTACGCGCCGCCACCCTCACAACTTGCCGCGGTGGCACAGGGTTCCGCGGGATGTTATTCCTCATCCCAAAGGTGCGTACAGTTCTTCGGGATGCCTACCTCGACATAACCATTCTATGTAGCCCACGAACACAAAACGTATCAAGCTATGGGACTTCTCCTTCAGGTTGCCTGTATTTGTACAAGACATCTTCATTCGTGGTAAATCCACCTAGGAGCATCAGAGCCGCCCGTGCTGGGAAATGGTACGCTCATAACCATGTCGCGCGCTAGGCATCCGCCACAACGAAATCAGCCCAGATCTTGCGCCACAGGGAAAAATGAATGGGAAAAGATAGGCCCGCCTAGCCCGACAAGCATGTCTCAGTTACGTATGCATATGCGCCATCTACAGGATTATTTAGATTTAGCACCAAGGTCTGCTCTTTTATTTCAGGTTTTCGACTCTTTAGATTCGTGAAATCAACGAAGTGATCTCTGAGTGGAAACTTCTATATGAAGTATGAACATCGCGCGACAGTATTCGGCATAGCGTAGCTCTATTTGCTTACCGATGTTTTAGATGGCTCTAGCTAATACAACAATAATATAACCCTCATGCTACACAAGCCATTAATTAAGCCCGAAAGGTCCATGGTGCCACTGACGATATCCATAGTTTCTGGGCTATAGCTTCGATCCTTTTAACAACGGGGCAACAACAACAACCGTCGGGGAGAACGCGATCTTTTGAAAACAACTACTCGAGGTGGTAGATTAACGCAGAAGCATATGAGATCACGCAGTTAACCTACTACAGTGGCCTGACTTACAGTCAGATGGGCAGGAAGAAGTCTATCCTTTGGCTTTTCACTGGAACAATCAATCACTGGTGGAGCAAGTGGCCTTCAGCCCACGGTCCCTGCGGCTCAGCCCTGTGTATCTGCGTATCTTGGATGTTCTTAGTCAGATACAAAATCTAGGAGCCTAAACTACTAACTATTATTTAAGTAGTTATTTAATCCTCCCCAGGCATCCATCAGTATACATATAAGTAGGTGACACGTGAATATACGTCTGGGTACTGTCTGAGTATTACTATCTACCCCAAGTGCTGACAGGCAGCAACATATTCTCTCCCTTGCTTTATCAGTCTAACCTTATCTACCACATTCTATATTGAAGCAAACAACAACCTTACCACTGACTACTACTAATCCAACCCACAACAATGACCTCAACATCAACATCCACCCTCCCCACCATCGCCCGCTCCACCCTCATAAACACCACCTTCACCGATCTCACCCCCTCCGACACCATCACCCGCAGCGATCTCCGCGACGTAACCATCACCTGCTCCGGCAGCAGAACCCCCACCACCCTCCTCCGCTCCGCCCTAACCTCCTGCACCGTCACGCACTCCTCCACTTACCGCTCCAACCTAAAACACACCACTCTCACTAACGCCAGTGTCTCCCGCATCGAAGCTACGCACACTTCCTTCGGCATTTACACCTACTCGCATCGGAGCATCCTCACCAACGTGATTCTCCGCGATCGCTCCTCCGTCAAGCGCAGCCACGTAAAAGATGCTAGTTTGATGGGCGGTAGTTCTCTCTGGCGGAGTAATGTCACCAAGTGCATGATTGCGGATGAGTGTCGGGTGCAGCGGTGCAAGCTGGTCGATTGTGATGTGGTGTGTTGTGTGCTGGTGAAGACAGATTTTGAGGGAATGGTGGTTAGGAATGGGGTTTGGAAGGACGGGGTGTTGGTGGGGAAGGTGAGGGAGGGGGAGGAGGTGGTGGTATTGAAGAAGGGGGACATTAGGGTAATGGTTTTTTCTTCTTTTCTCTTTATTTTATTGTACTTTGATTTTTGCTGACTGTTGTTTGGCATGTAGGAAACGAAGATCTCGGTGGATGAGAAGTTGGATAGCAAGGATACCAAGTACTGGTTGGAGGAGGAGAGTTCGGAGGGGGAGGGTGTGAGGGAGATGTCGCCGCCGCCGGCGTATACGGCGTAGGAATTGATGTTGGAGAGACACATTATGTGGTGACTGTTTGAATACAGGCGTATAGTACTTCCCTATGAGCTTTACTGGGTATATTCTCTGACATACTATTGGAACCGAATACTAGGGCAACTGGAGTAGAACTATCGCTCTAGACAATATGGGTACTATGGGTGCAATTGGCGACATAGCATGAATGGCTTGGATGGACTTCGGATTCCATAGGCCATGTCGCAATAGTCAGCCATTACTACTGAAAATTTGTTCAGTACCATAGCTAATTATGTTGGAGGGATTAGTACGTTGTGGGAAGTAGTGACTTTCGCTTAACCCCTGCAGGGCTGTAATGCTCCGCTATACGGGTTTTGGTTCACTTCCAAAAGCGCTTGACATCGCAGGTGCGCCAGATCTTGACCAAGATACCGTTAGATAATAGGTGGAGGGGCTAAAAAGTACCCATCAATATAAGCCGGAAATATCGGGAGCGATTCCGGTCAATCTGTCGGGACTGTTGGAAGAGTATCCCAAGCTGGGTGTGGAACTAAAGTTTCAGCATAGAGAAGCTTCTTTGGTGAAATTGGCGATAGTGGATCAAATCATGTATGGCGCGCAAGCCATAATCTCCGAGACATTGAGCGATTTAGATCTGCTTCGTAAACGTTACGTTTGACTTACTTGGGCCCTAGTCACACTGATCCGTCAAGGTGCATATCACAATCAAGCCTCTCCAGAGGCCGTCCAGATACTAAGCTTATCCCATGTCTTCACGAGAAATCAGGAGAGCCGATGAGCACTCCGTGGAAATCTCAAACAGACCCCTACGGCACACTTCATTTCGCAAAATGAATCATTGTCTAGCCGGTCGGCTGCTCGCTAAAATAGAATATAGTTGCATGGCTAGCGCACTGACGGTCGCCCATGGCGTACTAGCCGCTGCATTAGTCTTTGGCCTTAGTGCCAAAATTTTCTTTCTTCCGAGTCAGGATGTTACACACACAACAAAGACGCTGCTGTGCTTGCAGTCTTGTGTGCCGAACATTGAAGAACAGACCGCGACGCAGCGAGTCGATACGAGACTGTAAAAAATAAACTTATATCCTAGCAAAGTCAGGACGATCACTTGAGGAGACACGGGAGATCGTTGCGGCGTACCGGTTATGTATAGCAGCAGTTCAGGAGACGGTGGAGAAACCAGTGACTGTGGAGTCGGTACCACCAACTTTTGTACCTTGATGATGTCGGCAGCTGCAAGCACCAACTTCGGGTAGTGCATGTGGCAGACAGATTTCCAAGGGTGCCAGCATGATGCTTTTTGCGTCTCTGACCAAGTATCAAGGTGATGTATCAAACGGTGACTATCACTCTGGAGTCATTGTAATTAGGATCATTGTGAAAAAGTAGACGAGAGATGAATAGGTAGTTGACAGGGAGTAACTACTAGTGGAGATGAATGATGATAAGGCTGGCCGCTAAACCCCGCCGCGGCCGGATGGGCGCCTGAGGCCGGCGCAGCAACTAACGCCACTTTGGTCCGGTCGGCCTTCCGCCGGACTCTGTCTCTCTCCACTTTGTCGCTCCAAAGAAATGCGAGTAACTCTTTCTTCCTCATCCCTCCATGACTTATTTATCGCCTGGCCTTCCGTTTCCTGTCCTCTTCTCTCCTCCTCTTTTCCTGCTTGTTCGCGTTTCCTCCTAGTTTTGCTCGGTATACTGCTCGGCGGACCTTCGCATATGAACAGTTACAACCACGCCTAGACTGGGAGTCTGCCGTCATCCGTCCCTTTTCTCGTCCATTCTCGCGCCAGTGAGCGCAAGACCTCAACCATCATGGGTCTCTCCAAGACAAACAGGATCTTGATCCTGTTGGCGATTGATACGGCATTTTTCTTGTTGGAATTGATTGCCGGTTCGTCTTCATACTTTTATAAGCTCCCAGGCGCCTCTAACGATAATTCTCCGCGCAGGTTATTCCGTTCACTCCCTTGCCCTGGTTGCCGACTCGTTTCACATGGTACGCTTGGCCTCGTCCTTCTACCCGAAAGCCCTAGGTAGCATAATTCTGACAAGTATTGGTACAGCTGAATGATGTATTATCACTGTGTGTGGGACTCTGGGCTGTCAAGGTCGCCAACCGCGAAACCAACTCGAAGATGTACACTTACGGGGTAAGCTTGACTCAATCCAACATATCCACTGCTCATCCTGACGGTCTGGTTATCTAGTGGCAACGCGCAGAAACTCTCGGTGCCTTGGTCAATGGCGTCTTCCTGGTCGCATTGTGTCTATCGATTTTCCTGGAAGCTATACAAAGACTCGTTGAGCCTCAGGAAGTAAAAAACCCGAAATTCGTCTGCATCGTCGGATGTCTCGGCTTGTTGTCAAACATAATTGGCCTTGTGCTGTTCCATGACCACTCCCATGGGCACGGCCACAGTCATGGCCCTGGAGATCTGGAAGAAGGCGCAGATGTTGATCATGTGCACGCTGGGGAGCATGACCACGATCATGACCACGTGCACGCAGATGGCCAGAATAACGTTAGTGGACCAGTATCTATCAAATCTATGAAGCTGACATATGTGGATTAAGCAGACTGGTGGTGCCGAGCCACACTCTCCCTATTCGCGTCGCCGCCGGACCCTCGATAGTCAACGTCGTCGCTACAGTGGATATGTTGACCCGGCAGACATCCAGATTCACCCCGCTAGTATGAGACAGGAGATTATCGCAGCCAGTAAAACCCGGTATGATGATGAACAATCCGGCTCGGACAGCGAGTTCCAAGAGGGCGCCGATAGCCAGCCATCTGAGCGCTCAGCCCTTCTTGGTCAAGGCGGTCGTACTGGTAAATATACCGACGAGACGGAGTCATCTGCCCGATCCCGGACTGCGGCAGCTGATGAGGATCTCCACAAATTCCACAACCATGCTCAACCAAAGCCCAAAGACGAGAAGCATGGCCATGGCCATGGTCACGATCTCAATATGCGGGGCGTTTTCCTTCATGTGATGGGCGATGCACTGGGCAACATCGGCGTCATCGCTTCTGCTCTTATCATCTGGTTGACCGATTATTCTTGGAGATTCTACGTGGATCCTGGGATTTCGCTTGTTATCACTGTGATCATTCTGCTCTCCGCCATTCCCCTATGCAAGGCTGCGTCCCGAATTCTCTTGCAGGCAGCGCCCCACGGCCTGAGCATCGACCATATCAAGGAGGACATCGAAGGACTTCCAGGCGTCATCGGCTCCCACCACCTGCACGTATGGCAGCTGAGCGACACCAAGTTAGTCGCCTCTATCCATATCCAGGTGGACACGGAGATCAAGGGCGAAGGCTCAGAACGCTATATGCGTCTGGCCAGGCAAGTGAGGAAGTGCTTGCACGCTTATGGAATCCATTCGTCGACGATCCAGCCGGAGTTTGCGCCTGACAGTGACGCTGAGGACACAATTGCGGCCCCCTCGGACTGCCGTGGCGGTAGCAACGGAGCCTCCGCCTCGGGGACGCTTCCCAGTCGAGCACCCAGTGTACCTGATGGTGATCCGCAGGCGTGCCTCCTGGAATGTGGCGAGGAGTGTGCCCGGGGTGGCCAGTGTTGCCCCAAGCAATCGCCGTGAGGTGATTTGATACCAATTCTACCTCCCCTATGATTCTTTTATTCTTACACCCTCCTTACAACCTCACCATATTAATTTTCCTTTTCTGTTCAACATACCCCCTTTTCATATTACTGGTACCTATGTGACTGGACTGGCCGTTGTTGATGTTGCGTCCGAGACAAACTTGGTGCATGTTGGGTGAACTTCTCAGATGGCTGCATGTGATGAGACTTGTCACTGGCAAGTGTAATTACATTCTTTAAAACAAGACTTTCTTATTCTTCTTATGTATTCTTAGCAATATAATTGCATGTGACCTGGCTCTATCTTCTGCAGTAGTACGATCCCCCTGAATTATGGACCGGAGTTGAGTGTGTGGAGTGTGTTGGCAGTGCCATGGCTGCCAAGGGTTCCCAAGGCCCTGAATCTCGCGGCCTGGGGCCAAAACGGGGGAGAATGTCTCAAAAAGAGTCGCGCCCGGCCGCCGCACACGTGACGTGTCTCCATCCGTCAATCGGCGGCGATCCCCCTTGTTGGACCATCCATTCCCACATCGTCATGCACTGACTCTGATTCCCTCATTCTTATATCTAATTTCTAGCTGGCCTGTCGCTCGTTTATTGTGTTTCTCTTCCAATTGTTGATGCTCCTCAAAGCATGACCTCCGGTTCGGTCAACTGCTAGCTACCCACCTCCCGCGTGTCAGCCTCGGTACCGCAATGCAGCAGAGCTGCGCTCGCCCATCCATAGGCTGAAACAACGAAGATGAGCTATTCCTACTCGCATAGCGCCGTTGCCGACTCTTATCGTCCTGCTCGACGAGGCTCTCTCGCGTGGTCCTCGGGCTCGTCGGAGCGGGACCCATCACCACCGCCATGGCCGAAACGGTGGGCTTCGAATGTACGTGAGGCGACAAGTAGTAGACATGGGTTATGGTCGCTATTCAAGCGGATTGCGAGATATGTCTTCACGGTCTCGAACGCTTTGATTGCTCTTTGGATCTGTACACTATGGTGGGGCGAACGGACTGTCTTTCGAGACAGCGTGAAGGCATGCAATTGGGGTAATTGGGAGAGATGGGTAGGTGATCCATGTTGTAATTCATCCCTTTCTTTCTTTCTTCCGCTAACTTCTCATGCTCGCTCGATACAGCCCCAAGACGCAATCCCACATCATGTCGCCTTCATCGCCGACCCACAATTAGTCGACCCTCACACCTATCCCGGCCGGCCATGGCCTCTTTCGACGTTGACCGTCAAATTCACCGATCAATACCTTCGGAGATCCTTCTCATCCATTCAGAAAGAACTAGGTCCAGATTCCGTGTTGTTTCTGGGTGACCTTTTCGACGGCGGCAGGGAATGGGCTACGGCATCCAGTTCCAGCCCGGAGAAACGCTACAAGAAATACAAGGACCGATTCTGGAAGAAAGAGTTCCATCGGTTCGTGAAAATATTCGTGGATACATGGAAAGATGGCGATGAGCATATACGTCACCCGCTCGGGCGGAGGTTGATCACTAGCTTGCCTGGAAATCACGACCTGGGCTTTGGTTCGGGTGTCCAGATCCCGGTGCGCGATCGGTTCCAGAGCTTCTTTGGCAAGAGCAATCGCGTTGATGTCATTGGGAACCATACGTTTGTCTCTGTCGACACTGTGTCGCTGAGTGCCATGGACCAGCCGGACCCGGAGACAGGCAGCTCGGGCATGGGCTCGGGCGATGGAGAACAGCCAAATGAACACATCTGGAGAGATACCCAGGACTTTCTTGACCGCATGAACGTGCATCGCGGCAGGGCGGAAGTTGAGGCGTTGCGCATGCTTGCCAATAAGACTGAGGGCCGTCAGTTTCAGCATCGGGCTGTTGATATCTTGGAACCGTCCGTGGACCCGCAGCTTAAGCCAGAGGTTGCGGGATTTCCCACGATCCTTCTTTCTCACGTTCCACTGTATCGCCGACCGGCCACGCCGTGCGGCCCCTATCGCGAACACTATCCGCCTAGTGGCGAGGGCTTGGAGGAGGATGACCGGAACGCCATTCCGATGGGTCGGGGCTATCAATATCAGAATGTCTTGACCCCAACCATTTCTCGGGACATCGTCTCGAAGATTGGGCCTAATTTGGTCCAGATGTATTCCGGTGATGACCACGATTACTGCGAGATCTCCCATCACGAGTTCAGCGGCTCTCCCAAGGAGATCACGGTCAAGAGCCTCTCATGGGCTATGGGGATCCGGCAACCGGGCTTTGTACTCACCAGCTTGTGGAATCCTCTTGATCTCACCACTGGTGAATCCGATGGGACCGCTAATGCCGGCCGGACGGTCCAGAACCACCTGTGTCTTCTCCCGGATCAATTATCCGTCTTCATCTATTACGGGGTTATCCTTGGTTTCACCCTCTGCGTCCTCCTTGTACGCGCTGCGATCATTGTAAAGTATCTCCCATCCAAGATGAGTCCCGACGAGCCCATTCTGCCCTTGTCGGAACATCGCTCCCCGCCCCCGCAGCGCGCGGCCCGCTACAAGACCCGATCTTCTGGTACGTCTAGCTCCACGTTCCCGTCGCCGCGCGGGCTGGCCAGCCGTGCGGTGAACGCACCTCCCTTGTACGCTACTTACGCGAGCTCAGATGAGGACGAAGTGGGCAGCGCCAAGTGGAAGCCAGCGCGTGGCGGGCCACGGCGGCCAGGGGCAAGTGCCTCCCAAGTCACCCTGGTTAAGGAGGAATTCCTTGCATCGGTCATGGGAGTGGCCAAATTCGCATTATGTTGGTACTTCTTCCTCGTCTGGCGATGGTAAGCGATAGTGTTTTTCGGTTCTGGTGCGTGGGTAAATATTGTCTGTACATAGATATTTGGGGCTTCCATCTTGTAACTTTGGGCAGGCGTGCATGGGTGAATGGCGTCTTCTGATGGTGGGGGGCGAAAAAAACATGACGAATATATTATAGGTACTAGATACATGTACAATGGTACTGGGGTGACTGGTAGCAGTTCCTGTCCCGCTTTATTGACTAGTAGTAACTGTACATTGGTGGTTCTGAAGATGTTGTCTGGTCAAGTTGTCCGTAGAGTAACTACTACTCTATTATATATAATATGAGTACTCTAAATCCTACTAGCAGTATATGATGCACTACTCATATACCACGTCGCCTGTAATACCCGTTTGGGCAGGGATCAGTTCGGTTAAGACAAAAAGCACGTTGACATAAATTCTCACATTCACCAATCGTTGAAACGATGAGTGTCTTAAAAACCATCAAAAGTTGGAAGGAATGTGGACATGCATTGACAGACACACACCGAGAAGGATTGCTTCCGGCATGGCATCTCTTAGCTGGGTCGTATAGCCAATTATAGGATAATATCTTCCATCACATCCGATATGGTGTAACGGCTAACATCGCCGCCTTTCAAACCGAAAGACTTGACCGCGGCAGCTCGGGGTTCGATTCCCCGTATCGGAGATGCTCATTTCTTTTTTGTCATTTTTTTTCCTTTCCCGCTAATTTATCTTTCTTTGTCTTTTCTTCATCTTAGTTTTGTCCACCCAATCCAACAAAGAAAGAACATCGTGGGTTGGCTATCTGCAAGTAATACGAATGCATGATGATGATGTCTATGTCCATGGGGTGATAGACATGCACTGAACCTTCCATCAACATCGACGGTCGATCCCTTCCCTGCCGGGCCAGGTGACCAACTCTAACCAGAATAGACTTTGGGACCAGACCATCAGCGTCGCAACCTCCCAGCAATCAAACCATTTCTCGCTTGCAATTGCTACTCGACTAGGAGCGGGCATATCTCGGGGATTCATCCCTACAGGGCCAATCACACGAGCATTAAAACACTAAATTAAGCATCCTGGTGGCGTTCAGCTCAAACGAATTCGCTCTCACCACCCATGTAATTGGGATGAAAAAGAACGCCCAGACTCTCTTTCGTTGACTGCCCAAGCCTAAAGCGGCTCCGGTGAGAAAAAAGGAGTGACCCTGAATTCAATTGTTGACTGGGGAGGAAGGCAATCCATGGTTGCCACCCACGAGCAAAGCGTGGCTGAGCTCGCTGAATGGCCGGAGCTTTGCTGGAATCTTCGGTTCGGGTACCCAGCAACCCCGGACTCACAGGACCAACACTCTGACACCAGGGACGGAATCACCTCAGGGTCTGCTCAATCGGTGTGTCAAGGAACCGTGTATATTTCCTATTGTGAGCTAGGAGATTTAGATCCCCAGCCGGAAATAGAGACGGGCAAGACAAGTGGGAGATCTGGCCCGCCGGCCACGCGAGTCTGGCTGGCCGTTCCCGGCCTCTTTTCCCAATCTTCTGTCTGCACCAGCCCGCGTCTGGCCTCATCTCCGCGCCTCTTCTCTCTAGATCTCTCTGGATCCAAACAGCCCGCTTCCAAATCACTGGCCGCGATAGCTCGCGTGTGTTATCCCGATTCTCAACTGACCGACCATGATCGTGGCTGAGACCGGTCTGGGGACCCGTGGATGATCGGGATGATCTCGGCCAAATGCCTCAATTTGACTTTTGTCCGCGCCGTCATAGTCAATCCTCGGGCCCCCCATGCTCTCTCTCTCTCAGCCAGTCTAGTCGTCTACAGCTTCATGTTGGCTTGGCTTGTCTCGAACTCGGGCACTGAGTGGTTCCTTCGTGTTTATCCCCCACTCATGGCGCCTCGGCCCAACGTTCTTCTCCAGACTCGGTACGTACAGTCGCAGTGAGACTGCGGAGTCTGGGGCCCCGTTCTCCCACCTCGCCCGATTCCGTGTCCAGTGGCGTGCAGAGAATGACTGATTCCGGCCGGTCTGGTTGTCGGTCTGCCGGGTCTGGGGACGAATCTACCTGCTCGCTGCCATCCCCGCGTCCCGCTCCAAATACTACATAAAGGCCTCCATGTCCCGGGTCTGGGGTAGAATGGATCTCTCATCATCTTACCTTCTCCGGCTCCATTGACTCTCACGCACTGCTACATTGCTCACCTAATCTACCTAATCTTTGCCTGACCCCACATCACCTACCTTCAGTCGATTGCTGTGCCTCTGGTATCCCAATCATACCATGGGTTTCTTGTTGAAGAGACCGGATGATGCGGTGGGCTCAGCGGCCCCCGCCATCATGATCGGTCTGTTTGTCTCCTTTGGAGGTATCCTCTTCGGGTATGTACTTCTTTTCCTCAGCCATGATGCGTTGAATATGGGGTCTGACCAGGATCTAAATAGATATGACACCGGAACCATCAGTGGTATCCTGGCCATGAAGTTCTGGCGGAAGATGTTCTCTACCGGATACATCAACCCCGCCGATG